CAAATAAAAAAAAATACGTGTACATGAAATAACCAATTTCCAAATAGTATCCAACCTAGATCTATCTGTCAACAAACCACACAAAAAAAGCAGCTCGAAATAGTGATCGATGTCAATACAGGACGTTAAGAGCCGTTGCTCTATACATTCTCACAAATACGCACGATTTGGTCGATGATATTTGCGCCTACGTAAATCACCCTGTATAACAGAAAAGTTAACTTTAACTGACGATACAGTTGAAATTCAAGAAAATAATGATTAAAGCCTACTCATAGTATCTGATGAGTCATTTCGTTTGCTTCTTGGTTTTTCGAGATCGGATTTTCAAAAGCAGCGCTATGGCTTGAGGCTTTTAGCAATCATCAACATACAGATTTACTGCAGTAAATCTGTATATTATGTACCCTAATATTGGATAGATATCCTGTTGTCGATACTTCCCATATAACTTTTTGCTGATAGTATACACATTTTCCCGCGAATGGTCATCCAAATTTGAATCTTTCAGAATATTCACCGAAACCATAGACAATTGGAAGTTTGTGAAACCCATCGTGAACCCTCAAATCATCCGATGTTTATTGCATCTCCTCAGCCTGATAGTGTACCCATGATGGATAATATATCTCATGATCTATTTAAGAGAATACAAAAAATCCTTATTTTTCCACACCTCTCGAACAATGAAGAGTGTCGTAAATCTTGATAACATATGTAAACGTAATGGATATAACCAAGGATATAACACAATCAAGGTGTTATCAAGTTAGATTCTATGACCGGATTACCCGATGAATATAGGTAGAATACATTTCGCTAGGAATCTGCTAGGCAGATTATTGGCAATATAAATAAATATTCGGACGCGGTAATCACCCCGACTAATTGGCGAACCGGGTGAGTTGTCCTTTTCTAAAAAGGATGCTTGTTGATTTATGACTGTTTTGTAACCGCCCACTGCTATCTCTTCCTAACCCCCCCGGACCTCAGGTATAGGCGAGTTTTGTCGCGTTTCTCAACCTTAAACACGTTACCATGGCAACACATTCTCTCAAACACAACAACAACAACAACAGAGTTTTTGACTCCTAATATCATTTTCCGGAAATTGGAGTGGTTCCATGGCTATTGGCAAGCAGTGAATATCACTGGAGATTACATAACTTGGTCAGAGAGTGCATTTTTGGTATATCTCTCGCTCCAGAAAATTTCAGGATCCTTACCCAACGATTACGTAAGATACAGGGGTGTTTCCATTAGAAGTGGGTCACACTGTATATATATATAAATAAAATACACCAAACTGTAGTAATTATTATTAGAGTTTTTCAAAAGTACTATTCATCCTTTCCTCACTCTTTAAGTTAAAGAGCTAGCGCAATTTTTTTTGATCGAAATGATTGGAAATCAACTCCAGAATATGAAAAAAGTGTTTTTGATATGTCTTGATATATCAAATTTTCATAAAAACCCGATTTTTAAATTGGCCAATGCAATTACGCCCTCTAGCGGCTGCCCTGGAAACTTGAAAATAATTTCCAGAGATTCTTCTTGGCCACTTTTATCATGAATTTTTTTTCGAAACCTGTGCGGCAAATAGTTTCCGAGATACAGCCGGTGTCCCTTCTTAGTGGTACACCCGGTACAATATATTTTTCACACTTCTACATAATATATCACTCGGTAAAATGTGAATTGATTTTTTTCTCAAAATCATGTGATAACCATCTTGGTACGGCCGGTGACCCCGAACAGTCTGTAGACTGGCCATAAAAGATGTTGCGATAAAAATCAACTGTTGTCAAATATTAATGTAATTAATTTAATTGCTTACTTCCCACTTGGAATTCAAATTCGAATCTTCTTCGCGATGAGAGTCAAATAGTGAAAGTTGTCTGTGAACTAAAAAGTGATGGAAGGTGTTGTGCAAACGGAACAATACCGAGTGTTTACGTTGTTATTTCCGTTTCGGGTCGGTCCCACATTAAATAATGTTTCATCATTGTATCACGTATGATACATAACTATACATTCATAATATTATTTATATTAGATCATCGGTAATGTGAAAACGTTGTTAGACCCTATCGTGCCTATCAGGTGAGGCATATCGGTAAACCGACTGTCCTCTGTTTATTTTGCTCTGATTACCATCGGCTATGACGTCACCAAAACGTAAAATTTCTCAGTTGTGTTAGACTTTTTGAAACATAAAAGGTTCTCATAAAAAATCAAACCACACAATTAGAACCTTATCGCAGATCCTGTTTATTTTTCAACAGAATATACCAGGTGGTACAAATAACATAGGATACCCATATAGCACGCATATGTTATAAATGGGTTGTATACCGGGTGAGCAAAACTTGATGTCTCAGCTCTATTGTAAGAGAAGGAGAGATGATAGGGGAAATCTGAAAAAAGGTTTCCCAATGGGATTGTGTAAAGTCCGTTTTGTGCCTAATTCGCATATTTTTCTGAATTCGTGAGCTGAAGTAATGACGTCATCGATCATTTTTTCTCAGAAATATACCTATATTTCTGCATATTCGGAATGAGCTGATTTTACTGAACGAATTTTGTGAAGAAAAAAAATTGTCCTTCCGTTAAGAAATTATAAGCAAATTTGTTGAAATAAAGTATCATCCAAAAATTGCATTCGTCACGATTCATACAACTAGCCTTTGAAAACAAATGGCAAAGTAGCAACTGTCAACAATTCCTGTTAACCTACAAAATAATTCGAAAGGAATGGGAATTGAGAACATAATACATGCAACTGCATGCAACCAGCGAGACACGTATAAGTGATAATGGTTGTAGATGTGTCCAGTCCATTACTTACTAACCTTTGTTTCACGTTTATTGTCATGCTCAGCGCAGAATAAATACATTGTTCTCAAAGATGAATGCCTCATTTTTACACTTCTTGGAGATATGCAAGTACCAGAACATTCTCTTCGATTTCACATTCGTCTACTTTTCGCATATATTTTCAATGATGAATTCTGATACAAATAACGAATTTTGTTTGAATAATTCTGATACAAAATTCGAAAATAACAGCTGACAGTTAATACAATTGATAGGCCAGACATGTCACAAATTACTGAAGCTGTGTTTAATGAACTGCGTTGCCATGGTAATGTGTTTAAGAAATCGTGTTGCCATGGTAACGTGTTTAATATTTTGAATTAATCACAGATCGACAATCCGTGATTAAACGATCATTTAGCGTGGTATATATCCGTACGCTAAATGCCATTTTAGTTATGTGAGTAGAAAAAGCAAATTAAGCACTGGATGAACGTGATATTAGCTAGTGGTAGAACAGTTAGAAATCATTCCAACAGAAATGACAATGAGGAGATTGTGGGGAGGGAAGAATTAGGAATTATACACCGATCGCATTCTACAGACCGATCGCACCGCTATCTATTATTTCAAAGATCATTGAGAAAGCCTTAGATTCCTGTATGATCTAAGGAGAAAGCTATCAACATCGAGCTCATGAAATACCTGGAACATTCAGCGATTGGCAATATGGCTTCCGTCATAAGAGATCAACTGGTGACCTGCTCGCTTATGTCTCACATATATGGCAGCAATCTATTGAAAAATATGGTGAAACCTTAGCCGTGGCACTTGATATCTTCAAGACATTCGATCGAGTCTGGCACCACGTTTACGTACGAATATGGCTGGCAGTAACTATACGTACGTATACGTATTATGTACGTGTAGTGTATTTTTTGCTTATCCGCAATTTTACGTAAATGTTTTCAATTTTAGAAAAATATATCAGTTGATATCGAAATTATCTTTCACTTCCATGAAAATGTTCAAATATATTTACCAACTCAAAAATTCTTTACATCTACTTATGTAAAATTTGATGAATATAATGTGTAATTCATTATGCTTAGTCGAATTTCACAGCAAACTATGTTCAACATTGTTTAGGCAATGTACTGTGGTATATGGTTCACTTTTATATCAGGTGTTATTTCTATCCCACTTTTATATCAGGAGTTTTTGTAAAGATATGAAACCATTATAGCAATTCGAATTTGATCGATTGTTTTGTCGTAAATGTAGGAACTTCTTATTTTTCTAGCACATTTTCCTCTGTGCCTAACACATAGGCTTTGGCATATTTATACGTATATACGGATAGGCTTTGACATATTATACGTACGTATACGTGCAGATAGGTTTTTGCATATCTATTCGTAAGTATACGTACGTATAACATGTCAAAGCCTATCCGTACGTATACGTACGTATTAATATGCCAAAGCCTATCCGTACGTATACGTGCCGATAGATATGGGAAAGCCTATCCGTACGCAAATATAGTTCTCAATTTACGTACGGATAGCATTCTTGGTAGTTATTCGCACGTAAACGTACGGATAAAGTGCCTTATCGCTATTTGTACGTATTCGTACGTATGCACGCACTTCGTGCGAATAGACACTTCCCCAAAAAAGAGCAATTCGTCTCGTCACAAAATCACTCACTTCCCTGGAACACCGTATAAAAGTTGTCGATCTGGCCCTATTTTATAGATATTTTCATGGGCGATGCTCTTCTGAAATATCAACAATTGTTCCTCCCTTGGCAGTCCCCGCGAGATTAACCCGTCGAGTTGAGGCTTCGCACCCCTTCGTGGTCACTTTGGAGAAATGCAGAACATCTCTTTCCAACGACTCGTTCATCCAACGAACAGCGAGGCTCTGGAACACATTGCCAAGGGAGGTGTTCCCCGAGGCATATAAACTCCAGAAATTCAAGAATTTTCCTTGGTTCTCACGATGTTCTCTGAACATCACAGGATATTTCTTTTCGTGGGAACCAGAACATAAAAAAAGGTATATTCCACATTTTCGAATTTGGAATTCGAGCAGGTAGCTTAATCGTTATCTGACAAGTTATCAGCCAATCGATATACCTTATTAATCCCTGATAACGCCGAGCATGATCTAACAATAATTCCAGTGTAGCAATCATCGAAACTGCTAGATGTGAAATAAAATCGTGTGTGCGCGCAAAGTGTTTGAAAAAACGAAAATTCAGTGGTATTGCAACGAATTACCGATTGTTTTTTATGGATAATGTCGCATGGGATGCCGTATGGTACGTGTGATTTATTGGTAATGGGTAATTGTTATGTCATGTGAGTTTTATTGTTCCAAAGATAACTGAGCTTTAGAAGGTGTGACGTCAACTGAGGTTGTGCAAATATGTGGCTTGATCGTTTCACTGTGTCTGACGAATAATGATAATTATACAGGGTGTTTAAAAAAATGCTGACCTCCTTGCTAGGGTAGGTAGAACACTGCAAAACAAGTTGGGTTTGCTCCGTAAACAAAAATGTCGTATAACGGCATCCTTTTTCAGGATACTAGGTGTTGGAAAAATTATGTTTTCACACAATGTTTACGATTATGTCGAAACTACTGGGAACATTGTTATTAATTTTTGTTTGGATGTATTTGTAAGCTGACACATCGCATGAATTTGTTTTTATATCTGACGCTCATAGAGGGCGCTAGTTACACGGTTCGTACCGAGGGGTAAATCACAGCCAAATTTCGGGTACACTAGACTACCTTTGTCGAAAGAATTCCCGGAATTCTTGAGGAATTCCCGGACATCCCAAAGAATTCCCAGATTTTCCAAATAATTCCCAGACTTCCCAAAGAATTCCCGGACTTTCCAAGGAATACCTCGACTTTTCTATTGCCATTTTTATTTTGGACTTCTGTGTTCGATATACAGGGCAGAGCGACAAAGTTTTACGCTGTTTCTCGTCATTAAGTCGAGTACCAACTTATTCAATGTCATAATATCTCGTGATATATCGATTTCAAATTCAGTTAATATTTCACAAATTAGTTTATTGTACCCGCTAGTGCAAATAAATTCAGAAGTTCAGATGAATTCTATCTACTTATTTTTTCCACTTGCTTCACTTCGATTGGATAAATCAGAGGACAAAACTGATACACTGAAAACACTCATGTTGTGAAAAGTGATAAAGGCGAATGAATGAAAATGACTTGAAATATCTCAAATATAATCGAGATTCCCTTTCGTGCCCTCCAAAAAATTTAAATCGATTTTATCATAGTAGATATAGAGTGCATGTGATAGTGAATAAGTTCTAATGAATTCAACACCACGAGTAATTTGCCATTTTGAAATTTGATAAAACACAAGATTCGAAAAATCGTAATTATATAGACTCCCGAAGGAATTCTTGGACTTCCCTAAAAATACCCGGACTACCCAATAAATTCCTGGACTTCCCGAGGAATTCCCGTTTCGGGTACACTGGACTTCCCACATGATTTACCCCTCGGTTCGTACCGATTAGTTTTAAACATAACGACAAGGGACACGCTTATTCGCAGCTTAACTGCACGTCGAGCTCTAACGAATCAGCATCTGCACATGTCTGTGATAGGTGGTCAGTGACATACGCACATTCCACTGGTCAGTAGCGTATCTGATAGTGCTACACGCTAACAGAGTATATATTTTTTTCAATTAGCACTTATCAGGACTAATTCCATGTTACAACTCTAAGTTAGTACAGGGTGTTCGTTGATGTTATCTGATGAATATAGAAAAATGGAAAACAATTCTCCTAAAATTTTGTTTTCCATGAATAACTTCAGAGTAAAACCCTTAGATCATACATTGGAAAAACCAAACACTTTGCTACTATAGAGGTGCTACTTTATTTACTTTGGGCCACCAATCATCAGATTATGCTTGATTCCTATAATGATATCTTGTATTATTGATTAATCCGTAATTCACCTTCAATCCGCTTTATCTGATTTTTTGTAGCTATCTGTTGTATTTACCCATTTCTCATCACTTCTAAAAATACCATCATGTGATATAGCATCAAAAAAATAATTCAGTATACCAATTTGAGTACAGGGTTGGCAAAATTGGGTGTTTTAACGGGCTATCTCAATAACAAAGGGAGTCATCGAAAGACCGATATACATGTTACTGGTTCGATTGTAGAGAAACCTAAAATGGTGTGATTGGAATTTTGATATCTTTATTAGTTTCAGGGGTACAGGGGGAAATTAAAAAATTACCGATATCGTTTCTATTTTATGAATACTTGAATATTGAAAAATTCCAAACGTTTATTTAAATAGTATGATGCGAAGAATCCATTGGCATCATTATAAATTTCATACAGAGTGACATTAAATTGGTAAACGGTAGCCAATTACATTTTTTCTCATGGAACACTCCGTATATTTTGGCACAGTTGGATAGTCCCAAGCGTCCCGTCCTCATTTCAAATATACATATATATACGAGGGGTAAACCGCGGTCAAAATTGTGTACACCAAATTTCAATTTCACAAGAAATTCCAAGGAATTTCAGTTGTTTGTACACCTGAATTATAAAACACTTCACACAAGGAATTCCAAGAAACTCCAAGGATTTCCAAGGAATTTCAATGATATCCAATGAAATCCAAGGAAATCCAAGAAAGTCCAAGGAATTCCAGTTGCTTCTACACCAAAATTATACCGCACTTCCCAAAGAATTCTAAGGAAATTTAAAGAATTCCAAGGGAATCCAAGGAATTCAAAGGAAATCTAAGGAAATCCATTGAAATCCAATGAAATCCAATGAAATCCAAGGAGTTCCTAGTAAATCGAAGGAAATCCAAGGAATTCCAAGGAAATCTAAGGAATTCCAAGGAAATCCAAGGAAATCCAGGGAATTCCAAGGAATTCCAGTTGTTTGTACGCCAGAATTCCACCGCAGTTTACCCCTCGTATATATATAACCTTTTTCTTTCACAATTTCAGAAATTTTCGCAAAAATATATTCAGTGTGTCACATTCTTTATGGTTGCACCTACATATATCTTCAGTAATAATCATTGAGGTTGGATTCATACATTTTCAAGTGTGAGAATCAATGATACAGTCAAGGACCAAGTGGGACCATTTCCAATGATAACACTGCTCGCCCACAGTTAAAGAATCACCGACATCTCTGGAAAATGCTATCAAGAGGCAGAATATTGGTTGAAAATGACACTCTGTATATATTGACTAAAGGAAGAAAAATTCAATTAATAATCTATTTCCAGACAATTGAATATTTGGTAAGAAATGAAATTAGAGATTATTCGATTTGATATCATTGGTATCGACACATTCAAACAATTTAATATACAGAAGTAAGAAAAATAATTTACTCAATTAGGAAACTTGTAGGCTACGTTGGGAAATTCAGCTTTTAGAAGATGTTCAAATTGTCTTCCGTTTTGGCCTAATAAAAGCTATACATACCTACTAAATTTGAGAGAATGTTACTGTGTAGTTTAAGACTTATGGAGACTGTGAGACTTGGTGAGTTCTTTCGAGCGATTTTTTGACTGAAATATCAAATAATCATAATTGACACTGGTTTCATAATTCCAATACTCTTCAAATTATTGAAATACTTTCAACTTTCTGTTTATGATTGTTACGATGAGAATTGGTGGCGGGAAAACAAAAAGCATCATACACAATTCAGTTTTTCCTCCTCTTCACAATTCTTTTGATGTACTGTGTTAATTATTGAATACAGTGTGTTATTTTAATATTTCGAATAAATGTAAATTTTTCCTGAAGCCGAACCCGGCTTTTCACTCCGCCCGATAGGTGAATAAATTTAACGTCCCAAGTATAAGCTCCTTGCCAAATTTGAGAAAAATATTCTGGGTAAGTCAATAGATATAGACGAATGAATAATTATTCGAAATCGATAAATAGCCCTGTATCTCCGTTATGAAGACTCTAAGACCTATCAAATATGGTATTTTCAGAACCACCTTGGTCACCCCTATCTACTATTGAAATATTTCCGTTCACCTATGAAACACCCTGTATATATTATTCTTCAACGTTTTATTTCTGTATCTCAAATAGTTCGAATGTGTTGATAAAAATACGATATCAAATCGAATAACTTCCAATTTTACTTCTTGTCAAATATTCATTTATCTGAAAAAGGAATATCTAAATTGAATTATTACTGATATATTTATTTTCCTCTTTTGGTTAATATATACAGAGTGTCATTTTCAATCCATCTTCTGCCTCGTGACAGAATTTTCCAGAAATGTCGGCGATTTCATAGCTGCTGAAAAGCTTTGTTATCACTGGAGATGGTCCCACTTGTCACACTGTATCATTGATATCTCGCTCACATTTGGAAATTTATTAATGCAACCTCACCGATCATTACGGAAGATACGTAGGTGCAAACATGAAAAATGTTACACACTGAACATATTTTTGCGAATATTTCTGGAATTGTGGAAGAAAAAGGTAGGGTGGTCCGGTTAGTAATACAAAAATTTCAACAATATGTTGTACTCGTTGAAATAATGAAAAAAAAAAATAAATACACTTTTGAACGCGTCGTTTTCGAGATATTGGGTGTTGAAAATACGAACCTGAATAATGTTTTTGGATGGAAAGTTCGAAACGGTTTGAGATAAATCAACAAATGTTTTTGAGAAAATACATTCTGTAATAGATTTTTGACATTAGAAAACATTACAGAACAATTGTTAAACTATTTCACAGGTTCTATATAGGATTCAAATTTAAAATAATGAAAATTTAATGTTAGCAACAATAATATTGAGAGGAAAGGAAAAGAACATTCCAGGGATATTCCAATCACAATTTGAAAATGGTTTTCTTCTCAAATTCTTCTTATTTTTTGTGTTATCAACAAGAAATTTTCACAATTTTACATTGGAAACCTGAAGACCAGGTCAAAAGAGAAATACATATTTTTCCTGTTTAATCGAAAATTTTCGATTTTACGTTTCCAGTGTTGAGCAGTTTATATGAAACAATGTAAGAACTAATCAAGGTACTTACCATGATAATTGATAACGGCTGTTTACAAGTACCTTAGTATTTTTGAGATTCTTGAACGGTTGAATGACCTGCCAGTGTCTAATTTGTTAACACTTCTTATAAATGGTTGTTAGTGATAATAAATAGCCATTTTCATATTTCTCTAATCATATAACAGTCATCACATACCGGGTGTTTTTTTAAACAAGTTTTTTCTATACAATTTTGTTTTCGTTTTGATAGGTTTGAACGAGGTTTTATGATGTCGACAAAATGTAAGCACCATCTTTAAGCAAATAGGTAATAAAAATCTCTGATAAAGAAGTCCGTTCTTATTGGATTTTTATGAGTACTAAATTAATAATAATTATGAAAGTCTACATCACTGGAATGTATACTCTTTTCGTCACGTTTTTATTACTGTTGTAATCGAACGTGGATAACACTTCACATAAAAAACATGAATCACTACTAAATTATTCCGAATTCATTGAATATTAATTACTCAATCAATATGTTATGTGATGGTAACGCCTTTTAAAACTTCATAGACTACCTGGTTCTCCAATTTATATTATGTTTTTAACTAAAGCGTATCTTCTACTTCTCAGGCAGTAAATTCGCTCTTTTACTTCCTAGACAGTGAATGAAAACACGAAGAACCTTTAGCTAGGCGAATTGATACACACCAACTCCTCAGTTCTATTCACATTATACCCTATAAGTGATTCCCCGAAAAATTAATTCATCAGAATTCGTGGAATAGCAGTGAACAAATATACTCTCAATGACTAGTAAGGACTTGAAGTGACTACAATGAATATCAAGTACTACAGTACTTGCCAAAAACAACTACCAATGACCTACAGTGACTGCGAAACACTTTCAGTAACCACCAAAGACTTCCGGAGACTACCAAGCACTTTCAGTGACTACGAAAGACTTCCAGTGACTACCAGCCAGTGACTTTAAGTAACTTTAGTGACTACCAAGAACTTCAAGTGACAACCAGAGACTTCCAGTGACTACAATGACTGCCAAATACTTTCAGTGCCTGCCAAATAGACTTCTAGTGACTGACAAAGACTTGCGTGACTATCAGAGACTTCCAGTGACTATTAGTAAGTTCCAATCATCGCCAAAGACTTCCAGTGAATTTCAGTGACCTTCATTTACTATCAGAGACTTCCAGTTACCACCAAAGATATCCAATGATTGCCAAAGATCTCTAGATAATTTGAGTACTACCAAAAACTTCCAGTTAGTACAGTGACTGTCAAATACTTGCAGTTCCTGCCAAAGACTTCCAGTGACTACTAAATATTTCCAGTGATTTTAAGTAACTTCCAGTGGCTTTTAGTGACTACCAAATATTTCCATTGACTTTGAGTAACTTCTAGTGGCTTTTAGTGACTACCAAAGACTTCTAGTGATTATCAAAGACCATTGTCTGCTAAATATGGAGAAAAAAAATTTAGTGAGCTGTAACTACTGGTCTGCTCTATAGCTCAGTTGAGTGTATGACCACCAGAGGATGTTACCGTATCGGAAGAAATGATCTTCACTTTTTCTAGAAAATTTTCTAAATTTGTGGTCATGTAAGTTGTCAGTGTCAAGTGCAGTCGTGTCATCGTGACTTGTATTGTATTTTTCACTAAAAAAATCTTTCTTCTTCAATTCTCATTGTTCTAATATTCCTTTCGTTAATAGATATAGCTATGTGTTGTGCTCCCAGTATTGAAGTAGTTTATTCTGATTGATGATTTGTTACAAACTCTGTCTCTCAATATTGTTCCTACCAGAAAGTGTGAAACCATCTCTATTAATGTATTTCGAAGTGATATTTCTTTGCGACAAAAGTGGATACATTCGATATTGAGTGTTACAAGCTCATTACAAGTAAGATAATCAGAGCCCTGATTAAAAGCTAATAATCGATACTACTGATACTACCTCTCATTTGATTTAGGTGTTGAACATTACGAAATTGGGGACTATTGTAGTGTCTGTAGCAACCATTTTGAGAAGAAATGATTTCTTTAATTTTCGAGTTACTGAGTGATTATGTCGTGATACTGAACTCAATCTCACTGTACAAACTGCGCCGCCGGCCGAGACTGCCGAGAGCACCGCTGAGGGAGCTGCTCAACTCGTTTACGTTTTCCAAGGTTATGTAGGTTTGACAGAAAAACAATTGAAATGAGTGTTTCCTCGAGTTGACCGTATGGCGACACTACTAGCTGTAAGTACTGTATCGGCCACAGAAACCTGTAGGTGATTTTCCTTGTTTGAGCAGACCAGATACTACAGCTCACTTGATTTTCTCTCCATATTCAGCGTACAATGTCAAAGACATTCAGTGAATACCAGTGACTTTCAATTGCTACATTTACATGACTTTCCGGTGAATATCAATGAGTGATAATTACTTTATGAACCCCTCGCCTCAATCTACCAAAAGTCCCAAGATAAATTGAGACCTTAACGAGAAGAAAGATAAGCACTGAGAACTACAAAATAGCCCCAAATAGTCGAAGTTGAATGAAATGTTAAAAGCTAGGGAACTTCTCAAAGTCATTCAGATGGCAGTCTTAGGACTCCTATCTAGTAAACTATCTCAGATAGATCTTTATTTAATTAGGAACCCTAATATACATAATTAAATAAGAAGGCATATTACAATATTATATAAACACATATACAGAGATGAAAACTGAGTTGAACAATTGCAAAACAGAAAAGTTAAAATGACTATTATGAAATACCTAGGATGAAAGTAGAATAATAAGATTAAAAACAGTAGAATACAATAAACGGCAATATAAACATAAAATAGATAAAATACTAAATAGACATATGGAATACACCATGAAGACCTTTACTTAGCTACTTATTTATGACGAATTCCTTCAATTTAGCTTTGAACTGGATGAGTGAAGCAGATCCCTTCACAGACTCTGACAATTTATTGAACTCCAAAAATCATTTGTAAAATAGTGATTTCATGGTACTACGATAGGAAGTGCTAGAAACATAGATGTCATTTTTGCCACTGCACTGATGAAAACCAATAGTCCGAAACGGGTTTGTAGGGGGTTGACCGTTACCTGGCTATGATTTGAAGACAATTCGGCATTTCTCACTTTTGAGATAAGAATTAGTGAAAATAATAAGCTTTTACCCGACATTTTGAAAACATTCTTGAATATAATAATCAACAAAAAATCCTCAACTTATTTCTTCTTCTTCAGCATCTAGATCTTCTGATCACTTTTGTCGCTGATAATCACAAATTATATTGGCAACTATTTTCCCTGTTCGATCATATTAGCTCTACCTTTTTGTCTCAATATCATAATGTCATCCGAAAAATATTCCTCCAATTATTTATGCATACGACAGTGTAAGGTTCGATATTTTCTGGCAGCAGCTCTGCCATTTTGTCCAGCAACTCCTGAACTGAAATTGGTTCATCTTCTTTCTTCAGCCACCTGCATATTTCTAAAGAGGCATCTTCTTTATTTTTATCAGATGGACGTCCTGCTAACTTTGTCTGTTCATTGGGAATATCATGTTCATGTTTCTTAGGAATAGAGTCAAAATTCACACTATATTTCTGATTATACAGAGCATCTGTTGCTGGCAAGTATCGATAACGGAAAGAAGACGTGCAAGGACATTCGATGATCAAAAATCGTTTCTTGCATCACACACATCAATAATAGTTTGTCGAAACGTAAAATTTCGTACTGGTAAAATTGCAGATTTAATTATTTTCTCAGTTTCCTTGATGAATTGGCCACAAAACAAGCAATTATCTTTGAATGCGAATGTCGGCAGCTGGCAGCTCAGATCACAAAGCTCTGTTGCTGCTGCTACTAGTTGATGCTTCTCTATCAGGATCTGATTTAAACTTCATCTTGTTCGGATTTACGTACAAACGACGACATTCGACGTGAACAATTAGAGGATGAATAGGCACTGGTTCCAAGAGTTCAATTATTTTGTCTTGCTGCTACTTTCTAGCACTTATAATTCCTTGGACACCTTTAGCAGTCAATTTAACACAATTCGAACTATCATCAGTACTTAACGAAAATAATAAACATTTGTTATCTTCCATCGCTGCTTTTAATTCACTATATTTAGGTATACCTGAAATAGTATATCAAATAATGGAAACTTTCATTCACGATCACAGAGAATAGTTTCAATCACATACCAAAATGATTGTTTCACACCTCGACACGAATTTTGAGATCTACTAACCATATTATCATTTTTAGGAAGATTATGAAATTCGTTTGAATCTTATCCTGAAGATCCTAACATAGGTAGCGGATCATGTGTTGAGTTGTGAAACAATCATTTCGGTTTGGCACCTGAAATATGAAAAGTTGCATTAAAACATTTTTGCATGAAAGCATGCATCTATATTTTTGATATAGTGTAAGAGGTCGAATGAGGCTTCAGAAAATGAAAACTGCGTTTTTGTGGAAATTATTTCCACCCCAATTCCTCCAACTGCTCTACTACTACTCTATCATAGAAACTCCTATAAAAAAGATGGAAGTTGAAAAATCAATCAGTTTCGAAAATCAATCAGTTTCGAGGATAATTTTGTTGTTTATCTTTTAAGTCACACGAAATGAGTTACTGGGCGGTAAGAACCAGAATGGCATGGATATGGTTTTTCATTTTATTCATCAAACCTTCTTTTCTTGGAACAAACCTTGTTAGCAAAGTTATAAGTTCCTGAGAAACACTTGAATCACGTGGTACTTCGTGTTCAATGACTCTTATCGATTTCTCTTATTTGACCGGTTTTAGTTTTTTTGTTTTGTTTTTCAGTTGGTCCTGTGCATTATGAGCCAAAACCGGATGCATTGTATCAGAAAAGGTCGAACATGAGTCAGCGAGATGAAGTCCAAAAATTCGAGCAGGGCCGCATCAGGGTACTGCAGGAGGAGCGGCTCCACATCCAGAAGAAAACCTTCACCAAATGGATGAACTCGTTCCTGCAAAAGGTAATGAAAAAATTGATAATTTATTCACTCGGTCCTCCTCGCGGTCCACTGAATAGTCCACTGAAATGAAAATTTCGATGAGAATAGTTATTTGTTTAACTAGGCAGCAAAGTAGTAGATTGACTGCCGTGGCTGAATTAATAGCCCAGCGTAGCGAGGCTAGGAATCCAGATAAATAATTTTGTTCTGCAACCCACACAAAAACCGTCGGTTTCAATTCCAAAATGAGCTCTAGAATTGACGTTTCTATTACTTGCACGAAAATAGGTATGTTTGCTAGGCAGCACTTTTAGTTCTTTAGAGCTAAAGTTGAACTTTGGCTCCTAGGAACTGAAAAGAATGTACTAGGTCATCAAAAATAATAATATATTGTTTTATTCTCGGTTTTATTAGGATCAAAGATGACACTTTGTTTGACAAGTGAATTTTTCATTTGCGAGGCAAACTTTGGGAATCAAACAAAGTCACTTTTGATCCGAACTAAACATGCTATTTCATATGCAACCGAAACAATTAACTAAAATAAATATAAGTGAAGTAACCACCAATGTGACTCACTTGACAGATTATTATAATAATATGAGTAAGTAAAGCAAGACCCCAGAGCCTCAGTAATTTGTTACAATTTGAATATCTCACCTGCATTTACAGATCAGGTTCATTCAATTCTCAAGGATGTTCGGATTGTAGTTTCAATATAAATACAACCACAGAGTGAGATTTGTGTATTCTATTGCATCGATGAATCGATGAATTCTTTTGGACCAGGTATAGGAAAAAGAAGTAGAAAATGTTAGGTTAGTGAGCATATCAACAATAATATCAGCGATTATCTATTTATCTCCATATTCCACTGTTTGGCTCGGTAATCAAATGAAGGTAAACAATATCGTTGTGTTAGACAAAAAGATATTACTGGCCGTTATTCAAGAACAAGTTATCCAATCATTCGGATCCCGAGAAGGAATGAAATACAGATCAAGCAAGTATGTGAATCTTGAAGGCTTTCTTGATCAAAACAAAATTTCTCGAGAAATTTTTTAACTATAATATGGTGTATGTATATCTCCAGCATGGGAATGAAATGCCAAATCTGCCGAATTCGAGAACAAATCAGCTATGCGTCCCAGCGCTAAATAACCAACGATAAAATTGTTTATTCTTGATGACCTAGTACATCCTTTTTAGTTCCTGGGAGCTAAAGTTCAACTTTAGGCGTTAGGATCTAGTAACGCTCGTGGTGCATACAAGGTTTTAATTTTTACGAAAAAAATATCTTACTATGATATCACTCAGTTATTCATCGTATTTAATTTATTCCCTATCTATACTCAATTATTTTCATTGTAAACGAATATCAATCAGATTTGATGATTGTCAGTGAACATTTTAACCTGAATAAAACTTATTATCCACTGGACATCCATAAGAGATATCCACTGGACATCCCTGAAACACAACCATTGAACATGAAGGATATCAAATGGACATACATGATGGATATCCTATGGACATACATGATGGATATACTATGGACATACATGATGGATATCCTATGGACATACATGATGGATATCCTATTGACATACATGATGGATATTCTATGGACATACATGATGGATATTCTATGGATATACATAATGGATATCCTATGGACATACAAAATGGTGGCCAAAGTACAGCCATTGGACATCCATACGATATCCTTTGGATAAGATTTGGATGTCCAACGGATATCCAGAATATTCTGGTTGGATATCCATCGGACATCCATAGGATGTCCGTGTGTTATATGGGATGAAAACTGAATTTTAATATGCGGATCATTGCTCCTAGCATTTTCTTTTCATTTTTATTGTCATGGTAGGCATGGTATTTGTTGATATTTTGACGTTTGTTGAATATTGCTGTCATCATTTAATCCAGTGAATGTCATTGCTGCTTCCTTTGTGTAGTCTTATAGAAATAATGGAAATGGATACAAATTTACCCAAAAACACCATACCATAAAACATGCAGACAAGGCTTCGATTAATTTATTGCCGGAGAAATCTAGACTCGTGTATATACGACAAGGATTATGAAGTATTTTTTTTATCGCTTGGAGCGCACGGAAGGGAATCGATGGAAGTTGAAATATTTTATTATTGCCATTGATGAGACCGTGTTATTGGCGTACATTCAAGAATTGGTATGTTATTTCATGAACTACAGAAAAAACCAATGAGCGGGCGTTATGATTCATAATGCCCTCCATAACGCCTCGGGCGTTATGGGTCTGCTAATAGCAACCGTTGCCAAGGTATTTAAAGCAGTAATGGACAATTGAAAAATAAAAATATTTTTGAATTTTTAATTAATCAAGCTTGGCCAGGATTTTTTCAGACAATCAATTTTTTATAATATTTAGCATGCCTAATTACTTATAAACCAATTTTCACCCAATGAATAGATGAGTGATGGTCGACGTTATTATTTTCGAAGGTTAAATTTGAATTGAAGTGTACGAATCAGTTTGTCTATTTTGATATCTAATTTTTTTGATATTTGGTCTTTTGAATGACTCTTATTCCAAAATAGGACAATAAGTAATAAATAAGTATTGACGGATCCCGAGGCGGATTCAATATGGCGGATTTTGTAATTTAGACCCGATTATATTCAAAATTTGTATCTGTGGGTTCTCGGGGTAGGGCATTATAATTTTTTTGTCAAAATTTGAAAATTCAAGATAGCGAATCCAATATGGCTGACGAGTTTGAAACATGATCCGATTTCATTCAAAATGGTATTTGAGAGTTTTCGGGGTCGGAGATTATTATTATTTCGTCAACATTTTTAAATTCCAGATGGTGGATCCAAAATGGCGGATTTTTAGTAAAATTGATATCGGGGGGTTTCTGGGGTCAGAGATTATAATTGTTTCGTCAAAACTTGGAAATTCGAGATGGCGGGTACAATATGGCGGACGAGTTTTGTAATTATGATCCGATTCTATTCAAAATCGGTATCTGCGGGTTTTCCTAGTCGGAGATTATGATTCTTTCGTCAAAATTCAGAAATTCAAGATGGCAAATCAAATATTTCGGATGGGTTTTGTGATTATGATTCGATCCTATTCAGAATTTGTATCTGGGAGTTTTCGGGGTGGGAGATTATGATTCATTCGTCAAAATTGGGTACTTACAAAAAAAACTGACAATCGCGCTTCTGTAGTTAGCCGAACTCAAAAATAAAAAATATATAGTTCTTTAACAGATAGCCAAACTGAAAAGAAGTAGAAAATAAAATAATGAAACTGTGTTGATAAATACCAGTATAGAATATACTGATTGCAGAGGTGCTAATATTTTTTACTTTTATTATTTCATTTCCTACATTTTTTCAGTTCGGCCATCTTCAAACTACTATTTATTTCAATAATTTCAATAACAATAATTCTCCTCGTAGGTCCGCATGGAGGTGGAGGACCTGTTCGTGGACCTAGCCGACGGCAAGAAGCTGCTCAAGCTGCTCGAGATAATATCCAACGAGAAGTTGGCCAAGCCGAACAACGGCAGGATGCGCGTACACCGCATCGAGAACGTCAACAAAAGTTTGGCCTTTTTGCATACCAAAGTTCGATTGGAGAGCATCGGGGCCGAGGATATCGTTGATGGGAACCCGAGGCTGATTTTGGGTCTGCTGTGGACGATTATATTGAGGTTTCAAATTCAAGAAATCGAGGTGCCAGAAGTGAGTTCTTTCAATATATTTCGAAAATACACTCACCGGCAAAATAATCGATCCTCTCAAAATATTGATAAAATTTGATCAACGATAACTTCGTAAATTCATGTCTGATTCGTTCAATTTTATTTTATTCCGTAGGTAAATTCATAAAGAATCACACACAATGTTGAGATTTTAAGAAATGAGGCATATTTTCAAATTATACAGTGACAAAAAAAGTGCATTTTTACTCCAATTTCAAAACAATCTCTGGAGTGGCTAAGCTGGTACATCCTGTAATTTTTCAGTCAATCATCAAGCTACGTTTATTACGAACATTTTCTTTTTTTATTTGTTAGGATAACTGCATTTTTGTGGAAGTTACAAGGGTTTCAGAAGAACGTTACATTTCAACATATTTTTCTATGGTAATAGCAAGGTTCCCTAAGACATTCTTTGCATAGCTGGCTGTGACAGACCTGTCAGTTGCAAATTTGTGTTAATCATCGAATGGTTGAATAAGATATGGATCTTTCTGCAACCGACTCTGCGAGAGCTATTGCTTTGGTGCAGGATGGTAGATCACAATATTATGTGGCCAGAGCTTCGGGAGTTTCAAGATCCAGGGTGTAAAGGGCTGTGAAACGGTTTTGTGAGTTTGGTGTATTCACAAGAAGAGGTAATAGTGGTCGGAAAGAAATCTACGAATGATCGAGATAACCCGAGAGATAACCGCTTCATAACGCTCAAAGTTTTGAGGGACAGAAGACTTACTTCTGTCCAATTGAAAAACGAATTAGAGGAGGTGAGGCAAGTTCAAGTCAGCGATAGAACAATAAGGAGGCTTTTCGATATCGGACTCCGAACAAGAAGACCTGCAACTGGTCCAGAGTTATTGAGGAATCATCGAGCTAATCGCTTCAGATATGCTAGGGAACACGAATATTGGCGCAATGAACAATGGAGCAATATCCTATTTACCGACGAGTCAAGGATTTGTCTCAGATCACCGGATGGACGTGAAAAAATGTACAGAAGAACTGGAGAACGTTTTCTCAAACCATTTTTCGCCAAGAGTGAGTTACGGAGGCGGTTCGATAATGGTGTGGGGTGGCGTGAGTTTTGAGGCTAAGACGGGCTTAGTCATAGTGGAAAAGGGATCTATGACAGCTGATAGGTATATTAGAGACGTTCTAGAACCACATGTTGTTCCATTTGCGCCGTTCATCGGAGACGATTTCATGCTTATGCATGACAATGCCCGAACGCATGTTGCAGGGATTGTGAATGAGTATTTAGCCGATGTTTAACTCCCAGTAATGCATTGGCCACCTCGAAGCCACGACTTGAACCCAACTGAACATGTTCGGGATGCTCTCAGTACGATCTTGTTTACCAGCTCCTGCAAGTTTACAGCAACTCAGTGAAGTGTTAATTGAAGCATGGCAGCAAATCGATCAGGTGTATATTCAAAATCTGATAATGGGCATGCCAAGACGAATTGCAGCAGTTATTCGTGCGCGTGGGGGAAACACGTCGTACTGAGTTCATTAGCATTTTTCAAATGATTTTCAGGTTTCATTCGTTACGTCGGTTATGTTCATCATTGCTTAATTTGAAATGTTTATTATCACCAAAATGTGTAAATGTAACGTTTTTTGAATCTCTTGTAGCTCTCATAAAAAGCAGTTATCGTAACAAATGAAAAAAGAAAACGTACGTAATAAACGTAGCTCGATGATTAAATTAAAATTTACAGGATGTACCAGCTTAGCCAGAGATTGTTTTGAAATTGAAGTAAAAACGCACTTTTTTGTCACTCTGTATAATTTGAAGATATGCCTCATTTCTTAAAATCTCAAGATTGTGTGTGATTCTATATGAATTTACCTACGGAATAAAAAAAAATTAACGAAGTTATCGTTGATCAAGTTTTATCTATATTTTGAGTGTATCGATTATTTTGCCAGTGAGTGTATATTCTTTCATTTTTGACCCCCTTAGAAAAACTTCAGCACGTCCCTGAAGTCGCAAATTTTGAAATACCGACATTTTCCATTTTTGAACCCCTTAGAAAAAAATCGGCACGCCCCTGAAGTGTCGATTTTCATGTTTCATGAACATACGCCAAAAAAATTTCAAGAATCAGACATTTTCCACTTCTGAATAAACTCGTAAACATGTTGAAAAAAATTGGCACGCTCCTAAAGTCGCGTTTGTAATATTAAAATATTTTCTATTTGAGACTTCCTCTGAAAAATAATTTAGAACACCAGTCAGGTTGGAGAGCATCGGGGCCAAGGATCAGGAAATCGAAGTGCTAGAAGTGACTTCTTTCAATATATTTCGAAAATATATATTTTTTGTAGATTTTACTCCTTTAGAAAAAAAAACGGCATGTCCCTGAAGTCAAATTGGCACATCCTGAGGTCGCAAATCTGGAAATTTCGACATTTTCCATATTTAAACCCCTCAGAAAAAATTTGGGATGCCCCAAAGTCGTGATTTCGATATTGAATTATTTTCTATTTCGAACAATTTCTTCAAAAAAAAAGTTACGGCCCTGGAATACACGATTTTGAGTCTTCATCGACAAACGCCAGAAAAATTTCAAAATTCAGATATTTTCCACTTCTGAACTCGTTATTAAAAAAAATGTTGACGCTCGTGTAGCTGCGGTTTTGATATTTCAATATTTTCTATTTCAAACCCCCTAGGAAAGAAAAATATATATACTTACATAAAAAATATTTTCTATCTGAAAAAAAAATAAGCATCCCTGAAGTTGCAAATTTCGAAATTCTTACATTTTCCATTTTAAAACCTCACAGGAAAATAATTGTCACGCCCCTGAAGTCGTGATCTTGATTTTTCATCGACGTACGCCAGGATTTATTTTTATAATTTCGACATTCTCCACTTCTCAACCCGTTAGAAAAAAATTGGCAATCGCCTTTTTTGGTATTTTAATATCAACTAATTCAAACCCTCTCCGAAAAAAATAGCACATCTCTCAAGTCGCAATTGTGATATTCCAACATTTTTCTATTTCGAAATAGCTCATAAAAAATAATTGCTACGCCTCCGGAGGCACTATTTTGAGTCATCATCGACTTACGCCAAAAAAATGTTAAAATTCCGAGAAATATCATTTCTGAATCCCTAGAGAAAAATTAGCACCCCCCTGAACTCGTGTTTCCAGAATAATTCATTCAATATTCTTTTCCAAATCCTCTCAGAACAAATTTTGCACGTCCCTGGAAATCAGATGTTTTGTTAACGTACGCCTAGGAAATTCAGAAATTACGACATATTTACCATATCAAAACCTAAGACCAACAAACTTCTTCCCCAACGTATTCCGAAAAAATCTTGAAAATCCGAAATGTTTCATTTTTATTCCCTTTACGAACATAATTGACACGTCCCTGAAGTCGCGTTTTTGATATCTCAACATTTTCTATTTGAAACTTTTTCAGAAAAAAATTGGCACGTCCATGAAGTCGCGACTTTTTATCTATGTGAAAAAAGAAGTTGATCATAATAAAATACGTATTATTGTCAACTTGGATTCATTGAAATCAGAAAATGAATCTGAATCGAATTAAGCAATAAAAATTTCATTTCCGTTTAAAATATATAATTCGGTTAAAAAAAATAACATTGGAACCAGCCTGTAGTATCCATATTGTCTAAGAAATAATGTAGGATGAATAGAGTTGCCCAAATCGTCAGCAAAAACGTGCCAGTGCCTCATTAGCCACTCTCGACCTAATTCTGTTAACGCCATCTGCCGGTCTAAGTCTGAAGTAGGATGTCAAATATCATAAGCCACACACTAGATCGCTACAGAGTCCTACTACAAGTAAACATCCTACCTCAAACTCGCCACTAGATGACGTTGAAATCATGTTTCTGAACCTTGTGTTTCTGGCGTCTTTTGTTCTGACTAGAGTCCCTGTATATACCTTAGACAAGAGTCCGGACACAAAACTGACAGCCGTTGGGGTTTTTGATATTTTGTTTCATTTGGTTTGCCCACCTGACAATCTGACGAAACACCATAGTCGTCCCGCCCGCTTTTTTAAATTATTTCGAATTTCTGTCACTGTCACTTTGAAATTTTATGACCGCCAAAATTTAGCATTTTGAATTATCTCAACGTCCTGCTGCGAACATTATTGCGATAATTAATCGGAAGAGGGATTCAAGTTATTCTATATTCCGAATGATCCTTTAAAGATAATGTCATGGAAGAATGCAATGAAACGTCCAGAATGGAAAATTAATTTCAAGAAATCCGCAATATGAGAGGTAAATATTCAAATTCACTCGTAAAAACAGTACAAGGAAGATGAATTTTATGCCCATTTTGATAGAGATTCTTTCGAGTTGATGGATTCCAAATTGAAAGAGAGTCTGCTGTGCCGTCAATTTATAAAAAAGAGACGTTCAAAGAAAAGAGTTCCGTTGTCATCGTATTGAGAATTACTGAATGATACGATCGCAGAGAAAGAAAATGAGAATGAGATGATGCGGAAAGAAATTGAAAGTTTGAAATCAAAACTAGAAGATTTAGAGAAATTGCAATGTGCTATGTCATCAGTCCGGTGTTTTCAATTCAGATCAAATTCAAAATTTACAGGTGAATGTTGACTGCAGGAAGAGGTGGGAAACCGACACAATTAAAATTATATTGGAACAATTATATATCTTCTATTTTTTTTTATATCCCAACAGAAAACAACTTCATTTTCTTGGCTATATATGTGATACCACGTAGAACACTCAAATTGTCTTTCTTTTATCTAATGAAGTGAAGAAATATCTGATGATGAAAATTCGCAATAGCCATCTCTGGAATTGATTATGAAAATTATCGATTCGAAATTTGAACACCCTGTTGTTCATTATTTGAAAATCTAATAGTTATTCTAGTTGAAATAGCACTATTTCTCACTTCTACCTACGGCTATGAACGGTTTGACAAATAATCTAACCCTGAAAATTGTTTCTGACAATCATTGATACTAGGGAATTGAAAAGACAGAGCTCGACATATATGTCTTATTCCTTTATTCAATCATCAATGCATTTTTTGAAAACAGAAAAGGACAGAAGTATGGCTGTGTCCGGACTCTTGTCTAAGGTATATACAGGGACTCTAGTTCTGACCAATAATTTCGTTTCGGAGTTGGAGCTGTATTGACGATTTTTGTTTTCAGGATGAAGACAACGAGAGCTCGGAAAAGAAATCTGCCAAGGACGCTCTGCTTCTTTGGGCGCAGAGGAAGACGCACGGCTATCCAGACGTCCACATCACAGATTTCTCCTCTTCCTGGCGCAACGGGCTCGGCTTCAACGCGCTTATACACTCCCACCGGCCCGATCTGTTCGAATTCAACTCGCTGAGGTAACATTTCAAAGTCATTGTATTATTCCGTGACATGCGTCTTTTCGTTGTCGATCCCACCACTGCCTTCTGAACTTACCAAGCAGTGCTGAGGGAATTGACAACGCTGAATTGGCGAGAGTTCTAGATGGTATTAAGTTAATTGTGTAACTGTGAGGTACAATTTCATGTAATCCAACTAATAGCGTAATAGATTTTACGTTAGTTAATGAAAAATCCCTGATCGCACTATCAACATATAAACCGTGTCCCAGCTGAAATGTCCCCCCCTGTAAAAAATCAACCGCGCGATCGAATGACTTGAAATGATGCTCACTCGAAATATGCTAATGAATGAATCATAGGTATACAGGGTCACACCGAACTGCACCTAAGCTTTTCTATTTGAATAGGGGCACCCAGTATATTATTTCATATTCAAATAGAGTTCATTATTACAAATTCAACAATGCCGGGTTTGATGAGATTTTTTCAAACGACTACGAAGATATGACAAAAAATAAAACGATTCAATAAAAAATTTATATGATTAGATTTTATTAATATAACACAATTGAAATCCAATGAAGAGATAATAATTAAAACCTCAACTTCTCATTATGTCGTCCATTCTGCTGCAAACATTTCCTAGCACTTTTGATAACGTTCATCATTGTGACCCTATGTATCACGTTGCGATCAATTAGTGCGTATAAATTCGTGATTTTCTCTTTCATTTCTTCCATATTTAAAATTGGCGTCTCATAAACCTGTTGTTTCAATTAGCCCCACAAATAAAAATCAAGCAGGGTGAGGTCTGGCGACCGAGCTGGTCAGTTGCTATCACCATCGAGACAATTGGTGGTTATTAGATTTTAATTATTTTCTGTTCATTCAATTTCAATCGTGTTATATTGATAATATCTAGTCAAATGAATTTTTTATTGAATCTTTTTTTTTGCCATATCTTCATAGTCGTTTGAAAAAATCCCATCAAACCCGGCATTGTTGAATTTGTAATACCTACGATATATTCAATAGCATATTTCGAGTGAGCATCATCAAATATATTGGGTGACTAAATTTCGAGTCATTCGATCGCGCGGTTGATTTTTTACAGGGGGGGACATTTTAGCTGGAACACGGTGTATATCTTAATGGTTTACTGTCAATTTGAGTTTGAATATTTTGTTCAACGCGCGCATACACTTCCATCGGCCCGATCTTTTCGGCTTCAACTCGCTGAGGTAACATTTCAAAGTCATCGTGACTAATTTTCTTTTTGATTTATGGAATGCCTTGCAAGTTTTCCGAAGACACGCCTCTTTTTTGTCGATTCTACCACCGCCTTCTGAACTTACCAAGCAGTGCTGAGAGAATTGACAACACTGCATTGGCGACAGTTCTAGATCGTATTAAGTTAATTGTGTAACTGTTAGGTACAATCCAATGTACTCCAACTAATAGCTTAATAGATTTTACTCTAGTTAATGGTTAATCCCTGATCGCACTTCCAAAATATCTTAATGGTTTTGAGTCTTGTCAATTTGAGTTTGAATATATAGTTCAACGCGCTTATACACTCTCGCCGGGTCGATCTATTCGATTTCAATTCGCTATAATTTCAAAGTCATCGCGAATTATTTTCTTTTCGATTTATGGAATGCCTTGCCGGTATTCCGAAGACACGCCTCTTTTTTGTTGATCCCATCACCAGGGATTTCATTCTGAGCACTAGTGCTATAGAATCTAAAATGCCCCAAGGGAGTTATTCCTCTCTTTCTTGATAGCGTAACTAGGACGATATAAGCTTATAAATCTCGGTCAGAAATTAATAATGTTTTTTCTGTGACGGGAAAAAAGTTTGAAATTTCATTTGTTGACAGGTTATAAAATGTCACTTTACATAAATTACTTATTCCCTTTAGAAAAAAGTGAGTATTAATGAAGTAGAATGGTTGAATTCGTGATGTTATCAGTATACTTTTCGTTGTCATGAAAATAAGAAAAAAAAATCATCAATTCAGCACATTTATTAGTTATATTTCATTTGACGTTTCATGTTACTCCTGTCAGATCGATTATTGAAACGTTGACATTCAGACTTCACGTTCCCCGGGTCGTTGATGTTACCGTGGTAATGTCAAAAAACGCGCTTTAGAAAGTTGGTTTCAAAGCAAAATAGTTTATCAATTAAAAAACTTGAATAATTATTCGCCGAAATACGTGTTGTAGCAACTCACTTCTTCAGTGAATGGTAGGCTTCCTTGTCTGTTATCTACATATTCTACAGATGATTCAAATTCATAGTCAGAAAGATTCTCTCTGCAGTCAGATATCCATCGCTATAACACCCGTAATGCATCAATGGTCACACCTCAATTGTTTGAGAAAATTTCTCTCAATTATAATCTATATAATGTCCTTCCCGATACAGTGAGGTGCATGGCAATCGGTCAATTTGAAACTTTCATCAAAGAGTTCCTAACAAAAAATTGTTTTTATAATATTGAAGAATATATATTTGCCAGTGAAGTGCTAGGGTGACAACATTTTGTATTGTTTTGTATTATACTGTCTATATAAATACTTGTCTCTGTGTGTTTAATTTCAAAGTAAAGTTTTTAAAATCTTAACGAATCTGTGTCCTTGAAATTTTTAATCTGTATAATATTGTATTACTGCTCATTCAATATTCTAAAGTTCTACCTGAATCATGACTTGTCACAAACGTCTCAAATCGTAACGTGATCAAATAAATCTACTCTACTATACTCTACTCTATTCATCTCGGTTTACATAGGAACAACAAGAACATCGACAACCTGAACCACGCCTTCGACGTGGCCAACAACGAGCTGGGCATCCCCAGCCTGCTCGACGCCGAGGACATCGACACCTCCAGGCCGGACGAGAAGAGCATCATGACGTACGTGGCCTCCTACTACCACACGTTCGCGCGGATGAAGAACGAGGAGAAGTCGGGCAGGCGCATAGCCAAGGTGAGTTTGTCTCATCCACAGAATTATTAGGAAGATGTCCAAAACTTATCCCAAATATTGCTAATACCGTTCTATACTCTCACATCCTTAGTAAAATGAACTATCTCATGAATATTTGGGGTTCATGTTCCAAGAATAATTTTATCAAAATATCTGTACTATATAAAAAAGCATACATTTTCTTTGGAAGAGCACTATCTGATAAATACTCTCAAAATTTCTTTTGATATTATCAACAAACACCTCGAATCTAACTTCATATTTGTAGGAATTCTCAAATCCATGAACATCATTCTAGACAATATAACTGGTTTCATCTTGATGCTGCTAATTCTACACTTGGCCAAAGAAAGTTCACTCATGGAGCTATCTCAAAATTCAATAAATTACCTGATGATATCAAAAGTTGCACAAATATCACTTAATTCAAAATTAAAGTCAAGAAACATATCCTCTTGCGAAGAGTAAATCAAACCTGAGTGAATGATTTCTCATTGACTAATTTATTTTATCATGTCATAATGTACTTTTCATGAGCAGGTGATTAAACATTTTTTAGCATTATAAATAGTAGATTTTTTTATTAATGTACTTCTAGAAATTAGTAGGGAAACCGTACAGTCAACATTCCTTGTGTTGTATGCCGACATCGATTGAAAGTTCATTGTATATGTTTTGTGGATCATACCTACATACACTCTCAAGAATGAAAATGCAAGTCAATGTCAGTTTTTTCTGTGCCACAAATAAGGGTTGACATGGTTCCCTAAATTTAGCCCTACTAAGGTATCTTACCGCCCTCTTTTGTAAAATGAACACAGAGTTCAATAGAAATTGAGAACTATTCCCCCAAAAACTAACTCCATATCTCAAAATTGAGTCAATCAGGGCAAAATAGACTGATCCTGCTGCAGATATATTCAATTCAGATGAGATGACTCTTACTGCAAAACAACCAGAAGATAATTTTTTGCATAAATTTGTAATGTGGGTGTTGAATGAGAGACTGTCATCCACATAGAGTCCTAAAAACTTGGCAAATGATTGAGTACAAATTCTTGAGTTACCCAAAAATATATCACTAAGAGTGCACTTGAACGTCAAAATACATGTGTTTGAAATATTGAAGCGACATAGTTACTCAGTTCCTCACGGTTCCTCATTATTGTTGCTATGCCACAGTATTGTGATGTCATCTGCGAAAATAGTAAACTTTCCACTAATTTTAATACTTGCTAGGTCATTATAATTATTAAAAATAAGAGTGGTCCGAGCACAGATCCTTGTGGGACCCACACTTCATTAATCGAGACTTGGACTTATCTTTGTTAAGTGAGACTATTTGTGTACGCTGTGATAGGCATGATTGGAACCATTTTAGTGTTACATCTCTGAAGCCATAATGTGTCTTTACTCTTCATCAACAACAGCCATAAACAAATAATAAAATAGGCGGTATTCAACAGAGTTGCTCTTCCATACAACCCCCGAAATCGCATCGCATCCTTTACTAAGGCAGAAGTTGTAACGACGAATGTGCTTCAAATCATTTTATGACACTTGAATCACACCTGTCACGATATAGTTCTAAATGATTGAATATATTGATTTTAGTAGACTGTCAATGAACTTCTTTCTTGCACTGCATCTTACCAGGTAGTAAATTTGCCAACGAGTTCTCCAATGGTCGGGTTTCAATATCGTGGGCTCACATTGATCTAATTCCTTCTGATTTGGAAAGATTTTTAACCGTCACTTGGACTAAACAGGGATCACCTAGGGAAGGCACTATCGGAGTGATAAATATTAAATTAGTAACTAGCATAATTCTCCTATTTCGATGATGAGTCTCGCGGCAGACCTTGTTTCGTTCTTATTGTTGGTTCACACCTTTCCTCTTCTTTCTGGTTTTGCAGAGAGCAGAATCACTCAGAATTAGGATACAGTGCAAGATCGCGAAAAATTCAAATTTCAGCAACTAATAACAATTTCGTTTTGAAATGGAGTGTAGTTGTATGATTTATGCCGTTTTCCAACTCAAATTTTGACTTCCACTGCTAGAACCATGGACTAGAACGATTAACGGTATCATCAATAAGAGATAAGTAACTTATCTCTGTCCCAATACAAACGACATGAGAATTGCAAGCTGCAATATGGTGTACCGCTACATATTTCGCAAAGATAATTGTTCAAATGAAAATTGTGAGTGGCTACCGTACTTTTAGATCACAATGCTTGAATTAACAAATAGCCTAAAAGACGATTCATTTGCCAAAATAATTGTGGAAAACTATTTCAATCCTTTGGAAACACATAAGAAGAGTGAGGTTGTTTTACCCCCAGGCTCGTTCATCTGTCACATGTGCACGCGGCCAAACGACGTGTATTTTTGCTTAAGCTGACATATGCGTTTGACCTTTTGTGGTTAGATGTCATTTGTCAAGCAGTTTACGAAAGTTTTTTTTTCTGATGAAGATCATGAATAAAATGAAAGTTGAGCATTCAAGCAAAAAGTAACAAGAACGATCTTACTTTGACTCGTTTCATGCAGATCATCAGCCAAATGGTCGACGCAGACAAAATGAAAGTGACCTACGACCGGCTGATCACCGACCTGCTCGACTGGATCAACGCCAAGGTGTCCGAGCTGGAGGACAGACGCTTCCCCAACTCCCTAGAGGGCATCCAGAGCCTGTTCACCGCCTTCGGGCACTATCGCACGCAGGAGAAGCCACCCAAGTACAAGGAACGCAGCGAGATCGAGGCGCTCTTCTTCAACATCAACACGCAGCTGAAGGAGCTGCGACAGCCCGTGTTCACGCCTGCGGACGGCAAGCTGGTGCAGGACATTGAAAGGTAAATACATTTATCTTTAGACTGAATTACAATGAATAAATAACAATGGATGCAAGTTTCAATTTCCTCAGGGACCTTTTCTCCAAACTAAACCTAAAAGAAGCAAGCGCTGCAGTATTTTGTGATCTGTCAAAAGCGTTCGACTGTGTTAATCATTAAATACTGCTGCGCAAGCTCCAACACTACGGCTTTAGATACCAAACTCTAAATTGGTTTAAATCGTATTTAAATCACAGATCTCAAATTGTGAAAACCGACAGTCTCTCAGGTATTGGGCACATTAAGCACGGTGTACCACATGGTTCTATTCTTGGACCTATCCTATTCTTGCTATATTTTAACGATCTCGTAAATATCAATATTGAGGGATCTTTCACTATTTTCGCAGATGACACCACTATCTTATGGCATGATAAGGATGTAAATAATCTTCATGATAAAATGTCTAGGGATATTTCCATAGTACGAGATTGGTCTAACTCGAACTTGCTCTCATTCAATATAAAAAAATCTTTTCTCTTATCTTTTCAGTGCAATATACCCGATATACCTTTAGGAAACAATTTTATCTCATCTTGCAATGCCAACAAATTTTTAGGAATTCAAGTAGACACTAAATTAAACTTCCAAAATCATGTTTTTGACCTTAGCAAAAAGTTATCTTCTAGTTGCTTTGCCTTGCGTATGGTCTCGAATTAATTGGGCATGGCAACTGCCAAAATTGTTTACTATGCATTATTCGAGTCACATGCCAGGTATGGCATATCTTTCTGGGGAACATGCAACAAACAGCGCTTCAACATGATTTTCACCCTTCAGAAGCGAGCTGTTCGTTATCTTTGCAAAGTTGGTCCCAGAGTATCTTGCAGAGGGTTATTCAAGGAGCATAAGATCCTCACAGAGATGTATAGAAATTTAACTGGTGGGCTCACTCTTCAATTGTTTCGTCAGACTAACTCTCGATATGTAACAATTGCAAGCGAGTTTTGGACGTGTGGTTCAGGTATTTGCGATAGAGGCGCCATAATCGGAAAATCATTCAAAATCTTGGTTCTGTGAGGGATGAATCTATTTCCATCATTGTTCTGTGGTGGAATAAATAGTGTGCTCAACATTTTCATTCAAATTTCAATTTGAAATAGAAGCAAGAAATATTTTTTGTAGCCGATTTTAATAAGCTTCACTTCTTTCATGACATGAACCTATTTAAAGCATGAAATCTGATGAATTTCCTCTTTGAAGAACCAGAACAAAGAATGTATCAACTATTGAAATAGACCAATATCGAAAATCATAATATGCAGATATGGTAACTGGTACTCACCTTAGAATTTATTCACACGCTAATATTTCAAATCACTGAAATAATACTGTTGTAGAACAGAGATTTTCTTTTTTCTATGGTGGATTAGGTATTATACACAAAATTTAGAAACTACGGAACACGTCCCTAAGGAACACTTGACCCCAATCTGAGAAATAACCAGTTTTTCAGCTCAAGAATATTTTTGACATATTGACGTTTCGATCCTTTGGTCAGGAATCAGTTCACTGCTCTGATCCAAATCATATACATATCCAAATATTTATCGGTCGGTAATGTTTCCTGTAAATATGGATCGTAACCAGGATGAGCTTAGCGAGATTTACCCACGTCAAGTATGTTTATCAAAGGTTTATCAGAGTAGGCGCCATCGAGAAACTTGCAAACGACGACGAATAGGGAGCAAGCGCACCAGTTAAATTTCTATTCATCTCCATCCTCACTCTCCCATCCTTGTTCATTTTTGGAAACAGTATGTTTGATACATAAAAATAAATCAACATATGATACCATTGTTGGATCCACCCGGCAAAATAGCAATTTGAGGCTTCCTATTCCTTCTTCAAATTTGATAAAAAACTCAATAATATATAATGCTGTTAAGCTTTATAACCATCTTCCGTCCAGTGTTAAGGACATAGGATCAGTTGATTTCAGACATTTGGTGAAGTTGATTCTTGTAGAAGAGGCATTTTATGATATTCAGGAATATCTAAATCAAGCTAGTAGATAGTAGTACTTCTCGTTCTTGATGACATATGTAATGTGTCTTGTCTATATATAGTTCGTTTTAGCTTGTTAGTTTATTCATATGTATATATTTGATTTTATGTGTATGAGTACTTTATATTTTATATATGTCAAAATTTTTACGACTTTGTCAATGAGATATAAATCTTCGGACAATAAAGCATATTTTGATTGATTGATTGATGATGATTGTCTCTTTCCTGAATGCTGAATTCTGCTTACATTGTTCAAGGACGCTTGACCACTTACAGACCGGTTTCGGGCTTTGGTCCTTATCATAGTGGAAGGAGAAGATGGTGTGCCTACGCGCATATTATGTGTCGTCATCTGGGATACCAATGACAGATGCTAGTCAAAGACAGATACTGTTGCCATAGGCGTGCGCTATGAATTCAATCAAGTTTATTGAAATTTCTATGAGTTTCTCGATCTGTCTAGAAATAATTCAATCTATATAAATAGGTACCTATTCCTTCGATTTTACTATTCTATTTCTTCTGGAATTTGTGATCTTGCGGTAATTTGCAATCGCAGATAGCAAATACTTACGAATCAGTATTTATTTATTTATTGAACAAATAACTTCCAGACAGAATAGGATCTGGTATAAGGAAGTACATAATTATATACCTATAGGTAAACATAGCATCATTCAAAATATATCAACAACTGTTAATTGGCAAACAAAGAATAATATTTGTAAAAAAAAAATGGCATGATTAATTTTATCCAGTCCGCTCAGAAATAATCAGTTTTTTTACTTCGTTTTTGAATATACCTATATTTCTGCAATTTTTTATATTTTCAGGTAGTTTATTGAATTCAGTTAAGGCTGAATGAGTGAATCTTTTTTGTCCGATTAGGGAGCTAGCGGCGTCAGGATGAAACAAGTTATATTGTCTAGTTTCATGATTATGAATTTCAGAATTCCGTATCAAAATAATATTCGACTTCAATTTTTTAGTCATGATATTATATGATATTTTAAGAGTTTCAATTCTATATATTTCATCTAAAGAATACGTATTTGTTATTTCATACAATTGATGGTGGTAACAAATGGGAGACGATACAATACTTTTAACGATTTTCTATATAATGTTGATATTTTATTGAAATTATTTTTTGAACAAGATCCCCAAACATTTATTAAATAGTTGATACGACTCAGTATATGAGAGTAGAGAATCATGTTTGCAATTTTAATATCAAGTTTGGGACATCTTCTCAATGCACCAATAATTGGAGATATTTTTTTTGTCAGGACATCAATATGTTTGTCCCACTTCAACCTGTCATCAAACCAAATACCAAGATATTTTATCTGGTCAGTTTGTTTCAAGAGTTCATTTTTTATTTTAAGGTTGAGGTAAATTTTTTTTTTATTTTTTTGGTGAAAAATCATATATTCTGTTTTGTTAGTATTTATCGATAAAAGGTTAGATTGGAGCCATTTTTCAAATATTTTCAAGTCTTCATTCATCATATTTTCTAAATCTGAAGGATTCTTGCCTTCATATAAAAGTACTGTATCATCTGCATACATGGTATATTCACACGCTAGACCAATTTCACTGATATTTTGAACATAAAGTAAATATAGTATAGGTCCTAAAACAGAGCCTTGTGGGACACCCTTATTGATTAATAGTTTATTTGACACAGAGTTGTTTGATTTTGTATTGATTGTCCTATTTTCAAGATATGGAATCAAAATATTTCCCACAGTGCCTCTGAGTCCCATTGTTTCTAAGTTTTCTAAAAGTGTTTTATGATCAACTGTGTCAAAAGCCTTTTTGAGATCAATGAAAACAGCTACCACATTTCCTGAATCAAGTCCTCTCTGGATTGATTCTATCACTTGTAGTACTGCTGCTTGTGTTCCACTGTTTTCTTGGAAACCAAATTGATTAGAATAAAAGCTATATTTTTTGTTGATGAATTCTACAATTCGTTTCTTGAGAATTTTTTCAAAAATTTCAGAAAATATGCTTATTAAAGCTATTGGTCTATAGCTAGTTGGATCCTGAGCATTTCCATTTCTGTAAATAGCTCTCACTGATGCATGTTTTAATTCGTGTGGGAAACTTTCTTTCATGAAAGATTCATTGATCAATTTTGATATTGGTGTAACTAAAATGTGTCTCAATTCAAATATGTCTTTAGTAATCAAACCTTCTGGATCAGGGCATGTCTTTTTTAAATCATGAATAATAGAAATGATTTCGCTTTCATCAGTGGGAAACAGAAGCATTGTGGAATCATTATATTGTGGACAGACATTTTGACGTGGAAGATTATTATAATCCGATATTATTTCCTTTGCTATATTCTCACCAATACTCGAAAAATGATAATTCATAATTTTGGCTATTTCTAGATCATCATTGACAATGTTACCATTAATTTTTATCGATTCAATATCACTATATCTGTTTGATTTTGTGGAACCTCTCAAACAATAGTTTATCGTATCCCAAAGTTTTCTTTGATTACCTTCAGAATTCTCAAATTTTCTATTTATATGTTGAGCTTTGGCCCTTTTTATCAGAGCATTAACTTTATTCCTCTGTATTGCCAATCCCATCGAATGATCCACCACTGTGTCAATTCTGACATATTAAAATTCAGCAGTTAACGACGTTGACGTTGCTTCTGCTTTGACATCGACAGCAGGAGCATCGTTTTTTGCCGTTTTGTTATTCAAATCTTTGCTGTAATTTATAATTTGTGAGAAATTTAGTTTTTTGGAATTCATTTCTAATTATTTCTTACTCAATATTCGACGGAAGATGTTCTGTAGAAATGGCATATTGTTTCAAATATTCGTGATTTTTGGAGATGTGTAATTCAACAAGTGTACTTCGAATATGTGCTGGAATATGCATGTGATGATAATAATTATGATGATAGGTGAATACTTTGGAATGCGCATATAAGGAATATAAGGTAGATACCATTATTTGAATTTATTTTCGGTCGGAGCTTCCACTCATCTTTTCATTAGGTCTCAATTCTTGGAAAAACAAATATTCAATAACTGTGCCTTTTGTATATTAGTTGAAATTTCCATAACTAGAAACGAAACGAGTGGACATTTTGAAATCATTTCATTCAATTTTAGAAATTATATAATATCTGAAGTTTGGGATATCCATCACGAAAACAAATAATAACAATGACAGTTATATCCCAGTTGACGTCATGCTCAGAACGAGACGAGTTTGAGCTTTCTGTCGAGCACACCATCTTCTCCTTGCACTATGGTCCTTATCAGTGCAGGGATGTCATGACCGCCATCTGGAGCGGAGTTGACCCAACGTAAACACCTCTCAGCATTTGTGGCTGATTGCCTGACTGGCGTTTCTTCAACTAGGAAAAGAAGGCAAAATCGAATGAATTGGTAACAAAGAGGGAGAAACTCAAAGTCATCATAGATTCGTTCCGTTCATACGAATCCTTGCATAGATTTCGGGAGGATGTAATTCAATGTTCTGCGTGGCATCAGCCGGGAAAAAAGTTGTTTTTCTCACGTCATCTGCCATTGTTGTTCATTTTATGAACATTTGTGAAAATGACTTTGAGTTTTGAATCCATTTATTTAACATTTCATTCCACCTCAAGCATTTTGTTTTGTTCGTTGTTGAATAACACTAGCCGAACACGGATAAATGAATGAAATCGCGAATAGTGGGGATAACTGCGGAATCATTGCCAGAGAATCGATTTTCTTTATACACACTTGGGATGAAGACACCCCTGTATTTCAGTCATTTTTGAAACTAGAAATTCGACTTTTGGTACAGACGACGCAAATTCGAATTTTGCGCTATCGAATTCTGAGCAACTTTTTCAAGTAACTTTATTTGGTATATCCAACGCGAAGCAAAATATCGATAATTTGCCCTTTTCGCGGAATCTCAGTAGGCTAGGTTTAAGACTGTCACTCAATGCAAATAGTGTAGACTTTGAAGTTCTACATCTGTATAAAAATCAGATTTCTGCTCTCCAAAATTACTGAAATACAGGAGTGTCGTCATCTTGAGTGTGTCACACTGTACATAGATATATTCCGATACGCGTCGGGCATCAAACTTAACACGCGGGAGGAAATGGATACCTTTGCTCCCTTGATATATAAATAGCTATTGTTATGTACCTTACAATAACTGATGAGCGAATAATAGCGAATACGGTAAGGAAACTGTGCGGAATCATGGACAGAGAATTAGGGCAGACCATTGTTAAATTGTGCGATAATGAAATGCCTTCTGATCAAAAAATGTGTGAGAACTAGTATTACCTAATTTGCACTATTGATATCATCCCTTCACAGTCTCCACACTATTTTTCGTACCAGTTATTTTGAACTTGCATTATCTTGTCTATCAATGTACCTGCTAATTCAAATTCGTGGGCCACCATTGGAATCTCGGAAACTATAGGAGATTCGAAGATGGTTAAATTAGGGCAAAGTTGCGCATTTATGTGATTAAAAATATGCCGTCGAGAAAATTTTTAAATTCCGAGTATTTCCGGAGATATACGAAAAAACAGAAATTTTGGTAAATTATTCAGATTTTTTTATGATGACGTTATTTGTTGGAAAATGTCGAAATTGAGAGCACATTTACATTGCCACTTTTTTCATGCTATAAGTACGATGACATTTTCAGATTCACTAAGCTATTTTTATCAGTGCATATCCAATTTGGCAACCATAAGAAAAAATGTGCTCTCAATTTTGATATTCTTCAACAAATAACGCCAGAAAAACTCGGAATTAAACTTTTTTCTCGACGGCATGCAACTTTGCCCTAATTTAACCATTTTCGTATCTTCTATAGTTTCCGAGATCCCAATGGTGGCCTCCGAATTTGAATTACCCAATATAGTGTCAACACAATAGGTTCGTTTTATTGGCAAGATTCTTACACCGGAATAATTCATGTCGTTTTATTGAACATAATTCTGAAAATGGTTTCAACTTTTCATTCCGTCTTCTCATACGGAATGACAGGAAGACGATTCTGGAGGGAGTATATAAAATGGCGGAAATGGTGGTATTTCATATAATCTAACCTCAATATCTGACCTAAAATTGCCGTAAAGTGAACTCGCCTCAGGAAATATTTTGGAATTATTCGCAATTCTACCCAGAATAATTTCAAAAACTTCTGGACTCATCCTGAAATTAATTTTGAATGTTGAAAAATACATTTGCGGTATTACTTGATGAACAGCAAGATCACGAAATTATCCTGAAAAAGATCAGCTGAATGTCACAACTTTCAAATAAGAATCATATCGTTTTATTGGTCGTCAATTCTACTGCCACCAGTGGAAAACCAAAAAAACGCACCTAATAACATAACCTTATTGTTTATTTTTCAAGCAGTATGCCCTCTTACCTCACCTCACCCCTTTAACAGATATGATATCTCGAGGTAATTATTGCAATTCGGAATAATTAACAATCATCGATTGTTGTAGGTGTTGGGAGAAACTGGAGAAGGCAGAACACAGAAGGGAGGTGGCTCTCAGGGACGAATTGCTCAGACAGCAAAGGCTCGAGCAGTTGATGTACAAGTTCGAGCGCAAGAGTATCCTCAGGGAAGGATACTTGAAGGAAATGATACAGGTGATGGTTTTTCAAATATATATATAGTACTATTCATGAAAGTTATTTATGTACCATGGACGGAAACTGTTAATTATAGACGAGCCTGCAAATTGATTGCCGAGACTCAGACTAGGGTAGCAAGCAGGTGAGACAATAGACCATTTTTCGCCGAGGTGCATATTAATTTTTTTGTCGACGTCGAACACTGAACTGATATTCCCTCCACGGTCTTATTCACATGTGAAATCTGTCAGATTTCATAAATCATTAATTTGACAAGAGCAGATGACAGTTATTGTCAACTCAATCGCCGCCGTCCTACCGTGCCGTATTATAGTGACCACTTCGGACGAAAAGAGTTTCCGGACCAAAAGTAGTAGTGGAAAAAATATTGTTAAGTTATACGGGTGCAGAAGCTTACAGGACACTATTTATTTTTGAACTGATTTATTTTAACTTGAGGAACACTAATTTATATCGAACTTATAACTACTATTTATATTGCTGTCTCTCTGACACTTGCTGCTTGACTGAGTTACGGCAGTTGTCCGGCCGTTTATGTATGAGATCCCTTGGTAGGCTTTGCTTCTCGAACGTTCTCGAATGATCTTCCGTCCCCTTCTTTTTGTTCTAGAAGCTTCTTAGAAGAATACCTCTCTCTCTAATTGTTCCATCGATTGTTTCCAGAACATTCCAGAATCTTTTGTCACGTTATTTGTCACTGCGGCATATATTGAGTGTTCGGAAATATGCTGGAGCATGTAGGAATCATTGGGAGGTTGGAGATCAATCTGGGATGCGTGTTACAGGATGATCGTTGTACTCCTGTCTTTCTGATGATGTTTCTAGAGCCCCTCTAAGGGAAATATCATTGCAATATTATACACACTGTGTCCCAGCTGAAATGTCCCCCCCTGTAAAAAATGCGCGATCGAATGACTTGAAATTTGGTCACCCAGTATATTTGATGATGCTCACTCGAAATATGCTATTGAATAAATCTTAGGTACACAGGGTCACAGGTATACAGGGTCACACCGAAGTGCACCTAAACTTTCCTATTTGAATAGGGACACCCAGTATATTATTCCATATTCAAGTAGAGTTCATTATTACAAATTCAACAATGCCGGGTTTGATGAGATTTTTTCAAACGACTACGAAGATATGGCAAAAAATAGAACGATTCAATAAAAAAATTATATGATTAGATTTTATTAATATAACACGATTGAATCCGAATGAAAAAAAGAATAATTGCAACCTCAACTGCTCAATATGTCATCCATTCTGCTGCAAACATTTCCTAGCTCTTTTGATAACGTTCATTGTGACCCTTTGTATCACGTTTCGATCAATTTGTGCGCATAAATTTGTGATTTTCTTTTTTATTTCTTCCATATTCACAATGAGCGACTCATAAACCTGTTGTTCCAACTAGCCCCACAAATAAAAATCAAGTGGGGTGAGGTCTGGCGACCGAGCTGGCCAGTTGCTATCACCATCGGGACAATTGGTGGTTATTAGATTTTCCCCAAATCGATGGCGATGATAATCTATTACGGGTCTGTAGTTATATGCAGGACACTAATCATTCTATCATAATTGTGTTATATTAATACAATCTAATCATACAAATTTTTTATTGAATCTTTTTATTTTTTGCTATATCTTAGTAGTCGTTTGAAAAACTCCCATCAAACCCGGCATTGTTGAATTTGTAATAATGAACTCTACTTGAATATGGAATAATATACTGGGTGTCCCTATTCAAATAAGAAAAATGAGGGGCACCTCGGAGTGACCCTGTATACCTAAGATTTATTCAATAGCATATTTCGAGTGAGGATCATCAAATATACTGGGTGACCAAATTTCAAGTCATTTGATCGCGCGGTTGATTTTTTACAAGGGAGGACATTTTAGCTATGACATGGTGTATACTTGGGGCCTCGATCATTTTCCCTAACAAGATGATGTTTTTGACGTGTGCATTCTCCATCTAAATTGTTGGAAGGGGTAAAATTTTTTTCCCTAATTTTTCAGGTCCTCTCCGACCCTCGATACGGCTCTAACCTCGCCCAGGTCGACGCGACCGTCAAAAAGCACGAGGCGATCAGCGCCGACATTTTAGCCAGAGAAGAGCGCATCCACGATCTGTCGCAGATGGCGGGCGAACTGCTCGACGAAAAGTACCGTGACTCTGAGCGCGTGCGCGTCAGAGAGGCGGAGATCGCGCAACAGTGGCGCGACATCAAGGCTTTGCTAGAGAGGCACAAGGGTAATCTGGGACGGATGGGTGGGGTGATGGCGGTGCTGCGGGAGATCGATACGACGATGGACAGCATCGAGCAGCTGAGGTGAGACATACAGATCTAATAACACCATACCATCTGTAAGACGTCGTAGAAACATCTACATGAGACGATAGGAACATCTCTGGAAAATCCCTATTTTTCTTGGGACATTCTTGGGATGTTACTGGCAACACCCGTGTCAGCATTTGCGATGTCTTATAAACATCCCATCAGAATGTTTGTGGGATGATACGGGATGTACCAGAGACATTCAGGGTACTTGATATGGAACATCTTGAAGTAACTTTTAGGATGTTTTTTGTTTGATGACAGTAATGGATGACACGATATGAATTATTTCCAATCTGGAATCCTGAAAATGGCCGACCTATTTCCAGATATAAAGTAACAATCCGAATCCGAAAATATAAAGTCGGTGCGGTCCAATAACTAATGGAAGATGATAACAGTTGTTTAGACTAATCTAGACCGCCAATTCTATAAGGAAAAATGTGAGCCACTCAGGAGATCGAACTGGTAAAACTGATTCATGCGCATATGGGATCTGTCATGTGACAGTCATGAATCGGAGGAACATAGGCGTATCCAAAGAAAAATGTTGGGAGGGGTCTACTATGGAAGGATGTTAAACCTTACATAAAGTAGTGAGAAATGGATGAAATATGCAGTATTCAGGTCTCATAGCTTTCAATACTCAGATTTGAGGACTCTATTTCAAAAACGGCGAATATGCATATGGTTTTAATGTCTTGGACTTGCCTGGAAGCATCAGAAATCTGTCTGGTATGAAATAGTCTGAACATATTATTCCTGAGTGGCTAAGATCCATTGGTCTCCTAATAGCCTCAAACCATTCATTTATCTTATCAATAAGTAAACATCAAATCTAATATAGAGGCTCCTGACACCTGAACTCAAATTCTTCACAGCTGAATGATTATACAAAACATGCATGATTCCATTCGATCTGAATACTTGCTCAACTGATGGAAGCAAATTAAAATAATAAATTATAAATTACCCACAAAAGTCACCCATTAAAAAGAAATACCTTCTAGTATTATTAATCATGGAATTCTTACAGCAAAGAACAAACCACTTCATATTTCCTTGGATTGGCGAAAATAAAACGAAAAAATTAATATCACCACTTGATTTGATATTATATTTTTACTAAGCCGACCAATGATATAAATAAAACACTTGAGACAAAGCCTTGATTTCGATACCACGTCAAAGTGATGTACGGCAGCTTGGGGGTTTTTGCGTGTTGAGAAGAAGCGTTTCCTGGCGAGCAACTGACCCTTCATTTTCGGGTTGCTGCGATATGACTACTAGCATTCTAGATAGAGTAATAAGTCGGTGGGACAGATGGGGAAGACATATTTTCTTTCTCTCAAAGGTAGCTGAACGTCTCTATTGTTTGACATTGTTGGAAAGTAATTTAGGTTGAAGAAATGTTGATGTAATACCTATATTTTATATAAGATTCGAAATTTCATTCCTGTTAGATACCTAAAGAGTATTTTTATTTCTGTCTTATTTATTCAAATTTACAATATCTAATATCTATTTGGGGAAGTACAAATATTTCACGTTTGAAGCCACTCATGAAATTACAAAATAAAACAAAGTGCATTTTAAATTTACTTTTTTCAATATGGACTGTAAATCTATACAAACCTAAAGACTTGGTGAATCTAGTTTCATTATATACTAAAAAAAATGTGTCATTCATTTCGTCAGGAAGGAATTTAATTTATTGATAGCAAATAATTATAAGTCAAATTTTGGTAAACAATCAATATTCCATAGTGGAATAATTTTATGTAACTTCTTACCTAATGAGTTAAAAAATATAAAAGAAGCAGAAAGATTCAAAATCAATGAGCTTATATCACGAAAAATTTTTATTCCATAATTCGATAGAACTCATCCAAACTAGCTCACCACAGCAAACCGTTTATCGCTACGTTTTATAAAAAATTATTGAAATCCCCGATTTTTCGGACCTCTGAAAACGAGGCGATGATGTGACGTCAAAACCCTAATACTGAAACAGGACTATTCCAGACAGAGATGAATGATACATGTTTTCTGGCAGAGTGAATTAGCGCGAGATCACAGTTGAAAGAATTGATATATCAGTTGCCTCAGTCTCCGTCCGGCGTTTGGTATTTTCTTTTAACTATGGCGAGATGAGGTTTCTACGTCATGAGAGGGTCCGTTTTCAGAAGGTACTATTATTTATGTCCAAAAATTGAACATTCCAGTAAATTTTTCGATCGAATTATGTCGTCAATCATTATTTATGTATGAAAGGATCATTATAAACATGGTTTGAGTTAAAAGTTCTACCAAGGTCTGGCCTGGATTACAATTTGTAAAAAGCTGATGGCATGATCATTATACAGGGAAGAACAAAATTTACTCTTTCACCCTCAACTTCTCAACACTCTGTGGCAAAGGTGAGTGATTAAACTTAGCTTAATCATTGTTTGGATTGAAGTGTGAAACACAATGGTTTTTGATTCTCGTCAATATTTTCTTTTTAAGAAAAAATAGAAGTGTTAAGAAAGCACGTATATTTTTTTTATCGCTTCGAGCGCACGAGAGAGAATCCCTATAATGTTCAATATAATTTAGAACCTATTGAACATCTTTGGGATGAACTCAAGAGGCTAAATTGCCTTTGTTCGGCCTTGTCAGAGACTTCAAGAGCCCCCCATCAAGGAAAATTGGAGGCAATTTCTCAAGACTGCTTGAGAATCTCGATCAACTCGATGCCACGGCGGTTGAATGCTGTAATTCAAGCTAAAAGAGGACATACTAGTTGTTGACTACATATAGTAGGTCTTCTTTTTGTTTGTTTTCAGTAATTAAGGTTTCTCTTTGCTGGTGGGTGCTAAAAATACGGGGTGATAATAATTTATATCAAGTTTTTAGATATTTTTTCGAGTTAATCGATAAGTTCATGTGTGTTCTTCAAATTTGAAAAATTCATACTTTCTTGAGAAACTCTTGTATCTTCTCTTAAAAAGAAGATATTCGATGTGAGGTAAAAACTATTGTCACTTTTGCCACAAGGAGATAATAAGAATTCAAACGTGTAATAGTGTCATGATATTGGTTAGGATCCATGTCAAGATGAAAGCGAGGATAAAAGGTTATATTCCCCACCATGTAATGACATAGAGGTAGAACTTTCACTGTCACAACTTGGGGTTGGGTTGGTACTAGATTGCGAAAGGTAATATTCGAATAGGCATTAATCGTTTAGGGGTAACTGAAAGTACGACTCTATACATTCAAAGATGACAATATTTATTATTACACGAAACATTATGGGCGAATTGATGATGAATATAAAAGAATAACAATGCATATAAAGACCTAATAATAACTTACATTATAATGACCATTACGACGAGTTCTTGTGAAGTCAAGAGTAGCCCCAGACCAGACTGACTTCGGAACCCTCACACCCAATATTTATATACATAATTATATTAGACTTGCATGTTTCTTATGAGAGTGAGTTCCTTGGTCAGTTTTCATAGTTTAATGTCTACTGATGATTTGATTATCTTTATGTTTATAAAACCCCCATGGTTCGAAATTACTAATATACCGTATGTTTTACTCGTGACAATAGTAAATTTTGTTTTTCCCTGTATAATGACCAAGCCATCAGCTTTTTATGGGAAGTGAAATTCAGGTTAATATTTCGAAAAGTAAATCTACAATTTGGTCGGAATTTCACAAAAAATCGGACAAGGATTGAAAAATCTACAGGGCGATCAATTTTACTATTTTTCTTGCTGGCCGGTGAATGTTTTATGTCGCTTTCAAGGTTGGACCTGTCGTCTTCTGACACCGGCATCCACCTGCTGGCTGTGGAGGAGCTGCTGCACAAGCACGCGCTGCAAGAGCTGCAAGTGACTGCGCTGGGCGAGACCGAGCGCCGGTTGAAGCGAGTGGGGGAACAGCTGGCCGCGCAGAATCCCAAGGAGAAGGAGATCCTGACGAAGAACTTGGACGAGTTGGCCGCTTCCTACGACCAGCTGAAAGTAAGTGGTGAAAAAGAATATTCTTTCTCGGTTTATTCAACAGAAAACAACTACTTTCCTGGCTATATGCCACGACGAACATTGCATTATATCTATTGAACACACACGATAAGAATTTGAAAACGAAATCTTCTGAAGTAGAGAATTTGCATTCTCCTTCATATAGAGATATACACATAATATCATTCTGAATATTCAACAGAAAACAACTACTTTCCTTGCTATTTGCCACGTCGAACATTGAATTATATCTGTTGAACATCTGAAAAGAGAGCAGATTCGTGATTTTTATTTCTTTTTTTTTATCGCTTGGGGCGCACGAAAGGGAATCCCTATAATGTTCAAAGAACATCGTGCGTTTCTAGGGAGGATAGGGACAGGAGTTAGGTATTGGAATTTTTTTTGAACTTCTGGAGATTATATGTTGTTGGGAATACTTCCACAGGCAATGAATTCCAGAGCCTAGCCGTTCTATGGATGAAGGAGTCTTGATAAAGTGCTGTTCGACATCTTTCGAGGTTGACAACGAAAGGATGTGCTGACTGGGCTTGTCTAGTTCGTCTGATTGGTATTGCTAGTGAAGGGATGATAGCAGAGATTTCCGAAGAACATTTCCCGTGGAAGTATCGATAGAAAAGTGAAAGGTCGCCGACCTTTCTACGGTGTTCCAATGATGTCAAAGAGTGAGTGAGTGTGGCGTCACCCACCAGGCGAATGGCTCTTCTCTGGATGGAATCTAATAGCATCAGCGTATGTTTTGGTGCTGAACCCCATATGTGGGAACAGTATTCTAGAACAGGCCGTATCTGCGCTTTGTAGATCATGAGAAGCTGTTGAGGTGTGAAGTAGCTTTTTGCACGGAACAAGAATCCGAGTTTTTGTGAAGCAGCTTTTGCGATGGATCTGACATGGTTATCCCATGAAAGAGTGTTGCTGATGGAAATACCGAGCATAGATATGGTGGGCTTGGTGGGGATCGTGGAGCCAGACACCACAATATCGGGCATACTGAGTTCCGCCTTTCTAGAGAAAATACAGGATTGAGTTTTGGTGGCGTTGAATTCAACTAGGTTGTTGGTTCCCCAGGCTGTGATTTCAGCAAGATCTTCATTGACAGCATTGACCTGCCTGCGCCGTGAGTTCTTAGTTTCTTGGGAAGAGATGGGAATTCTGGAAGAGAACGCAGTATGGAGGGTACTATCATCTGCAAAGCTGTGGATGGGGCAAGTTGTTACTCCCAACAGATCATTGATATGAAGAAGGAATAATGTTGGTTGTAGGTTTTCTCAATGAATTTCTTTCCACGTCTTGTATGATGAATATCAATTTATCATACAACCAAAAACAAATGGCCAGATGACAAGAGTACGTCAACAAATCATAATTCTCAGATGTCAGTTCGTTATAGTTTTAGTTATATTATAGGGAGATGAAAATTGTGTATATAATGAAGAATGGCTGAAAGAGTAACTGGACTTCAGGTTACTGATGAGGATTTGATATCCGAAATGAATTTATTCCAGTGAAATCATATAACCTGTTTGTGAGAGATTCAATTCCCATATCACTGATACGAATAATTGTTTTTTGGAAGTTCCAAGCTCATTAAGATCAGAGTTTTTACAAGTTACTTCTCATATACATTTCAATTTTCATTTCAATACTAAACATATTGGTAAGTTATATTTTTATATCATAATACATCATATTATTTTATCCTATTTGAGAGATTGTGTCAATTCTCAATTTCAGAGGATTTTGATTTTTCATGCTCTCTTTTTAGATGTTCAACAGATATAATTCAATGTTCGACGCGACAAATAGCCAGGAAACTAGTTATTTTCTGTTGAATATTCAGAATTATATTATGTGCATATCTTATATGAAGGAGAATGCGAATTCTCTACTTCAAAAGAATTTATTTCCAAATTCTTGTCGTGTAATGTTCAATAGATGTAACTAAAAAAAAAAAAAAAAAAACAATGCTGAACTAGTATATATGGAAATCCAGGATAGGGCAGCCCGTTCCAAGAATATTCTGGTTCACAATGCTCAGGAGAGCAAGTCAGTTGACCACAAAATACGTATTATGCATGATACACAACTGTGTCAAGAATTACTCAACCAAATTGAAATTCGTGCACCAGAAATAAAGGTTACTCGGCTGGGTAAACCTTCTGGCAAACCCAGACCATTGAAAATTACATTCTCTGACAGTAATACTGCTCTGTTGTGTCTCAAGAATAAAAGGAAAGTTTCTGAAGATTCCAATATACGCATCAGTGCTGATCTAACAGTCACACAAAGAGACTATCTGAAGTCACTTCATAATGAGCTAGAAGATCGCAAGAAAAATGGAGAGCAGAATCTTTCGATCCGTTACAAATTTGGTGTTCCTCATATTGTGAAAAACAACCAGGACAACAGATCAAAAAACTAAAAAGTCATCTGAATGTTTACTGTCATAATGTCGGTGGCCTCCGCACTAAAATTGATAATTTAAAACATGCTGTCAACATATGTATCTATGATGTGATTATTCTAGTGGAATCTTGGCTTAATGATGACATACCCAACAGTGAAATCTGTTTAAGTGATTTCAATATATACAGGTGTGATCGGAACTTACTAACTAGCTCCAAAAGTAGAGGTGGAGGTATACTTATTGCTACCCGCAAATGTTATGTGACTAGTATGATCAATATTGAGAATCATGGTGTGGAACAACTATTTGTCAGCTTGAAACATGGGTCCAACAAATACATCATTGGAAGTGTGTATATTCCTCCTAGATCCAGCCTGGATATTTATGAAAATCATATGGAAAGTGTCTTTGAAGTATGTACCTCACATCCTGATTTTGAATTGGTTATATTTGGAGACTATAACATTCCTGATGCAACTTGGTTAAGAGGTGACAGTGGACTTGAACTAATTTGCCCAGATTCATCCCCTGGAAAATATCTTTCTGACTCTTATAGTGCCTTAGGTTTAACACAGGTTAATAGTATCCCTAACAATAATTATGTATTCCTTGATCTCATTTTTTCACATATACCCACTATTGCAATAGCCAAAGCAGATGATGTTCTAACTAATCTGAGTTACCACCATAATGCATACTGCTTCATGCTGACACTTGTTATCGAGGACACTTACCTAAAATATGATAATTTCTATCATGATTTTAAGACTTGTAATGCAATTGGTATAAACGATTATTTAGCAATGGCAGATTGGAGTGCCCTATATAATACTAGGGACATTAATACAGCAGTTCACATATTTTATGACATAATTTACAATGCGATCGACTTATATGTACCTATAAAAACATTCAAATCATCAAACTTCCCAGTGTGGTTTACACCTGAACTAAAAAATCTTATATTCAAGAAAAAGATTGCTCATAAGAAATATAAAGATAGAAACTCATTTGATTATTATCAAGAATTCTGTACACTTCGTGCACAATGTAAAACATTAAATGAACAATGTTACCTCAGTTATCTGAGTTATACAGAAAGGAATATTCAAAATGACTCTAACAGTTTTTGGAAGTATATGAATAATTTACGTAAATCTAGTTCTTACCCAAACACTATGCATCTCAATAATACTACTTGTACAAATGGCTCTGATATCATAAATCTTTTTGCTGAATATTTCTCAACTGTCTATTCTGATAAGGATAGTAATGTGCCTACATTTCAAAACAAAAATCTAGTTGACATCAATACTCTCCATTTAAGCTTAATTGAGGTTTTTGAGGGTATTCAGAGTTTGAAGAATAAGTATTCCAGTGGCCCTGATGGTATCCCTCCAGTACTATCAAAAATATGTAATTGTACATTAGCTAATCCCATTCTATATTTATTTAACTTATCTCTGGATTCTTGTAATTTTCCAGATTTCTGGAAAAACAGTTTTGTCACCCCAATTTTTAAGTCAGGGGATCGTGAATCCATCAAAAATTACCGAGGTATTTGTATACAGTCTACTTTGCCAAAACTATTAGATAAACTCGTCACTGCCAAATTAACATGGTCCTGCAAGAATATTATAATACCTCAGCAACATGGTTTTTGTTCAGGAAGATCAACGGTAACCAACTTGCTGTCTTATCAGACATTTCTGTTACATGCCTTGGAGAAGGGTGAGCAAGTTGACGCAATTTACACAGACTTCTCCAAGGCATTTGATAGAGTGGACCACAAGATACTTTTAGAGAAACTTCACTCCCTTGGCTTTGCGGATAATATTGTGAAATGGCTGCGCAGCTTCCTCACTGGCCGCTCTCAAAGAGTTAAAATCAACAATTATATATCTAACGAAATTATGGTTACTTCGGGTGTCCCTCAGGGCTCTCACTGTGGACCTTTACTCTTCAATTTATTCATAAATGATATCTCTGATGTAATCAAAAGTGCAAACTTTTTATTATTTGCTGATGACTTGAAGTTGTTTCTCGTTGTTGATGATATCCTAGACAGTCAAACTCTTCAAAACGACCTTGATAACCTTCATTTATGGTGCGTTCAAAACAGTCTTGCTTTAAATACTGATAAATGTTTTACAATATCGTTCTCCCGCTCATTTAATGCTTCCTCATATAACTACAATATTAACAATACGATCCTTGAAAAAGTAACTGAAATTAAAGATCTTGGAATCATCTTTGATGAGCGTCTCACCTTCTAGAGTCAACTACTGAAAGTATCAGCATCTGCTAATAAAATGGTAGGTTTTCTAATGCGTAATACAAAACATTTTTCTTGTAACACAGTTAATACTTTATACTGCTCTCTTGTACGTTCCTTATTAGACTATGGTTGCATAATCTGGTCGCCACATTATAACTGTGATATCACACTAATTGAACAAGTCCAAATGAGATTTGCCAAGCACATTTCTTATAAAATGGGAACTTACAACAATTTCAATTATACAGATACTCTCAATGCCCTCAACTTAACCAACCTATCTATCAGACGCTTTCGGCTCGATAGTATCACCATGTTCAAGATTATCTCAGGTGTGATTGATTGTTGCGATCTTCTCAATATGATAAACTTCAATGTTCCATCATATTTCACTAGAAACACTGATCTTTTTACTATAAAAACTCATAGAACTAATTATGGGTTCTTCAGCCCATTATCACGTATTTTGCGTAATTTCAACATATTAAACATTGATCCATTTGTCCATTCCTTAACTGATTTTACATACAATACAGGAATTTTGTTTTGTATCCTTCAAACCAAACCATATAGTTCAAATTTGAAATTTCAATCAATATCAATGCTATATTATTGTTCTTATGCCATCTTGTCAATCTGTAATAATTAACTATTGTAATGGTGAATCCGTTTATTAAATAAATAAAAATAAATAAATAAATAAATAACTCAATGTTCGTCGTGGCATATAGCCAGGAAAGTAGTTGTTTTATGTTGAATAAACCGAGAAAGAATTGAAATTGTCATCACATAGACAATGCGAATTCTCAATGTATTTCTTTATATATATATAATTTTTTTATGTTCATAATTATATCTGAGAATATTTCTTTTCAATAGGAATAATCATCTTTCTTTCCTGCAACAGTTCTGCAATGTTTTCTAACTATGGTAGATATGCACATAATCATTATGAATATTCAACAGAAAACAACTACTTTCCCGGCTATTTGCCATGTCGAACATTGAATTATATCTGTTGAATATCCAAAAAGAGAGTATGAAAAATAAAAATCTTCTGGAATTGAGAATTGACACTATCTCTTAAATCGAATAGCTTACCAATATGTTCCGTAGGTGGGTTAGAACGGGGTGGGCGATGACGGTATTACTGATGCAGTAAGGCCTACGCGCTCCGCGTTAGGTAGTCCTATAAAATTGCTCATTTTGCATTGAATACCATCTAGACTAACATAAAACTTCACGTCACGAGGATTCCGTAACTATACACATTTGTGTCTCTAATCCAAAGGATAACAAACTTGTATATTTTTATAACCAAATTTAAAAAATTACGAATTTTGCATTGCTGCGCTATTTATAACAAGAATTGCCTTCCTAATGGATATCCACTTATTCTTCAACTATGTGGGTCCGTCGTTGTAATTTCCAAGTTTGAAGGAAACTGATGTGGCCTTTGGCAAGAAGCGAGCGCCAGACGAAAAGCAGCCCTGGAGGAGTTGCGCAACTTCTACCAGTTCCTGTAGGACCAAGAGGACGAGAAGACGTGATCGATCGAGAAGCAGGACATCTGCATATTTTATCCGCCAAATTTTAAACATTTTCTGATCTTGCATTGAACACCATCTAGACTCACGTAAAATATCACGTGGATTCCGAATCTATAGACATTTTTGTCCTCTATCCAAAGGATAACAAAGTTGCATATTTTCTAACCAAATTCAAAAATTGGACCTTAACTAACTTAACTATGAATCCTGATTGTTAAGGTATAATATAAAGAGTACATGACCCCGTTGAATCCTGATGTTACCATGCTGCACAATTTATAAAAAAAATTGCTTTCTTGATGAAAATTAACTTATTCTCTATTTATGTGGTTCCGTCGCTGTAATTCTCGAGTTTCAAGGAATCTGATGTGACCTTTGGCAGGAAGCGCGCGCCAGACAAAAAACAGCCTTGGAGAAGTTGCGGAATTACTGCCAGTTCCTGCAAGACCAGGAGGACGAGGAGACGTGACTGATCGATAAGCAGCAAGTCTGCATATTTTTTCCGCCGAATTTCAAAAAATTTATGAACTTGCACTACACACTCTTTTACGACCAACCAAACTGATTTTTCACACCTCGATACTTGTTTCGCTACCTATGTTAGCATCTTCAGGACTAGATTGAAACTAAATTTTCTATCCTAGTGTGCTACCTATATACTAGGTATATGTTCACCCAACCGTGAATAGACAATAACCGCCAAGTTAATGTTAGTCATGGACGAGTTCATTCATTGGGATATTGTCTATTCACGGTTGGGTGGACATATACCTAGAATATAAGTTGCACACTAGGATAGAGGATTAAGTTTTAATCTTCTCCTGAAGATGCTAACATAAGGCGTTTTCGGAAACTTTCTCTGGGTTGATAACTCGATCCAGATAGGTCACGTGACAAAAAACTCGGATCATCTGCTCGTGTTCAACGTTTACGAACGTGTCAGGTTAGCAACACTGAATATTATATTTTTCCTGTGGTTTCATGTATTTGACAGACGAAAATGGACACATTATATTCAAGTAATTATTCAATCTGATTACAAATATTTATATTTAGTGAATTGGTGTACTTGTCTCATATGTGTTGTTGCACATGACAACAAAATTCACCACTACCCAAATTCTCTTCCCAATGAATTACTTTAATCAAATTATGAAGATTGAAAAGAACATGTATATCATCGGTCGTGATTTTTCCCAACATGCAAATATTGTTATCGGCGAATGTAAACTCCCTCGTTTTTTGATTGACTTAAATTCCGTAATGCGCATGCGATGTCCTTTGCAACTCTGGCGACCCTGCTTCTGAGTAGGGTTACGAAAAATCAACCCGAGTCAGTGATCGAGTTAGCATCATTCAAGTTTCCGAACAGTGGTAGGTAACTCGGTTTGGGTAACCGAACGTTCAGGTTAGGGATCCGAACAACCCGAGTAAGTTTCCGAAAACGCCTATAGTTAGTGAAACACGTGTTGAGGGGTAAAAAATCGGTTTGTTGTTATTTCCGAGCGCGAAGTAAAGCAATGTTTGAAGGAAACTGATGTCGCTTTTTGTTTTGCAGGAGGCGAGCGCGAGAAGAAAGGCCGCCTTGGAGGAAGCGCGCAACTTCTACCAGTTCCTGCAAGACCAGGAGGACGAGGAGGCGTGGCTGATCGAGAAGCAGCGCATCTGTCGCGCTGGTATTGCCGCAAAGGACCTGCGCGGCGTGCTGTCGCTGCAGCACAAGCACAAGCTGTTGGTCGACGAGATCGGGAACAGGAGGAACGCGTTCGACCAGCTGGGGGCGACAAGCAGGCAGCTTATCGCCGAGAACCATCCGAGGTGATTACTCAGTTTATTATAGGATTATAGGAGATATAGGGTGTCTTCACGCTTTATGAGATGGAATAAGAATTATTTCATAGAGTGATTCAGTAGCGGCTGAATCTGCGGGAGGTGAAGAAAAAAATCACCCCAATGTTTATATGTGCATTTCTTTCTCAATGTTTATGATAATATATTACTCAAATTGACTTATGAGATGTTAAAAGTACTGGCTGAGTCAGCTAACTATTCTTTTTCGGTTGGTGTATTTCCTACCTGCTTGAAAATTGCTAATATCATCCCATTATTTAAAGGTGGTGGAATCAATTCGCCTTCTAACTTCAGACCAATTGCTTTACTACCGGCATTATCGAAAGTTATAGAGCGATTAGTCAAGAAAAGAATGGTGGATTTTATAAGCAAATATAGAATTCTCAGTCCTGACCAGTATGACTTTCAAGTCACTAAAAATACGAATGACGCAATTTTTGCATTTCTCAAATGACTGTACCTTAGGTTGAATGATGGTGAAGTAGCTGCAGCAGTATTCTGTGATCTATCGAAGGCCTTCGACTGTGTGTATCATAGAATACTGCTGGATAAACTGCATACATATGGTTTTGGAGGTGTACCTTTGCTTTGGTTTCAATCGTACTTAACTGACCGGTCTCAAAGTGTCCTTCTTCATAACGAAGCCTCATAGCAATCAGCTGTGAAATATGAAGTTCCGCAAGGCTCTGTACTTGGTCCCTTATTTTTATTATATGTTAATTACTTGGAGCAAATCGATATTCAGGGACAATTCACCGTATTTGCTGACTATACGACTATTCTTTGGCATACGAAGAATTCCTCAGTATTGGAAAATATTATCAACGAGGACTTGAAGAAAGTTGAATTATGGTGTGACACCAATTTATTATCTTTCAATATTAACAAGACAGGAATTATTAATTTCAGGTGTGATATTGATAATGTCTTTCTCGAAAATGAATGCCTCATTAATAGAGATACTAACAAGTTTTTGGGTTGAACATTGACGCCAAATCAAAATTTGAAAGGCACATACTACTTCTAAGTAAAAAGCTAGCATCTGGCTGCTATGCTGTGAGGGTCACTTCAAATGAATTGGGATTAATTGCGGCCAAAAATGTTTACTATTCACTTATCGAATCACATTTGTGTTACGGCATTTGTTTCTGGGGGACATGTACTGACCATTTATTCAAATCTATTTTCGTTTTACAAAAGAGAGCTTTGAGATATATGTGTAAAGCTGGGGTGAGTCTCATTTTCTGAAGTTGTGTTCTGTTTTGTGTGGCTATTGTGAGTTAATAACACAATATTGTTGACTTTTTACAATGCTGAGACGTTGTGAGATGTGTGAAAGACCATATAAACCTAGTGATCAAAACACGTCATTCCATAGGTGAGCACCCAGTGTCGTATCATACGAAATTTCGATATCGTTTCCCAAACAGAGATGAAAGCAATACATATCCAATAAATCAAGATTACATAAGTTGTCTGCGACATTCAGTGTCTAATGGTGATGTGAGGAATATTTTCGAGTCTCTTTTAGATGCAGAATTGGTGAAAATATAGAAAAACTCATCGGAAAAGATGACATTTCCTAACAAGCTAGGATATATTCCAATCATTTCGATATCAGTGTGTTAGGTACAATGAACTGTATGTAAACAACTGGAAGGGACCCACTGTGAACAACCAGTGAGGCAAAAATATTTTTCAGGCAACCCGCAGTGTTTACGGATACCTATCTCTCTCTATCTTGTGTTGGCTAATGGGAAGCGCTCGCATAATTTGAAATATTTTCTCGTTTTTTGCTTCTATTTAAGAGTAAACGTGATTAAATAAAAATATTCATTTAGGAAAAAGGATAATGTTGTAATCAATTATCATTAAAAAATTATTACTGATTTTTTTATTGACTTTAAAATGAAATTTCAATATTACTCTTACAGGATCAGGAAGTCAAATGAATACAAAATTGAAATTATATATTTTTATTCAAATGTCACAATATATTGTACAGGGTGAGCGAAGCACAATGTCTCAGAACTATCAGAAGGAAAAGAAAAACGATAGGAAAAATTTGAAAAGAGGTTCTTGAATGGTATTGAGTGCATTTTGAGCAAAATTTCCATAGGTTCCTATTCCTCCATTAGGTCACTCATTGTCATTACTATACCCACTGTTGGAAATTGATTGAACTACTTATTCTTTCATGTTTGAAATTTTTAGGTCTCTCCTTTTTACTTTTTGTCTCAGTGTGTTCACTTTTCTCCTCAATACAATATCCTTCTCTAATGAAACAGTTTGAGTTTCTTTATTGATCAACTTCGAAACTTGGGAGCTGGAAGTGGTAGGCAAGTGAAGTCAATAACATGGGAAACTTCTTCCTTTGGACCCAAGTTATGAACGTCCACAGATGCATCCTGAAAACAAATTACTAGCTAGTTTTTTTATTTTAAATAGGTGCAAACATACTTTTTTTTTCATTATTAATCAACTAGGTACCTATGAGTTTTCTTATTTTCCTGGGGGAATCAGCTTTTTTTTTGGTAACAAATGCTGAGGAAATGAAAATATACTGGGTACAGCATCTGCTTTCAAAAACCTAGCAGTACCTGGTATGCCTGAATAATATGTTGGCAGGAAATGCTCCCCACAAAGCTTGCTGCTTTTAGTTGGAGTCCAATTCTCTCTACGAACTGCCTTTATCCATAATTGGAGAATGTCTGGTCTTTTGAATGGAAAACTGCAACAAATAATATTACTCAATATCAATATGGAAGTATTTAACTTCGACAAATAATATAGGTATAGTTTTTGAACATATTCGCTGAGACTGGACATTGTAAACCTAACTGATGATCATTTCATGAACTATATTTTTCAAAAATCTGAGAACAATATTCAACTTACCCATGGAATGCTAATTTCCTTTTGTTTTGTTCATTCTTGCATCCAAAGGCGACACAATAAATCACCATTGTTATCAATACTAATCACAAACCTTCTCAACAATCAGTTCAGTCGCAGTCAGTGTTCACAACAACAAATTCAGTCCTTTTGTTACAACAAAACATGCCAAATGAATAGATATTTCACCTCGTATTTCACATGAACTAAGACAATGAACTTATGTCTTCACTTTCTTGCCTGTGTAGATGACAGAAAAAATTCTTTACTACTTTAATTATTTGATAAGAGAAAATGTATACACCAATCCACCATTAAACAACACGAGTTGGAAGAGGACAGGTATCCGTAAATCATGCTATCTTTGTTGCAGCTGCCCCTGACACACTTTGTGCTATTCGAGAGAACGATCGTTTCCCTTCCAGTTGTATTGAGTTCATTGGTTAGGTAGTGGAATTAGTATTAGGAAGTTGGTAACAATATAGAAATGTAACCTGTGTCATTCATCTGCCTTATGTCACCTGACATGTGTCGGTAGGGAGACGTACGACGGAGGTCGGCCATTCTATGATTGTACTCGATGTAGTAGACACGACTAGTGTAAATAAAAGTAATTGCATATCTATCTATTTATTTATTAACGAAATATGTTAAATACAACATATTACAAGTGAATTAATATTTGAATGAAATGCTCTATTATGAGGCAAATAAATTGAATGATTCAACGGAAGTTAGATTAAGGTCTTTGCTGATAGAAACAGTACTTCAAATTATTTTTGCCTTTTTTTGTTTTCGTATTTTGTTGTTCTTTCATCTCGGTGCTGTTTTAGAGAAGAAGCACTTATAGGTGCTATTTGCTATAATTTATCATAACTATCAATGGTGCTTGCTCGGGTATGAGTGTAGGTTTGTATTTTGGATATTTTGAATATTCCTTTTCAATTGATTTGATTGCAATAATAAATTGAAATAATAATTCATCAATCCACTCTCAAAAATTGTATCCTAAAGATAGCAATTTTATCAGGAACATCATTTGGGATACCTGGCTGTGGAAGATTTGATAGTTTGTATACCATTTATGATATGATATAAATAGTAAGTAATTTATATTTCATAGAGTTATGTGACACTTTCTCGTTGCATGTTCATAAGTTGAACAACAACGAACTCATGATTTTACATTTCGTGTTCCAATTCTCGTGTTTAATATTAATTACACGAGTGGTGGTAATTTTTTGATAATTTTAACTAGATAAACAAATCTTTGTCGCTATGGAAATCTCACGAGTAGACGAAGTTCGTCGAACAAAACAACAACACCGTATATGGTCCCTTTTTAAACGAAAATCCAAACGTGCAAAATCATCGCTGTAATTTGCTACTGACAAATCATCAGTATGATACCAGGTGATTGCCTAGAATTAAGCATTGATATTGTTTGAAGCAACAAAAACGTTACATTTTGAGATGTGAAAATAATAATCACAAAAATATGAAGTACATTTGATGAATATAGTTTTCAGAAAATTAATTTTATATTTGTTGCCAAAAAAAAATCATGCGAAAGGATCACTGAAAGACAGTTATGATTGTTTAATTTGCTATTCAAAACTGGGTCACGAATGTATTATAATATCAAGCACTTTTCACCGTGCGCCACTGTCAACATTTGCTAGCCTTCTTTAGCATGAAATGAACACTTTAGATTTTGGTTTCAAACAAACTGTATTGCCAGGGCTATGGATTACTCATCTAGGGCCGGTTGCATAAAGAAAAATTAATCATACAATCAACTGATGCCACAATAACTTTGATGTTATGTTAAATGTCATTTGCGTTGCATAAACAATCTGATGTTTTTTTTTATCGCTTGGAGCGCACGAAAGGGAATACCTATAATGTTCAAAGAACATCGTGCGTTCCTAGGGAGGATAGGGACAGGAGGTAGGTATTGGAATTTTTCTTGAACTTTTGGAGATTATATGTTGTTGGGAATACTTCCACAGGCAATGAATTCCAGAGCCTAGCCGTTCTATGGATGAAGGAGTCTTGATAAAGTGCTGTTCGACATCTTTCGAGGTTGACAACGAAAGGATGTGCTGACTGGGCTTGTCTAGTTCGTCTGATTGGTATTGCTAGTGAAGGGATGATAGCAGAGATTTCCGAAGAACATTTCCCGTGGAAGTATCGATAGAAAAGTGAAAGGTCGCCGACCTTTCTACGGTGTTCCAATGATGTCAAAGAGTGAGTGAGTGTGGCGTCACCCACCAGGCGAATGGCTCTTCTCTGGATGGAATCTAAGAGCATCAGCGTATGCTTTGGTGCTGAACCCCATATGTGGGAACAGTATTCTAGAACAGGCCGTATCTGCGCTTTGTAGATCATGAGAAGCTGTTGAGGTGTAAAGTAGCTTTTCGCACGGAACAAGAATCCGAGTTTTTGTGAAGCAGCTTTTGCGATGGATCTGACATGATTATCCCATGAAAGAGTGTTGCTGATGGAAATACCGAGCATAGATATGGTGGGCTTGGTGGGGATGGTGGAGCCAGACATCACAATATCGGGCATACTGAGTTCCGCCTTTCTAGAGAAAATGCAGGCTTGAGTTTTGGTGGCGTTGAATTCAACTAGGTTGTTTGTTCCCCAGGCTGTGATTTCAGCAAGATCTTCATTGACAGCATTGACCTGCCTGCGCCGTGAGTTCTTAGTTTCCTGGGAAGAAATTCGAATTCTGGAAGAGAACGCAGTATGGAGGGTACTATCATCTGCAAAGCTGTGGATGGGGCAAGTTGTTACTCCCAACAGATCATTGATATGAAGCAGGAATAATGTTGGTGCCAAAATTGATCCTTGTGGAACGCCGGAATTGATGTCAAAGGTATCAGACGATACACCGTCCACCACCACGTGAAGCGATCTGCCTGAAAGAAAACTCGATAAGAGATGGCATAGTTGAGGTGGTAAGCCGTATGATGGTAGTTTGTGGAGGAGTCCTTCGTGCCGAACACGGTCAAATGCTTTCGAAATGTCCAACGCGACAGCTAGAGATTCCCCGTGTTTTTCTATTGAAGATTGCCATAAATGGGTGACGTAGGCAAGTAGATCTCCAGTAGATCTTCGATGGCGATGTTATAATAATCATTCCATTTACTGATGACGAGAAGGGTGACGCATTTTAGGGTAGGTTTATTTGCTTGATTAACATTCAGATTGACAGAAGTTACAGAAAACCTGAATCGGGTATTGAAATCATTGTCATCATATATTTTGAATGGATTGTTCCTATTTCGAAAGGTTCTTGGCTTGGAAATCAGTAGTTCTTCTTCAGATAGTGAAGACAGTGATGAGATAGACATTTTCTGTGAAACCTATATAGTAGTCATTCACTTACATTATTGTGTTCATTTACCTAATCTACCTTTCTGAAATGAAACAAGAACTAAGAAGAAGAAAAATTCTGCGAAATATTCTAAATAATTTGGCGGAATTCTCACAAGTCATTTGCTGGTTGTCACTTTAATCAGTGGTCGAGCACTGATTAAGTTGATGCCATGAATAAGTCGATTTGATGTGACATCTAAAGTTGATTGGCCTTTGTGCAACCGATTTTTTAGTTGAATAGTCATTATTATCAGTTGATCAGATGATTAAGTAACCATGCCATTAAGTACATGATGGGCCTTTCATGCAATCGAATTCCATTTATAACGTCGCATCAAATATTTGAAGTGACATCAAATAAGTGATGAGCTTTTATGCAACCGGCCCTATGTCTGTTGTATGATCGAAGGCTAGGCACTGAATTTTGAAACATCCATTATCTCTGTTCATCGGTGCTTTTATTTCTCCGATTGCAGGTCGGCGGAGATCCAGCAGCACGTGGACAGGAACAAGCGCAACTGGGAGATCCTGGAAAAGTTGGCCACCGAGCGGACGAAGCAGCTGCAGGACGCCGCCGAGGCGTACCAGTTCTACGCCGACGCTAACGAGGCCGACTCGTGGCTGAACGAGAAGACGTCGCTGGCCACGTCGAAGGATTTCGGCACGGACGAGCCGAGCGCGCAGGCGCTGCTGCAAAGACACAAGGTCAGCTTCCGACTTTTTATTTATAGTCTATTTATAGTAATAGCATTAAATTTATCTAAAATTTCAACTTATAAGAGTTCAAGCATTCCTTTCACTTGAGAATTAGTGTATTATTTGTTCCAATTAGAAAAACATACATTTTTTCCTATTCTAAGAAGGAAGAAAGAAAGATGAATAGTGTTAATAATAATAATAATAATAATAATAGCAATAACAGTTGAATATACATAATATACGTACTATAGTACACAGGTTAAGTAGTACAAGGATTGCACATGATGAAGACATACGAATTAGAATACCTATAACTTAAATGTATTAATATTAATGAACAACAAGAAAAGGATGAAAGTGTTGGTTATACATTCATTTACCTAGAATCCGTTTTTTCAATTCCGTTCGGAATTTATGAAAGGGAATATTTTTCATTCGTCCTGGCAATTTATTATAATATTTTATACCTTTATAATGGATGGAGTTTATTTCATGTTTGGATCTGATTTGTGCAGTTTCTTGTAGAGTGTGCGTGAACATCTTGAGTTGATCTAAATAGTGTGATCGTGTGTTTTCTTTTATTCAATATTGCATGAATGTAGATGCTGGTTCTGAAGTAGTAGATATTGTCTACTGAGAGAAAACCTCTTGGAGAGTTCAGTGGTTGGAGTTAGACGAGGTAGGGAGTAGATATTTTTTATGGCCCTGTTTTGTAAAATTTTGAAGCTAGATATTGTATTCTAGAATAGATATAGGAAAAGTATAGTAGCTTGCAGTGAGATACTGAGAAATACTGCTTCATTTTGTGTAATGCTCCTACTGCAAAGACACATGGTTTGTTCATAGTAATAACATTTGTAACAAGCGATTAAACACAATCGCACCCTAACATCATGGTGTACCCACCCTCAGTTGCCCACAGCTCTACCCGGCAACACTGGAATAGCAGTCTATCATCCTGTAACAGTGGCAACGCGGTGCGACCGTGATATGTCATAATCTAGAGTGACCTAGACTGTCAGTTGATATTACGTGCAATAACTGTATTTTGTTATTTTTTGCTTATTCATTAGCAACCAAGTCATTGTAGTTTGTTTTTGCAATAAATATTTCACTGTTTTGACCAAGTTTTACGCGATTAATGTTTTCGTTGCCCCTTTGTGTTGTACACAGAAAACCCAAGTACCTACTCAGTCGGTCACACATTAAATTTATCTAAAATTTCAACTTATCTTAAGAGTTCAAGCATACCTTTCACTTAGAGACGTATAATATATTTGAACAGATCATAATTGTTTAGCTTGTCTAGCGGGGTGAATTAAACGTCGAATTAGTTAATTTTTTAGTTCTGGAGCATTTTCTGAACGTATTCCGTTGGTATTTTTGTGAAGGGAAAGGATTATGATGCTGTATCACTCCTTCAAAGTTATATTCACAACCGATCTCATAGTGTCATACATAATAATAAAAAGTCTAACTCATTAATTCTGAAAAATGGTGTTCCTCAGGGATAAATATTGGGTCCCCTTCTATTCGTCCTTTATACCTCCCAAGTCCCTACGCTATTCGTCAATGCATTGCTACGATACACACTTATATTCGAAGAGCGTCCGTCTCACGACCGTAAGGTCGTGGGTTCGATTTCCAGCACGGGCAAGGAACTTTTTTCAATATTTTATTTACGAATCAAATATTGTAAAGTTTCGGAGCATCGGCTGGGGATAGTCCTGCACGATTCGCTGTTGTTGAACGATGATAGTTAGCAGGCCTGCCACTGCGCATATGGTAGTGAGTACATTACTAGCCTACAAAACACAGCTGAAAAACTCTGATGAAAAGAGAGCTGATGGGCGGTGCCTGAAAAGGATGTTAGCCAGCTCTCTTGAGCGAACCACATCAGTCATTGAAAACACTTGGGGTTGGCAAAAAGGTCCCATTGGGGACTAGTTGCTGACGTGGAAACGTCCCCCACCAGTACCAGTACCAGTATATTCGAAGAAGACTCTCTCAATCGTGCAATGGAACAAATTGTTCAGAATTTGAACTCCCTAATAATGATTTCTAGTAAATACTGTCTAACTGTTAATGCTTCTAAATCTTATGTGGCCAGATAGCCGTGCGGACAGAGTGTCAATATTCTAATCCGCATTCGCTTGCCGGTCGTGGGTTCGATTCCCATCGACTGCAGACATTTTTCTGATGGCCCAAGAAAGTGTTTGGGATCACACGTTAAAAGGTAAGGCCCCCGTCATTCCTTGCTCGCACAAGACTCTCGAAGACTTCAGAGGGTTGCTCGTAAGGGGGCAACCGAATGACGGATAGAACAATTTTAAAACAATTTTTTTTATGTCATGTTATTTGGAAGAAAAACCTCGAGAAACCGTTGCAGGAATTAAGTTAATGTAGCCGTCGATGGAGTTCAATTACCCACTAAAGAGGTAACAAAAAAAATAGGATTATACCTTGACAGTGACCTTAGATTCAGGACACACATTTGTCAAGTCTTTAAGCGAAGGAATATGAATCTCAAAATGATTTATTCAAGTAGGAATATATCAAACAAGAAAAATAAACTCATGCTATGTGATGCATTAGTGCTATCACATGCTAATTAAGCAGATGTAGTATATAGTCCGGGACTACGACAAAAAGCGGCTACAAAAACTCCGAAATTCATGCATTAGACTCATCACAGGCACTAGAAGACGGGAACATGTGTCACAGCATTTAAAAAATCTTGGTTGGCTCAATATGGAGGCTAGATGCATTACGATTTTCCACGGAATTATTACACCAGGGAAACCCCCTTATCTATTCAGAAAGTTATTTTTCAGAACCGGTAGACACAATCTCAACTTGAGATTTAGGAATTATCTGACAGCGCCTAAATACAGAACTTCTTTTTTCCGTGGCTTCTTCTCATATCAGCTCGTTCGTTTATATAACCGGTTACCGATTAGATTCAAATTCCTACCACTCAAAAGGTCCAAGAAAGAACTGAAACAATATTCAATCGAAAACAACTCCACGTATTTCGGAATGTAACAAAAAAACGTACTTGAATTGGCACACCCTTATTTAAAGTATCTATGGGTACCTACAAAAGTAGTACATAAAATGTGAATTTCCTGCATCCTGCAATATTTTATGTTATGCTTATTTATAGTATTATAGTTCTTAGAAGTATAGTGACAAAAATTGTTTCCTCACTGTTTATCATGAATGTTTCAAAATTTGGTATGATCATGAATATATTGTATTAGTGTTTCTTTAGTTTAAATAAATCAGTTCGAAAATAAATAGTGTCGTGTTCGCTTCTGCACCCGAATAACGTAACAATATTATGAAGGTTGGATGGAAGAGCAAGCTCTGCTATGAATTCTTCATGTGCATATATTGAATCCTGCCTTTTGTTAGGTTCTCTCTACTTTGTATATAACTTCTCAATAAAAGCATTTGTCATTATTATTTTCATTATGTGGAATCCCTTATCTATATAGTAGACATTGATGTAGTACCAGGTGTTTTCTCTAAAAATTACCTCATAAAAACCATACCAGAGATATTCAGAGTAAACACCCGGTACCACACTGTTGTATATGATATAAACAAGGTAGTAAATATCGTCGCACCATCCCTTCACAAAAAATCCCACTGAATAATTATGTTGATCCACATTATGCTCCTGCACCACCAGCTTTTGGCAAAATATCAGCAAAATGTTATAAATTTTCGTTTGTGAATTTGTAATTGAGAAGTATTTGAATGTCAAATAAGAGACACAATATATTCACCAGCAAAAAAAACCGACCCGAATCAAATTTATCCAAATTGATCACCATGTAACTTTGTCAGTTTCTCGCAGCTGTTTTATTTCAAGAAAAAAATCAACTAAATATTTCCCAATTTTCGTATCTAGTCGAGACGATTTGATATTCATTGATGTAGTAAATGTCACCCATACAGGTTCACCCCATTGTCAATCCTAAAAATTCATAGATCAAGTAAGTTGTAGCACGTTGAAGGTTCAATCAGCAGCGACAAAATTCGGTCTAATCCTCAATTATACGTTTATACCGGGTCTTCAACAATGATTGAACACCACGTGACCATATTCGTATGCAACCAACAATACATTTTTGTTTACTAAGGTAACATAATCATATATGTCTTATTTGTACCTTGGATCAATCCAGTTTTTACTTTCTGTGGTTTTGTTCTAGCAGCCAATAGCTTGCCTTGTTTACAGAAATTGAAAATTGAAAGTTGGTTTGCGAATCTGTCTCGTCAATTTTGTGTTCTTGAAATTTATACTGCACAGCTGTAGCCTGTACCTCATTAGCACCCAGTAGCGCGTTGTTGTCTTTTCTCCTGGGTTTGTTGATAGTTTATATGGTTCTTGATTTTATTTTATTGTTCTTGCATCTGATTATTTCACTAACAATTATTACTTTGCGAAAAACAGTTTTTATTAAAACTACATCCACAATTAATTGTTGTGAATAGGTGAGACCAATAATTAACCTCTTGTTTTTATTGTTTATGTCCTTATTTCCCTTTAAAGATTAAACATTTTTTTATGGAATGGATACCTTTTTACTAATGGCGCATTTCAGAAGTGGTACTCATAATCCTGATGAAACGTAGACATATTCACTTCAAAGCTGCCGGGAACAATTTCATGATGCATATATCCCATACGCCTATGTTTTATTTTGATGGCAGCTGTTGATTTCTAGTTATTTATTAACCAACTATGCAGTGTTGGTTGCAAACACATTTTAGTCACGTGGTGTTCAATCATTGTTGAAAATCCGGTACAATCTAACGAGCCAGTCGTGGCATTGTTCTTTATTTCTGCCTAGTAAAAAAAAATCACTATTTATTTCCTCTAATTAAAAAAGATACAATGTTTCTATGCTAAGGACAAAGAAAGATATGTATTGCACATGTTGTATTTACTAATATCCAAATTTCATAAAAGTTTCTCCTGATTGATTTCAAACCTGGCTTGCTTATTTAAATCGAAATTTATTTTTCTATTTTTATTTCTCGATTATGAAGGATCTGGAGGGGGAGATAAACGCTTACCAGGGCGACATACAGAGCTTGAACGGCCAGGCAGACAGACTGATAGGATCGGGAATATCGCATCTGGATTTGAACACCGAACCAGAGGTAGCTGAGCCCGTGGAGGAAACTCAGTACGAATTCAGGTGAGTTTTTTATTCAAAAATGACAGTTCTAAGCTATTTGGGATATTGTGATTCTTCTTCCATAAAATGTTCAACTATGATTGACACTAACAATAATCTACATGATTTTCCATTATTAAAATAAAAGGAATTGTTGAACAACGATGATATCGACAATAAAAACAAATTTACATGCTAGTTAAATATGTATTTCGGAAAAAATCGTTTTTAAAAAATTTATTTTATTACCGAAACACGAATTACAATATGAAGTTGAAGTTAATGGATCGAGATATAAAGTCAGACTGAATTGTACATGGTAATGGGAAATGAACTAATCTCGGTTGAACTGGCATTCTCACGGCGGTGTCCTATCTCGCTGACTCGGTAGATTCTGGGTGTCTTCAAGATGTAACTTGCTCGAACAACACAGTACAATTAATAGTATCCAAAAATGATATTTGATATTAACATACAAAAATAATAGGAACGTAAATCACATTACACAACGTTCCATATAGATTCTAAATATCTATAAGATCCCGTTTATCGAACGTATAAACTCCAAGATTGACAAGATGGAGTATTTTACACTGATTTATACTTTTTGATACACATTCCAGAATGAAAATTTATAATTCATTAATAATAACTTGAGCTAATCATAACATCAACCTCTTTGTCTGATTTGACCCTTTTCTCTTCGCAGTTCAGTTTTACTCTGATCAGTTCAGTCACAGAGTTCATACCGAGAAAATCTAACTTTCAACGATGACATGATACGCCATTTTGTACCTGGTAACTTCAGTCTCTTTGGTGACATGGTTATCTTTGCAGACCATAGTAGAGTCACCGGATGGTATTAGTAAGATAAGAGTTCGGACTCAGAAATGACAACTGTTAGTGTTTTTGAATGTTTAGATTTATTAAGATACACATCTTGCATTGTGGCAACAGCATCATAGTCCTTCCGCGCTTTCTCATTCAAGATTATTTGAATTTGACAACACATTTAATGAATGTCGGAATTTAAATATAACTTCATAAACTATTGAGAAAAAATCATAATGAAAATGTCCCTCTGTGTATTGAATTGCGGAAATTCTGAAGGGAATAGCGATTTCATTTCTTTTATTCTCCAAAGGAAATATCAACCATTCCTTTATATAGAAGGAATGTATGAAACGGCCTGGATGGAAAATTAATTTGAAGACATGCGTAAGTAAATACAATAAAATTCACTTATTTTATAAGATCCGTGGTTCCATTGATTCACAAAAAAAAAACTATTAAAAAAATCCAAAATTTTCATGAGACGAAATGCAAAACAAAATTTTCATAGAGAAAGGGGAATTGATTGCAAAACTACGTAATGAAATTTGAAATTTTAGAACGAAACTGAGGAAATCCAGTAAATTGCAGCGTGGTATAATATCATTGAATGGCGTTTACAATACAGATCAAATTCAAAATTTATCAGTAAAAGTGAATGCAGCAAATGGTGGAAAATCGAATCAATCTTCATGTTTTAAACTTAATCACTCCGGTACAGTTTTACATTCAATTAGGAACTAGCTATAAGTATATCCATATGTGTCTACTTTGTCATATCAAAATGTTGTTACAAGAATTCTTTTCATTTTTATTGTTCTGCGAAAAAGGTATCACTATATAAATTGAAGAGGGTGTTTAAACCCTATTTCTATTTTCCATCTACGACAATGATTTGACAGAAAATCTAACCTCTAAAATTGTATCTGACAATCAGGCGCTACTAGGGAAATTGAAAAGACGAATAGCAAAATATATGTCTTATTCTTTTATTCACTCAAACCATTGTAATATAGGGAATAGGAAAGGCAAGAAGTTCAGCAGTGTCCGAACTCATATCTAACTTATACCATTCAGTGACTCTAGTCTGACACTGGCTAATACTGGTCACTTGGTCACAAATACGTAGATATGAAAGTTTCAAAGTATAGGGTGGCTGGAATTCGAGCCTTATCATTGGGAACTCGTGAACCGTAAGAGATACAGTGTCGGTTGAATTATGGCAAAGTGGCGCAATTTGATGCCTAACAAAATGCCGTTCTGAAACTTGAAAAAATTCGAATACTTCCGGAGATATTCGAAAAAATCGAAATTTCATAAAACCGTTTTTATTCTCTTCTGGCGTTATTTGAAGAAATCGATATGAATGACACTTTATCATAGCCACTTTTTCTTGCCTACTAGATGACGTTTTCAGATTCGAAATCTGACGTTTCGTCTTACAGAAACCATCATCAACTTATTTTTTCTTAATACGGACCCAAATTTTTTATTTCATTTTTTGTTACCTTTGGATAGCTCAAAAAACTATTAGCTATCACAAATTTCGATTTTCAGATGTTTTAATGACACAAGTTGACGGTTTCTTTATTTTTTCAAAATATTCAATCCGGAACCATTTTTAAAACATTATTATTCATTAGTAGTATAACTTGGGAACGCTAATCACCATCTAAACATCACTGGCAAAATTTTAATGAAACCCCTCCACTGCTTAATTATTACAAAATTGAACTTCTGGCAAAATTATATCTATAATACTCAGCCAATTGATAACAACTATGCCTGAATTCTAAAAAGAACAAAATGAAATTCTAAAGTTAATGATGGAATAATCCCCCTTGCACCTCTAGGCATTTTCGTATGCGTCTTCGCAGGTTGCCCGTAAGCGCGCGCTTCCTCTAGCTCGTAGGGTTGTTATTTCGAACATTGAAATTCTTGCTTGAAACATTTATGTCCCGTGAAATATCTTTAAACAAACGATTTTTCAAATATCCCCATAAAAAATAATCCAGCGGGGATAAATCGGGGCTCCTTGCAGGCCAGCGCACCACCCCTTGGTTTCCAATCCACTGATTGGGAAATGTTTCATTTAGATACTGAGTGACGGCCCTTCTATTGTGGGGTAATGCGCCATCCTGTTGCCACCATATTTGCTGAAGTATATTTAACGGCTCGTCATCAAGAGCATCTAAATTTTGTATGAAATGAAGGTACCGATCAGTATTCAAATCCCCATCATAAATAATTGGTACCAAGATTTTGTTTCGATACAGCCCCACCCAGACATTGAATGATGGCCGTCCCTGCCTTCGCGCTTAATGATTTTGGTGCGGATTTTCCACTGCATAATAATGCTCATTATTCCTGTTGAAGAGGCCGCTCGTGAAAAAATTGCATTCATCAGTCCAGATAATGTTATTTTGAAAATCTCCATTCTGTTGCAATTTTCCATCAAGCCAATTGCAGAATTCAAGTCTTCTTCACTATCTCCTGGGGTAAGTTCTTGGCTGGCATGTTATTTATAAGGATGATACCTATGATTTTTAAAGTTCTTGGCCGACATGTAATTTATAAGGATGATACCTATGATTTTTAAGATTCCTCTGAATTCGGCTTCTGGGCATATTCAATTCTAGAGCAAATTGTCGTGTGGAACTTCGAGGATTTTCCGTAACCTTAAAAATTTTTCGATTAAATATTATGGCAAATATTGAATTGAATAAATAATCATTTCTTACCGCATTTATGACAGCTCCTTCATCTTCAGCTTCAAATCTTTAGTCATACGCATTTCGGGGTTTACTAGAACTACCATACATATTCAAATTCTTGTCCTAATTATTGAAATACCTGTAATGCGGTTGTGGTCGTTAATAACTGAAATAAATAAATAAATAAATAAATAATTAATAAATTGGGACCATATCACGTTTTTCTGAATTGGAAAACACCATTTTTAATCCCGCAAATTATTCAAAACATTGAACTGTCATACTTTGACGAGTGGATGTGACTTGCCATCTCTAAAATCAAGGCCGCCTTTTCCATTTTCGGTAATATTTTGAAAAAATAAGGAAACTGTCGATTTTTGTCATCGAAACATTCGGAAATCGAAATTTGTGATAGCTCATAGTTTTTGGGCTATCCAAAAGTAACAAAAAATGAAATAAAAAATCCAGGTCCGTATTTAAAAAGAAAATAAGTTGATAATGGTTTCTGGAAGACGAAACGTCAGATTTCGAATTTGAAAACGCCATCCTGTAGACAAGAAAAAGTGGCTATCATAAAGTTTCTTTCATATCGATTAACTTCTTCAAATAACGCCAGAAAAAAAAAAGAATGGTTTTATGAAATTTCGTTTTTTTTTTCGGATGTCTCCGAAAGTATTCGAAATTTTTCAAGTTTCAAAACGGCATTTTGTTAGGCATCAAATTGGGCAACTTTTCCATAATTCAACCGACCCTGTATCTATTACGGTTTAAGATATCCCAACGATGAGGCTCGAATTCCAGCCACCCTGTACATGGACAAATTTCCATTATAAAATTCCTGTATTAAATATTCAAAACAATGAGAAATTTTCGATTTCCCAGGATGCTACCAACGGAAGTATGGGTCGAAGAACCCTTCGAAAAAACCGAATACAAGATAGTAGCCGAAGAGAAGAAGGTCCCGCAAGTGCGCGCCCTCTACTCCTTCTCCGACCACGGCCTCGCCATGGTCAAGGGCGAGGTGATGTTCCTGCTGAACAAGAGCAACCCGGATTGGTGGTGCGTTCGCAAGGCGGACGGCACGGACGGCTTCGCGCCTGCGAACTACGTGGTGGAGATCGAGCCGAGAATCATCCAGATCAACCTGCGCAAGCCGGAAGTGGTACGCGGGGTGCAGCGGGTCAAGAAGACGAAGATGGTGAAGACGAAGGTAGGGTTGGGGTTTTTCGTCAGGGGGGTACTTACCTACGTCACCTATATATACAGGGTGGGCCACCAGTAACGCGTCGGTCTCTAGAAGGCTAACCACTTATCTTCTTGGAATTCTTCCTCTCTAGGAAGTTGCATGTCAACATAGGCTACCATTTAAAATTATTTCGAAACATACAGGGTGTCCCCAAAAACCATAAAACACTGAAGTTAAACTTTTTTCTATCGAACACCCTTGTACTTTTTCTACTTCGAAAACTCTACTTAGAAGAGAAAAAATGTATGTATCACCAAAGGCGCGTTAAAAGCGATAAATGAAGTCTATAAACATCTATAATCATACCTAGATGCAATCCGGTGAGGTTTCGATTAACTTCTACTTCAAAGATCGAGCCCCTAAACAGCTTACCTAACTTCTTGAGAGTTGGTGATGATGGCCTGGTAGCTGGATGCCGGTAATGAATCTATGGGGGCCCCCTTCTGGACTAGGTTGGTGTCGTGGGTTAATCCAATTCCGGAGGCACTCACAAATGGGCGAAAACTTCCTATATGCGCAACCCGTTTATTTTCTCCATCAAACAAAGAGAATAGAACATTCGTCGCGAAAATCACTCTCGACGTATATTGTAAACCATTTCGAGCGGAGTTCTAGCGAGACTGCTCGTGTCCAGTTCTTCGTGGGTCCTGCTTTGCTCGGCGAGGTTTTTCAGACCTCGATAAAAAACGTTAATGTTTATCACTCATTTCGAGCTGTTTAGGGCAATACCAGAAAAACGCGTTTATTTTGAATGAAATGGAACGGTATTGCATCTCGGATGATTCAAGGTTGAGGAAATCCCTCTATCTTGACGAAAATAGAAGTTCCCTAATTAATTAATTAATTATTTTAAGTGAAAACTTAACAACCCTATATATTATTTCATTTTGAGATTCTCCCAGATGAGCTGATTTCAACGACCAATCATACTTGGGGTCTAGCAGTTATAATTACTGAAATATATGGTGTGAAAAATCGAGATTTTCCAAGTTCAAGAATTTTTTGTGTCGAAACTAATCATAATTGGTCAAAACGGCTTACATGTCCCTATCTCAACTTTTGATTAACTATCTACTGATATTTAATTGGGACATAATATACTGGGTGATCAAGATTCTGAATTCTGCACCACCCTGTATTTGTTTCAATTAAATGTCAGTAGATAGTTGATCAAAAGTTGAGATAGGGACATGTGAGCCGTTTTGACCAATTATGAATGGTTTAGACACAAAAAATTATTGAACTTGGAAAATCTCGATTTCTCACACCCTATAACTCAGTAATTATAACTGCTAGACCCCAAGTATGATGGATTGTTGAAATCAGCTCACCAGGGAGAATCTCAAAATGAAATAACGTGTTCGATTGAAAAAAGTTCAACTTCAGTGTTTTGTGATTTTTGGGGACATCCTGTATGTTTCAAAATAATTTCAAATGGTAGCCTATGTTGACATGCAACTTCCTAGAGAGGAAGAATTCCAAGAAGATGAGTGGTTAGCCTTCTAGAGACCGAGGCGTTACTGGTGGCCCACCCTGTATAATAATAATAATAATAATAATAATAATAATAGAAGATTTTATTGCCAGTCTAGTTAACCCGGTACATGCAATTTGAATTAGATAATCCACTGACAAAAGGCAGAGTTAGTGTATCTTCCACACATTGTTGATATAATATAGATGATTAGCAGCCAATTGGAACGAAGCGAGGGCCGGAATGGTCTATAGGATGGGAGTATTTTAGCTTGCCCTACACATTGAAAACAATTCCATTATTATTAGTCATAGTCATATTATTTATTGATCTTGTCGATCACAGAGTACATGATAGAGGACAAGTCAACTTTTTACAATTGGAACGAACTGAACATTACAGATAACATAAATTCGTCCACAGAATATGGACACTTTTCTAAAATAAACATTCTAAGTTGTCTTGTTCCTGACTTCCTGAGATTCTCTGGTAGAACATTATTCAACCAAAGCCCTAAAATATCTGTACCCTCTTTGGTATACGTGCAAATGGGATATGAAATTCACTTCTATTACTAGTGAGATAGTGGATAGGGCCACTGGCCATATCTAGAGTTCCTAAATGTACTTGACACTGTTGGTTTTGACGTTTTTTGTATATCAGAGTACGGACACTATGACAAGCACTGACAAGCAGACATAACCACAAATAAATTGATGGAAAAAGCGGAAACTGACAGTACACTAGAGCTAATAAAATCCCTGACGCAGATCTGATCGAATTTTTTTAATCAAACATCAAAGAGGGCACTGGGACACTTTCATTCATCTCTTGTGATGAAATATACAAATCATTGCCCTCTATCAAATCTCAAGCAGTTGGTATAGATCATATCAGCTGTAAAATGTTACTCTATCGTTGTCCTCTGATTATTGTATACATTAAACACATATTCGACCCCATGTTAGACAATTGATGAAAATAGCGGGAACTGACAGTACACGGACGTACATGACATAAATTTCAAAGGTTTGACAAATTGAGAGAATTAGGAGAAAGATGTAAGTTTGTGCAGTTTCCAACTGTGAGAACACGGGAAATCAATTCACCCTATTCGAATTTCCATCGGATAACGTATGGAAACAGATTATGATGCGGTCGGCATGGAATATAGGTAGAGGCCACAAAATCTGCGAGGAATTCAACATTCTTGGTAGGAAGTTGAAGAATAGGATCGTATTGAGAGAAAGAGCCGAACCCACAATTCATAAACTGAGCGAGTATCGAAAAGAACCTAATTGCAATTTAGACTCTGGTTATTGCTTGTGATGGAATGATAGAGCAGAGATCACAATAGCCACCATGGAGATCATGGTCGATAATCTGATGATGAAATAGCAGCAACTTCCTGAATTGACTGACTCAAACTGATTTCACATCCTTGTTCAACCAAGAATTCTTCAGATCATCTTCGTATACGAACTCTTATAATAATTTTGTGAAAACATATAGTCACTTTGTGGAACTCTGATGTACCAGATATTGATATATCTATATCAAAGAGTTGAATATATTGTTCGTGTATCACTTCTTCAAAGTTGAAATCCCAAGTCTAAATGTACATGTTCATGCGTAGTTGAAAAGTGCTATAGACGACCACATAGCTCCTGGTGGATTTTGAACCACTTCTTGGGTACCAAGATACGAGCAAGATATTATCAGAGCACAGAACAAGAACACTTAACAAGTGCACCATTTATGTTAGGTATTGAAAATGATCTTCCGATGGCCGAGTTCAACCAACAATCCCCTTTAGCAATGTGAACGGCGATCTATAGTGATCCTAGCGCTGAAGTCCATTTATACCTACTTCCGTATGTCTTGGAGAACCTATATTATTTATCCTAACTGAAATCAGCTGTCATTGTTGCCATATCATTTGTTTATTTATTAATTACTTGTTACCTACCACTCTTGTACAAGTGAAATTGTTCCACACTAAATATTACCGCCCTCTTTTGTTAAATGAACACAGAGTTCAAGCATCCTGCTGATCTTGAATAATCCTCAAGATATAACAATCACGATCTGGAGGTATATTGGGGTGTTTAGAATCTCATTTTTGCCCTGTATACTGATTAGATTTTATAACATAGGTGCCTGTCAAGGTTGTCAGACAGTCGGCCAGACCGACCAAAAGGAAGATCGACGACAGCGACAGCGTGCCGAAAAGGCAGAAGAAGATCAACGACACGTACGACCGGCTCAAGGATTTGGCGGAGCAGAGGCACGCCCTATTGGTTGACGCCATCAAGCTGTTCACGTTCTACAAGGAGTGCGACGATTTCGAGCGTTGGATCAAGGACAAGGAGAAGATGCTGTCGGTGGACGATCCGCAGGATAGCGTCGAGCAGGCCAAGAGGGTGTACGAGGTGAGTTTGTACCAAATTATAATAATTTTTCATTCACATATACATCCAATAAAACAATAGGCGATTCATGCTAAGGAGTACTCCCTCTACCGTTGTCTAATATAACTAACGTATGGGCCATTGATTGATTTGTTTACATTAGTTTGCGCGTATTTTGTATGAGAAGTAGTTGTGTTTTAATTGTCTATAATTTTGTTTGAGAACTTCTATAAACGTTTAAAAACTTGAGTCATTATTGTTGTGTACCTCATTGTTCATCTTGAGCAAAAAAATCCCGAGTATAGCTTTCATTCCTTTCAAAAATCAGGACAGTCTAAATTTGTATTTGAAACTAATAATTTGGGAAACAAGGAAGTGATCGGTAGGAGAAAGGTGTGGATTCATAACTTGAAGATTGGAAAAAGTGTAAAGTGTCTGAACATAATGAGATATTGTTCTTTACACTTCACTGAAAATTTACTCATACCTATAGGTATATTTTCAAATGTATGTCTATAATGAATATAATACCTACTTCTTGAGGTGGTGGTAAAAGAACAAACAAATTTCAAACTGATTATATCTTTACTCATGAACAGTAGAATTTTTAAACAGTAAAGAATGTTATCAATCAGGGTTTCGATGATTATGTTGTAAAAAGTCAAGTAGATACTGTTCACCTGAATTCACCTTCCAAAGAACACTTTATTCCCAAAAAGTTTGCTGGATTTTGTTTTAAAAATATCATGCACTATCAGGGGAATATCCCAGCTATATATTCGAATTGGAAATCAACATCCCACACAGGTTTTCATGAGAATTCTTGTTCAATAATGATAAAAACTTACAGCCTATGCATGTTGGTATATATGAAGTTCAACTAGAGGTAGGGAGGTTATCTAATGTTGAACAGAGATAATATAGTCCTCAATCAAAACACAGTAGACCGCTGGAAAATACAAAGTTCGAAAATAGACAAATAACAAAGCTGGACGTTTGAAAACCCAAAACGAAATGAACATAAACACCATTACCAAACAATGTAAACAATCCGCCAATGGCCCATAGAGTAGTACCGACATTCGCCGTTCTGGCGCTACGATCTTAATCTCAGTCGCCTATACAGTTTATGCATGATGAAAAAGATAAGACTTTCATAAGTATAATATTCAACACTAAGTATGTCTAAAATCCAGGGGTGATTAAATTGACATTAATAAAATCCCTGACGCAGATCTCATCGAATTTTTTGAATCAAACATCAAAGAGGGCACTGAGACACTTCCATTCAACACCATCTCTTGTGATGAAATATACAAATCATTGCTCTCTATCAAATCTCATTGGTATAGATCATATCAGCTGTAAAATGTTACTCTATTGTTGTCCTCTGATTATTGTATACATTAAACACATATTCGACCCCATGTTAGACAACAGTGTATTCTCTGGATTATGAAAGACATCCTTCATTATACCTTTACCAAAGATTTCCTCTTCAGAATCATATTCAGATCTGCTATCAATCAGTATTTTGCCTTTCTAAAGTGTTAGAAAAGCAAATTGATAAGGAAATGCGTGAATTCTTGAATACTCATTCAATCTTACCAACATATCAGTCTGGATTTCGACCAGGGTATAGTTGTACCACAGCTCTCCTAAAAATCACGGACGATATACATATAGCTACTGATAATAATCTGCTCATTTGCTTGGTCCCCCTCGACTATACGAAAACCTTTGATTTAATAAATCACTCGCTGTTGCTAGATATCTTGCATCGGCTTTTCAAATTCTGCCTCTACCCTTGTTAGAAATTATTTGTCCAATAGATCACGAGCAGTTATCCTCAAGAACACGTGTTCGGAATTTACTAGTATACGCTCAGGAGTTCCCCAGGGCTCGATTATAGGTCCGTTGCTTTATGTAGTTTACACTTCACAGTTTACCGAAGCTCTACGTCACTGTTCTGTACATATTTTTGCCGATGTTACTCAAATTTATTAATCTTTTCCTGATAATGATCTAAACAATGCGTGTAACAACCTGAATGATGATTTAGAATCTCTCTCACAATGTCTGTGTGACTAGTTCTACTTCCCAACAACAATATAAGCACGGGGCGAATTGTTGTAAATGAAAATGCAACGGTTAGATCATATTCAGTATTTTATCAATTCCACGTCTTGAAGATTTCATTTTTTTATCAGTCGTTTCATTCATGTATTGGAGGTGCTAGGACTTCACAATGAAATATTTTAGTGGCTAATGAATTGAATTACTTACCTACTCTGAATTCGTAATGAAAATATAGAAACATTGAGTGAAATGTTGATAACAATAATAAAATAGCAATAATAATAATAACAACAACAGTAGTAATACCAATAATAATAACAATAACTATATGTATATAATTCACATATTTGGCTCATTATCTAATGATATACCGGGTGACAACGAGATCATTAGACATAGCGTCATTCAGTTGTTTTTTATGTTAGAATTTTGGAATCGGGAATCCCTACTACTATTATAAATGTGAATGTGTTTATATGTCAGGCTTTTACGCCAAAAATACTCAACTGATCATCATGCAACTTTGTATACATATTCCTAGACGTATAGTATACTTATTATTGAAAAAAAAAATACGGTGTGTAAAAAAATGTATTTTGGCAGACATGAGTGTTGGACACAACAAAAATGTTTTGTGCGTAAAATCTCAAGAAACACAATAGCCAGTTCCGGGATCGCTTTCCGTGCTCCAAGATCTCTCTTTCTTCTTTTTTTGGAAAAAATATCGAATATTTACCGAGTCCGAAGAGTCCAAAGCTAAGTAAAAATTCGATATTTTTTTCAATGTAACTATATTCCTTCTCTTCACTTCTTTTTTTCAAACAAAGTGTCACTGACAAACTATTAGATTTTTCTTTTAGGTTTCCTGATTGAAAAATTTGTTGAACCCAGTGACATTTTGGGACATATCATCTGATTTGTTCTACTACACATATATTGAAATAAAACTCATATTTTCATTTTGTAGAAACGAGGAGAGAAAATCTTGAATGATCAAGTAAAATGCACATGGACGATTATTGAAATGTTAGGTTTAGTTTTGTCGCTGTCATAATGATAAAATCACAGCGGCTTATGGGAGTCGTTATTGATGAATACCTACTAGATTCGAGTGCCATTCCTGCGAATCTCACATCAGAATAGTGAATTTGGGTTAATTGTAAAGAGGTGGCTATGTCTATTGAATAGTTGTTGATAAACCTAGAATCTCAAGACTAAGAGATTCTAGGGAAATTTCGTGAATCGATTGTCAGCTGATGCAAGACAGACTGTTTCGACTTGCCATAAGTCTCATCAGTTGCACTGGCCAGCTGACAATCGATTCACGAAGGGTACCTCCATATAATATACAAAATCGAAGCCCTGAGGGGGCAGAAGGACGATCTAGCCTTCATAGCCATCTAGTGGCTCAAGTGCAAAGGTGTATAGGTAGATTGAACAATCATACCTTGCGAGTAAGTCGTGCATATAGACCCCTACGTCTATATGCTTACAGAAAAGACACCATGTCAGAATTCTGTAGACTATCGCAACACCTGTAATTCTCAAAGTGGTTCAATGTTCCACTAACAGATGATGATACACATAGAATCTCAAGACTCAAGAGATTCTAGGGTAATTTCGTGAATCGATTGTCAGCTGATGCAAGACAGACTGTTTCGACTTGCCATAAAACAAGTCGAAGCCTTGAGGGGAATATTTCATATATGGAGGTACCCTCCGTGAATCGATTGTCAGCTGGCCAGTGTAACTGATGAGACTTATGGCAAGTCGAAACAGTCTGTCTTGCATCAGCTGACAATCGATTCACGAAATTTTCCTAGAATCTCTTAGTCTTGAGGTTCTAGGTTTATCACCATCTGTTAGCGGAACATTAAACCACTTTGAGAATTACAGGTGTTGCGATAGTCTACAGAATTCCGACATGGTGTCTTTTCTGTAAGCATATAGACGTAGGGGTCTATATGCACGACTTACTGGTAAGGTATGATTGATGAATCTACCTATACACCTTTGCACTTGAGCTACTAGATGGCTATGAAGGCTAGACCTTCCTTCTGTCCCCTCAGGGCTTCGACTTAAATAGTTGTTCTTGAAATGATGAAAACTACCTTTTTTCTGTGACGGGAAAAAAGTTTGGCATTTCATCTCTGTTGGCAGGTTATAAGATGTCACTTTTCATAAATTACTTTTTTCCCGTGGAAAAAAAGTGAGTACTTTATTCCCGGATATATATCACATATATATACACTGTTGATGGCTTTTGTTGTGCTATAGTTCCGAAAAATGAGTCAATAATACCGTCTCCGAGAAAGAACTGCTAGTCCTTTCATCCTCTATTCGACTTCGCGGTTACGTATATTACTGAACAACCACTAAATTCGAAATTTTTGTATTCAAATCACAGAATTAGACTGACAGAAGTGACATTAGATATTTGATTACTTCAAATGAATGATAAAGATGCCTACAACCTACAACTCATGTGTCCCTACAGTTAAGAACTTGAAATTTCACGTCGATAATTTTCACAGTTCAAAATAATGTTATATCTTCTCAATATTGATTCGTTCTTTCTTCTGTCACAGAAAAAAATAGTGTATTATACACGGGAAAAATATTAGATTTTAGCTCACGGTCTTTTGTCTCCCTCCGCTACGCGTCGGGAGACAACACAACCTGGAGCTAAAATCTACTACCTTTTTCCCTTGTATAATAAATAACTATTAAATAAAAAACAGAATTTACTTCTTGAAAAGTTGTAAATACTAGTATGTTTTATAGCAGGTAGTGGAAAAATAACTATTTCATTATACTTCTTTGGAATCAACTTGTTTTTATCTATATTAGTTATATTCTAAGACAATCTTTTTCGGGCTATCGCACGGGAAAACTGAGATTTACCATGAAAACGAACATGAACATGAAATTTCCAAAAATATCCTAGAGCAAGCGGCACAAGCGATCGCGAATTCATTACCAGTTAAATCCAGGTCTAGTAGTTCCAAGTTTTTTCATTCCTACAACTGTTAAAGTTAAAATGTTCCAAGTTTTTTTTGTCTTTTTTATGTAACATTTTATTATTATATTTTCATTTTCATCGAAGTGCTATAAATAATATCGTTCATTACTCCAGAGATGATTTTTCCGTGCTTGATGAGTGTTTGTCACACGGAAAAAATCCCTATTTCCAGACTCGTAATGACATATTGTCATAATATAAGGGTTGGTTATAAACCCATATCGATTTATAAGGGGTTTTCTTGGCTGAATAATTTGCGAGAGGTAATATTCGAATAGGCACTAATTGTTTAGGGGTAACTGAAAGTACGAGACTATATTCAAAGATAACAATATGTATTGAAGCATGAAACATTATGGGTAACGGTGACAAATATGAATAAACAACAATGAATATAAAGACCTAATAACAACTTACATTATAACGACCATTACGACGAGCTCTTGTCAAGTCAAGAGTAGCCCCAGACCAGACTAACTTCGGAACCCTCACATCCCATATTTATATACATCATTTTATTAGATATGCACGTTTCTCATGAGATTTCCGTGGTCAGTTTTTATAATTCAATGTCAACGTATGATTTGATTAACCTTATGTTTATAAAACCCTCAAGGTTCGGAATAACTAATATACCGTATGTTCTACTCGTGACAATATACTATTCCTATAATCACGGCCTTCAAGTATGACACTTTATCCGTTTGCAGAAATTCGTCACCGACCTGTCGGCGAGCACAAAACGCATGGACGAGCTGGACGCTGACGTGAAGGAGTTCGAGCGCCTGCGCCATTCGCAGATCGACAAGGTGAAGGCGCGCCACCGGCAGGTTCAAGGGGCGTGGCAGCGCCTGAACAGGCTCAAGGCGCAGAAGGAGCGCAGCCTGGCTGGCGCTAGCAGCGTCGAGCTGTTCAACAAGGTGTGCGAGGAGGCGAAAGGTAGGCTCAGATTCGTTCTATCGATATACGGGATATATCTTCATGAGGTAACTCGATCTATATACAGGGTGTTCTATAATTGGATGCTGATCCTGTAGTCCGATAATCCGTGGATGAGACATAGATCTGCAACCGCTTTATTTCTGAGATGAAAGATGTTCACAAAAAATCAATATTTTCCCAATATCCCTAAAAACCGCTTTGTTTTTGTTTTTCAGTTTTGGTACAGTTGTGTGCTCGAACAAGTCGTTCAGCAGATATAGGCTATTCGGGTCGATTCTGTTTGCAAATAGTAATATGGTTGTCGAGAAGATATTGCTATCATAGCAAGATTCGAAAAAGTGGAATTCTAATCATTGATTTTTGACAATATGATCTGTCAATTTCAATGACATCTTGTTAGCTTTCTTGCTATCTCGGCAACCTCAATTTTGAGCTTGCTGTCTTATAACAAGGTAGAAAATGTGTGACGTAATTTCACAAAAGAGAAATTAAGGTCTCACAATCCGGCAGTAAAAATGTGGTAGAGCACTGGTGTGGGTTCACAAAAAGTTGGAAAAGAAATTATTTTATGCAGTTTCACAAATGGGTAAATTTTAGGTGCCACCCAGAATATGCTTGGAAGGATAGGGTGAGGACAAAACAAAAATATTCATACACAGGATTTCTCAAAACCTCTTTATAATTATTGATAGTGATCACTTTTCATTTAACATGCAAAATCGACCTATTTTCCTAGTGTAATAATATTGAAGATTAAACAACAAACTTATGATGAGATTACCTGTTAGTAAATCTATAGTATCAGCAGCAGTTTCGAATTTATGGATACACAATATGAAACTGCATTTAGTCAGAAGTTGTTAGTATCACTAATAGTAGAGATTACTTGATTAAATCCTAAACTCTTAATTTAAAGGCCTCACTGTGGCTTTAAATGGGAGATATTAAAGTTTGAAGCTTTTACACACTGTGTTGATTGACTTTCGAAAGTAATGATAATGAAGGATCCTGGGAATGATTTATCAGCGCTGATAGATCCTTCCTTACAAAAGGAAGAATATTGTAATACAAAAAATAATGAAATAGTGGTTTCATAGTAAATATGTAATTTGAAGTAGTGATATAACGTTGAGGTTCATCTTCTCATCACGTCGGCGATCAAGAAAAATTGTGTAAAATCTACTTACAGTAGCTCATCCATATCACACAAGATTTTGTAAACAGGTTTTGGGTAGTGGTTTTAACATGGCATCCGTCTCGAAAATACAATATTCGGAGGAACCTTGGAGTATTTATTGCCCCATATGCAATAATAGTGGAAGAAAATAATTATTCCGGACATCCATTCTCAAAATAGTGATGCAACTATCAGGTTGCCATATTAGCGGCTTCCCAAGATGGCGATGGGATTACCAAAAGGTAGACGGTGTGGTGGAAGAAGAAGGCCTGCAAAGGTTTAGGTTGATGAATATGCTTTCTTGTTTGTGTATTTCTGTCTGTTCAAATATCAAAACAAATCGTCGTAATTTTAGTACTTGCCTATAGGTGTTGATCGGCCTTCATAATTATATTTGGCTTCATGTTAAATGAAAAATTCTCTGAAGCGGAATTTCGTGCAGCCTTTCAGCTCAGAGCCATTCGAGAGAGAGAGCGAGGTATTGGACTCGAGCGAGAAACAATTCTCTCTTCTTGAATCTTTTCAAGACCAGATCACACCTTACTACGCTCGTTCACAGAACATTACAACAGCAAGAACAACCCATCAAGGCCGTTGAGTGTGGTGTGAAGTAGTCCGACAATATTTACTTTGTAGAGTTCGGTAAAGGCAATGTTAAATTAATCGTAGTACTAGCGAAATTAAGTACCTACCGAAGACAGAAAACAAATCTGACAGAAAAATAGAAAGAAGCATATAGTAACCTCAAAAGGAAAATATTTTGACACGAGATATTATTTGTTTATTTATCCCTGAGGAATACTAGGACTAATATAAACATGAAAGCACATCATCGAACGAAACCTTACCGCAGGAATAATAATAGCGAGCAAACAGGCGGAGTGAACGTTCAAGACTGGTTTATTATTTATTGAATATTTGCTGTGTCGTGTTACAGAGTGATTTCCGAAATGATTCTCGGCGATTGTGATGTCGAATACACTGCATCTCGACAAATTGCGTGTAAATAAAGTTGTGGTGAGTTGGTACGTATAAGGGTCACAAAGTGAACCGTTACAAATGGCAGTGGATTCTTTGTTTTTACACTACAATTTTTCCAAATGTTTGAAAATTTCGAAAATAGGTCGTTATGAACATAATATATTATGAGAGTTGACTTGTGCTTCTCTAATTGCAAAGGAATTATTGAAAAATTCAGAAGAAAGGTGATTATAAACATAGGTTCACTTGTCTGACTAACTACTTGAAAACTTTTCCTTGAAGTTTCAATGTGTAGAGAATTTATATGAGAATACAATTTCGGCATTCCATTAGAGAAACCAGCAAATCCTCTGACTTGCCTGATGGAAAGATGATCAAGCGATTTGCTTGAATAAGCCAGCAAGGTGGAGATTTCCCGGTAATATGAATCAATTTTTTTTTTTCAAAAAAATTCACGATCATTTCCATCCTATTCCTATTTTTCCTATTTCGGGGACATGATTGATAACTTGCACCACTTGCACAACGAAGACCAAATTCAGCAAATACAAAAAATCTGTCAATTTGAATAATGTAATGATGAAAAATGTCAGTGCACGACAGACTAATTTAAGAGGTTAGATATAAACTCTCTTCATAAAATAATGGCAATAACGGTACCTATTACTTGACGAATGAGTTAGAAACGGTGTTGTCAGCTCAAAAATTCTCCAATTTTCAACAATATTGCTATCACTTAAACTAATAACCAATCTTGCAGTTTCTGTCCAAACAGAATACAGAATAGCCTAGCAATATTGCTATACATTATGATCATTACAATATTGTTATCTTAGCAATGTTACAACAAGATCCGAACAGAATTGACCCGAATCGAGTGAGTCTTCTTATCGACTTGACAAGTAGTGTCCGAATTCAAACGATGTTTGTCAGTTATGCGCAAATGTGTATGTGTACTATTTTCTAATGAAATCTGGAACATCATAGGCAGGTTTACATCATACAAACCTTGTACGACTTGTCTATGCACAGCACTGTACCGTGTGTCCAGTTTTCGATGCTTTTGCATGATATCTCAGTTATCTTTGGAGATAGAACCTTGCGGTTCTCGCGGTCCTGTGCCACTTTTTTGTGAAACTCAAAATGGCCCAATTAGATTTTGCAAAACTGTTTCCGTTCATGAGATACAGGGCGATTTTGAAAATCTATACTTTTTGGACCCCCTCTATATCTACGAAGTTTATCAGCGAAAATGTCAAATCGAAATCTTGACTCATAGAGAATTTTATGCAGAGTCCAGTGGCACACACACTTTTTTTTTCGGGGTATGGTTTTGAAAATACGACTCAAACTTATGATTTTTCAAATTGAACACCCTGTATTTTATAAGCTCATTAAATTCCTAATTTTTTTCCGCTCGAAATGATATATGATGTATGAATATAACATTTTCAAAGATGTTCAAGAATCACAAAAACATTGAATTTCAATAGTGGGCTATGGGTTTTGCGAGGGATTTTCATATAAAGAAATTTACAATTGAAGGAATATTTTCTTTCATTGTTTCATGAAGGGGGAAATAACAATTTCAACACTAACCAACTTGCAAAACACAAGACTTAGATACCTGATATCCACAAATATATAGTAATAAAAACCTTATAATGTAGAATAAGCACCTGATTGAATATTTACTAAAACAATTGAATTTAGAAATTATTCAGTGATTTATTGATTGAATTGTTCAAATTGATGTCCATTTTCCATCACAAACTTTCTCAATACATATTAACCATTGAAAGATGTCTGTAATTCCTGGAAAACTACCTCTGTTGTTGCACAAAGTTCTTCAAGTATGTTGGGCCACTCACTGTATTAAGAAGTATGAAAGTTTGTCAACTGTATGATAGGGAAAATGGATATCAATTTGAACATGTCTATGAATGAGTTACTGAATAATTCCGGAATTTAATTGTTTTAGTAAATATTTAATCAGGTGCTTATTCTACATTATGAACTTTTTATTACTATTTATTTGTTGCTATCAGGTACCCAAGTTTGGTGTTTTGTTAATTAATAAGTATTGATATTGGTTTTGACCTGTCCATGGAGAAATTCAAAGAAATATTTTTCCAATTGGAACGTTTTTTATAAGAAAAATCCATAACCAATTATCAAAATTCAATATTTTATTGATTTTGAACAATTTTGAAAATTTTATATTCATTCGTTATATATTATTTTGAAGACAAGAAAATAAGGAATTCAATGAGCTTATGAAATACAGGGTGTTCCATTTAAAAAATCATAAGTTTGAGTCGTATCTCCAAAACCATACCCCGAAAAAAAAATTTAAGTGCGCCACTGGATTATGCGTGAAATTCTCTATGCGATAAGATTTTGATTTGGCATTTTTGTTTGAGAAACTAGAGGGGGTCCAAAAAGTATAAATTTTCAAAATCGTCCTGTATCTCATAAACGGAAACAGTCTTGCAAAATCTGATTAGGCCATCTTGAGTTTCACAAAAAAATGGCACAGGACCGCGAGAACCGCAAGGTTCTATCTCTAAAGATAACTGAGATATCAGGCAAAAGCATCGAAAACTGGACACACTGTACATGCAAAGTACGCAAACAAATACATTTTACATCGATACATAACATATAACGATGAATACTGTACGGGATATTAACTGGGTCGCTACTGATTCATATTTAGAAAACCTTCATCATGGAAAAAATGTATTTTTATGTGTACTTTGCATGTACTAAAACTAAGAAACAAGAACAAGAAGTGGTTTTTGAAATAATGGGAACTTTTTTTTTGTTAAAAATTCGACATCCTATATCTCAGAAATGAAGCGGATGCGGACCTATGTTCATGTGAAGAACTTTTCTAAAATCATCTAAGGCCTAAGGATTATCGCCCTACAGGATCAGCATTTAAATATGAAACATCTTGTATGGAGCACTTAAAATAGTTGAAAAGGAATATTCTCAGATATATTATGAATATGAAAAAAATTATATACAGGGTGTTGCGAAATTCGACCGACAACGCTTGACAGGTGATAGGCCTCGTGATTTCATAATCACGGAGATAGGAACATACGGTGTTCAGTTCTCAAGATACAGGGCGTTGAAGTTGAGGAATTGAAATAGTTTTTTCGCAATATCTCAAGAAAAATTGAATAAAATGCATTCAAATTCGGTATATGGTTTCATCTTTCAATGGTTAATTTTTTGACCAGAAAGACATTCCGAGAATTTTATCCAGAGGTGCGCTACAGAGGGTTGTGATAACTTTTCCTCCCATATTTTCTACGCCACTGATGAAATTTCGATTATTTCAAATTTCTCGAATTGATTGTTCAATTATGTTGAAGAACTGCATCATCTTCAACTGGGGTAACATTTTTTTTTTATAGAGATATTTAACGCAAAATAGAAGTTTGCATAGTAATTTTTCATCTTCTTCAGTAGTAGAAGAATAAAAAAAAATTGTTTCCTCTTTATGCGTGGAATATCTATTTCTGTTCCGCTACAGGATGAGATCTGAATAGTATCCAACCTACTCGACACCAAAAAAATATTTTTGCAATTTTCTACTAGTGAAAATGATGAATTATTACTATGCAATCTTCTATTTTGGGTCGAATATCTCGAAAACTGTTCATTTCAGCTCAGTTGAAGGTGATGCATTTTTTGAACAAAATTGAACAATGAATTCGAGGAATAGGAAATTATTGAAATTTAATCGGTGGCGTAGAAAATATGGGAGGAAAAGTTGCCACAACCCCCTGTAGGGCACCACTGGATAAAATATCCGGAATGGCTTTCTTGTCAATAAATGACGCATTCAAAGATGAAACCATGCACCAAAGTTGAATGCATTATATTCATTTTTCCTTGAGATATTCCGAAACAACTATTTTTATTTCTTAACTTTAACGCCCTGTATCTCGAGAACTGAACACTTGAAGACCGTATGTCCCTATCTCAGTAATTATAAAATCACGAGAGGTATCACCTGTCAAGCGTTTCGGACGAATTTCGCAACTTCCTGTATAATACACAGAAATACATTGAGAATTCGCATTCTCTTCGTGATGAATATATCAACTCTTTATCGGTATATTCAACATGACGAACATTGAATGTTATTTATATAATTAGACACACACACGATAAGAATCTGAAAATTGAATGTGAAGTTGAGAATTCGCATTCTCCATCAAATAAAAATATCAATTTGTCATACATTCAAATTAAAAACAACAAAAACATTTTTGTTATTGTGAAACTGCTGCTTTTTACAGAAGTGACGTCATCTTTGTTATTTTCAGTGGGACACCCTGTACTTCATATAATTTTTTGAATTCTTATGATTTTGATTCAAATTCATGTATCATACCCTATACCTAAAATGAACTGGTTTTGAGTAATTCGGGGTTTTCTTCAAAAAGGGATAAATACAGCCTTTATATAATATAAAATTATGGTTATTGAATCAATTGATTAATTCGAGATAGAAGTAATTTGTAAATAAAAATGTATTGTTTTTCCTTCAATCATTTGGTATAAGTACAATTCAGTACTGTTTCAAATTTTGTACATATAGATATTAAATATCAACCAGAGAAGCAAATAAACTCCTTGAGACTACTATCCAGATTTTTATTTTAGTTCAGTAGCAATACAATTATTTTAGTTTAGTAGCAATAAAATGATTTGACTTTTTCAAAATCACGCGGAATATCATCATACAAATGAGGAATGTAATATTTATAGTTTGTTTGTCCACTAGTGTTATTAGATTTACATTTCAATATTTTTTAATTCAATATCATTTCTGTTTTGAACATGTAAGTTGATAAACAATTAATGTAAAGGTCAGTTGAAAATGAATAATCTATTCCTTAAATAATTTTCTAAATCCATTCGTGAATAACTTCCAATTTTTTCAAATATATTTGCTTTACTCCTTTCTATCCTAAAATCCCATAAACTAATTGAGATTGAACTAAAGCAAAATATATCATTTCCAAACTAGGAATGCTTAATACATATTTCAGACGTTTGAATTCAGGAATGAGACATCTAATTTTTTTCAAAACATAATCTACATGATTATCCCACTTCAGATTATTATCAATCATTAGTCCAAGGTATACAATTAGTTTCATGAATGTTGATTTTACTGCCGATTTTTATAGTACCTAAATTTGGCTGAGAATTTTGATAGGAAGTGAAAGTCATAAATTTTGTTTCTCCAAAATCAATTGTCAATAAATCATTATCGAATCACTTTTGAGAATTGGGAAATTCATGACCACTTTCCTTTTCAATTCTCCCCAATCCTTTGCAGAGTATAATATAACAGTATCATCTGCAAAATAATGTATATTACCAATCAAATACACTTGAAATTAATCACGTATATAAATATCTAAGAAGAGTGGTCCTAAAACACTTCCTTGAGGAACACCATTCTCAAAATATTGGATAACTGTATTTAAAAACGATAATAAATCGCTATATCATTGGTTGTATCAATCTTTTCACTGTTATCGAGGTTACTAAGCTATTTGTTTCTATTCATTCCGAAGATTGGATGCTGGAGAAAATGATGCAGCTCGATTCGGCGGTGTTGGGACACGATTTGAAGACCGTCCAAGCTTTGCAGAGGAGACACGATAATCTGGAACGAGAGCTGTCTCCGGTCGAAGAAAAAGTCAACAAAGTCAGTTTATTAGGTACGTGAGATGTAGAAATAGGACATTGAGTAAATCGAACCCGAGATCCCAGTCGTAAACACTAGCATGCAGTGATCACTCATCAACAACGTGATTACTAATGCGGTTCTGCAGACGGTACACCGCTACTCTCGCCAACAGATATGGCGTTTCTGGCGTTTCGACCAATAATATTGAATAATAATAATAAATCGCTTTTATTGATAGTAAGTATAAATAACAGGTACAATGAGTAGATTTACAAATAACTTTGATGCTTACTATCGAATGGCAGAGTTAGCGTTTACCCATGTGTGAAATGGGTAAATACTTTCTTACACTCAACCAGGGTGAGGAAAAACCAGAAGCCCAAAGATACACAGGGGATCTGAAAGCTAGCCTATTGAGTCTCATAGAGAAGGCGGGGCTAGTCGAAGAACTCTAATCGATTTTGAGGGCAGACACAATAAATCTGAAAAGGTCGCGTTGTGGAGGCAGATAGCCCGAAGGACCCATTCTAAATCTAATCTAATCTACACTCAACCAGAGAGGCAATAGAAGAGCATTTCAAATATGATCATGCGTCTGTTAATTTATTCACGCTGGTCTCTTGGTTTTGGCTGTAACTAAGTACTATAGAAAAATAGGTGATAGTTTTTTTGACTTTCTCGCGTTCAAATTTTTACAGACTGTGCAGAACAGGGTGAACATGTAGCACCGAACGTCATCACTTCCATTTCGTATTCTTCCATTCCTCTGTTCTTATCACCATTTCGCAATAAAATCACAGCACACCTGTCTTCTTCGATTATTTTCACCTGGTGAAACATTTCACGTATATCTGCACATATCGCCCATCTCCAACGGCGGAACCTCAATAATACCCCAGGCAAGGATGTCAAATTATCCAGACCTTGAAGTATATTGTCATTATTTTGTATAGTAAAATCAAGTTATAGGTCAATGACAACTACACTAATTCAAAGTCTCAATCTTAATGTCTCTTTATTTCTCTACTGAACGATACTACAACCAAATCACAAAGACAATCCAAAACCAATCTACAAAGAATCACCCAGTAGCCTTGTCATTGACATTGGTGACATTTGACATTTGCCGAAATAATCAACATAGAAAATAAGTTCCTTGTGTTCGAAAACAGGGATTAAAATCGTCTCAGAAACTTGGAAAGGCAAAACCGTTAACGGGAAATCTTTGATGAAATCCATATTCTCGATTCAAATGCAGATTTCATAAGTTATAGCACAAACAGTGAATGGACGCGGTGTATGTTTGGTTGCCTATGCTACAATCGTGCATTAATAGACAAATTGATTATTAATAGGGGTCATTAACGACCAATTTCATAAATATTGACCTAACTCCGTGCAAGAATCGTAGACAACCGAACGCTCCAACGTCACCGAAAAACAACTTGCCATAGACGCGTTGTGGCAGCTAGTAAAAGGCAAGGCGCGAGAGAGACGCGTTTGTTTTAGAGGACGCCTTCGCTTATTGTACCGGGTGTACCACTAAGAAAGGACGCCGGCTGTATCTCGGAAACTATTAGCCGCACAGGTTTCGGAAGAAAATATTCATGATAAAAGTGGTCAAGAAAAATCTCTGGAATTTATTTTCAAGTTTCCAGGACAGCCGCTAGAGGGCATAATTGCATTGGTCAACTTAAAAAACGGGTTTTTATGAAAATTTGATATATCAAGACATATCAGAAACACTTTTTCCATGTTCTCGAGTTGATTTCCAATTATTTCGATTAAAAATAATTGCGCTAGCTCTTTAAATGAAAGAGGGAGGGAAGGGTGAATAGTACTCTGGAAAAACTGTTATTACTACAGTTTTGTGTAACGGATTAAAGCGATCTTGGTCTCATTATGGAGGGGGTTTTTCAGATCTTCCAGATAAATCACGAATCAAGTTGATTTAAATCCCGTGGTGGCCGCTAGATGGCATCGTTTGAAAAATCAGCCGATTTGCCATTTTTTTCGAGAATTTCAAATGGAACCATATATTTTTCCTACTATGAAAGTGAAGTAAAAGAGAAGAAAAATGGTGAAAACCGCGAGTTGATACCTCTTGAAGAACTGGAGAAATACTCGAAATAATATTAAAATTTAATCTGTTAGCATGTCAAATGCCTCCTCATTCGTTATCGGCAATTTGACAAATAGGCAATCCACAATGAACAGTGAAAACTTCCAATGAAACTTCAATTATATTTTGCCGTTTCTTTCATTCAAAGACAACTTGCCTTTTCTCATTCCTTAGCCTATACTCACTACTTACATTTCAATTAGCTATGTCATTACTAAGAGTCTCCTTCAATATTGTGAGATATAACAGCAGTTTGTGAAACCAAATTAAATGAATTATCGAAATCATAATTCCATAGATACAGAATATTTCTGATTACGATTATTGAAGTTAGATTCCTGTGGTGAATATTTTCATAATATTATTTCGAGTATTTCACCGGTTCCTCAAGAGGTATCAATTTGCGGTTTTCACCTTTCTTCTTCTCGTTGGCCCTACTTTCATATTAGAGTAGAATGAATATATGGTTTTCAAAAAAAAAAAAATGGAAAATTGTCTGATTTTTCAAACGATGCCATCTAGCGGCCACCACAGGATTTAAATAGACTTGATTTGTGATTATTCTGAAAGATCAAAAAAAACCTTCATAATGAGACAAATGTCGTTGAATTCCCTTGCAACCAACTGTAGTAATGAGAGTTTTTTCAAAGTACTATTCCTCCTTTCCTCCCTCTTTCATTTAAAAAGCTAGCGCAATTTTTTTTATCGAAATGATGGGAAATCAACTCGGGAAAATGAAAAAAGTGTTTTTGATATGTCTTGATATATCTCATTTTAATAAAAACCCGTTTATTTAACTGGACAATGCAATTACGCCCTCTAGGGGCTGTCCTGGAAACTTGAAAATAATTTCCAAAGATTTTTCTTTGCCACTTTCATAATTCATATTTTTTTTAGCAACCTGTGCGGCAAATAGTTTCCGAGATACAGCCGGCGTCCTTTCTTAGTGGTACACCCGGTACAACTGAGATAGGGCGCAGGATGTATCTCAAGAACTATGTGCCGTATAGGTTTCAAAAACCAAATATTTGGCATGAAAGTGGACAAGATAAATCTATGGAAATTATTTTTCGAGTTTCTAGGAGGCGTAATTGTATTGTCCAGTTGAAAAAATGAATTTTATTAGAATATATCAAGACATGTCAAAAACACTCGTTTTATAATCCTAATTATTTCGATCGAAAATAATTCACGGTAGGTTTTCAAATAAAAAGAGAAGGATAGACAGGAAAGCACAATGATGAAGTAAAGCACAATGATAAAACGCTTATTACTACAGTTTTTTCAACGAAATTCAACTAACTTGATCTCATTTTGAAGGTTTTTTTCAGTTTGTTTAGATACATTACAAGCATATCTCGAATTTTACTATTTTGCTATAGTTCTTGGCTGGTTCTTAGGCGGCGCTAGCGAAAGTCGATTCCATCTTTCTGCAAATTGCTGAACTATATAGGAATATTCTGAAACAGTAAAATCACTATCTTTGGTATTCTGAAGGCTTAAACATTTCAATCCAGCTCTGATGCGACATTCCTTGTATAGAAATATCTCGAAGTAAGTTTCGAATATATTCTGTATTCCCAATATTTACCCTTCGCTACTCAACAAAGAGTAGTTCCTTGTCGCTCATAGATGCCGGCACCTACTGAATAGAAGTTCCGCCTTCATTGCTCTCATAAGGAAAGTGCATCTCGGTAGTATAGGTAAATAGTCAAGGGTTGAGCTTAAGTTAGGTTGAATGTGAGAATATCCTTGACTGAATTTCGCCCAAATGAAGACGATTTATTATTATCATTGCTATCATCATTATAATTAGGCAACTCAGTGCAAGAATCTTACCCCACCGAACGATCCAACGTGACCGAAAAACAGTTGGAAATCGACGCTTTGTGGCAGCAAGTGAAAGGCAAGGCGCAGGAGAGACGCGCCCGTCTGGAGGACGCCGTCGGTCAACAGATATTCACCAGCAGCGCCAAACGGCTGCTGGGGTGGGTGGCCGACGTCAAGAAACAGCTGAACGCCGACGACGTCGTGAGGGACGTCGAGACGGCCGAGGGGTTAGTGAAGGGCCAGAGGGATCTGGTTGGCGAGATCAGGGCCAAGGATGACGAGTGAGTGTCCCGGCATTTTTAGTATCATAAACATTAGCTATTTTTCCTCGAAGTTAACCACACATACCGGGTCAACAATAAGTTAACCAGTCAATTTTTCTCGAGGTGTATTCCAAACTATGACGTGAGAGTTAACTAACCACACAAACCAGTTCACTGAGGTAGTTCACGGAGTAGTAAAGCTTCTGATTGGGCACTGGATTGAGCTCTTGTTATTGTTATAATTTGAGGTTATAATGGATAAGAAGAAATAATTACACTTTTCAATGAGATAGTAATTATGGATTCATATGAAGTATTTCTTAATGAAATATCTTATCTTATTGATATGATTGACGAAAAAGAAATAATTGTTTCATTGTAAATTGGTTTGTAGCAAATTAATCCAATTCACTAGAATTTGTTATAGACGTAAGTACCTAGTTCATAGATGATATATTTTTAATACAGATGATGAATTTCCCATTCAATATATTAGTTACTAATGCTAAAACCAAATAGGTGAGGGTAAATGACCAATAAATAAAAACAGCTGACGAACTGATATCTGTCAAGTTTCACACAAGTAAACCGTTCCGCCATAATGAAGTTACCATGACGTCATAATAAAGTTACCCTGGTTTGGCTGGTTAGGTTTGAGGTGAAGTGACTTGAGTATTGTACCTCTTGTTATACCTTCTCATAGTATTTAACTTGAATCTAGAACATTCTGTATATTTTCAATATTAAGAAAACTACAGTTCTCTGCACATAAAATGGACCACTCATAATTTGACCCTTTTTTGACATTCTGTATTTTCTGAAGGGATCAAATTATTCACTTGGGGGTTTCAGCACCGGATGTTGTGTTTCTTCAATTTCAAACATAGCTACGAAAATATGAGATTCGGTCTGTTTTGGAATACTGTTCTCACATATGGGGTTCAGCAATACGCTGATACTCTTAGATTCCATCAAGAAGAGAGACATTCTTCTGGTGGATGATGCCACACTCACTAATTACTCAACATCATTGGAACATCGTAGAAAAGTCGGCGACCTTTCACTTTTCTATCGATACTTCCACGGGAAATATTCCTTAGAAATCACTGCTATCATTCTATCACTAGCAATACCAGTCAGACAAACCCGACAATCCCAGTCAGCACATCCTCACGCTTTCATCCTTGAGATATTTTGAACGGCGCTTCACCAAAACTCATCTAAATAACGGCCCATGGAAGTATTTTCGAGAGCTTTTAACCTTCAAACGTTTTTAAAAAATCAATACCTACCTCCTCTGCCTATCCTTCCTAGGTACGCATGATTTTCTTCGAACATTATAGGAATTCCCTTTCGTGCGCTTCAAGAGATGGAATAAATCAGCACATCAAACCATACACGGAGTGTAATATAGAACCAATACAATATTGTCAATTTATGGGATGCTATCTGGTCTCGAGTTGATTCTTCAATTGCCATACAGCACGATATTTTCAATTTTAAACTCGTTCCTTGTTGTCAACGATTTTTGTCATTATTTCGAAATCATCCCGAGATAAAGCCTCAACTGTGACAGATTTTTCATCTAAAAAATGTTCCTGAAACCAGACAACATCGCCAAAATTGACCATAGTGTATTGGTCCTACTTTGTACCCTGTGTAGGTTTCAATGTGCTGATTATCTCATTTAATCGTAGCTCTGTTTTTAGTTGATGAAGCACTATTCGATGCCAGAACTCGTAAGTGAAACGTTCGAATAAAATAAAGTTTGTCAAATAGGGGCAAATTATGAATTAACCGTATCGTTCATTCATGTGTTGAGAACTTAAGTTTGTTTTCGCTAGTGGAAATTAATTTTACTTCTCATTCCTGAGACCCGAGTCATAGTTGCCTGAATGGGATTTCACAGGAATAGCTTGTTTTTATACAAAACAATATATAAAATTAAGGTATGTGCATGTCAATTTCCTTTGCAGATTCAAACAAATCGTTAGCCTAGGAAACAAACTGTTGAAATCGAATCCCGAGCTGCACCACGTGAAAGACGACGTTGACAGACTGATAGCGGAACAGGCAGCCATAGGTACGTCAAAAACCTCTCGAATTTCTAAAACTCCATGAATTATTTCCGTGCAATCGTTCGCGAAGAGAGTAGGTCGCATTCTCTACACAGTACGCGAAGTATAATTTCACAGCCTTTACCCATCAAACCACAGCCCACTTCCGAATCCTAAACGACGAAAATAGCAAGGTTATTCAGTGTCAGATCATGGTCAGGTCATATTTTCGTTTTGTCAAGAACTGTCAGGATATTTTGTATTCATTCAAAATGTCATTTCAATTATTTAAATTATTAATTTTGTGATTGCACGAATAATAGTGTTAAATAAATAAGTCATTTCCACACAATGTTCATAAAATGAACAAAAATGGTGAATTTCGGGAGAACAACAACTACTTTCCTTGCTAATACCACGCAGAACATTGAATTACATCCTCCCAAAATCTATGCATCAACTCGTAAAAACGAATACTGATACAAGTGATCCTTTCCTGAATGCCTATTGATTTCGATTTAGCCAGGCCACGCTAGACACCTATAGACCGGTTTCGAGCTCTTTGACTCTCATCAGTGCGCAGGGCAGTCTCCAGCCAGCAATCCTAAGACCGCCGACTATGCGTATAGCCTAGCCAAATAAAAATCAAGTCGGCATTAAATTCCCTCAGAGGCATCCTCCATAGACAATATGAAAGCAACGCCATCTGAGTAGAAAAGAAGGAAAGAAACACTCCAAAACCAAAATTCCCATACGGGAGTGGCTGGTTGTCCGACTGGCGTAATTTCAACTACCAAATAGCCACAATGCTCAAAGTGGAATGAAATGTTAGATGAACACAAACAGCTCAAAATCATTTCCACACAATGTTTATAAAATATACAACAATGGTAGATTTCGGGAGAAAACCAACTACTTTCCTGGCTAATGCCACGCAGTACATTGGATTGCATCCTCCCGAAATCTATGCATCGTATTAGTATTCGTTTATACGAGTCGATGATATTATGAACATTGTGTGGAAATGACTGAGCTTTTTTTATTTATTCAACATTTCATTCCACTTTGAGCAGTGTGGTAATTCCGTAGTTGGAATAATAGTGTGTATACCATGGACGCGAAACTTTTTGGTAACCGCAATATCATCTTTCGTCGGCCGCAAGCGGCCTCGGCGATAACTTTTCTTTCGGCACGCTAAAAAGATATTTCGCGGCCTAGGTATACAAATAACTAATTTGCGATTAGGAGCGTAAAAGCTATTTTTATCCTGAATTATTCGTGAATGAAATTATTTATCTCATTGTAGCTAGAGGATCCAAAGAAAAGGAATTGTGGCTGCAACAGTGTCTGCAGCTGCAGCTATTCAACAAGGAAGCCGACAACATCGATGCCGTGACGTCGGCACATCAAGCCTTCTTAGAGTTCAACGATCTTGGAGTAAGTCAAAAGCTACCGTCAAAAATTGCGAAAATACTAATTTATTGCATTATTATATTATTTGACGCGTGGGTTGGAAATGTCAGAAATTACTTCTACCTCTCTGCTTCTACGTTTGTTCAACATGTACAAAACAGTCGGAGAGAGGCAATCGACATTCCACCCCACATTCAATTCTTTTCTCTCTATGAGCATCAAGTTATGTGTGAAAATAATATTTTTAGAACTCTCTCGACGAGGTAGAAGCTTTGCATAAACAACAGAGGGCTTTCGCTAACACCTTAGCCGCACAAGACGATCGTTTGACTGCTTTCAGCAAAAAGGCTGACAAGCTTATTGCAGACCAGCATTACGACAGCCAAGGGTAATGTTATTTCATTCCTAACATCCTGAACACAAAATTCTGTAAAATAAACGATATTGTAACTTGAAACAGGAAATGCATAGTGTCATACCACTTCCTCTTCAAATAATTTGATATTTCATATTAAATCAATATCGTTGAATGCTATTTTGCTTCCATTTTCACTTGACAAGTCTCCATATTACTTTTTTTAACATTAGAAATTCAAAAAAGAACTGAAAAAATACTTATGTCGTTGATTCTCCTTATATCATCCTGAATCAATTCAAGAAATTATATTCAACAGTCTCTAGAAGAAACAACATTATATGTATTATGTATATGATTCAAAAATGATTATCTGATTATCTAATTTTTTGTTTTTTAGTTGCTCTTTCATAATTTTTCCTGATATAAACATATATGTTTCTTGGGAATAATAAAGATAATTATCCACAGTTCAAAAAATCTAATGAAGCTATCAAGAGTTTTGTGAGGAATACTTTGTGGTACTTGTGGTACGATTTTTAAAGTTCATCGTTTTTTTGTGTAGAATTGACGATAGACGCGAGCAAGTGCTCCAGAGAAGACAAGCAGTCAAAGAAGCCTGTCAGCATAGATCGAACGCTCTGGACGCTTCCAAAAACTTCCAAGAATTCAGAGCAGAGGTATGTATTTATGTTTGGTATACTTTCAAGATGACTGCTTCGGTAAATTGAACCTACCAATTCCGAATTTGACATTGAAGAGTTCTCGTTCAAATTAGAGTTTTCTGGAGGACACTTTTTTTTTTAAATTGTCATATTACTACTATATTTCAGTTATACGCACATCTAAATTGAACTCATGCATTTATGTTGCTGTACGGTTCGTCCGAATATTTTGTATTATCTAATCAAACAGCGTAATTCTGACCAAATCAAAAGCCCACTTCTACTTCGTTTGGACGTTTTCGTATAGTCAGAGTACAGACTCTCGACAAGCAGTGACTTCCCCAATTCGTTTTTAGTTTCAAGGTTGGTAGAAATGATAATTATATATAGAAGAAGGTCAGAAATCGATCAGCAAATACGGTGTGGGCAAGTAGTAATTCGTGACGTAATCGCATCAAAATTTTCATGTTGGGATCATGGAAATTTATGTGTAATTGTAGATTACAGCTGGATTTGTGAATATACTTCATGATAGTTGTAGACTACAGATTTTTCAATGGGATAAAGTCACAAAATATCACTTTCCCTTACTGCGTTTTGCTTCCTCTGCAAAATAATTATGAATTCTACCAACCATGCTAGTTTAACAAATCTTTTAAGTTGATATTCGTTGTACGTTCGTGTACTATCAGTTACAAAGACGTCAAAACAAAATTGTTGAGTATATTAAGGAACTCTAGTATTTCTGATGAAAAAGCATCATATTCTTACCAAATCGAATGCCTACCACTAAACACAAAGAGCTGTGACAGAATATCGCTGATTGTTTTCGTACAACATATCAATCCATGACAGAGAAATTATCTGTTATCAACAAAAGGAAAAAAATACATCAACATCTTGACGATGCAATGAAAGAATAAATATAATGAATACAGAATTCAGAAAGTGTCAAAATGCTACATTTGATTCTGATTTTTTGTATAGGTTAAATCCTGTACCAGCCTACAGCATTCAATCACCCAGTATATGAAAGTTTACATATCCACTTGCATCGCCTCTTCTTGTGATATCAAGAACGTGATGTCAGCAGCACAAATATGATATTGTCTCAGAATTGTAAATCCACTATTATTATCTTGATTTTTCAAAGTGTGAAGAAGTCCATATTGCTCCAAGTGAAGTGGTATTGTTTGAAGGAAGAATGAATCTCAAAATCATCTCCACGACATTTAATAGGTGAACAAAGTTATGTTGCAAATGAGGATATGTTTTGGGCTTATAATAAGCCCATCATCACCCAAGGTTTATAACGTCCTACAATAGTCTAAACTTGTAACAAACGTCAACTTGTAACAAAGGTCAACATTTTGTCATCCTGAAGCTCGACGTTTGATCTCATGATTTTTCGATTTTTCAGTGGCTCACTCATGTGGGTTTGTCTTAATTTTGTCAAACTTTTGATTCTTCACTTCATGAAAATCTCCTGAGGGTATCTTAGAGGGTACAAGCCCATCTTGAAATAAAAATACCTGTTTTTATATTATAATAATTTGCTATGTTTTCCATTTAATTTGATAAGATTCAACTTCGAAGAACATTTTTTCATCCTTATGTAAGTAATATTATTTTTTCTGTGACGGGAAAAAAGTTTGGCATTTCATCTCTGTTGCCAGGTTATAAATTGTCACTTTTCATAAATTACTTTTTTCCCGTGGGAAAAAAGTGAGTACTTCTTTGCCGGATATATATCACATATATATACACTGTTGATGGCTTTTGTTGTGCTATAGTTCCGAAAAATGAGTCAATAACACCGTCTCCGAAAAAGAACTGCAAGTCCTTTTACCTTTCATTCGACCTCGACGTTACGTATATTACTGAACAACCACTAAAGTCGCAATTTTTTGAAATTAAATCACAGAATTAGACTGACAGAAGTGACATCAGATAGTTGATTACTTCAAAAGAATGATAAAGATGCCTACAACGCAGGCGTCCCTACTGTTAAAAACTCAAAATTTCACGTCGATAAATTCCAGATATCAAAATAATGTAATATCTTCTCAATACTGATTCTTCCTTTCTTCTGCCACAGAAAAAAATAGTGTATTGCAAGAATATTAGATTTTAGCTCACGGTTTCTTGTCTCAACACAACCTTGAGCTAAAGTCTACTACTTTTTTCTCTTGTATAATAAATAACTATTATTACCATATTTCTGTTACCAGTTTAGACTATTGTAGGACGTTATGAACCATGGCTGATGATGGGCTTATTATAAACCCAAAAAATGTCCCCATTTGCAACATAACTTTGTTCACCTATTGAATGTCGTGGATATGATATTGAGATTTATTCTTCCTCCAAACCTGATTTTTTCCAATGTTTGACTCGTCATTGCTTGTCAGTGTCACTCTGAATTTACAAAAATGTCAAAACACAAGTGTTGCGTATATTCAGTATTTTCTAATGAAAAACGTCATATTCTTACCAATTCAAAGGCCTACCACTAGACACAAAGAACTAATACTGAATATTGCTGATTGACTGTACAAAATATCTGTTTTCAAGAAGAGAAACAAAATTTTTCACCTCAACATCTTGACGACGCAATGATCACAAAGTGTCAAAATGCTTCATTCGACTCTGATTTTTTGTATAAGTTGAATCCTGTACCAGCTTACACTATTTGATCACCCAGTATATGGAAGTTTACATATCTACTTGCATCACCTCTTTTTGAGACATCAAGAACTTGATGTCAGCAGCACAAATATGATATTCTCTCAGAATTGTAACTCCAGGATCAACATCTTGATTTTTATCAATGTCACAATTTTATACAGATTGTTATTTCATGCTTCGAAAACCCAACACGCTCCCAGAGCAAAACTTGCATAGTTTATTTATTTATTTTTTTATTGAACAAATAACTTCCAGACAGAATAGGCTCTGGTATAAGGAAGTACATAATTATATACCTATAGGTAAACATATCATTATACAAAATATATCAACTATTGTAAATTGACAAACACAGAATAATATTTGTAAAAAAAACAAAACAATGGCATGATCAATTTTATCCAGTTCGCTCAGAAATAATCAATTTTTCCACTTCATTTTTGAATGTACCTATATTTCTGCAATTCTTTATATTGTCAGGTAGTTTATTGAATTCAGTTAAGGCTGAATGAGTGAATCTTTTTTGCCCGATTATGGAGCTAGCGGCGTCAAGATGAAACAAGTTATATTGTTTAGTTTCATGATTATGAATTTCTGAATTCCGTATCAAAATAAAATTCGACTCCAATTTTTTATTAACTTATTTCAAATAAATATTCTTGTCAAAATCATTCTAAACTCTCATCCATAATTTATATTGATTTAAGGTGCACGACTTGCGTTCGTGGATGGCGGAGAAACTGAAGACCGCCTCCGACGAGAGTTACCGTGACCTCACGAACCTCGAACGGAAGCTGCAGAAACACGAGGCGTTCGAGCGCGAGCTGCGGGCCAACGAGGGCCAGCTGCGGACTATCAACAAGCTGGGCATGGCGCTCATCGCGCAAGATAGCTTCCAGAAGGACGAGGTCGCCAAGACCCTGCAGGTATTATCTCCATTCATTTATTTATTCATTTAAACCATGAAAAATAATAATATGAGACATTTTCTTATTTCAAATATATTCTATATTTTTGCAGTGGATTATTCCTTTCTCAGAAAATAAGGCAGACATCTAGAGTTCAAAAGAATGATCAACATATTTATTTTCTTAATCATCCAAATTTCCCATTGGAATTCTGGAGTCATCTTCTGAATTTTTGAAAATTTATATAGTCATCTTTGAGATACGCGACTGGCGTCTATATATATTTCGCCACGAATTTCAACGCCGCTACTGTTTATAATTCACTTACAGTGTTGCAGCTCATACATGATTTGTTCGTCCGCCAATGTATCAAAAACTAAAAATAACGAGATACGGGAATATTTACGAAATGCTGAAGACATCAATGCATTCTTCATTTCATCATCAAAAAGTAGTAAACCTATTGATGAACAACTAATCAACTATTATAGTAATAACTTGAAGCAAGGTATTAATTCAACATTCAGCTTTCAACCTCTTCCTGAGGAAACTATTTATGAGGTTATTGAAAACATTAAATCTATGGCCGTTGGTGTTCATGATATCAATATTACAATCATTGATTTATGCTGACCTTTTATAATTCCCTTCATCACACACATAATTAATCAATGCATTGAAAATAATTATTTCCCCATCACATGGAAGATTGCTAAAGTAATACCTCTACCTAAAATTGAACTACCAACATGTTTCAATGACTTGCGATCTATAAGTGTTTTACCCACTTTCTCCCAAATAATTGGAAGGATAATGGAATTTCAAATGAAGGAATACATCGAAACTCAAAATATTCTTCCTTTGAAACAATCTGGATTCAGAAGAGGTTATAGCTGCAATAGTGCTCTTGCTGACGAAATTATCCATTCACTGGATAAAAACAAAATATTCATATTGATTTTACTGGAAGCTTACAAAGCTTTTGATCTAATAAACCGCAATATACTCATTTCAATGCTAAATTATTTCGGTTCCAGTGTATCAGCTTGCTCATTACTTGGCTCATATCTCAGAGAAAGGGTACAGTTTGTAAAAATTGGTGATGAAAAATCCTCAACTTTGTAGGTATTGTCTGGAGTTCCTCAAGGAAGTATTTTAGGTCCTTTATTATTTACGTTATATACTTCTAACTTTATCAACTGTTTACATAACTGCAATTATCATTTTTATGCGGACGAAACGCAATTGCATTTCAGAAATGAAAGATGCTGAAACTTCTATTAATAATGATCTATCTGCACTTCATACGTTATCACTTGACCATGCTCTCAAACTTAATCCAAAAAAATGTTCTGCACTGATTTTTTGTAAAGAAACTCAAAAGCAGCAATGTAATGAGAATATTTCACTCAAAATCGGCGACACACTAAATATTCCTATCAATACTTCCACCCAACCAAGGGGTTCAAACTTGAACGATGCAAACTTGTTATTTTTATAGAACTCAATCGCAGATTCGTGATTATGTTTACTCAATTCAGAATTTTTTTCCACGTCCTGTATGATGAATGTCAATTTATCATACATCCAAAACTCGAAAACTGATTCAATTTTGTATTTTCCAGGAGTTGAACAGCGAGTGGCAGAACCTCGTGGGGATTTCGTTGGAGAAGGGCAGGAGGCTGAGGCAGGCAGATGCGCAACACGGCTACAATGGCGCCATCGAGGACGTCGATAATAAACTGGACGAGATCAACGATAGTTTGTTGAGTAAAAATGTCGGCACCGATTTAAGGTAAGTCGGAGTTTGGTTTCTTGAAGCTACAGTTAGTTCTCTGACGAGAAATTCTTTGTGAAGCCCTTTGAAACACTATTTCCATGTAAATTGTATCATTACTTTACCTCTGACGTTTGCGAAAAAGCATACAAGGAGATGATATTGGAGCAAACCTATAGATTACGGACACTGACAAGCAGTGACAGATTCACATAGCCACAAAAAATAAATGAAAAAAGCGAGAACTGGTAGTACATAGCATCGAATCCGAAGGTTTGTCAAGTTTTGATAAGTAACAAGATGTAATTGAAAAGGAACATTCTCAGATATATTTATGAACACAAAAAATGGATATATATATATATAAAGAAATACATTGAGAATTCGCATTCTCCATGTGATGAAAATATCAATTCTTTCTCGGTTCATTCAACAGAAAACAACTACTTTCCTGGCTATATGCCACGACGAATATTGAATTACATCTATTGAACACACACGATAAGAATTTGAAAACAATCTTCTGAAGTAGAGAATTTGCATTCTCCCTCATATAAAGATATGCATATAATATAATTCTGAATATTCAACAGAAAACAACTACTTTCCTGGCTATTTGCCACGTCGAACATTGAATTATATCTGTTGAATATCCAAAAAAAGAGACCATGAAAAATCAAAATCCTCTGAAATGAGATTTAACATCATCTCTCAAACCGAATAGAATAATATTATGTATTATGATATAAAAATATAACTTACCGATATGTTCAGTATTGAAATGAAAATTGAAATGTATAGGAGAAGCATACTTGTATGAACTCTGATCTTGATGACCTTGGAACTTTCAAAAAAGAATCATTCGTATCAGTGATATGGAATTATATCTGTTACAAACAGAATTTCTTTCCACGTCCTGTATGATGAATGTCAATTTATCATACATTTAAAAAACAAGATGTAAGTTTGTGGAATTTCAATATCGATTCAGCTCATTCGGATGCCGCATCAAATGAAATCGTATCATAGAAATATAATAATAATCTTCATTTGAAAAAGGAACATTTTTATTTACATGCATTTCTATTATTTGTAATTAGTAATAAAAATACTCAATGCTAAACAAAGAATGCTAAAAATATAAAAAATACACCTTTAGTGTTACAATCATTAGAGATTAAAATATACACACATATTATACTCATTTACACTCAGTATACATGAGCAACACAACCCACATACACTCACACACACACTAACACACATGTCTTCCATAATTCATCTTTTTACATGTACAGTGGTGAAATGAATTGTTTACTTCATTCGAGAGGTTATTAAAATCATTTAAGCGCTCGAAGAATGATGTTTTCATTAAGCTTACATTTCGAGCTCGAGCTATATGGAAATTGTTGACGTTTCTTGTAGGATAAGTGTGAATCTCATTATTATACGTTATTATTAAACTAAGATAACTTGGGACTAACTTTTTTGTTATTTTATAAATGAACACCATTGTCATGAAAAACAGGCGTTTGTTTACGTTATGCCAGTTCAAAGTTCCCAACATCAGATCAATTAGAACATATTCATTGCATTGCAAAATGATTTACCCCTATTTTGAAGTTTTTGTAAAGTCATTAAACACTTACAAAGGAGACTTTTGAAGAGGAATAAGTATCATCCATTTAACTGAAGATGACCCTGATCGGAGAATAGAATTCTGCGAAATTATGACGGAAACCATTGCAAGGCATCCTTCCTATCTCCAGAATATTTGTTTCAGTGACGAATGTACATTTTTTCTAAACGGCAATGTTCACAGACCAAAATTGCCGTTATTGGAGTGACACCAACTCTCACGTTTTCCGGGAAACTCATACTCAATACCCAGAAAAAATTTACGTTTGGGCAGGAATATTCGGAAACCATATTATAGGACCTCTATTCATTGACCAAAATTTAACAGGGGAACTGTATCTGAATATGCTGGAGAATACTGTTGACCCTCTAATCACCGAAATCGTCGAAGCGAATCCTAATGAATTAGATATGGATATTGTATTCCAACAAGATGGAGCACCACCATATTACTCCAGACAAGTGAGAAACTATTTGAATAATACTTTTTCCGGTCGTTGGATTGGCCGTCAAGGTCCTACGGAATGGCCAGCCCGCTCGCCAGATTTGACACCTTTAGACTTCTGTTCATGGGGCTATTTGAAGTAGAAGGTGTACGAAACTAAACCTGCTTCAATATCGGACATACGACAGAGAATAACGAATATTTGTAGAAATATCGACGTTACTGTATCTGAGAATGTTCGGGGTGATATATCGAATAGGCTGTTCTTTTATCAAGAAGTTCGAGGCAACCATTTCGAGCATCTTCTGAACTGAACTCACCTCATATTCTTAAAATATGAAGTTGAACGTCGATGTGTTGATGCAATTAATAAATGTTCCGCCATATTGTAGTAGATGAAGATATTGACTTTATATTCTAGGGTTGTGAATTATTCGTCAGGAGCTTCAAAATGATGTGTCACAAGACCCCCCTTTCCATTCAATTTGCTTATCCCAGATGGCGCCTAGTCGCCATCTTGAAATTTTTATCTGTCAATTCTACTCCAAAATATAGTATTCATGCACCAATTTCATCACCCCAAGTTTCAATTTTTTCAGTTGACTCGTTCGAAAAATAACAGGAGGGGGGTACATTAAAGAAAAGCAGTGTATAGACAAGCATGACAACTTTTATTAGTCATTGCGAATATTGCGATACTGCTAGCAAGTGCATATGGTTTCGGTACACCTATTACAAAAACATCGAACATTCGTTCCAGATCCTGTCGCGACCTGATCAAGCAACACGACGCCGTCGAGCACGAGCTGTCGCAGTGCGCCGGCCGCGTCGACGAGTTGGCCGAGCGGGGGCGCCACCTGGCCGACGACGGCCACTTCGACGCCGAGCGTATCGGCGCGCGCGCGACGGAGAGTCGGCGCCGATTGGAGGCGCTGGCGGAGCCGGCGCGGGCGAGACGGGCGGCGCTGGAGGAGGCGCTCGATTTCTACGAGTTCGGCTTCGGGTTGGACGCCGAGATGCAGTGGATCAAGGTGGGTGGTGGAGGATTTTGAGGATCGTGTTCAGGCGTAGAATGGGGATTTTTTCTCGTCAGTTTTATGTCCGCATTGTAGAGATTAACGATCGATAAAGTCCAAGTCGTTTTTATTTTCAAGCAATTTCTAATTCTCGGGCCAGCAAACTGTGACGATTGGTTGTATAATTAAGAGAACAAACTCAAAGTCTCACTCCAAGTAAATTTTAATAAAATGATACGTGCTACATGTTTCGACTCCTAGGAGTCATCATCAGACTAAAATACAAAAAACTTATAAATGAAAGAAGTTCCATCACTATTGGAAAATGGGTGACATACCTTGCTAGGTAGGAGGAGAAAAGAAACTATAAAATTAATAACATGGTTCACAAGGGTTTTAGGCCCCAAATAATTTTAAAAAACATTTTTGAATTTGGGTTTTTTCAACCGTCAGATAAACATTTCCTCCAAGATGCTTCTTTTTTGTATAAAAAAAACTATTATAGTGTGAAGCAATGTCCGAGTGTAGAAGTGCCTTAGAAAATATGGCAAAAACTAGGAAAGTCAGCCTCATGTGGGTTCCAGGACACTCTGGTATCCCGGGGAACGAGGAGGCAGACAGACTAGCCAAGATCGGTTCAGGAACGACACCCATTGGACCAGAACCGATATTGGGAATACCCAATAGTACGGCTATGTCCTTCATGAAGGAAATGCTACAGATGCAGTGACTTGAAACATGGTGGGACACACCAGGAATGAGACAATCAAAGCTCCATATAAAGGAACCTTCAAAAAGGCTCACGAGAGAGATCCTGTCACTCAATAGAAGGGATCTCAAGATGGTAGTTGGGCTCTTAACTGGGCACAACCACCTCAACAGGCACCTAGAACTCATAGGGATCAAAGATGATCCCATCTGCAGATGGTGCTTGGAGGATGATGAAAGATCATCACACATACTCACTGAATGCCCCGCGCTGTTGCATCAGAGGAAAGCTGCCTTTGGGAGCATTGTACTGCACCCAAAGGATGTGAAAGTGACTCAGCTGAGGAATCTGCTGAATTTCGTCAAAGAAATCGGCATGCCCAGCTGATTCACAGGACATGTGGGCGCACAATGGGAACGACTGAAGAGGCCTGAGTGCAGGGGTCTACGCACCCGCCTGCAGAGAAGAAGAAGAAGAAGAAGAAGCAAATGGCGCGAGTATGGAGTAAACAAACAGAATGCATTCCAGTTTTCATCAATACGAGAAAATCACGAACCAATAGAAGACCCTAAAAAAACGTCAAACTTTGTGAAGGTTGTCAACAAACATTCCCATAAGAATACAATGTAAATTTGTCGTTTCAAAATTCATATTTTAGCAAACCACATCATCAATCTGATATATTTTTGATATCAATCAACATTCATATTTACCACTACCATTACCAGATTACTCGAACTATTCAAGTATTGCCAACCCTTCCTCTCCTATTACTTTCTACTCCTTTATGCTTCTATTTTAGGAAATGGAGGTTTCGAATATGCTGGAGGTGCATAATAATATAATAACTGGTGCGTTTGAACACAATGATGTGTTACTATAAATAGGTAAATACCAAGGCTTGCCTTCAATACAGATTTCTTGTGTTCTTTCATGAACATACCTACATGACACTTCCTCCTTAATAGTTTTTGGGATTCCGAGTGATCATTTGGCATCTCTTTTCTCTGCAACAAAACTCAAGTATCACCCACAATTAATAGTTAGGTAGATAGATAAGGTTCATTTTATATTCAGATTTATCTTTCATAAACATACCTACACACTTTTCTTCCTCGATTCTTTTTGGGTTTTCACTAGTGATTCTTCACAAAACCACTCCACTTTTACTGTAAATAGATAGGTATTTGACACTGCCTGCTCAATCATTTTTAGGTTTTCATGTGATGACTTCAAATATTTCGACCGAAGTGTTTATTTGTACACAACTCAAGTGTTTGTTCGATTGTAGTTGAGGTATACTGGACAATAATTTCCATTTGTTCAGGAACAAATACAATGAATACATGTCAATGAGATCGAATCTGTGGTCTATCCTAAACATGTACGTTTCCTGAGCACACTCTTATAAGAATCCTCTTATAAGAATCCTTTGATGACCTCAAAATCTTCACTGAGTCTATTGCTGATGCCTTCTCTAGATAGTTTTTCACACAATAATGATGTTTCCCCGAAAGGAAAATTAGCTTAACGAAACAATGCCCATACACTAGAAAGAGTACAAAGAAACTGAAAAATACTTCCTGGATCCAACTCTCACTAGTTTGTTCATCTGATAGATGTTTTGAGATAACAATCACTCGGGTTGTAGGGACAAAATAAGTCCAAAACCTATTAAAAAAGAATCAAAATCTGCTTGAAACAATTATAAATTTTATTATGATAATGCTAAATTGGTTTGTTGAATACTTTCGGAAAGGTTTCGATTTTGGACACCAGAGGCCGCACACTTTGTGATTTTCGCGAATTATGATAATGATAAGACAAACTGTGATAGATCGACAGAAAGACATATAATAGAAAATCACAGACAGACATGAAACTGTTTTCGAGCTATATTATACCACCTGATTCGTGAATTGAAATCCCCTTGCAAGCTCTCCTCAACAAATCGATGAATTGAATCTGAATAGTGATTAACATGGGGGTGCAAATTTGAACAAAATGACGATGGTGGTAAATGTGAAATAGATTTGAGAGCTTACTAACAATTACTTATTATTATTTTTAGGAGCACTTGGCGCTGGCGTCGAAGGAAGAGCTCGGACAACACCTCCATCAGACGCAGATGCTGCACAAGAAACACAAGAAATTGGAGGCGGAGATATCGGGACACCAGCCCGTCATCGACAAGACTCTGGAAAGCGGACAGGCTCTGATCGATATCGATCATCCCGAAAAAGAAAAGGTTAGACGTCACTGACTAATTTTGTAACTTCAGTACGAATATTTTTGTAATCCCATACTGTTATTTTGATTTAACGGTATTCAGATGACAATTGAAAAGTTAATGTTAACAGCCACTGGCCGTTAATATAATATCATTGTGATATTTTCAAGCTGTCTCATGACAACACGAGGTTGAGATTTTTCTTTCTTCGGAATCAAAATGTATAGTCTTTCAGAGGGATCACGAAAAGTCTTGAACGACACACGGCCGATACAGTTGGCCTGTTCATTCGTTGCTCACCCTGCTAAAAAGTGATGTGAGCAATATTTGATGTTTGTTTGCTCCGAGCAATTGATGCTCGAGTGTTCGTTTGACTGGAGAAAGTTGCCATAGATCACTTGAAGCAGGATTTATTGGCTCCGCGAGTTTTCAGGGAGCAGAAAAATCCAATCAGATTGATCAAGTTGGATGAAAAATTAAATCAAAGAAAATGGCGAAGAATGCAACAATTATATATAAATATGGTGAAAAAGAGTAAATTCTTAACATTACCAAAGTGGTAGACGCGAATTCGTACATCATCCTCGAATAATGCCAACGGTTTTCATCATTTTAATCACGTATTCTTTTCTCTCGATAAAAATCAACGATCAAAATCTTCACTCAAAACCAAATCAAAACAAATGCGGAAATTACTCAGATTATGCTATGTTCAGAAATGATTTGTGCCACTGCTTTGTGTTTGTTTATGTTGAGCAGTAACTCAAGCTTTCTGTTTGTTTGAGTTGAGCAAGAGATCAATGCTCCTACTGGATCATAAAAATCAAATCAGTGACGTCAGATTACGTGATCTTCATGATATTTTGAGCATGTTGAGCTTTTTATACGAACTGGCATAATATTCAACCTCATTCGTTATTTGCTACATATCGGCATTGTAACGTTAATAACTATTTGAATTGGTGGTTGGTTCTCTCAATGCTGGACATATCAATTCATACTTCCCTATTCGTAGTGAAGAAGAATGAATATCTGGGGAAGATCTATTACTCTTTCTGGGACCTTCATTCATTTTATTCATTCATAAACATTTTATTTTCTACCATGGATAAAACGAGCGCACAGAATTGTGGTACAGATAAAGAAGGTCTGTGTTTCATATGTTGAGTAACGTTCTAATTGTTATTTTATACTTCAGTCAACTAGAGATGAATTAAATCATTATCTACCTCCTCTCCCTATCCTTCATAGTCACGCACGATGTTCTTCGAACAATATAAGAATTGCCTTTCCTGCGCTCCAAGAGTTTAAAATAATCTAGGTAAATGTATGTGATAAATAATGTAATACAAAGCGTGTGTCCAATCGTTACACATAGGGCATATGAGTAGCAACATAGCAAGAGAGACTGATTCGGTCGGCTACACCGACTTAAACTACTATCTAGACCGCTAATGCCATGAGAGAGAAGATAAGACACTCACGAGGTCGAACTGAAGAAGATGAATCATGTGCATTTAGGACCTGTAATACATCTTACTCACTCATACTCACGTTTCCGAACACCAAGAAACATGAATCGCTGTCATGAATGACAGTTCGGAAGTTCCTACGCATTGAGCAAAAGCGTTTTCTGGCGAACAATTCTTGACCTAAAAAGCGGTAGATTCAAAAATAAAACGGTAGATATACCGGGTGCACCACTAAGAAAGGACGCCGGCTGTATCTCGGAAGCTAATTGCCGCACAGGTTTCGGAAAAAAATATTTGTGACAAAAGTGGCCAAGAAAAATCTCTGGAAATTTTTCTCAAGTTTTCAGGACAGCCCCTAGAGGGCGTATTCGCATTGGCCAGTTTAATAAACGGGTTTTTATGTAAATTTGATATATCAAGACATATCAAAAACACTTTTTTCATGTTCTTGAGTTGATTTTCAATCATTTCGATCAAAAAAAATTGCGCTAGCTTTTTAAATAAAAGAGGGAGGGAAGGATGAATAGTACTTTGAAAAAACTCTCACTGCTAAAGTTTGGTGTAACGGAATTCAACGATCTTGGTCTCATTATGAAGGGTTTCTCAATAACCCTATACGTAACGATTCGATAAACAATCCTATGAAGATAAGTTCAGGCACTTTTCCAAAAATGATACATCTGTGTTGATATTTTTTCTCAACAATACATATTAATGAATCATTTCAAAATATGTATAAGACAACATTGTCATTTGTTTTCTAGATCAAACAACTCTGTGACACCCTTCGAGGTGCTTGGGAGGAATTGAACATCAAAGCCGACGAGAGGGCTCAGAAACTCGACCTGGCTCTCAAAGCCCAGCAGTATTTCTTCGAGGTGAACGAAGTGGAATCCTGGCTGAACGAGAAAGCCAACATCCTGTCCAGCTCTGACTGTGGTCGAGACAGAGATGCTGCTACCAAATTATTAACCAAACATAAAGTGAGTACCCACCATATGTAGATGGTATGTCACGACGAGCTTTATTATTCCCAAGAAACAATCGACGTATATGTTTATAACATATAAACCAATTAAAGTTAATCAAGTTATATCTATGGAAAAAATTACATTAGAAAACTGAAAAATGTTAAATTTAAAATAGAAAATTAGTAAAAGTATGGCTACATACTCGCCAGGTTGACAAGAAAATTATCCATAAAAATATCTTTGGTCCTGCTTATTGTTAACAATATTATGGCTAAATACCCTAATACCTAATTCCCAAAATGGGATAATATGCAGATTATGTCTTGTATGTCATGTCAGATGTCAACTTCAAATTTGCTTTCATTGTTTTAGTACTTTCTGCTACTTATCAAATTTTAATCTGTTTGTACCGTATTTAGCCATAATATTTATAACAATGAGCAGGACCAAAGATATTTTTATGGATATCTTTCTTGCCAACCTAACGGGTAAGTAGCCTCACTTTTACTAATTTTCTATTTTAAATTTAACATTATTCATTTTTATGATGTAATTTTTTTAATAGATACAACTTGATTAACTTCAATTGATTTTCAAATTTAATTTCAACAAACATTTTTGATAAATAATATTTCTTCAAAAAATCATGTCTTTCGATAGCTAAGAGCTGATTACTTACTTACAGGTAAGCACTGATGATGACTGTATAGTCGAAAGCGCTCTGCTACGAAAAATTTTAATAAATTATTTTGCACGAAATACAACATTTGTTACAATTATTTGTACTCATTATTGGTCAAAACGGCTTGCATGTCCGTGTCTTAACTTTTTATTTACTATCACTAGATCATCATCATCATCATCAAATATGCTTTATTGTCAGAAGAAATAGTTCTTATCGACTAAGTCATTGTATAGGTATTACAAAGTAAAATATTAAGAATGTAGAAATTATTAAAAATATTGAAAATATTGGAAACATTGAAAAAATTAAAACATTAAAAACATCAAGAACGTTAAAAACCAAAAGATGGTAACAAATACAGACATAATATAAAAAAATGTGCAGATGAAGCCACAGGATGCAAACATATGAAATAAATCCTAAAATATAGAGGCAAGCGTATTTTAATGCTAACATAAGGGTTCACTACTAAAAAATTCCTGTTGTAAAAAGGATAAGTGGATAGCAATTCTTTTAATTTTATTTTAAACAATCTAAATGCTTGAATTTATCGTAGATGTATTGGTAATCAATTATAAATTTTTAGTCCATTATAAATGAAAGATTTCGTAACAAGATTGTTTTTAGGTAGTGGTAGAGGTAATCTCAATTTGTGCGATGATTGCGTATTATGGTTAGACGAAACTATATTATATTTGTGACGATTCTTGTGTATTAAGCAAGTGCTTTCTAATATGAAAATTGAAGTAACGGTGAGGATTCTATTATTTTTAAAAAGGTCGCGGCAAGAAATACGCGTTTTTACTTTACAAAGAGCCCTAATGGCTCTTTTTTGTACAACTTGCACCATATGTAACAGTTGTTTGTTGCACACTCCCCAGAAAGCAATGCCGTAGGTAGATGGCGATAACATGACTAGATCATCGTGTTTTATCCGGAAATTTATTCATACAGGCATTGGAGCTGGAACTCGACACTTACAACAACATAATATCTGAGATGGGACATGGGGCGCAGGCGATGATCAAATCCGGTCACCCCGATTCTAAAGCGATCAGCGAGCGACAGTCCAGTCTAGAGCACCTGGTGAGATCGCTCCAACGGTAAGTGACATTCTGTTTTTGATGTTAATTTCAATCGTTATTCGTGAGTGGATAAGAAGAAATTGAACCGAAATGCTGCCACCATCTGCGGAATAAACTGACTGGCATAGTCGGCTGTTTTATGGATATTAACGTTCACCACATACTGCCAAAAAAATTCAATAACAACTTTACTAATATTGGAGATGTTGTCTGATAAAAATGTTGTGGTCAACAGAAAAAGAAATAGACTGAATAACTACCAGGATAATGTTTTAGTCAAAAAACGCTAATATACTGCAATTTTCTTATCATGAGGGTCAATCTCCTTTCTGACCAATTGAACAGACTGCTAAGGTACTATTTACATAGAATCACTTTGTGATTATTATTTTGAGTCGTTTTTTATCGTTGTGTAAGCGGTTACAAAAATTTTAAAAAATGTATATTTGCTCAAGTTAAAGTTGAACACTTCATTCGAATCAATTCAAATTAATGATTGATACAGGTTGTCCCATTGGGGTCTTTCAAGTTTTATATCCGAGATATAGGGTGTTTTATCAATTTTGCTCAATTCTTTGTGACAACATAACTTATGAACCACCCAGTATATTCTCTTGGAATTCGGTACACAATTCCCTCTTCTTCTACCCAAGCGCCTCACCTATCAGTCGAGAAAAACATCTAGGTCCGGATTAACGATCATATTTCTGGACTTCAAGAAAAACGCATTGTATTTTCGAATTCCCAAAATCCGCTAACATATTTGGAAAGTGCACAAACACCTGAATCGTATGGTGTACTTTTTATTTTCCTGCATGCTATTTTACCAAAGAATTTCTAATATTGAAATTGCGGTTTTATGCATTTGGATAGTTGAAATGAAATATTTTGAGTTCTCCCAATCGAATAACAAAAATTATCATGAACCACCAATCTTTAGTTGACTGATAGGTGAGTCGCTTAGGTAGAAGAATATATTGGGTGGTTCGTAAGTTATGTCGTCACAAATAATTAACAAAATTGATAAGACACTCCTTATCTAGGATATAAAAGCTGTGAGACAATTATCTCTACCCACCGTTGAAGTTTTTCCGTTTCCCAATGGGACACCCTGTATGGAAAAAATTAGTAACAAAATAATGATTTCAATCAGACTAATCCTGTCACCCATGTCATAGTCGACTATTTTATAAAAAAAATTCATTATGAAGACGGTGATATTGTTTGATCAAAAAGTGATGGTGGCACCTACGAACGTGAATAGTATTACATTCTAGTCGATTCTATCATTGTGATTGAAAGCAGTCCAATCCAGTTATCATTAACAGTTGTCGAAAAGAAAAAATCCGGTGAAGCCTCTAGAAGTTATCACTTCAAAAATTGTGAACAAGCTCGAGAAGGACATAACATATTACAATTGAGGATACTTTCATAGGTGTCCTGCTGAAGATTAATAATCGACGAATATATGTATTTTTACATTCTATTTCTGTAGGAAAGCTGCTGTCAGACAACACCGGCTGATGGAATCGCTATTTCGTCACGAATACTTTGCCGAATCGGAGGAACTCGAGACTTGGATAGCGGAAAATCTGCAACAGGCCTCTTCCGAAGATTACGGACAGGACTATGAACATCTCATAGTAAGTTCAACAAGAAATAATCGTTCATTTGTCCAAATTTCAACGAAAACACGAATTTTGATTGGATTTTTACAGTTTACATTCTAATGTGACATGAAGCTTTATAATGCTATAGAGTGTTTCCAAGTGAGTTACTGAAAAATAATCTGCCTATGCTGAACCAGTTTTCATGTGAAATGTAGTGTTATTTTCAAAACATATTTTTTACAGCAACTTAAAGCTAAGTTTGACGATTTCAAACACAGAATCGAGGCTGGGTCGGAGAGGTACAAGCAGTGCGAAGATTTGGCCAAGAAATTGGTCGCCAACGAAAGTCCGTATTCTTCTGATATACAAAACAGAATGTCGAAACTAGAGTGAGTACTAACGATTTTATAGAAAAAAAAACTAATGATTACTAACTTTCTTTTGGTTCATTTCATTCGACTTCTCTCCCAAATAATCAAGTTATTTTTCTATAAATATGCATGGAATTGATGGAGATAATTTAGTTATTGGGGTTCACTACTAAGCGTTGAATTTTTCAGATATTAAATTAATTTTGGATGTGGTGAGTTATGATTCCCAATATACATGTTTTTATGGAAGCATGTTGTTTGTATTTTAAATTCTTTCGCATTATTTTACTAAGCGTTAAAGTTTCAGTGCTCATTAAATATACTTTCCAATATCTGCACAATATTTTGTCTATGCACGTGAATGAATTCTTATTTTTTAAACTCAATTTATAAATTTTATTGATTGCATGCATTTAGTATATAATTTTTAATGATGATCGAGAGCTTATTAATTATTACTTTATTATTCTACTAACTGCACTGGTGTTGGCACTAACTTTCAGACCTGACGATCCTTCTGAAGCATGTCAAGAAGTACAGGAGAAGCACGACCAAATGAGGTAATTAATGTCGTTCAGATAAAATTTAATAAAATCATAATTGCGTATTGAACAATTACCATTCAAGGAGAATGATTCCTAAGTGAAACCCCTAAGCATTGATGCTAAGGTAATTTCAAATTCTTGAGTGAAAGCTCGATGCGGAACGTATTTCCATAATATACCGTAAAACGGGGTTACTTTGGCAGGTTTTGACCTATTCTGACACTCTTGGTCAGAAACCGATTGCACAGTCAAACTTTTTGAAATTTCATCGAGCCTTGTGCCCACTTGGCAGTATATCACCCAAATATGGTTGGTTTTCATTCACGCAAGATGGAGAGAAATTTTTTTGTGGGGTGCCAAAGTAGGCAGAATTTTGGGGTTACTTTGACAGTACCTGCAAATCAAATTTACGCCACTGTAGAGGTACACCTTCATTGGCATCAAAAATGGTAAATTATGGGGGCAGCTTTGAGTTTAGTCTTATATTTCGGAAGTTATTGAAATTATAATGCTTTTTTTCATAATACATTCATTCATCACCAAGATTTGAAGAACAACTCGAAAAACAAATTCTGAAAGTATAATAAACATAAATTCTCTACAGGTTTCACAAAAACAACAAAGAAAAAATTAAAACACACTGTCACGATATTCCTTTGTACAGAGGGGAAAAAATAAAAAATGGGTCCGTGCTCGTATCACTGTAAAAGCCACAAACCCACTTTTTGCATTTTCACTTATAATAATCACGAGAGCTTCAATTATTTCCGGAAATTTTTTCGAGAACACGAATTTTCTAAATATTCGTGTTCGAGAAAAAATTCCCGGATATTAATTGAAGCTAAAGTGGTATTCGGTAAGAAAATTTCACACTGAAATATTATTAAAAAATAACTTGGATAATGACGATTTTTGATGGTTTTGACATTTGAATAGTAGGCTTTGTATGTTAACTCAAAAGAATAATATATTTTTTTTATTTGCGTATGTCATTCTTCATGTCAAAACTGAAGAGTAGGTATAATATCATAGTGTTTATATGAAAATGTATTAGTATTATTGATAAAATGCACATTCATAACATTGTTAGGTTAAATAAAACCCAATTAATCTACTTTAGTTACACAAAATAATGAGAAATGAATCGATAGTAGTTGACTTTTGAAATTTTTCACAAATTCAGTTCACTAAACTTGGTAGAAATATATCTTCCTGCAAGGAACCCAAAGTACTATTCAGTATATTCATGAAATTTGCGCGCATAATATTATTAGGTTGAATAAAATATATTTGAACGACTTTAGTTGAATAAATTGAAGAAAAATAAGTCAGTAGTAAATCAATCTTTCAGTTTTTCACAAATTTATTCAACTAGAGTTGGTAAAAAATAATGAAAAAGGTGCCTATTTAAAATGATAGATATAAAAATAGTATAATAATAAGTTCTCTATTATTTCCAGGAGACCTAATATCTTAGTTATCCACTTTAGTTAAATGAGAGTTCTACAGAAAAGTTGATTATAGTTTAATATATCAATTTTCGACCAATCTAATCTACTATAGTCGTAGCAATAATTTATTCACCGAATTTGTTTGGGATTATCAAATATCAATTGCTTCTGGCGTGTGAAAAATATGGATCTCTTCGTGGATTACAACAGAATAAGATTGTTTCAAAGTACTACATATATTTCATGAAACATAGACATTTTATACATTCTAGTGAATGTTCGCTTTTATATTTGAAAAAAGGAATTTTAAAAACACTTGGATGATGAAGTTGAAAATGATGGTTGTTTGTGATGAAATGTAAGGACTAACGTATAGTAACAGAATGTGTTTTTGTAAATTTCGACTTTGCAAGTATACCTACATAATATTATATGGTAAACTGTTGATACATGATTTTTATTTATTGACTTATAGAATGAACACGAAATAATCTGAAGTTGAATTTAAATGTCATCTAACCTATAAACGTCAAACAATTTCCAGTGTAATTACATGCTCCGTCCCCCAAGGAGGAAAAAATTTCCAAGAAATTTGTTTAGTTGCTATGGTAACGATTCGAAATACAGGCATTAAATTGATGGAAAATGTTTGGTGTGAAATTTTCTGCAAGAAATCCAATCAGGACCTCTGTAGTTATTCCACTTTCTAGAGCAAATTGCGCAGACGTCATCTGTAGCTTTAACTACCCTTTTTTGATTTCTTATTGGCATTATTTTAGGAATTGCAACTGACCTTGCATCGGGTGCGTCGTCACTATCATCGTCGCTACTAGAAAGAATCTTTCTCTGGATCCCTGAAGGGCCAGCGACTGGTTCATCTGTAGATAGGTTTGATTGAGGTGCATCATCCTTGAGCTCTTCACCGGGTTCTATTTTTCTACCACGTGTTTTAGTGACCTTTTCCTTGTTTTATCCACGTAGATCTTGAAGCAGATCAATTAGGCTCTCATTTAGGATAGCAGCTTGGGCAATTGCGTCATCTTGATGATCTGGAATTCTTTTGAGGACTTCTTGTGAATTAAATGGACAGAGTCCTGTGCCAGATTTCAAATTATTGGATACATTCTCACTGACTGCAAGCCACAATCGATTCAGGAGTGTAGGAAAATATTCTTTCGAAATGTACGAAGTCGATTTGGTTTCACTGCGCCATTTATCTAGAATCTGACGCCATTTTTTTAAACGGGACAAACACTGCCACATCCAATGGTTGCATAAGATGGGTGCTGTTGGGTGGGAGCGCTGTCATATAGATATTGTTCTCCTCACAAGCTTCAATGACAGTAGGTGAAAAGTGAGAGGCTAAATTGTCCCCAATAACGATTTCTTTCCCAGCATTTTTAATGCCTTCAATTTCGGCCAGTAAAATTTGGAAAAACCATTTTTCAAACTGGTCCATATGCACCAGCCACTGGATGTGTTGCTGTTGACCGTTCCTGGAGGACCTCCTTTTGTCCAACCTTTGTATAGATTTCCTGCCTTGTACACCACCATAGGGGGCAATAAATCTCCTGCAGCGTTTCCGCACACCATGATACTGATGGAATAAACCTGTTCTGGATGATGAAGTTTTCGAGGTAATCATGTCCAGGAACATTGTCATGAAACTCCTTAACAGTACGACCCTTTTTTTGCAAGTATTTGTGGATAAATTCGCGAATATCAACTTTGGTAAACGGAAATCCCCAATTGCTCACTGTCACTAAAGTTTTTGTCAGTAACAGCTCCTCTGCAGGTGTAAATACGGTTGGATGACCTGTAGGGCGCGTATGTTCGCCTTTCAACTTGTTTCAAAGGGTCCCACGTGAAATTTTGAAGCGCCTGCTTGCCGCCGCCTGACTCATGCCGTCCTTAATGGCAGCCAACGCCCTTTCAAGGTCAGCTTCAGTAAAGTTCTTGTAGGTACGCGACCCCAACTTTTTTTTATAGTTTCTAGGCATTGCTAGTCAATTCATGCCTGTAACCAAATAGAATCTTAGAAAAAACAAACAAAAAATATGTATAAAGAAACAAAAAAACATATGAAATATGAATAATCAAACTGCCAAAGTAGGCCGAAGGTGCCAAAGTAACCCCACTTCACGGTACTATTCATATTTATAAGGGTGCAAAAAAACTGTATGAGTTAGAGTGCCTGGAAGATCTGACGTTTAATGCTTTTCAGAGAGTGACACCACATTTGTCACCACTGATGTTCTTGAATTGTCATAGTTTCTGAATATAAAACGTCATTTGTAAATATTGAATAGGCGTACCCGTGAAAATGATTTTTGAATGAAAGTGAAAAAATGTGACAGTCGGCTCTTGGACTTGAACAACAAATTTTTTTGGTCGAATACAGAAAAATAATCGAAATAAGTGTCTTTAAAGCGGGCTCGGTGTGAAGATTTCTATAAACAGACGCTTCTCGTGAATTTCACGTCATCTGGTTTTCTTCAGTTAGATGGCATTTCCTCTGGGGAATTGCTGTGAAGCAATGAAAAAGAAATCAGGAGAAAGTAATTTATTGATATACTCACTTGAGCTGGCACGTGCCATAAAATTCACGTTCTCTCAAATATTAAGAAATAAATAACACCGATACGCCTGCAATTCGAAGATACACTAAAGCTCGTATAGCTCGGAGCCCGATGCTCGCGACCGATAAATAAAAGGGGGTGAGTTATTAGGTGTTTTTCGTAAATTTAAAACGGCGCGCATACTGAAAGGATGGAAAAAAACATTACAAATCAAAAAATTAATTCTGGCAGGCTGGCGTGGGCAACCCTGCTCGACCTGATCTCGATCCGCTAGTAGGGTCTGAACGCTGCCACTGATTCTATCGGGATATCGCCGAGGCGTTGCAGCACGTCCAAGAGAAGAATACCGCGTTGGGCGCGGATCTGGGCAGAGATTTGAACTCGGCACTGACGTTGTCACGCCTATTCGTGATTTTTAATCGTGATTCAATTCAATTCATTCGACAAGAAGTCGCCATCAGGAAAATGAAAAAAAAAAATGAAAAATTGTTTGTTGTAAACTAAATATTTTCGTATCTCATGGAAGTTTGAAAACATAACTAATCTTCCTCTGTCCAACGTGAATATTCATTCAACCGCACATTATAAAGACGAACGAATTTTATTGTTCCGACAAGGAAATTGCTTCACGCTGCATGCCAACATATAGTCTGACTCCTAAAAGATGACCGGTGGAAAGAATGTGAGCCCAGAGCACAGTATACACGTTATGGTCATCAACTCACTGTCAATTTCCAAACGGAATTTCAAGCTCTCGTAAGAAATGGTGGTATCAGTCCAAAAGTGCACTCAGTCACATAGTTCGTGACTTGATGAAGGCGAATTAATCTGCAAAACTAAATTGTTTTTAGCAAGTCGAACTATGAGTAAAGTCGTTTCTTAACGTCTAAGGGTTGCATAAAAGCTCATCAATTATTTGATGTCACTTCAAATATTTGATGCGACGTTATAAATGGAATTCGGTTGCATGATAGGCCCATCATGTACTTAATGGCATGGTTACTTAATCATCTGATTAACTTATAATGATGACTATTCAACTAAAACGGTTGCACACAGGCCAGTCAGCTTTACATGTCACATCAAATCGACTTATTCATGGCATCAACTTAATCAATGCTCGACCACTGATTAAAGTGACAACCAGCAAATTACTTGTGAAAGTTCCGCTAAATTATTTTGAATATTTCGCAGAATTTTTGCAGAATCCGAAAAAAAAAGGTTGGAGTTTTCAGTTTTTGTTTCATTTCAAAAAGGTAGGGTAGGTAAATGAACAAAATAATGAGAGTAAATGACTATTATATTACAGAAAATGTCTATCTCATCATTGTCTTCACTATCTGAAGAAGAACTACTAATTCCCAGGCCAAGCACCTTTTGAAATAGAAACAATCCATTCGAAATGTATGATGACAATGATTTCAATACCCGATTCAGGTTTTCTAAACCAGTTGTATCTAATGGAATTGAACTCATTCTGGATTCTCATCCATGTATCTCGTTCTCTTTTTAGACATATCGCATCCGATTGTTTGCATTCAATAATCTATTCATACCTGTAGACAAGATGAATAAAATAGCTCCATGAGTTTCGAACGAAAGATATCAATCAAAATATAAAAATCATACTTAGGTATTATGCAAAACTTCACTTACTTTTTAACAATCTCCATTAATTTGTAACTTCTGTCAATCCGAATGAAAATCAAGCAAATAAACCTAACCTGAAATGCGTATCAACAATGCGCGGAACGCAAGGAGCAGACAAATTAGCGCTGTTGCCACGCCCTTCTCGTCATTAGTGAATTGAATGATTATTATAACATCAGATTGTTTATGCAACGCTAATGACATTAAACATAACATCAAAGTTATTGTGGAATCAGTTGATAGTATGATTGATTTATTAAAGAACCCTAAAGTTCGAACCTCGATGCTCGCAAGTGATGAAGTCGGGCAAGTTATTACTCGTGTTTATCGTAAATTTTACGACAGGGCGCCCGCTGGAAGGTTAAGGATCAGATTTTTCGATTTTTCCGAAAAATATCGTAATTTTTCACAATTTTGGCAGGCACGCCTGGGAAACCCTGCACGACCAAGTGGAGACTCGAGAGCAGCGTTTGAACGCTGCCGGGGAGATCCACCGCTTCCATCGAGACATCGCCGACGCGTTGCAGCGCGTCCAAGAGAAGAACGCCGCATTGGGCGCCGATCTGGGCAGAGATCTGAACTCGGCGCTGACGTTGTCGCGGAAGCACGAGGCGTTCGAGAACGAGCTGGTGGTGCTAGAGGCGCAGCTGCAGGTGCTGGTGGAGGACGCCTCGAAGCTGCAGAAGGTTGGTTGAACGACACACATGATAAATTATTCCAGATTTTTTTGGGATTTTTTCTCCTCGTCTCTATAAAATAAAAATATGAATACTTTTTCAATATACGTGTAGTGAGGACAAATCAGATGATTTGCCCCAAAATGTCACTGCGTTTAAAGAATTTACCTATCAGAGAGCCTAAAAGAAAAATTTACTAGCTTGTTAGTGACAATTTTTATTGAAAAAAGTTTGGAGAAGACAAATAAAGGTATATAGAAAAATGATCAAATTTTCACTTATCTTTTGACGTTTTGGGAACGAATCTGCTCCCGTTTATAACATAAGAAATAGATTTTTTTATGGCAAATTCGTATTTGTCCTGACACTTCTCAGTTCTCTGTGACAATTGGTGACGTTGTTAATCAAATGAGTTACAGGAAGTTTTCATCATTTAATCTTGAATTTAACATTTTCATTTTCATATTTTAGTAGTGAATGCCATGTTCTATCTATACAGGGTGATTCAAAAGTAAGCGGCATCCTTTCAGAGGCGTATTCCTTGCTTGAAAATAAGGCAAAAAGTTCCTATTGATAAGGATCCGAAAATGCTTCCTAAGGGAGCTACGGCCCTTTGAATAGGACACCTCAAAGACGGTTTTTTCTCTATAACTTTAAAATCCTTCACAACAAATTTTTAAAAATTGGTGTACGGCATAAACATTCGATGGTAAATAGGACTCCGTATTCGAAATTTCAGAATTTCATTCAGGGGCGTCACATGCGGGAGAGGGTAAGTGTAAAAATATCCCTTCTTCTCCGGATATTCAGGTTACTGTGATTTCGTTTGGAAATTATTTCGAATACGGAGTCCTATTTACCATCGAATGTTTATGCCGTACACCAATTTTTAAAAATTTGTTGTGAAGGATTTTAAAGTTATAGAGAAAAAACCGTCTTTGAGGTGTCCTATTCAAAGGGCCGTAGCTCCCTTAGGAAGCATTTTCGGATCCTTATCAATAGGAACTTTTTGCCTTATTTTCATGCAAGGAATACGCCTCTGAAAGGATGCCGCTTACTTTTGAATCACCCTGTATATTTTGCTTCCTGTTCAGATGTATGTTTTTCTGCATTTCCTAGTACTAGATTCTGACTGCCCATAAAAAAATACTTAATTTTCAATGTTCGGTAGTAGTCCATGGTTTCGCATTCTGTATTCTTTATTTTTGTCCATTCGAACGTTTCTGTTAGACCAATGTTAACTGAGATAGCTATCGAGTAATATATAAACTATCGCCCTGTTCATTTACCTATGTAGGGCTTCGCGACACCAAGAGTCCAGTCTTGGTATCATCTTGGTCATGATACAAGACCAAGACCAATTCTCAATTAATCTTCTCAAGACCAAGACTTGACTTTCGAGACCAAGACTCTCTTCCAAGAGTCTTGGTCTTGAAAGAAAAATAATGAACTTAAATCTAGTCAATATTGAGAAAAATCTGATGGAAAATGTAGTGGCATTTTATTTCAATCATTTATTTGCCATATGGTAGGTTTTCAATTTTTCTTCACTGAAAACCCGAAATACATATTTCAAATTCAGTATTGCAGTTTTGAAGTTTACAACAAATAGGTGAATGTTGTATGGTGACAGTGGTCCATACTTCCTTCTATTGTGAAATGGTTAATAAAACCTAATTAAAATTCCAACCTTCTTTCTGGCCTAACGGGGGTCGGACTGTTTGGGTCTCATTCAATATTTATTTTAGGTTTCTCAAAAATTATATTTTTATGGTAAAAGGAGAAATCTATTTCACTTACTTTATTTGATTAATTAATTAATTGACGATTTTAAAGACTGAGAAATACGAAATTCCTATTTTATGCAGATAAACTGTTGGATATTTTAATTGAATAATTCAAATTTCTAGACGCATTTTGATCCAAGACCAAAACTATGAAGACCAAGACTGAGCCAGTCTCATCTTAGTCTTGAAACATGAAGACCAATGCCATCAAGACCAAGACTACATTTAATTTTAGAGACCAAGACCAAGACTGATCAGTCTTGCTCGCGAAGCCCTATATCTGTGTCTTATTTTCGTGATAAATAAAGACGATTAATTTCTGTGTACCAACATTGATCGTCGACGTTTGTCCAGGTGTATCCGAGCAATAAGGCGAATATTCAGCACCAACAGGAATTGGTAGTCGAGGCGTGGAACGGCCTTAAGGAACGAGCAGACCTGAGGCGAGATCAACTTCAAGCCAGCGTCGATCTGCAGAAATTCCTCACACAGGTACGTCAATCTCAAAATCGATGTTAAAGTGACATCTCATAAATATTTGAGGTTCATGGTCCAAGAATAATTTCAACAAAATATCTGTACTATATAAAAAAGCATTAAAAGTTCTGTATCTTCTTCCATATTACACTCCATCAAATCAACTTTATGAAGAAACAAATACATTTTCTTTGGAAGAGTACTGATATCTATAGATCTGATAAATACTCTCAAAATTTCTTTTGATGTTATCAACAAACACCTCAAATCTAACTTCATATTGGTAAGGAATTCTCAAATCCATGAACATCATACTAGACAATATGACTTGTTGCATCTTGATGCTGCTAATTTTACACTTGGCCAAAAAAAGTTCACTCACGGAGCTCTCTGAAAATTCAATAAATACCTGATGATATCAAAAGTTGCACAAATATCACCCAATTCAAAATTAAAGTCATGCAACATATCCTCTTGCAAAGAGAAAATGAAACCTGAGTTAATGATTTCTCATTCACTAATTTATTTCATCATGTCATAATGTACTTTTCATGAGCTTTTTGTTTTATTGTTATTATTTTTGAATCTGTTGTTTATTTCAATAACTAATATTTAAGATTTAATAATGCATGAATAATCTCAAACTAGATATGAATCTGTCTGATTATTCATGTTATTTCATTGTAAATGTTAATGAAATATATTTATATTTTATATTTATACTTCACCTTCTTGGGGCCGGTTGATCAATTGACGAATGAGGCAAAAATATTGTTCAGGCAACCCGCAGTGGTTACGGATACCTATCTCTTTCTATCTCATGTTGGCTAATGGGAAGCGCTCTCATTATTTGAAATATTTTCTCGTTTTTTGCTTTTATTTAAGAGTAAACGTGATTAAATATAAATATTCATTTTAGGAAAAAGGATAATGTTGCAATCAATTATCATTAAAAAATTATTATTGATTTTTTTATTGACTTGTAAGTGAGATTTCATTTTTATTCTTACAGGATTAGGAAGTCAAATGAATATAAAATTGAAATTATATTTTCTCATTCAAATGTCAAAATATATTGTACAGGGTGAGCGAAGCTCAATGACTCGAGAAAAACGAGAGAGAGAGAGAAAATTTGAAAGGAGGTTCTTGAATCGTATTGAGTTCCTAAGGTCTATTTAAAGCCTAATTTTCAAGAGTACCTTATAGTTTTAACCTTCAAAATGTTTTTTATCACCTCATCAAAATTGTCATTCTCCTTTTTATTTTTTGTTTCAGTATTTTCATTTTTCTTTGCAATAGAATAGGCCTTCTCTAATGAATCAGTTTGAGGTTTCATTATCAATAACTTTTGAAACTTGGGAGCTGGAATTTTTAGGCAAATCAATGTCTATAGGAAAAACATCGTCCTAAAATCCTAGTTATGAACATCCACACACTCACACATCCACAGATACATCCTGAAAATAAATTACTATATATAATAAAATCAAGTATTTGGGAACTTACTTTGACCCACACATGAAGTGGAACTATCACATTGAATATGTTGTATTAAAAATTAGAAAGTTATATTATAAATTCTATCAACTTCGACAAATTTTGGATAGGAACAGCATTGTCAATATTTATAGGGCTTTGGTAGAGTCTGTGTTATCATATGGAATCTCAGCCTGGGGTTCAGCTTATGCTAATGCCATGACTCCTTTAAATGTAGCACAAAAATACATTTTAAAAATTATAATATTCAGAAATAAAACATTTCCTACTGACAAACTCTTTGAAGATGCAGGTGTTCTTGACATATCTCAATTATACTTAAAATCTGTTGTAAGATATCTATCAAAAATGAATGTACCGAAAGTTAATCATGTTATAACAACTAGATCAGTAATTGTTCCTACTACATCTCATGTAACCATTCAACGAAGTATATTTTATATAGGACCAAAAATATATAACATACTGCCAAACGAACTCAAATGCAAACCATAAAAAAAAATCAAAAATAAAATATCATCTTGGATTTTAAAAAGCAACCCCAATATCTAGTTATTAGTTTGACATATATTGCATATATTGTATATATTCAGATTGTATATTACATTAGTACATATTAGTCCAGATAGTATAGTATATATAGTATATAAGACGATTCATTAGCAAATTCACTCATAGGTTAATTGTGTTATAAATGCGACTGGTGCACACACAAGCTTTTAAAGCTCATTTTGTACCTGAATGTATGTAAACCATATATGACTGTTCATGGCTATTGAATAAATACTCAAATACTCGAATATTTTTTTAAAGATTCTGAACAATTTCAATTTACCATGATGTTTTGCATCCAAAGGCAACACAATATAAATAACCATTATTTATTAATTCGAAATCACAAACATTTTCAACAACAATCAATTCACACAACAATGAAGTTCCATCTCCACTTTTTTGGTCTGTTTAGTTAAAAAAAAAGATCTCAAGTACTCCAATTATTAGATAAAAGAAAATTTATACACCAATTTGCCATTAAACAACACGAGTGTGAAAGAGACAGGTTACCGTAAGACAAACTATCTTTGCTGCAGCTGTCCCTGATACACTGCTTGTAAAGGCTTTGATGACGAAGATTAAAAAAAAAATTTTTCATTAAACATTTCCAAATGAAATTCACACCCTTGCTGCCAGGTATAAAATAACACAGAATTCTCCGAATTATATAGGCCCCAGAATATTTAATCATCTACCACACGATATCAAAACATCTTGTGATATTAAACAACTCTAATATGGTTTGAAATCGTTTCTGTTAGAACATTGCTTTCACTCCATTGATGAATTTTATTTAGTCAGAACTGTCCAGCATACTGGATAGCTTTATTTCACTGTTCCCATATATGACTTATTACTTTGTATTGTAATGTATTCTTTTAGACTGACTATTCCTATACAAAATGTACTTTTGTCGTTCAAAGGTAAATAAATGGAAAAAAAAACAGGAACTAAGGTCAAATTGCGCTTCAACATTTTACATGGAGGTGGTCATCTCACTGTATATAATCAAGGTTCATATTCGGAATGTTCACATTCTACACTCACCGGTAAAATAAACCGGCCAACAAAAAATTTGCCCAAATTGTTCAGCCTTTTTAAATCCTTGTCTGATTTTCGTGAAATTGCGATTAAATCAAGATTCATGTTCCGGAATGTTGGCCAGAATATTAGTTCTCCTGAAAACATGATGACTTCGTCATTATACAGGGAAAAACTAAATTTACTCTTTCACATTATACTTCTCAACGCCCTGTGGCAAAATTTCGTGGTTGAAGTTGACTTTATTATGCTTCGAATTGAAGTGTGGTCACTTCTGAACACAATAGTTTTTGATTCACGTCAATATCTTATACTTTGAAGAGAAGTTACGAGTGTTTTAAGAAAGTATGTCATTATTCAATTTTTTTCACCAATAATCAGAACCTACCTAAACTTATTCATAAACATCTTAAAGGATTATTATCACTTATTTCTACCTCACTTTCTTAGCACTCATCGAAAAATTAATTACAGAAAACAATCAAGGAGCAGATCTGTAGTCAATAACGAGTATGCTCTCCTCGAGGTTGAATTACAGCATTCAATCGCCGTGGCATCGACTTGATCAAATTTCTCAAGTAGTCTTGAAGAATTATGTGGAAGTCTCCTTGAAGGGCGAATCGTAGCTCTTGAAGAGTCTTTGACAAGGCTGGACCAAGGCGAATGTGCCTCTGGACGTCATATCTAAGATACTCTATAGGTTCTGAATTAGGTATTGTTATTGAAAATTAAAACATTTTATATTTCCTTGAAATACTTGGATCTTCTCTCAGAAAGAAGATATTGACGTGAATCAAAAACCGTTGTATGAAGAAGGGACGAAAAAGGATCACACTTTAATTTAAAACATGATGAAGCAGAAGGTTGGACCAGTTATTCTTACATTACAGAATTTTCACAGAAATTGCATGCAATTCGATTGCTGGACTTTTTCAAATATCAACTGCGCAGGCCTGTCGGATAGTTTTCATGCAACTTGTAGGCTTGACAAAAATTAGAAAATATTCTAATTATCGAGGTTCATTCTCATGCAACTTTGCATATTTCTGGGGATTTCATGATTTTACCAGTGACATAAAACTTTCGCCAGTAACTAAATATCTCAAAGTTATAATCAACTTTTCTCTTAGGGAAATACTGTTGCGGAAAAAAGTATCACTGTTCTTAATTCGATTCTCAATTTTCCCCAATAACTCATTGAATGTGGACCCATCTAGACGCAGGTAATCTTTGAAGGCTTTCAAGTATCCCATTTTTGTATTTAACCGTGTTTGATAGATTGATTGATTGTCTTCATTACCCCAAGAAACATAGTTGTTTATAATAGGGATACATAAACAATATACATAATGTTATACATACAATTATGAAATTATAATAAGATATAACAAGTAGAAAAAAAATGCAAATAATCATGCAATATCAACCTAGTCTTTTATAAGTAGGTATTCAAATAAGAAATGGAATTATCAAAGTCTCTGAAGCAGATGTTTTTTTAAGTTAATTTTGAATCTAGTTGCTTCCTGTATATTCCTCAATTGACTTGGTAATGAGTTGTATAGAACGATTCCTGTGTGAAAAATTGATTGTTTGCCGATATTTGACTTGAACGTATTTGCTATTAGTAAATTTGATTGTCTTGTTCCATGATTATGTAATGAATTGATTTCATTGAAATTCAAATTCGAAATTTTCAATTTATATAGGACAAATTGAATAAAACAACATATTTTAAGTTTATATAGTGATGTCAGATCTAATAAATCTCTAGGTTTGTATAAATTCATGGTTGGTTCGAGAAAATTTAAATTGAAAATACACTTCAATGATTTATTTTGTTATTAGTGGACTCAAACGTGAAATATTGGTACTTCCCCATATAGATATTAGGTATTGAAATTTTGGGTAAATAAGAGAGTAATAAATACTCTTCAAGTATCTGGTAGAAATGAAATTTCGTATTTTGAATAAAATGCCTGTAATAGGATTAAGTTTGTTTCTCAAATGATCTATATGTTTATTCCACAATAGTCGTTCATCAATATAAAGACCTAAAAATTTTGTAACATCTGTATATTTGATGAGTTTATTGTTGAAGGATAGTGTTCTATTTGAAATGTTCAATGTTCTTTTTGCTATGTACATATATGAGGATTTGTTATAATTGAGAGATAGTTTATGAACTTGTAACCAAGAGGATATTTTCTCTAAATCACTTTTCATGTCCATGATAATATTATTTGAATCTTTAGAGAAATAAATCAATGTCGTGTCATCTGCAAATAATTTAAGTTTTCCTCTCAATTCCAAGTTTGATATTGAATTTATGTAGATCAAAAATAAAACTGGTCCCAAGACTGACCCTTGCGGTACACCGCATGAGATGTGCATTAAGGAGCTACAAGTACAACTCACTTCAACATATTGTTTTCTATTTGACAGATAATTTTTGAACCAATCATGAATTCTTCCTCTGACACCAATTGCAAATAATGTATTTAATAAAATGTTATGGTTGACAGTATCGAAAGCTTTGCATAGATCTAATGACAATAAACCGCATTGATCATTTTTATCTATTCGTAATTGGATATCTGAAATAACATCCATAACGGCTACTTCAGTGTCTTTCGATCTACGGAATCCATACTGACCACTTCGATTTTCAATACGACTTTTAATATAAATGGCAAGAACAGCAGAGACTGTTATGAGTAGAACAGCTATTTTTTTCAATACTTATTCATTTTGAAACGATGCACATTCCACAGTACAAAAATAATAAGCTAGGTTCACAGATGAGACACCAGCTAACCTTATATAAACTGTGTATATGATGAAATGTCAAAAAAGTCTTGAAAAACTGCAGTAAAAAGGATCAAATGTAAAAAGGCGAATTTTTAGTTTCAATCCGCAACTTATATTGCATGCGATCGAACTGCAGAAAAAAGTTTGTAATGTAAGAATAGCCGAGTATGGTTATGAATAATTGTCAATGAACATTTGAAAAATCCATACTCTCTTGAAACACTTGTTTCTTCCCTCAGAAAGTGGTTATCGACTTGAATCAAAAACCATTATATTGAGAAGGAATCACACTCCAATTCGAAACATAATGAAGCTCGGTTAAACCACTCACCGTCCCCACAGGGCGTTAAGAAATTAAGGGTGAAAGAGTAACTTTTGTTTTTCCGTGTATAACGATCAAACCATCAGCTTTTCTTAGGAACTAATATTCAGGCTAACATTCCAAAACATGATCATACGATTTCCTCGGAATTTCACTGAAATCGGACAAAAATTAAAAATGTTTCAGGGCGAACAATTGGGCTAAATTTTTTGGTGGCCGGTTTTTATGCCGGTATACACTAACCGGAAGGAAGGTTGCGTTTGAAGCATTTTTTAAATTTTTCCAAACATCCCACTATCGGATTCATTCAGGTGAGAGACTTGATGAACTGGGCGACCAGTCTGCGGTTGGCCATGAGCGCTGAGGAGAACGTGCGCAGCGCCGCCAGAGCGCAGGTGCTGAAGAGCGAGCACGAGGCCCTCAAGGGGGAGATCGAAGCGAGGGAGGCCACTTTCCTCGATGTCGCTGATAATTTGGCTGCCATGGAACAGACAGGTCAGTCTATTTATTGTTTTACAATATTTTTCACTGACAATTTAACTCTTTTTTTTATGTATACATTGATATTCATCATACAGGACGTGGAAAGAAATTCTGAATTGAGAAAAACTAATCACGAATCTGCGATTGAGGTCTATAAAAATAACAAGTTACAATCGTTCATATTTGAACCCCTTGATTGGGTGATAGTATTGAAAAGGAATATTCTCAGATATAATTATGAACATGAAAAAATGGATATATATATACAGGGTGTAGAATACATTCTGTATATGATGATTGTTTTATATATCGTGGTTACTTTGTATTATGATTTTGATGTTGACATAAGAAAAAATAATAAATATTCTGACTTGAGCAGTCAAAAAAAGTCTAATTAAATATTGAATATATCTCGACTAGAAGACGAAATTGACGACTGTTACATTGGTCCTTCGATTATATAAAGTATCCAGCCCTGTGGAAGACTCCGCAGTAGACATTTTGACTATAAAGATGAGCAGAAGACTTGCTGCAGGTAGACATAGTCATTTAGACGATAACTACGAGTGGCCTAGGAACTTTGGTCAGTCAAGGAACATGAATGTACAAGAAAATCAAACAGATTCAAGAGAAGATTTAGAACAAATCACGACAGCAGATGTACAACGTGGACAATCTGAGGAATCAGATCTCAGAAATAATGATAAAAGCACCAGAAATACTGCAATCAATGGTGGTGAAGAAACAAAAATATCGAATGCATCATCTCGTCATTCGATACGATCGAAGAATTCGAGAATGTCAAAATCAAGCATCGATTATCAACGGAAGAGGATTGCTTTTGAAGCGGAAAAGGCAAGACAAATTTTGTTAGATGAAGCAATAAGAGAAAAGTTGAAATTGATAGACATGGAAAAGCAAGTACGAGAAGCTGAGTTATTAGACATGGAAGAAAATAGATCACAGAAGAGCAGTAGTCTCAGTTTGTTTTCAAGACAAAGAAATGAAATATCAGGTATCGATAAAAATAATGATAACCAAACGATGGGTGTGATGAAATCTGTTGCTGATTGGGTCAGCCAAATTCCAGACCTTCCTGATGACTATCAGGCAACAGAACAAGAACAAACCTATGAAATTATGACCAATAAGAACAAAGACATATCACAAACTAGAAGTAGCAAGAATTCTCCAACAGTATTCCAGATGAATACTGACCATTTGGATCAAATTTGTGGAATCATAAAAAATCATGTCAATCCAGGAGTTCCAGGAGCATCCGGATTCAAAATGTCTACGAATTTGCCAATTTTTGATGGCAATCCAGAAGAATGGCCTATATTTTACAGTCAGTATAAAAGATCGACAGATATCTATAAGATTTGTGATAAAGAAAATATTGTACGATTACAAAGATGTCTGAAGGGCAGAGCTAAAGAGACAGTTCAACCCCTCTTGATTGCATCATCAGATGCACTGAAAATAATAGAAACTTTGAAATTTACTTTCGGACGTCCAGAATTCATCATTTCCTCACTGATAGAAAAAGTCAGGAGAGCTGCTCCTCTGAAAGAGGGCAAATTTGAAACATACTTGCAGTTTTCAAATATCGTTGAAAGTTTAGTAACGACAATGGAAATCTTTGAAAGTACAGGACACATGAATAACCCACAACTCCTGAACGAAGTTGTTGTGAAAATTCCTCCTTTTTTACGAATTGAATGGGCGAAAATATCAATGACAAAGACAAATGTCAGTCTGAAAGATTTCTCAACTTGGCTGAGAGATATTGCATTGGCAGCATCTACTTGTATAGAAATGGGATTCAGTGACAAAAGATTTCATGAAAGCGATAAGTTCGAGCAAAAACGGAAGAGGGAGAACATATTTTCTACTAAGAAAACATATTATGAAAGAAAATCAAAGTGCTCTTGTTGCAAGCAAGAAGACCACCAGATTGAAGACTGTGTCATTTTCAAGAAAAAAGAAGTCAACGACAAATGGAAAACAATAACTTCAGAAAAACTTTGTTTCTCGTGTCTGAGACCTGCACATAGTATTTTCAGCTGCAGAAAGAAGAAAAAATGTCAGCTATGTGAAAAATTCCACCACACGAGTTTGCATAACGAAGAAGTTGCTAGAACAAATAATGATCATGGAGGAGAGGCATCGACGTCGAACTATACTCATGCAGAAGCCATACACCATACTAGCAGGGAAGGTGAAATTGACATTTTACTTCGAATAATTCCTGTGAGTCTCAGAGGTCCTCGAGGAGAAATCAATACGTATGCTCTGTTTGACGAAGCAGCCACGACAACGTTGATCGAATCGAGAATCGCCGATGAAATTGGACTTGATGGACCTATCGAGCCACTGTGTTATCAATGGTTAAATGAAGTTAGCCGAAACGATGACTCTTCAAGAAGAGTAACTGTTGAAATATCTGGTATGGACGAATTTTCCAAAACTAGAACCATAAGTGGCCTGTCTTTGCCAAAACAATCAGTAGATGTTGAGAAATTGGCAGAAACATATCCATATATAAAAATGACACCAGTTACATCATACAAAGACGCACAGCCAATGATACTTATTGGTCAAGACCAATGTCCCCTGACCATTGCCAGAAAATTCTACCATGGTTCTTCTTGGAATTCTCCATTCGTATCGAGAACACTTTTGGGATGGGTTGTTCATGGAACCAATCACCATTCAAAGAGTCTGGTAGACAAATCCCTGATTTTTCACCTATGTTGTAATAATAGACAAGACTCTGATTTAGAATTACATAATCTCGTGAAAGATTCCTTTAAAATTGATAATTTTGGTACCAACTCACTTGAGGAAAATGGAAAATCAAAAGAAGACGAGAAAGCAATGAAAATATTGGACAATACCATCAAGAGGGTAGGAAATCGTTTTGAAATCGGATTGTTATGGAAGAACGAAGATACTAAATTACCCGATAGTAAGAGTGTTGCTTTCAATAGACTCAAATGCATGGAACGCAAGATGGACAAAAATGAAAACTTCGCTGCTAGATACTGTGAAAAGATTGAGGAATACCTGAAGAAGGGCTACGTGAAGAAGCTTAGTCCTGAAGAAGCAGCTCAAGAATCTCCAAAGACGTGGTATTTACCTCATTTTGGCGTTATTAATCCCAATAAGCCAGACAAATTGCGATTAGTATTCGACGCAGCAGCAAAATCTGGAGGAGTTAGCTTGAACGACAACCTCTTACAAGGTGAAGACATGCTCAGGAGTCTACTAGCCATTTTATGGAAGTTCAGACAAAAGAAAGTAGCCTTCTGTGGCGACATTAAGGAAATGTTCCACCAGGTATTGATCCTCGATGAAGATTGTTCAGCTCAACGATTCTTCTGGAGAGGTATGGACAGACAGAAGAAACCAGATGTATATCAGATGAAGGCCATGATTTTTGGAGCGACCTCCTCACCTTGTATGGCACAGTACGTGAAAAATAAAAATGCGGAAGATCACGCAAAGGAATATCCTGAAGCAGTCAAGGCCATCATTGAGAAACATTATGTCGACGACTACCTTGACTCAACGGATACAGAAGATCAAGCCATTCAACTGATTTCTGAAGTTATCGAGGTGCACAAAAATGGTGGTTTTCAAATTTGCAATTGGATTTCTAATTCAGAAAGAGTTATGTCAACTATTCCAGAAAATTTACGAGCAAAAAGTCACAAGAACCTTGACTCATTTTGTAAAAAATCTTTGGAGCGAATACTAGGGCTATGGTGGAATCCAGAAAGCGACAACTTTACTTTCTCTATGAACTGTTACAAAGTGAATCCTGAAATAATAAAATGTACGAAAATTCCGACAAAAAGGGAGGCTCTGAAATTAACCATGTCTGTATTCGATCCGCTTGGATTTCTCGCACCTCTGGTAGTCAAATTCAAAATTTTTCTGCAACAAATATGGCGAATTGGTATAGGATGGGACGATACCATAACCCAAGAAATGAACACTACGTGGATTCAACTTGTTTGTGAATTGAAGAAAATTGAAGATATTACCATTCCAAGATGTTATGGACCCAACATTTCTGTGAGTAACATTGTAGAACTTCACGGATTTTGCGATAGCAGTGAGAAAGCCTTTTCTGCAGTAGTTTATCTCCGCATTGGACAAGGTAATGGTTTCACAGTTGCCTTTGTTAGTGCTAAAACAAGGGTAGCGCCATTGAAACCTGTGACTATTCCAAGACTCGAACTTCAAGCTGCTCTTATGTTGAGTAGGTTGATAAACGCTATTCGAAAGTACTTAGAAGTAAAGATCACTGCATCATTCCAATGGACAGACTCGAAGACAGTACTACGTTATATTCGATCACAAAATAAGAGATATAAAACCTTTGTAGCCCACAGGGTCCGAGAGATAACCGAACTAACCGAAATTTCAAGTTGGCGTTGGGTTCCTGGAGAAATGAATGTGGCTGATGAGAGCACGAGGGAGATCTCAAATGATAAGAGTAGATGGCTACTAGGACCAACCTATTTAGAACTTTCAGAAGAATTCTGGCCGAAAGAATCAGTAGACAACATGAACGAAGAAGATAGTATAAATGAGTTGGAAGTCAAGAAAGAAAGTATACTACTGATACAACCGCATTCCGCAGATTATTTGCCAGACGTATGTAGATTCTCAAAATACATGAAATTGATAAGATCAACTGCATGGATGAGGAGATTCATTGGTAATTGTAGACACGAGAAGAGGACGAGCATTGTTCTAGAAACTGACGAAATTGTGGCTGCCGAAGAATGCTGGATGAAGCATGTTCAAGGAGTGTCATTTCCAGAAGAAATAGCAAGATTGAAAAAAAAGATTTCGGTTCCAAAAACTAGTAGACTCTATACATTGAATCCAATTCTTGATGATGAAGGGGTCCTACGAATCAAGGGTCGTTTGGCAAAATCAGACGATTTATGTTACTTTCAAAAATTCCCAGTAATATTGGATCCGAAACACCGATTTACAAGATTGCTCATAGAAGACTATCATGCGAGGTTTCATCACCAGGGTCATGAAATAGTCATCAATGAGTTGCGACAACGTTATTGGATTCTCCGACTTAGAAGTGCAGTGAAGAAATGTAAAAATGACTGTTTTTACTGCAAAAAAGAACGAGCGAAGCCCGAAGTACCAGAAATGGGTCAACTGCCGTATTGTCGTTTGAAGAGTTTTGTTCGCCCTTTCACTTTTACCGGAATGGACTATTTTGGACCTTTAACCGTCACAATCGGAAGAAGACATGAAAAAAGGTACATAGTTCTCTTTACCTGCTTGAGTGTTCGAGCAATCCACTTAGAAATCGCCCAGTCTCTGAATACTGATGCAGCCATAATGGCCATCCGAAGATTCATCGGGAGAAGAGGATGTCCAGAAGAGATGTATTCTGATAATGGAACCAACCTTCACTCAGCGAATACAGAACTGAAAAAGGCCATGGAGGAACTGGAAAATGATAAAGTCTCCGAATATATGACCACAAGGAAAATTGATTGGAAATTCATTCCACCAGCATCACCACATATGGGAGGTAGCTGGGAGAGACTTATCAAATGTGTTAAGAATGTGTTGAAGGTATCACTGAAAGAAAGGAGTCCTAAAGAAGAAGTACTGCAAACTTTCATTGTGGAGGCTGAAAACATAGTGAATAGTAGACCTCTGACATATGTTTCAACGGAAAGTTTGGACATCGAAAGTCTCACGCCGAATCATTTTTTGCTGAGTTCTTCTAGTGGAACTTCCCCACTACCAGGGAAATTTGATAAGCACGATATCAATTTGAGAAAACAATGGAGGGTATCTCAAGCGTTGGCTGATATGTTCTGGCGAAGATGGGTCAAGGAATACCTACCGACTCTGAACAAGGTTAGCAGATGGCATCATTCACAGTCATCAGAAAATTGTTGCGTCGATGATGTAGTGTTGGTCGTAGATGATACGCTACCTAGAAATACATGGCCCCTAGGTATTATCGAGAAAGTATATATGGGAAACGATGGAAAAGTAAGAGTGGTAGATGTGAGGACGAAAGATAGATCATATCGGAGACCAGTTACCAAAATCTGCAGATTACCACATATACGACAAATTGAAAGCGACGATGGTGAAAATGAATAATGATTGTTTAAACAAGGGGGGAGAAATGTAGAATACATTCTGTATATGATGATTGTTTTATATATCGTGGTTACTTTGTATTATGATTTTGATGTTGACATAAGAAAAAATAATAAATATTCTGACTTGAGCAGTCAAAAAAAGTCTAATTAAATATTGAATATATCTCGACTAGAAGACGAAATTGACGACTGTTACACAGGGTGTCTGTAAAAGGGTGGGTCATGGCTCGGCTGTGGACTCCATGGATAAAAACATGTTGATTTAGGCCAACTTACTTATATCCAAAATCGTCTCGTTGAGTTTGTACAAGGCGTTGAAGTTTTTTTGGAAACAAATAATTTTGCTCATGAGAAGAGTAGGCTGAGATCGATTTTCATATTTTTTGGCACGGCATGTTCTGTGACTATGAGTCACGTTTTGAGATGTTTTCGAACATCTTCAGTGAACTGCAAGTGTTTCAAACAACCATGTTGCCGTACAAATTTGTTGATAACTTTCCAGAGGTCAGACTGAGAACTTCCAGTTTTTTTTCCAGAAAGATATTCCCTTCAGAAATATTTTGTGTATCGTGTTGATTTTTGGCGAGTCTCGAGGCAATCAAATTATTTCTAATCTGATGCATCCTGCGCATTTTTGAAAATTAATCTAATCAGTCGGACTGTTTATTGATCATGGCTACACTGTATTCTTATTGTGAACAAACTGATAAGTTGCTGGTCCTCGCGGGCTTCACAAGAACTCTCGCGTTACCAATTTAGTGATAACTATTCAGGATCTAAGGTGAGAACTTTAACGCCTTATACCAACTCAACGAGACGACTTTCGATATAGGTAAGTTGGCTTAAATCAACTTATTTTTATCCCAGGAGTCTACAGTCAAGCCGTGTCCCAACCAGATCATAAATTATTTATTTGCAAAAAAAAAAACTAGAAGTTTTCAGTCTGACCTCTGAAAAGTTATCACCAAATCGGTACGGCAACATGGTTGTTTGAAACACTTGCAGGTCACTGATGATGATCAAAAACATCTTAAAACGTGACTTACAGTCACAGAACATGCCATGCCAAAAATAATGAAAATCGATCTCAGCCTTCTCTTTTTTATGAGCAAAATTATTTTTTTCCAAAATAACTTCAACGCCTTGTACCAACTCAACGAGACGACTTTCGATATAGGTTAGTTGGCCTAAATCAAGTTGTTTTCATCCCAGGAGTCCACAGCCGAGCCATGTCCCAACCTTTCACCGACACCCTGTATATATACAGTATGATGCAAATGTATGGAATGAGATCATTTCAAAACAAGACGACTTTCGAAAAAAATCGAAAAACTAGAGTTTAGAACTTGTTTGATTGGTGTATTTTTTTAACTAGACGACCTTTCGATGTTTAATTCTCAGTAACAGACCTCTGCAAGATTCTGTTAATCAAATGATAATCCATTTCAATTTCAATCTTCTTATTCAAAATTTTGACTCTTAGATAGACGATCAGTAGACCTTCCAAACGAGGTGCCACATGACCCCTGCTTGTATTTGGAAAAATCGTTCATTACGTCATTACTCCAACACCGGTGACTTAACATCTCTCATATGAATATCATGAGATGAGGCTTCAAAAATTAAAACTCACGTGTTTTTGGAGTTTTTTCAAATGTCGCCGATTTCTGAAATAATGAATTTATTCCATACATTCGCATCATACTGTATATTCACAGGATGTTATTCAAGTATGTGGTCATACTTCAAGAGTTGTTTTTTCCAGTGATTCCGAGTCGAAATATAGTTGTTTTTTCCAGTGATTCCGAGTCGAAATATCCTTGTAAACATGGGTCAGAAAATACACCGTTTCCAAGATTTGAAGAAAAAATTGCTTTTCCGTAAATATCGCAAATATCTTTGAACAAATTTTGTTGAAATATTGCGGTGTTATTCATAGTAGTATCAGGTACTGATTAAGCCATTACTAGATTCACGAAAAACCTATTTTGCAAAAAAGTTTGACACTGAGTCTCTTGAAAATTATGCATTTTCGGAGCTATGGTCATATGAACTTGTCTCCTCTGAAAAATCTGCCCTTGAAGTGTGGCCACATATTTAAATAACACCCTGTATATATATATAAAGAAATACATTGAGAATTTACATTCTATATGTGATAACAATATCAATTCTTCCTCGGTTTATTCAACAGAAAACAACGACGAACATTGAATTACATATATTGAACATACACGAGAAGAATTTGAAAACGAAACAAAAGTAGAGAATTTGCATTCTCCTTCCTGTAAAGATATGCACATAATATCATTCTGAATATTCAACAGAAAACAACTACTTTCCTGGCTATTTGCCACGTCGAACATCGAATTATATCTGTTGAATATCCAAAGACAGAGCATGAAAAATCAAAATCCTCTGAAATTGAGATATGAAATCATCTCTCAAATCGGATAAAATAATATGATGTTTTATGATATAAAAATTTAGCTTTCCAATATGATCAGTATTGAAATGAAAATTGAAATGTATATGAGAAGTATACTTGTATAAACTCTGATCTTGATGAGCTTGGCCTTAGCCTCTCCCATGATAACTATGTTTATCGTGGGGAAGTTTAGTAATGCTTCCATGGCGGCTGTTGGTGTTGTTTTCATAGCTCCCGTTATGCTGAGGCAAGTCTTTGTACCTTGCTCAACTCAGCCGCGGCTATTTTTTGGTTTACCTTTGTCCACCATACCAAAGATGCGTATGTGATCATGGGTTTCACCACAATGTTAGTTAGTAGAAGGAAAAAAATACATGACCATGGACTAGTTTTCAAGGATTTTACTTATAGCATGCTGAAATGTATGTAATTTTGAAAATAAATTTAAAAAAATTGTTAGGTCATTACGCAGCCGCTGAGGGGATCGACCGATACCAGACCCTGATGCAAGAACGCGAGCGCCTACACGCCGCCTGGCAAACGAAAAAAATCCACTTGGACCAGCTCTGCGACCTGCACGTCTTCCTGAGAGAGGCGAAGCTCATCGAGGACGCTACCAATGGTCAGGAGGCCGCTTTGGCCAACTGCGAGGTCGGCGAGACTGTCGACGAGGTACTTTTACTCATTCAATATGGCTTCAAGTCATGAAATTATCCATATCTCAAAGTGGTCCAGAATAATTTCAAACGAAAAATAAACAACACAACTTTGACGTGTGGTCGACCGACTTTGTGTTGCTCGTTTTTCTTTTATAATATGGCTTTGTCTACGAGATTTTCATCTTTCAGCAATAATAGTAGATTGTTTTATAATGGTCAAGAGTGACACTTTGTTTGACAAGCGAATTATGCATTTGCGAGGCGGAGCGTCTAGCGAAGCCGAGCGAAAGCGAAATTTGCGAGTCAAACAAAATCACTTTTGATCCGAATGAAACATGCTTTTTTTCCTGCAACCGGAAGAATTAACTAAAATAAATATATGAAGTAACCACCAATGTGGCTTAATTGACAGATTATTATAATACCTTTATTAACGTGGAGGCCGTGCCATATGTATGCAATGCAACAAATAATCCGTGTGGTGAGAATATTCCACCTGCATTTCACCTGCATTTACAGATCAGGTATTCGAATTGTAGTTTCAAAATGAATACAACCATAAAGTGACCCATTTGTGTATTCTATTAATCATCGAATTGATTGATTGTCTTTATTATCCCAAGAAACATTATTGTTTATAATAGGGATATATACAACAAAACATACATATAACATAATAAATCGAAACAATAATAATTCCTCAATTATTGTTTTGCATAAAAAAATTATGATAAAATATAAAATGAAAATATTATAATCCGTTACAAGTAATCGAATTGTGAATGATTAGTGGATATGGAATTAAAGTTTACTGAGCAGATATTTCTTCAATTTGATTTTGAATTTATCTGCTTTTTCTATATTTTTCAACTCTTTAGGTAAGGATTTATTTGAAACTATTTCATTATGTAATATTGATTGTCTACGAAAATGTTACTTATAATTATTTGTTATAAATAAATTAAATTGCCTTGTTTCATGGGCTTGAAACGTATTAACTTCATTAAAATTCAAATCTGATATTTTCGATTCCTTCCTGACAAAATGAATGAAATAACAAATTTTGAGTTTATATAATGAAACTAGATTCAGCAAGTCTTTAGGTTTGTAGGTAGGTAAATTGAAAATGCACTTTATTGTTTTAGTTTGTAATTTCATGAGTGGCTTCAATCGTGAAATATTTTTACTTCCCCAAATAGATATTAGATATTGTAAATTTGAATAAAGAAGACAGAAATTAATACTCTTTAGGTATCTAACAGGAATGAAATTTCGAATTTTATATACAGGGTGTTTCAAAATTCAGTATCAAGATTTTAGGGGCGTATTTTTCAGGTCAAAATAGGACGTTTTTGTCCATAAACATGTGTCCGCAAACGCTTCGTTACCGATCTACAGAGCGTTAAAGTTTCAAGATTTTTTTATTTTTTTCTTCATAGCTCTTTCAATTTTTGAGATATTAAGATCAAATTTGGAATGTAGGTTACGTTCTAGGGCTTACATCATCCAGCATGCCGAGTGATTGTGAGAATCTACAGGGAGATATTTTTTTCAGGGGTCAAGCCCTTTTTTACCCCATAAACTTTTTTGTGGTGCGCCGCTGGTGAATTCTGAGATACGAAATGAATTCTTTGTTTTGTTTATAAATTTTTTTGTCTCTTGTAATTTTCACGCATCTGCGATCGTTATCGAGAAAAAAGTAAAATCAATTTTTGTGATTCGCTACATTTAATTAAAATTTTCAACGGAACAATGAAAAAGCGAATTAGTGGGCTTTGACTGCTATTTTCATTTTGACGTTTAGGTTTGTTTTGAAGCATTTGACATTATTTGAAAGTTGGTGGATGTCTCATCGTGTATTTGTTTAACTTTAACGCTCTGTAGATCGGTAACGAAGCGTTTGCGGACACATGTTTATGGACAAAAACGTCTTATTTTGACCTGAAAAATACGCCCCTAAAATCTTGATACTGAATTTTGAAACACCCTGTATAATACCAGCAATAGTATCAAATTTTTTCCTCAAATGATCAATATGTAGAGTTCACGGTAATTGTTCATCAATATAAAGACCTAAACATTTTGTTACATCTGTATATTCAATGGATTTGTTATTGAAACATATTGGGGTATTATTCTTAATATCATTATTAATATCGTTAAAATCTTTTGAAGTATAGATTATTGTTGTATCTATCATCTGCAATTAATTTTAGTTTTACTTTTAATTCCAAAGTAGATATCGAGTTAATGTAAATCAAAAATGAAATTGGACCAGGTGTGAGCCCTAATAGCAAATACCGCGCCAGTGCCAGGTATAGGAAAAAGAAGTGCAAAATGTTTGTGTTAGCAATAGAAACGTCGATTCAAGAACTAAGCTTGGTATTCAAATGGACGACTTTTGTGTCGGTTTGCAGAAAAAGTATTTATTTTGATTGATTCGATTGATATTGTTAGGTGGCCGGGCAGCTGAAGCGGCACGAGGCGTTCGAGAAGGTGATGCACTTGCAGGACAGGAACTTGGAGGCGCTGCAGCAGTCGGGAGCCAAGTTGTTGGCGCAGGATCACTTCGATAGCGAGCAGGTAAGCCATAGTCGTTGTTAATTTAAGTTATTGAAGAGAACGGGAAATATTTCCTTGCTTGTATTCCACAAAATCACGAATCCTTAGATGGCGCTGAAAAACACCTCATTTTGAACTGAAGGTGGTCAACGAATATTCCACAAAGTATCCAATGTGAATTGGTCGTTTTGAAATCCATCTTTTGCAACCCAACTCATCAATCTGAGATATTTTTGATGATGAACATTTATAAATTAAGCAAAAACCGCACTTCACACAACTTGAAAAATATTGTGATAATTATCGACCAATTTCATTAATTGATAATATTGCGAAAATTTTGGAAAAATCCATCAAAATCAGATAAACAGATTTTTTGGAAAAACATAAGGTTTGTTCGCGTTCGAAAAATAAACAGTCCGAAACCATTAGAAACATGCGCAGTTCCACGGAACTTGAAAAATTCTTACTGTTCTGTGAAAATTCTTACTGTTCTGTGAAATTGCGCATGCTCCTGATGGAACAAGCCTGATATTAATTATTTCCGAAACAATTTGGATTCAGGAAAAAAATGGAAACAGAAGATGCAATATTCAATGTTACTGAAACTATAGGCGAATCATGCTAAGGAATACGCCCTCTACCGTTTTCTAATATAACTAACGTATGGGCCATTGATTGCTTTGTTTACATCAGTTTGCATGTGTTTTATATGAGAAGTAGTTGTGTTTGAATCGTCTATTATTTTGTTTGAGAAATTTTATAAACGTTTAAATACATGAATCACTATTGTTGTGTTCCCCATTGTTCATCTGCAGCAAAAAAAAATCCGAATATATCTTTCATACCTTTCCAAAATCAGGACAACCCTAAGTTGTAAGAAAGATGTGAATTCATATCTTGAAGATTGGAAAAAAGTGTCTGAGCATATTATGAAAGATTATTCTTTTCAATTTACCCATATATCTCCATATATAATAGGTATATATCTATTATGAATGTAATACCTACTTCTTGGGGTAATAATAAAAAACAAACAAATTCTCAACTGATTATCTTCCATCATAATAATACTACTCATGAACAGTAGAATTTATAAACAGTAAAGAATTTCATCAACCAGAACCCTGGGTTTCACATAAAACATGTAACATTTTATTCATATAATTTTCTTCCACAACATAACATGTTCTTCGCAAACTCAAAATCAAATACCATCAATATGCTGATATGCTGTTTTCACTGGACTGTCAAACTGGTGTGTACGCTGATGATACCAGAATATTCGGAAACCCGCTAACACACAGTGCTTCTCTCCAATCTGATTTGGATAAAATAAACCAATGGTGCGTCGACTGGCTCATCCCCCTGAATGTTGATAAATGCTCGATTTTGCATATCGGAAAAACAATTCCGGAACTCACGTATAGTGTATGTGGTAATCAGCTGATGTCCGGGAACTCGCAGGTTGACCTAGGTGTCACTGTAACTAGCGATTTAAGCTGGTCGGAACACATTGCGAACATCGCTAAGAAGGCAAATAAATCACTTTATCTTCTCAAGAAAACATTCTCCAATCCTACGCCTGAATTAGCTATGGAACTGTACACAACATATGTGAGACCCACGCTTGAATATACCGCACCAGTATGGTGCCCTTGGCTCGTAAGATATATTAACCTTCTTGAAAGGATTCAAAGATCAGCGACTCGTTGGCCGAGATCGATACGAAACCTACCATACGAGGAACGTCTTGGAAAACTGAAGCTTACTTCTCTCCAAACACGTCGTCTGCGTGGCGATTTAATACAAATGTATTGCATTACACCTATCCAACAGAGCCTTTGAGGCATGGAACAAACTGCCAATGGAAGTAGTGTGTGCACCAAATATATCTACATTCAAATCACGACTGGATTCGTTGTGCCTCTGAAATTCATTGACTTTTCAATCTTCTTACAAACCTCCTCATTTTGTATATTGTGCTATAATAGGCTATGCCTCTGCACTTACTGTTTATAATAATAATAATAATAATAACCAAAATAAATTCAGAATAATGTAATTGAAAGATGAATATGTAACCAAAAATATATCGTTTAGATTAAAAGTAGAGCCATCCCCAATTGTATCTGCCCATAATAATTATGTAGCCGTTTCAACTATATAAATTCACCATTTCCTTGGACTACATATAAGTGATTTTTTCGAGAGCTTCTATGATAGTCTTCCTACTATGTACCTGTAAAATGATGTTTAACATTCAGTTTTTGTATCAAGAATAGAAATGGAGGTATTGGATTATTATTTGTTGTAAAAAGTAAGTAAAAAAGAGGTATATAACTTAACCTACGAAAGAACATTTCATTCCCAAAAGGTAGGTACTTCCAACCAAAAATATCAGGTGAATATCCCAGCCATCTATTTGTATTGGAAATTACAGGTTAAATCATGATAATTCTTGTTCGATAATGATGAGAACTTACAGCTTACATTTGATATGGTACATATAAATATCAACTAGTGGTAGATAGGTTATCTACTGTTGAACAGATATAATCTTGTCCTCAATCGAAACATAATAAACCACTGGAAAACACGAAGTTCAAAAATACACAAATAATGAAGCTAAACGTTTGAAATACCAAAACGAAATGAACTTAAACACCATTACTGAACAATGTGAACAATCTATCAATGGCCCATAGAGTAGTATCGACATTCGCCGTTCTGGCGCTACGATCTTAAACTCAGTCGCCTATTGAAAATCCTTAGATAATAAACGAAAATCTATTGGAATATTTTTTGATATGTATTTGAAATACTTGGGAAGGAACAGTATCGAATGCTGAATTTGATTTATCAATTATAAAAACCAATCTTGATCATGATTTACTGACTCTTGATATAAAAAAATCGAATTTAATGGCATTCATATTTAATGAGAATATGCAACCAAGAAGAATTGATGAATTGAAGATACATACTTTTCCATGTTTCAAAAATGAAAAGCAAAGTAATTGTACCGAATATATTACAAAAATTGATGTAGTGAAGTATTTGGGAATTCACTCAGATTGCAAGCTCAAATGTCATAAACAAGTTAATGAATTGATACAAAGACTAAAGAAGACACTCCATAAATTCAGGTTACTGAGAAACATTGTCAGTCGGAATTTGATTATCAGTTTCTAGTATGGTCTTTTTCAATCTATTCTGGCTTATGGCATAATAGGCTGGGGAGGTCTATACAGGGTGTCCCTATGGGAACTGAATCGATCAATATATAGAAAACCATTGGTGGTCCGAAATTGAAAATTTGGTAGTTGACTATTGTTGATAAGTGCTATCCGGCAAAAATATTTTGAAGATTGTGGCAATTCCGGTTGTACCGGAAATGGACCCCAACTTCGTTATTTCAAATGGAACACCCTGTATTTTATTGCATTTTTAGATTCTTACTGAAGAGCTGATTTCATCAATGCATCAGGAATGGTTACAGAGATTTAGGGTGTTCAATATCGAGATTTTTCAAATTTAGGATTTTTTTGTATCGAAACTATTCATTATCGATCAAAACGGCTACATGTCCCTATCTTATCTTTCGATTCACTATCTACTGACATTCAATTGGAACAGATACAGGGTGATCAGAATTCTGAATCTTGAAGCAACCTGTATTTTTTCCAATTAAATGAATAAAATAAAATAAATAAAAATATTTCATATTGTTTTCAAAATGAGTTTGCCACCACCAACCATTTTAAATAAGTTGGACCAAGTTGGTGATCACATGAGACATTTTGTAAAATGAATTAGTCAAAATGATGGAGGTATTTTATCAAATAAATACCTAGGCAGCAGGCACATCTTCAATATGGATTAATCTTTTGTTTTCTCATGAACATACTACATGACACTTCCTCCTCAATGAGGGCTATCATCTTCAATCTCACCAGTTGGCGCTACTAAAACGTGAGGTCAACGTCAAAGTCAGAAATCCCAAAATTTGGCCGGATTGCCCTAAAGGCTGTGTGTGTGTGTTTGTTGCCGGAAAGGTATCAAAGTTCTCATACTTTCATTATTCCAAATTTTTTGGGATTTTCTCCTCGTTTCTATAAAATAAAAATATGAATATTATTTCAATATATGTGTAGTAAGGACAAATCAGATGATTTACCCCAAAATGTCACTGCGTTAAAAGAATTTTCCTATCAGAAAGCCTAAAAGAAAAATTCACTAGCTTGCCAGTGACAATTTGTATTGAAAATAGTTTGGAGAAGAGAAATAATGGTATATAGAAAAAATATCAAATTTTCACTTATCTTTGGACGTTTCGGGACCGAATCTGCTCCCGTTTTCAACATGAGAAATGATTATTTTAATAGCATAGTCGTATCTGTCTTGAAGCTTTTCAGTTTTTATTGACAATTGGTGACGTTGGCAATCAATTGAGTTACAGGATGTTTTCATTAATTAATCCTGAATTCACCATTTTCATGTTTGGTTTTCAGTAGTGAATACCATGTTCTGTCTATATCTACTGAACAAGAAGCAATGCTATTGTCTCAGAAGAATGCAAGCAGATTCCTTGGTTTTCTCTTCAGGTTGTTATCTTCTTCTCCAATGATTTCAATATTATTCCACTCTGCCATATGTTGTCCGTCTTCAGTAAGGATATGTTCAGCTAGTTCCGATTTATCGATGTGTCTTTTCTTTATTTTGTACTTATGTTTCTTCGTCCTTAATGAAAGAGGTCTCTTGGTTTCACCTGTATAAAACCTTCCACAAACACAAGGTATACTGTAAATACAATTTTTTTACGATTGTTCTTCATTTTTCGGCTTTGTTTGAGTTAGAATTGATCTCATTGTATTCTCAGTTTTGAACACAGTTTTCACTTGAAATTTATCACCAACACGTTTTATTTTTTCAGATATGCCAGGAAGTGATTTTACTAAATATACTGCACGCTAGCACAAACCACGCCCACCATAATACTTCATATCTCCAAACATTACCGATATACTCGGAGTCAGCACATCGCACTAAATATACTGTGCTCCAACGCAAGAATACACTTTATGATTTTCACACGAATTCGACTGAAGCTCTCTCGTTGTCAATCTCTTGTGCGCAGTTAATTCATATACCCAAATGGTCTACTGGTTAGCGCTGTCGACTTTCAGTCTGAAGGTCCATGGTTCGAATCGCTGTGAACTTGAACTTTTTTTTGCAACTATTTTTTTCACCAATGTTTTTTTACTTCATTCTAGTTTTCCTTTTTCAGAAAATATTTGAAGTCAAATAGGTTAGTGCGTTTAGGATGAAGAGTCTCATTTTATTCAATTTTGTTGAAGTACTTAACTTTTGAAATAGGTATTTATTATTTATTTATTTATTTATTTATTCTCATATGAATACATTTACAAAGACATACATATTTTAATATTATAAAAATTCTAAATTTTATCTACTTCACATAGGTTATTGACCTGTGTGTGAATTAGATAATTATTATAAACTTTTTGTAAAAAATTTTCAAGTTCTTAAAAATATTTAGATTAAATATTGATTATAAATTCAATATATACAAATTATTTGAAGAGATTATCAATTTCTTTTGCATTATCCAAAAACCAAATTTTAATTTTTTTTTTCAATGTTACAATATTCAAACGTCTCAATTTTGATGGAACTCTGTTAAAAATTTTTGACCCAATAAAACTACTATGGTTTTGCATGATTTTGAGATTATGTTTTTCAAGTTGAACATTATCATTTCTTGTACAATAATTGTGACTAATTTTATTACTAAATGCAGTGTTTTTTTTCAAGAAATTCAATGATGCTTTATAAAATAATTGTTTGACATTCAGTATATGATTATCTACAAATAATGAGGATGATGGATAATCCAAAGGTTTGCGAAAAAATATTTTCAAAACATATTTTTGAATACTTAATAATGGTTGGAGATGAGTCTCATACATACCACCCCATCCAATGATTCCATATGACAGAATAGATTGAAAAAGTACATGATATAACATTATGATTAAATTTCTATTAACAATATTTCGTAAAAATCTGAATTTTGGAAGAGTACTTCTGAGCTTCTTAGTAAGTTCTGAAACGTGATATATTATTAATCAATGTGTTTCTACACTCCATTCGGTTTTCCTTCCTCAAAAATATTGCAATCAGGGATAGGTTAGTTCGTTAAGGATAAATAGTCTCTGAGTTTTGCCTAAGTACTTCGAAGATGAGATATTACGGTGGGCGTGGTTTGTGCTAGCGTACAGTATATTTAGTAAAATCGCTACCGGGAATGAATGGTATTATATTTGTCGTCATTGATGGTTGATTTTGTGGTGGTTGATCCTGTTTGTTTTCAGTTTGATGAATCGTCCTATGGACAAAATTCTTCGGATAGGAATTGAGTTGGAGAACATTTTTAATGTATCTTCTTATTATTTGTTGTTTCCGTGAATAATATTGTGCTGTTCCATCTCAGATTTCCAGTAAGCTATCCGAAATTCAAGCAAAGCGCAAACGGGTGCACCAACTGAGCGCCCAAAAGACCCAGCTGCTCACCAACGGGCTGCTCTATGCGGAATTCAACAGGGACATCGACGAGACGCAAGCGTGGATGACGGAGAAGCAGAAGAAATTGAACGCGGAGCAAAAGAATGCCGAGATAACGACTTTCGAGGAAAAGGTAAATAGATCACAGATTAAATAACGAAATAATACCTTTCAATTTTATATTTTTGTAGAATTTTTTGGTCGATTTTCAGGTACTATTAAAATTGAAATCATTAAAAGTACTGTATTGTCTTCCATAAGATACACCAATAACTGAACTATATGCTTTAACAAGGACATATTCTTTAGAAGAACTGTACAGATTAGAGACTCTAAAAATTTCATACAATATTGTTACGTTATTCGGGTGCAGTAGCGAACACGACACTATTTATTTTCGAACGGATTTATTTGAACTAAAGAAACACTAATTTATATCGAACTTACAACTACTATTTATGTAAAACGATTTATATCACACGGTATATAACTGTCTCTCTGACACTCGCTGCTCGACTGACTGACGGCAGTTATTCGGCCGCTTATATATGAGATCACTTGGCTGGCTTTGGTTCGAGAACCTTCTCGAATGATCTTCCGTTTCCTTCTTTTTGTTCTAGAAGCTTCTTAGAACAAACCTCTCTATCTAATTGTTCCATCGATTGTTTCCAGAACATTCCAGAATCTTCTGTGACGTTATCTGTCACTGTGGCATATATTGAGTGTTCGGAAATATGCTAGTGCATGTAGGAATCATTGGGAGGTAGGAGAACGATCTGGGATGCGTGTTACAGGATGAGCGTTGTACTCCTGTCTTACTGATGATGTTTCTAAAGCCCCTCTAAGGGAAATATCATTACACTATCATTAATAAAAAATTGAAATCTAATCTAATATTGACAAAAAATATTGAAATTCATAGTCATCAAACTAGACAATATAACTTATTTTACCTTGATGCTGCTAGTTATACACTCGGACAAAAAAGATTCACTCATCCAGCCTTATCTGAGTTCAATAAACTACCAGATGAAATTAAAAACTGCAGAAATATAGGTACGTTTAAAAAGAAAGTAAAAAAACTAATCATTCCTGAGAGAAATGTTTAAAATTTATCAGTAAGTTATGTCCTTGACTAGAATTCCATTTTTTTTTTCTTTCATTGTGATTTATTGTGATATTCTGATTTATTATGATTTATTATTCATGTTCACTTCTACTCATGTTTGTGTAGTAGTTCATCGATATTTATTACTTATTATTTTATAATTATGTTCTTTCTTATACCAGAACTTGTTCTGACTGGAAGATATGTTTGATAAATAAATGAATGAAAATAATCAATAATACCACGGTAATTTTCAAACGGATAGAAAGGACCCCGCAAATTTTCAAGGTAATTTGGGTCCCGGTGGATTTTTCTCAATTTTTGGTATGATGTAGTTCATTTGTTTCAAGTACATATTGGCATGGCGCCATCCCCCAAAAATGAACAGTTTTTTTGCTAGGGGGGGTTGAATTCACATTTTGACCGAATTGATTATTTATTTCTGAGAGAATGAACAATAATCTAGAATTTTTTATTTCATCTAATTTCTCCTATGAATATATGCTTTTTGAAAAAAATATAGTGTGGGGGAATTATTACCCCAAACTCCCATTTTGAAAAACGAAAAAAAAAAAAAAAAGAGAATTCGCCTAACCATCAAAAGTGATAGAAAATGTTCCATTACCCAGAATTATGGAAACCGCCTTTTTGTATTATTGCCCCTCACCGAATGGGAGGCGCCCATGAAAAAAAAGTTCGGTGGATTTCGCTGAATATTTGATATGATGTACTCTATATGATACTGATCAGAAAATAATTGGGTGACAATCCTGAAAAATGGACAGTTTTCTTGCTACAGGGGGTTCAATTCACATTTTGAACACATAAATAGACTAGATGAGTACCTATTTGATTCTAAACTTCTTTTCAATATATCATCTCCATTCCCTATATACCCTAAGAATTATTCATCAAAAAATATTTTGAGGTTGGGTTCCTACCCCTTCAAAAAGTATTTTGAGAAATATAAAACAAAAATACAGTGCTACCGTGAAGAGCATAGGAAAGTGATTAATTACGTGAAATTATGGAAAAAGCTCTCTTGCATGATTGCCTCCTCTCCACCAAGTGGGGGGGTGCGCATGAAAAACATCTTTGGTGCATGGATTTACACTTTGGGTTCATGTGCACATGTGGCAAGTGTACTATGGTTTTTGTGTGAGATACCCATGGATCTCTTCATTAGATACAGTTATGGATGCCGCAAATAGGCAAAAATTGATTTGAATCAAGCACCACCACGGATTCAAATAATTGATGTTTAGGACTTGTTAAGTCATTGTGTATTCAGAAGCATATTGAACAATGGTGATAACATATAGTTTCGAAGTGTAAATATTCATACTACTTACTCTATATGCCGTCGTTACCCATTGTGAATTGATACTACACTTACTACAGTTCCGTCTATACCTAATAATATCAAATTCCATTTTTCTCAGTCGTATTCCATTTGAAGAATCATAAGAAAGTACCTCATTGATCATAATATATGAAAATGAAATCAAATGGTTATTGACCTGAGTCTTTCAGCCAATGGGAGATATAATAAGTGGAAAGTTGTTATCTTTTCAGATATGAATTATCTCATTCTCAATCATCATCACAGCCATAATCACATGGAATACAACCACATTATACCTATATTGAAAATCCAGTGTAAATCCATGCACCAAAGATGTTTTTCATGCGCACCCCCCCCCACTTGGTGGAGAGAAGGCAATCATGCAAGAGAGCTTTTTCCATAATTTCACGTAATTAATCACTTTCTTATGCTCTTCACGGTGGCACTGTATTTTTGTTTTATATTTCTGAAAATACTTTTTGAAGGGGTAATAACCCCCCCTCAAATAATTTTTCGATGAATAATTGTTAGGGAATATAGAGAATGGAGATGATATATTGAAAAGAAGTTTAGAATCAAATAGGTACTCATCTAGTCTATTTATGTGTTCAAAATGTGAATTGAACCCCCTGTAGCAAGAAAACTGTCCATTTTTCAGGATTGTCACCCAATTATTTTCTGATCAGTATCATATAGAGTACATCATATCAAAAATTCAGCGAATTCCACCGAACTTTTTTTTCATGGGCGCCTCCCATTCGGTGAGGGGGGCAATAATACAAAAAGGCGGTTTCCATAATTCTGGGTAATGGAACATTTTCTATCACTTTTGACGGTTAGGTGAATTCTCTTTTTTTTTTCGTTTTTCAAAATGGGAGTTTGGGGTAATAATTCCCCCACACTATATTTTTTTCAAAAAGCATATATTCATAGGAGAAATTAGATGAAATAAAAAATTCTAGATTATTGTTCATTCTCTCAGAAATAAATAATCAATTCGGTCAAAATGTGAATTCAACCCCCCCTAGCAAAAAAACTGTTCACTTTTGGGGGTTGGCGCGATGCCAATATGTAATTGAAACAAATGAACTACATCATACCAAAAATTGAGAAAAATCCACCGGGACCCAAATTACCTTGAAAATTTGCGGGGTCCTTTACCGCGAGTAAAAACTGACGTCACGATTTCGTAAGTAGGGCAGACCATAGCTCAGTTGCCATGTGTTGAATTACGATTGGGAAATTCAGAAATATTAGTTATTCAAACATTCATAGATTCTCAATTATGTATCGGTCATATTCCTATTTAGCAAGATAAAATCATTTGTCTCAAAATGTTCCCTTATGATTTGTGGCTTATTGCTTATAATACATTTGTGTAAATAGTAATAATATTAATTCACACTAGAGGACATTTGAAGCGGTGAACGTGACAACACGATGCGCACGACTTGTGGGCGTGGTCTTGTTCCTTTTGAAGCCGTGAACGAGACAACACGGTGCGAACGACTTGTGGGCGTGGTCTTGTTCCTTCTCAGCATTCAACACAATGTTACCAAGTCTCCAACATTTACATGATATGGAGTATAAGAAATATTTAATCATGCTGGTTGATCGAAAAAGTCAAGATTGAACAAAAATAATGATGTGTTTTATTCAACGACAGGACTGACTCTTACATCTTTTTGATAACTTATTGATTATAATTGGTGACTCGATAACCTTGCTTCTCTAGTGGAAATGGAAGGTTATCTCACCAATAACGAAACATCATGAAAGCTGACGCCACAATTTATTCAACGTTTCGCCAAATGGTGGATTTGATGATGATTTGCCCCAAAATGTCACTGCGTTTAACAAATTTTTCTATCAAGGAGCCTGAAAGAAAAATCCAGTAGCTTGTCAGTGACAATTTGTTTGAAAAATGTTTGAAGGAAAGAAATATAGATATATTGAAAAAATATCAAATTTCTACTTATCTTTGGACGTTTCGGGACCGAATGTGCTCCCGTTCTCAACATAAAAATGCAAAATATTTCTCTTTGGAAGTAGCTGCATATAGTTTGACTATACTGATGTTGGCATATGAATGAGTGATTTCAGTCTACAAATTATTGATTATAATTGGTGACTCGATAATCTTGCTTCGTGAGTGGAAATGGAAGATTATCTGACCAATAACGAAACAGCATAAAAGCTGACGCCACCATTTATTCGACGTATCGCCAAATGGTGGCCATGACGGTACGTTTGAAATGAGCTCCGAAATTCAACAATTTCAAACACGCATACACTCATTATTTACATAAAAAAGTGTGAGAAGTGCAATAAATAATTTAGGTCCCTAACGAGTCGTTAGTAACGACACAGTGGAGCAATAATTCATTATAAGTCCACTCGCCCATTCACAGAAAATTAATAATAATAATAATAATAATAATCTTTATTTCAAGGAATGTTATGCAATAAATAAAATTTAACACAAAACATTAAATGAAAAAACGTCACAAAATGGTACATTTGACAGGACGTGTACCTAATATTAACATTATACAAAAGCATGTATTTCACATGTACAACATTTGAATAAAAAAATGTATGGAATACAGAAAGAATAACATAATTATGACATTATACTATTATAGTTGTGCTGATATAAAATCATCTACAGTATACGGCTCTATTTTCATTAATAAATTGAAAATTGTTTTCTTAAAGATGTTAAGTGTTTGTATTTCTTGAACCTCGCGACTCAGCTTCATAAAAAATCTTAAGCAGCAGTATTTTGTACTTTTTTCTGTGAGTGTTAGTCTGTGTGCTGGATAGTTATAAATTACGGATCTAGTATTATATGTATGTTGTGAAAGACAATCATTGAAAAAATGTTTATTTTTGAAGAAGAATAGTAAACACTCTTGTATAAATATTGCACTAGCTGTTAGAATTCTATTTTGTTCAAATTTTCCTCTACACGTTTCCAAAAAATCCAAATTTGATATTATTCTAACAGCTCGTTTCTGGATTGTGAATAACTTTTTGAATTCACCACTGCTACCGAAAAAAATAATCCCATATCTTAACACAGCTTCAAAATGTGCATGATACACAATCTTCAATGTTGGGTTGTTCAGATATTTTGCCATAATTCTCAAACTATAGGTCACACTATTCAGTTTATTACATAGTTTCTCAATATGATAATTCCATTTCAAATTTTCGTCTATAACAACACCTAGAAATTTGGTTGATGTTATTGTATCATACTTTCTATTATTTATGTCTATACTTTCAGGTGTTTGAAATCGTGCATGTGTTGTTTTAAACAATATACAACTCGTTTTTTCTTTATTAAGTATCAGTCTATTTTTATCAAAGTACTCATTGGCTGCTGTTAAAACTAATTCTGCGGATTCAATTAAACCGGGATAAAGTGGATCATATAGTTGGAAATTCGCATAGTAAATAAGTGCGACAAACTTCAGGCGGTGATTTCATGTGACATTTTAGGAATTGAAGTTTATATAAACATGTGTCATAACTTTTTGATATACAGGATTGTTGAAGTTGGGAGTATTGATTGTTTTTATTTATACCTTCCCCGGAGGGTATCAACATTCAGTATAGTTGGAAACTGACATAGTCCAAACATTTCAAAATGATTCTCATTGAGGTTATTCATAACCCTCTAGAGAGCGCCTACATTACAATTATTAGGAGTCTAATCAATTTTTTATTGTTTTCTCAGAAATTGAGTGAAATAAAAAAATTACACAGTGGATGAGAAAGTTGTTTTTTAATTGTTCAATATATTAACATCATGGAACTTAGGCAAACCAGTAGCGTACAAAGATTTTTAACATAAATATCCATAGGGTAACCATCTGTGACGCCACTGGAAATATTATTTCGAATCTAATTACACCAAATGAAGCTCCATGTTCACAAAACCACCAAATCTCATTGAAATTGATAAACATATATTTCAGTGATGAATGAAAAAAACGATTTATCATGGAAATATTAATACCTTGTATCTCGAAAATGAAGCTAATTAAGACACATGTTTATATGAACCTTATTTCCTGAAGTATTACAAGGAATCGCCACCTGAAGTTAATCGCACTTATTCACCAACACCCTGTATTTCGTGTTCCCAAGGGTAAGACATTTTTTCAAGATGTTAGAATTCATTGAAATATACAAATCTACCAAATATCGCATCTATAGTGAATTTTGCATAATACCGGTTACATTATTAAGCAAAGGTGTTCCACAGGGATCTGTTTTAGGGCCCATCTTGTATTTATTATATATTCAAAATATTTCTAAAATTGGATTGTCAGGTAATTATACTATATATAATCAAGAGAACAAACTCAAAGTCTCGCTCCAAGTAAATTATAATCAAATCATATGTGCTACATGTTTCGACTCCTAGGAGTCATCATCAGGCTGAAATACAACACTTATAAATAAAAGAAGTTCCGAAAATGGGTGACATACCTTGCTAGGTAGGAGGAGAAAAGAAACTATAAAATTGACGACATAGTTCGAAGGGTTTTAGGCCCCAAACATTTTTAAAAAACATTTTTGAATTTTGGTTTTTTGAACCCCCAAATAAACATTTTTCCTAAGATGCTTCTTTTTGGATCAAATAAACATAGTGTACAGAAAATGGCGTGAGTATGAAGTGAACAAACCGACAGACTACTTGATTTGAGAGATAAAAATGGTAGATATAAAAATTATTTTTCGACAAACAAGTGACAAATGTCACTATATATGCAGATGATACTGTACTTTTATTCGAAAACAAAAACCCCATAATTCTAGAAAATACTATCAACGAAGATTTGAAAAAATTTGAAAAATGACTTTATTCAAACATTTTATCAATTAATACTAATAAAACTGAATATATATTATTCCATCAGAAAAATAAACAGAATATAAGTCTCAATCTTCAAATTAAAAATGAAATATTGAAAAGAACTACACAATCATATAAAGTATCTTGGTATGTGGATTGATGAAAAATTGAAATGGGACAAGCATATACAAAAAATATTTCCAATCATTGGAGCTTTGCGAAGATGTCCTAAACTTAACAAAAAAGTCATAAATATAGTACTTCATTCTCATATATCCAGTCGTATTACCTAAATGATAAACTTTTGGGGATCTTGTTCAAAAAATTATTTCAGTAAAATATCTGCACTTTATAATAAATCACTGAAAGTATTGTATCGTCTCTCATTTGATATCCCAACAAATGATCTGTATGCGATAACAGAAAAATTTTCATTGGATGAATTATATAAAATAGATTCTCTTAAAGTTTCATATAATATCATAAACAATAATCTGAAATCCAATTTTGTTTTGATAAGAAACTCAGAAATTCATGGTCATCACACGAAACAATTGAACTTATTTCATCTTGATTCTGCTACTTCTATAATTGCCCAAAAAAAAATTACTCACGCTGCTCTAGCTGAATTCAATAAATTACCAAATAATATAAAAAATTGCAGACATATTTCAAAATTTGAAATTGAATTAAAAAAACACATGATTTCATTACGAAATGGACAAAATTTATACTTTGCCATCTACTGATTAGTCGATGTGGCTATTTTTATGAGTTGATCGATTTAGCATTTCCAGATTTTTTAGTTTTTTTTTTGTTGTCACCTTATATTATTTCATTATTGTTGTTTGTAATCAACTTCCTCATACCAGAATTTTATTTCTGACTGGAAGCTAGTTTTTCAATAAACAATAAACAATATTTCATCAATTCAAGTCTCTTCTTCTTCTATCAATTAATTCTGATTGAACTGTTCATCTTTCATTGTATTGCATATTTGATTTATTTATTTTAATTCTTTTTGTTTCTCTCTATAAACATTGTATGTTTCTTGGGATCAATAAATGTTGTTATTATTATTATTATTATTATATTCCTAATTCAAGAATAGTATAATAAGATTCGACCAGAATCGAGCCGATATTATTATATTGCTCTCGCTCTGATAACGACCCATCTCCTCCATTATACTACACGTCTTCTTCTTCGCTAGGTGAAGATGCTGCAGAAGCACCAAGCCTTCCAGGCCGAGTTGGCAGCCAACGCTGGCCGCATCGACGAGATCCGAGGCGGCGGCGAGACGTTGATCAGGAAGAACCACAAGGCCAGCCAAGATATCGCCGATCGGCTGTTCGAGTTCGACAGAGCGTGGCGGAGGCTGCTCGAAGAAAGCAATCTCAGAGGTGAGCGCGAGATTTTTCCGCTAACATGAAGACTATCTAGAAATAGAAATAGTTTTATACATCACTAACATTTTCACACATACACAATTACAAAATTGAATACATGAGAAAACTTATTGGACTAGTCAAAAGAGTAAAAAGCTAAAACACAAATGTTTGATCTTGAACAAATTGGACCCTGCACCGCAATAGGGGGGGAATTGGCCTTTGGTGAATTTTCTCGGATTTCGGATATATCGTAGAACTCGTGATGCTGATCAGTTGTCCTAATTGTCTACGCTCTAAATTCAATAGTTTGGATTATCCAGGGTGCTGAAGTTGACTTTTTCAAAATTTCGAATGGCCATTGTGAAGTTTCCTTTCTGAACACCAAAATCAAATCCACTACGTTTTGTTTGTCCATGTAGCCGGTGAAAATCCACTATAGAGTTCAATAATATCTACACGTACTCACGATATACAGAGTTGGTCCAAAAATAGAAAATGTTCCAAATATTTCCAAAAAAGTGAGCGGTTGAAATCAATTCATTTTTGGACATTTCGTAGTATACTAATATCAACATCGATTCATGATAATTGTATTTTTTCTATCAAACTACATATTATACACAAGATGTTCAAGTTTCCTTGAAACTTGGTGAGGAAGTTGATAATTCGTGATGACAATATTTTATGCGAACAGCAGAATTATACAGGGTGGTTGTGAAAGTAGTAGAGGAGTTTTCTTGGAGTTGACGTACTCAGGATTTCTGTCTAATTGTTTCTCAATTGCTTCCAGAGGAGCAAGGCCAACTGCCACTGCCAGCTGATGCTTGTGTATATGTCGGCGTCAAACAGCGAAATCCGCCATTCTCTAGAATGCCTAGTCATTTCACGTATTGCCGGCAAATAGCGTAACTCTAAATTTCGTACACCGTTTGCCTAAGCATTCCCTGTAATGACGAAAGGGGGCAGAAAAATAGTCTCCCTTCTTATGCATATGCAGAATAGTATTTTGTTTAACGAGCACGAAATGATAGTGATTTCCTACGAAAATGAAGTTTTCAGCATGAGCTATAGGCGAATACTGCAATCATTCAGTAGGAAATTAGCATTTCGTGCAAGTTATACACTATAATTTTTTTACAGCTATAAGAGATAACAGCGGCATTTTCGATTTCTTCGTCTTTTAGCCACCTGATTCAAGTAATGCTCATCTATTAGACACAGCTGTCATTGCTTGAAATTTGACATTCCATGAGTGATAAGATTCTCTTGATATAATAACACAATGGAGTCATTGTGATATCAGATACGGAAATAAAATTTATGACATACAAAGTATCTCATTGTTGTATCGAACACAGTTAAACAAAAGCAATCTTGTGTTATAGATAGATAGATAGATAGTTTATATGACTATATCATATACATATGCATATTTATAGCAGGTCATTTGTGTCTCAGAATAAAATTTTGAAAACAATAAAATGAAAGTTTGAAAATAATAAAACATCACCATTACACAAGAACAAACATACAAAGGTTGATACATAATGAATATTTGTAAACTAATTCTAATGAAAAGTCGGTAAGTATGTTCTTAAAGGAAAAAAGTAGCACCTGAAATATTTTCAACGTATTCATCGATAGAATAAAAACTATTATTTGACAGATACTATTTGATTGTTCGTTTGAACTCATTCATATTTAAGATTTTAACTTGATGTGGCAGTGCATTATAAAGATTGAAATCTAAAGAATTTTTTTGGGAATCAGAGAGCCTATATCTAGGGATTCTGATATTATCAGATGTTATGATGTTGGACATCAGCCTGTGTAGTGAGATTAGACGATATTTTATGGATTTCAAGAAGTGAATTGTAAATATATAAAGACGGAAGAGTCATAATTTTGAATTTGGTGAATAACGGTCTACAGGTATCTCTATATCCTACATTACCCAATGTTCTTATCGCTTTTTTTGAAGAATGAAAATAGCACTTGCAGCTGAAGAATTACCCCACAGTATAATTGCGTAGCCCATATGAGACTGGAAAAGTGAGTAATACACTGTGCTTAAAGTCTCAAAATTTGAAACATGTCTGAACTGACGTAAAAGAAACAATGCACTTGACAATCTTTGCTTCAAATGTTCTTTATGGGAATTCCAACTCAATCCTTGATCCAAGGTGACACCGAGTAATTTCACCTCTCGTTTCTCTTCACCATGCTGACGAGTACAGAAGAAGAGCCTCTGAGACTTGTCATTGTCAAGTTTTAGATTGTGAGCTCTGAACCATGTCTCAACCTTTCCTTCAATTTCTTTGGACCTTTCTAATAAACTATGGTAGTCTGGACTCGAACATATAAATGACGTGTCGTCAGCAAAAAGGACACATTTAAAGGGGGTCATGGAACTGCTTAGCTCATTGACATAAATAATGAATAGAAGTGGCCCCAAGACAGAGCCTTGAGGCACACCATGATACATTTCTTTAAAATCGGATGTTTCATTATTGAAATGAACAGTCTGAAATCTATTTCTCAGATAAGAATCAAAAAGGGAAAGTGCAATCCCTCTGATGCCATAAAAATGTAATTTTTTCAGTAGAATATCAATATAGCCGTAGAAAAAGGATATTTTTTGTCCTCAACCCTCCGGCGAGTATAACTGATTGCCAACAATACGTGAAATGACCAGGTATTTCAGGGAATGACGGATTTCACTAATTGACGCCGACATACATATCATGTTATATTTCCCTTTAGAAAAAATAATATGTAAGTCTTGAAACAACCAAATGAATAGAACCTGGTAACCTTCTCCCTGTAGGAGACAACTTCCAATACGCTGTTATCACGTTTTGCATACAGGGTATTTACGGGGCGCGATAACACCTATTATAAACAACAATGCGTCTTGGGAATAATACAAATGATGATGATGATGATGATTGTGCCTTAGGTAAGGGCCTGGAAGAAGCTCAAGACCTGCTCGAGTTCAACAACCAGCTGGAGCTGATCGACGCGTGGATCAGAGACAAGGAGGCGATGGTGCAAGCAGGCGACACCGGCAGAGACTACGAGCACTGCCAGCTGTTGCAGCGCAAGCTCGACGACGTCGACAGCGACATGAAGATCGACGACACGCGGATCAGGAACATTGACGCGCTGGCCAACAAGCTGGCTAAACAGGTACGATTCGGTGACGAAAAATAATGCGAGATTTTTTAAAAATATTCCAGTTGAAATACCAAAGAGTCAGCTTCAGAAAACAAAAGCGATCAATAATCTAAATGAAAACTCTATTTATTGAAAAAGTAAATCAACTAGGTCGGTAGATTTGAAATAAACGTCGCTAACATCCTTGATTATTCAAACTAACAAAGAGAAAATGTACCTTCATTATTCCATTTTTTTTTTATTCTCTCTCCTCGTCTCTATGAAATAAAAATATGATTACTATTTCAATATACGTGTAGTTAGGACAAATCAGATGATTTGCCCAAAATGTCACTGCGTTAAACTCTTTCAGGTACAGGAATTTCGAAATATAACATCCCCTAGATGTACAGCTTTAACGAACTAATTCCAAATGCCTCAAAAGATACGGACAAATATAAAATAATTTCAGAATTCTCCAATTTTTTCAAAAAAACGGTGGGTCAAAATCTAACCCACCATTCCATAAGGTGAAAGATTTCATGAGAATCGACTCATTTCAAATCACTGTGAAACGTCTGCAAACATGTTTTGTTCTTTGCAAGACAGAGTGAAACACACAACCAGTTTGTTCCAACTCCAAACTTTCCTGAATTGCAAAGAGCATTATCTCCTTCGACTTGTTCGGATAGTGTTTTTCTCTATTTGACTCGTCCATTCGATTGATGTTCTCCATGAAGATACTGATATTTATTCACGACTAAATGATCAAATCTTTCATTGATAACTTTGAAAGATATGGAGTATTCTGCGAAGAATAAATGAGTTGACTGCAGCGGCATCCAAGGAAAAGATTTCATGAATATCTGTTCCTTTATATGTCTTTTCAGTCGTCTGATAATTCTGCTTAGTATATAGATTGATCTGGAAAACTATGTGATTCAATAATTTGTCCGTGATGAACTGCCGAGAGATTATCCATCTTGAGCCACTCCAGAGGTTCTATTGAAATCTTTTGGCTGAATGATCTCTCTCTCTCACTCCACACCAGTTTTTTCTCTATCCCTGGTTTCAACTCCGCGATAGGGATATCAAATCTTCTGGGTCCCATGTATCCATATATAAGTACTGGTGTCTCGATATTCATATCAGACAGTATAATGTTAAAATTGAATTCGACATCATTTTCCTCATCATTATCCTTGAAAAATGTCTTGGTCATGTTGTATGGCGGGACAAATTTCAAACAGCGTAGATTTTCACATTTTGTGAACGAAAAATAAACATATAAGTTGGAAAAATATAACAAGTGGGTTGCCTATGTTTCCTAGATAGTATTCAATGCAACAAAAAATGTAATTACATGATAATCATGAAATTTGCAGCCGCAATTCGAGAGGAGAAACACAACGTACGGAACAAGTTCCGAGTTTATTCTATTCACTAATAATGTATTGTTTTATTCGCTTCAGTTTAGAACATATGATTCAAAAGACCAATATGAGTGATTAATATGGGGCGGGAGAGAAAATAAACCGTCGTACCACAAATCATAAGCCCATTGCAGAGCGGGATATATTTTGTCCCAGCATACCTCCAACTCCAAGAAATTCGTGGTTCAAATTCTGCACCAAAGTACTTGAAAGAGTTAGAGACTTTTCCTATCAGAGAGCCTAACAAAATTCACTAGCTTGTCAGTGACAATTAGTAGGTAAGGTATATAGAGAAATATCAAATTATTACTTATCTTTGGACGTTTCGAGAACGAATCTGCTTCCGTTTTCAACATAAAAATTGGATTTTTTGTATGGCAAATTCGTATTTGTCCTGATACTTTTCACCAGGGCGTGCAAGAGCGCGGCTCCACCCTCATCGCCAAGTGGCGCTCTAGACGGCTACCGCGATGTATTACCCGATGGAGCGCATGTACGGCAAGAATTGAAAAATCTGTCAACTTATCTTGACTTTTTAAATTCCGACTGAAAATTGTTCTTCGACCGCAGAAACACCTCAATATGCAGTTTTAACCGAATGAGACAAGAGCCAACAAATTCTTGTTCCTCATCATCAAAAACTCCCAGATATGCTTGTCTCTATGGACAGTTATATCATAATAATAGGCTTATACAGTGTGTCCCACTTACCATGCTCACCATGGGTATCTTTTTAACGGTGAGAGATACGAGGTCGGTTAAATGACACCAAATGTGGAGTATGTCAAGGCCAACTATAATGTGAAAAAATATTTTGAAAAAATCTATTCGTTTTTGTTTTATACGCAAAAAACAGATTTCGATCATTTTCATGTCTCCTCCGTAACTTCTTTATTTATGAAAATATTCAAATAGGAATTTCTCATCCTCATGGCAGTTTTTCAAAGTGATTTCGAAAAAAATATGAAATTTATACCAACTCTTCTAGAATTTGAGATATCAGCACCAACTTCAGTTTTTCAAATGTAGGTCATAGCTCACTATGACTTATTTACAAATAACTTTTTTTCTCTTTCAAATGATATGTCGCAGTAATAGTTTTGTGTTGATAACAACGGAGTTATCGTCATTTATACAAAAACAAAAAATTATTTGGAAGCCGCCATCTTGAATTCATAAATTTTAACAAAAAAATCATGATCTCCGACTTCGATAAACCCCCACTTACCAATTTTGAATGGAATCGGACCAAATATTGTCCGCCATCTTGGAGCAGATATTTTTTTTCAATTTAACGAAAATTCCATAATGTATTGTCACCGAAATTATGAACACCAGCCAAATTTCAAGTTAATCGGAGTACTTTTTTCCCCGGATATATATCATATTTATACACTGATTATGGCTTTTGTTGTGCTATAGTTCCGAAAAATGAGTCAATAATAAGTCCTTTTAGCTTCCATTCGACTTCGCGGTTACGTATATTACTAAACAACCACTAAATTCACGATTCTTTGAAATCAAATCATAGAATTCGACTGACAGAAGTGACATCAGATATTTGATTTCTTCAAAAGAATGATAAAGATGCCTACGACGCAGGTATCCCTATTGTTAAAAACTTGAAATTTCACGTCGATAATTTTCAGATTTCAAAATAATGTAATATATTCTCAATATTGATTCGTCCTTTCTTCTGTCACAGAAAAAAAATAGTGCATTATACAGGGGAAAAATATTAGATTTTAGCTCACGGTTTTTTGTCTCCCTCCACTACACATCGGGAGATAACACAACCTGGACCTAAAATCTACTATTTTTTTTTTCCTTGTATAATAAATAACTATTGTTTAGTGATAAAACAGTGTGTAGTGTATAATAATCGTATCACATAATTCGATACTGTCCATGCTGAACAGCTCATTTATCTATCTCAGTGGCGATCGTCACAAGGCGCTCTAGACGGCTACCGCGCCGAATTAGCCGATGAAGCGCATGTACGGACAAGAAACAACAAATTATTGTTCCTCATTATCAAAAACTCACAGATATGCTTGTTTCTATGGAGAATTATATCAGTTAATTTATCTATCTCAGGGCCACCAGGGCGTGCAAGAGCGCGGCTCCACCCTCATCGCCAAGTGGCGCTCATTACAAGGTGCTCTAGACGGCTACCGCGCCGAATTAGCCGCCGCCGCCGACTTGCATCTCTTCGACCGCGACGTCGCCGACACGATGGAGCGCATGCACGAGAAGGCGGCCGCCATGGAGTCGCAGGACGTCGGCAGGGACCTGCAGGGCGTCGAGGCGCTCAAGAGAAGGCAGGAGGCGGTAGAGAACGAGATATCGGCGATCGCGAGTAAGATCGAGAAGGTGAGTGGGATCGGGCTTTTGGGGCCCTTTACTTTTACCTTTTACCTTTACTTTTCATTATTTTCCTGAATGATTTATCTGACATAACTTCATGTACTCTAGTTAATTACGCCGACGGCACTAATATTCTTATCCCAGCCAAAGATATAGAACAACTCATAACAAGTACCGAGTGTCAAATGAAAGATTTAAAAAACTTTTTTCATCAAAATGGGCTTGTCCTGAATGAAGAAAAAACACAATGTGTACTTTTCAAGACACCACAAAATAAAACAAGTATGCCAATTTCAATTTCATTAACAGAAAATGTATCAGTAACTTTTCTACAGTAAGCTGCTTTACGTTGACTCAAATCTCAAATGGCAAACACACATTGAACATCTTTGCAGTAAACTATCGTCTATAATATATACCACCCGGATAATATCCAAGAACCTAGATGTATCAGTCGTCCTTGCAGTGTATTATTGCAATTTCATTTCTGTACTAAAATATTGTATTATCTTCTGGGGACAGGCATCATCTTCTGAGAAAGTTTTTGTACTGCTGCCCGTTTCAGTCAAAAATTGGTTCACCATCAATCCATCTACCTATAACGGCAGTTTGATGGATATGCACCATTTTGGTAAAATTAGCAACATAGTGCTATGAGCTGAGGCTCAACCTCTAGTTAAACTGTTTGATATTCTCCGGCTAATTTTGTTATGATATTGTTACGTTATTCGGGTGCAGAAGCGAACACGACAATATATACTCTTTGAACTGATTTATTTTAACTAAAGAAACACTAATTTATATCGAACTTATAACTCCTATTTATGTAAAACGATTTATATCACGCGGTATATAACTGTCTCTGTGACACTCGCTGCTCGACTGACTGACAGCAGTTGTTCGGCCGTTTATATATGAGATCACTTGGCAGGCTTTGGTTCGAGAAGGTTCTCGAATGATCTTCCGTCTCATTCTTTTTGTTCTAGAAGCTTCTTAGAACAAAACCGCTCTCTCTAATTGTTCCATCGATTGTTTCCAGAACATTCCAGAATCTTCTGTGACGTTATTTGTCACTGCGGCATATATTGAGTGTTCGGAAATATGCTGGTGTATGTAGGAATCATTGAGAGGTTGGAGAGCGATCTGGGATGCGTGATACAGGATGATCGTTGTACTCCTGCGTTCCTGCTGATGTTTCTAAAGCCCCTCCAAGGGGAATATCATTACACTATGAATAATGTGAAAGTTCAGAGTTTAACTTACAGCTAATTTCTGAGTCATGTATGAGTTAAGGTTCAACTTCGAGTTAGACTGTTTATTATTTTCAGAGTTTATTGTAACTAACAGATGGAGTATCTGCTAAGTTTGCTATGAGATGAAAATTGAAGTTTAGAGCCGAAACTATAGATCATATTACGGTGAGCGCTGCATTTGACATGTTGGATACTATTTTCAGTAATGACAACATTCACGATTCTGTCATTCCATAAAATGCCAAAGTTCTGTCAAATTCGGTATTGCATTCGTTTAGAATCCCTGTGAAATAAACGAAATGCAGGAGAACCCGGATATAAATGTGTGATTAACGAATGTAGAAATATTTCTGAGAGAAACAAAAACTTATATATTCCCAACAGTAGGGATTGGATAAATTGGGGAATCGGGCAAGGGTTTGAATGAAATTATGTCGTACGAACACAACAAAGTTTGCTGTAATCATTTTGGTCTAGGAGAGCTCAGACGCTTGAAAACTGTGAATGGTCCACCAAATCATTTACCGGGAGAACAAAATTCTCAAAATTCGTTATCAGACAGGTACACATACTGTTTCTTTATGATGTATACCCAAGTCATTACTATTTCGTATTCTGACAATCAAAACGCAAAGGACGAAAGAAAAATCGAATGCATAACTAATAATATTCAATTAAACGTTTACGAATCTGGCGTGGATGGTTCCTCGCGAGAATTTGAATTCAGTGAAGGTGGATCTAATAAAACCTCTATACAAATCTCCATTTCAATTGATAAACTGCAAGCTGCACGTATTTTAGATAATATTTATACAAATTATAACACAGGAATACCTTGAACTATTTATTTCTCATGTCAATGTTTTCCACAGAAAATAAGGATATTCTCAATTTCAATAATTGATTCAAACATCCTATAGGCGACTGAATTTAAGGTCGCAGCACCAAATTGAGGGAGCTTTTCAGCAGATATTCGTCCAATGAAATTCGTTTCACCACTTCAAATACAAATGCCCCAATTTGAGGTAACGTTAGTTTGCATTTCGATCCCATTCAATAGTGAAATAAATATAGACGCTCTGCTCCTTAGCGAGAGCTACCCGCAAAGCATCTGGCCCGCAGCTGGCCAAGCTGTCGGGTCACACATTTGTATCCGGGCTATTCCTGGTTTTCCTTTGTACATTTCACAGAGGTTCTATACGAATTCCATTAAAAGATCGAAATTCACAACAGTGAAATAACAGAACTTAAACATTTTTTGAAATGACAGAATCGTTAATACTTCCTTGTCAGGAGTAACCATATCTTTGAAGACATCCACTTCGATGCTTTGGAAAATCACGTGAGATCAATTGCTAAAAATGCATCCCAAAAACTTGGTTTTCTGTTTCGGGCCAGGAGCTATTTCACATCCAGTCAGCTGCTTATGATTTATAAGGCACAGATCCGACCTGTCCTGGAATACTGTTCCAATATTTGGAGTGCAGCACCCAAACATACCCTGAAACTGTTGGATTCTGTCCAAATAAGGGCAATTCTTCTCGTGGGTGATACCTCGCTCACAAACTCACTCACTTCTCTGGAACACCGTAGAAAAGTTGGCGATCTGGCCTTATTTTATAGATATTTTCATGGACGATGCTCTACTGAAATATCAACAATTGTTCCTCCCTTGGCAGTCCCAGCGAGATTAACCAGTCGAGTCGAGGCTTCGCACCACTTCGTGATCACTTTGGAGACCTGCAGAACATCTTTCCAAAGACTTTCCACCGAAGATCTACTGGAGATCTACTTGCCTACGTCACCCATTTATGGCAATCTTCAATAGAAAAACACGGGGAATCTCTAGTTGTCGCGTTGGACATATCGGAAGCATTCGACCGTGTTTGGCACGAAGGACTCCTCCACAAACTACCATCATACGGCTTACCACCTCAGCTATGCCATCTCTTATCGAGTTTTCTTTCAGGCAGATCGCTTCACGTGGTGGTGGACGGTGTATCGTCTGATACCATTGGCATCAATTCCGGCGTTCCACAAGGATCAATTTTGGCACCAACATTATTCCTGCTTCATATCAATGATCTGTTGGGAGTAACAACTTGCCCCATCCACAGCTTTGCAGATGATAGTACCCTCCATACTGCGTTCTCTTCCAGAATTCCCATTTCTTCCCAGGAAACTAAGAACTCACGGCGCTGGCAGGTCAATGCTGTCAATGAAGATCTTGCTGAAATCACAGCCTGGGGAACAAATAACCAAAATGAATTCAACGCCACCAAAACTCAAGCCTGCATTTTCTCTAGAAAGGCGGAACTCAGTATGCCTGATATTGTAATGTCTGGCTCCACCATCCCCACCAAGCCCACCATATCTATGCTCGGTATTTCCATCAGCAACACTCTTTCATGGGATAATCATGTCAGATCCATCGCAAAAGCTGCTTCACAAAAACTCGGATTCTTGTTCCGTGCGAGAAGCTACTTTACACCTCAACAGCTTCTCATGATCTACAAAGCGCAGATACGGCCTGTTCTAGAATTTTATTTATTTATTTATTGAAAATGTTACTTCCAGTCAGAATCAAGTTCTGGTATAAGGAAGTATAGTTAACAATAATACCTAAAACTAAAAAAAAAAAAAAAAAACAAGTAATCTATTTCGTTCAGAAATGATAAATTTTTCAAGATGGTATTTGAATTTTATTGTATTTCTGCAATTTTTTATATTATCTGGTAATTTGTTATATTCCAAGAGAGCAGCGTGAGTGAATCTTTTTTGGCCTATAGAAGTATTAGCGATATCAAGATGAAATAAACCATGTTGTCTAGTTTGATAATTATGAATTTCATTGTTTCGTGTTAAAATAAAATTAGATTTCAATCTTTTATTTATGATATTGTATGTAATTTTCAGTCTTTCGATTTTGAACATTTCTTCTATTGAGAATGATTCAGTTATTTTATATAATTGATTTGTTGGTGTATCATATGGTGAACGATACAGTACTTTCAATGTCTTTTTATATAATGCAGATATTTTATTAAAATTGTTTTTTGAACAGTATCCCCAAACATTTATCAAATAGTTAATACGACTGAGTATATGAGAATATAGAATTATATTTGCAACTTTTTTATTCAGCTTGGGACATCTTCTCAGGGCTCCAATAATAGGGGATATTTTTTTCTTCAAAACATTTATATGTTTGTCCCACTTCAATTTATCATCAAACCAAATCCCAAGATACTTCTTCTCATTAGTTTGTTTCAAAGATTCATTTTTAATTCTGAGATTTAAATTTATATTTTGTTTATTTTTTTGTTGAAAAATCATATATTCAGTTTTATCAGTATTTATTGATAAGAGGTTTGAATGCAGCCAATTTTCAAATTTCATCAAGTCTCTGTTTATTATATTTTCTAAAATGATAGGATTTTTATTTTCATATAAAAGTACCGTATCGTCTGCATAAATAGTGTAATTACATTCTGTATCAATTTTCGTGATATTTTGAATATATAATAAATATAAAATTGGTCCTAAAACAGATCCTTGAGGGACACCTTTAGTCATCGGTAGTCTATGAGACTCTGAGTTGGTAGATTTGGTACTGATTGTCCTATTTTGAAGATACGAATCTAAAAGGTTCCTTATCATGCCTCTGAGTCCCATTGATTCTAAATTTTCCAAAAGTGTTATGTGGTCTACTGTATCAAAAGCTTTCTTGAGATCAACAAAAATTGCTATCACATAATTTCCGGTATCAAGTCCTTTTTGTATTGCTTGTATTACTTGTAATATTGCCGCTTGTGTGCCACTATTTTCTTGAAAACCAAATTGATTTATGTCAAAGCTATATTTTCTATTTATGAAATCTACAATGCGTTTTTTAAGAATCTTCTCAACAATTTTGTAAAAAATGCTCAATACGGCGATTGGTCTATAATTTTCTGGATCTTGAGTATCTCCACTTTTGTAAATTGGCCTTAATGAAACATGCTTTAATTCTTGTGGAAATATACCACTGGTAAAACATTTATTGATTAATTTTGATAATGGATTGGCCAAAATATTTTTTAGTTCGAATATATCTTTAGTTATTAATCCTTTGGGATCTGAGCATGTTTTCTTTAAAGACTGAATTATTTCAATAACTTCCATTTCATCAGTGGGAAACAAAATCATTGTGGAGTTGTTATAATCAGGACTTATATTTTTACGTTGAATGTTATTATAGTATGTGATTATTTCTTTTGCTATTTTTTCACCAATACTTGAAAAGTGATTATTCATAATTTCAGCTATCTCCAAATCATTATTAACAATTGTATCATCAACCTTTATTGATTCAATGTGATTTTTCTTGTTAGTTCTTGATCCATCTCTAAGACAATAATTTATTGTATCCCACATTTTCTTCGGTTTGCCTTCAGAGTCTTCAAACTTTTTATTGATATATTGGGCCTTTGCTCGTTTGATCAAAGCATTCACTTTATTTCTTTGTATTTTATATTCATTGAAGAATTCTGGATTATCATTATTTTGTTTATGTTTTTCGAATTTGATATTTCTTATTTTCATTTCCTTGATAATATTATTATTTATCCACCCATTGTTTTCTCGTGTTCTGAGGTACATTTTCGATGATGATTGATTTTTTGCTTCCAAAATGATATTTATTAAATCTCCAAATTCTTCATATTCACTTTGAATTAATTGATCAGAGACTATCTTTTTGAATTTTGAGTAATCAATTTTTACTATTTCACGTTTTCTAAATTTCTCCAAGTTGAGGTTGAGTTTGTTAATTGACGTGAACATTATTCTGTGATCAGTTATGGGAGTATTTTCCAATGAAATTTTTAAATTCAAATTATGACAGTTAGTCAGTATATGATCTAGAATACTAAAGGAATTATTTTGATTTCTGGTATAATCAGTTGGATTCAATTCATTTACAATACGGAAATCATTGCTTCCTATTATGCTTTTATAATTCAAAATATCAGCATTGTCTGATAATAAATTTATATTCATGTCTCCTACTATAATGGTTTTTTTGTTTGTTTCCATGATTTCATCCAAGTATTGCAAAAATTCAGCCAAGTTTGAACTAGGTGGCCTATACAGAGCAATAATCCTCAATTTATATTTAAATTGAGAAATTTCTATCTCTATTGTATTGTACTCTTTGTTTAAATTTTTATTAATTCTCTGAAATTTTAAACCATTTCGTAGATAAATTGCAACTCCACCTCCTTGTCTATCATCTCGACAATTATGTATACTTGAAAAGTTAGGAATGTGATAATAATTAGTTTGATCTGATTTCAGCCAAGTTTCTGTTGGAATTAGTATATGTGGTTTATATTTTTTTATTACAACTTCTATTTCATCAATTTTGTTTATTAAACTTCTTATATTCAGATAAAGGATATTGAAATTATTGAATGTTGTGAGGGTTGATGTATTCGTACTATTCATAATTTATACTATTTTTTGCTAAAGTAATTTTATTTTTCAAAATAGGACAATCAATACTATTTGAAGTATGATCATGATTACCAGTCCCTTTGAATTTTTGAATAGCAATTTTGCAATTGATACAACATGGTTTATTTTGATTTTTGCATTGATTACTAAAGTGATCACCAGCACAAACTGAGCAAGTTACAGAGTTTCTGCAATTTTTTGAAAAATGACCATAAACATTACATTTTGTGCAAGAAATAATATTGTAATCCTCTTTTATTTTGAATTTATGCCATCCAAGAATTATGTTTTTGTTTACCAATTTATGATATGTTTTGCCAATAGTTTCTACATAAATAATGAATTTGCCTGAGAATTTTGATTGTCTGAAATATTTAACATCCAATGAATCATTATTATCGATGTAATCAAAAGTTTGTAGTTGTTCCTTAATTTCATCTGTACTTAAATTTTTTGTACCAATGAAAACTAGCCTTGGTAATTTGAGTTTAGATTTCTCGACATAATAATCACTTCCAATAGTTTTCTCTGTGACTTCCTTTAATCGAATTATTTCTTCTTCAGAATTAGTTTTTATCAGCAAGCCTCCTCTTCCAATTTCCTGAATTTTCGTTATACTGGCCTTGACTATTGCTGGATTAATTTTGTTTTGAATATCTTCTTTGGTTTTCTTTGATGTTTGTTGATTTTTTGGTTTTATAATTAAAGAAGGAATATTATGAGGGATATCATTTTCTTTTGTATATTCATTTTTGAGTATGTCAGCATAAGATTTTGTTTCACAATTTTTCATTTCGTTTGGTTTCAATGCCAAATTTTCTATTTTCTCATTCAAAGAATCAATTTTGATCATCATATCTTGCTTCTCATTTCTTTCTCTTATCATGTTGTTATATTCTACAGTTACAAAATTCACTTGATTAGTGAGATTGGTAATTATTTTTTCATTTTTTAAAATTATTACATCTTTTGCTCTCAGTAGTTCCTGTAGAAGTTCATTTTCTCTTTTTAGAAAAATTATATCATCACTTACTTGGCTCTTTATAGATTTACTTGTATCTTCATTAAAGTCTGAAGCTGTCAACTTACTGGTTGAATTATAATCAGTTTTATCATAATCTATTTGTGTGCATTGAAAAAAATCGAAATTTAGATCATCTTGTATATTTTCTGAAATATCTTTTGCCATTTCAGATTTTTTCCGATTTGCTTGTCACTCACATATTGGAACAATTTTCTCAGTTCATTGAATCACAAGTCATCTATCCTCAGCACCATTAGAAGCAGGATCACTAATTTCAGCAATTTTTTATATCTTCCTTAATTTTATTAACTTATTTTTCTTCAAATTCTACTATTTTTCAGGACAGTAAGTTCAGTTCACTGGTTACTATGCAACCTCAAAATACTGTTCCCACATATGGGGTTCAGCACCAAAACATACGCTGATGCTCTTAGATTCCATCCAGAGAAGAGCCATTCGCCTGGTGGGTGACGCCACACTCACTCACTCTTTGACATCATTGGAACACCGTAGAAGGGTCGGCGACCTTTCACTTTTCTATCGATACTTCCACGGGAAATGTTCTTCGGAAATCTCGGCTATCATCCCTTCACTAGCAATACCAATCAGACGAACTAGACAAGCCCAGTCAGCACATCCTTTCGTTGTCAACCTCGAAAGATGTCGAACAGCACTTTATCAAAACTCCTTCATCCATAGAACGGCTAGGCTCTGGAATTCATTGCCTGTGGTAGTATTCCCATCAACATATAATCTCCAAAAGTTCAATAAAAAAATCCAATCCCTACCTCCTGTCCCTATTCTCCCTAGGAACGCACGATGTTCTTTGAACATAATAGGGATTCCCTTTCGTGTGCTCCAAGCGATAAAAAAAACTCGTTCATCCAACGAATAGCAAGGCTCTGGAATACATTGCCAAGGGAGGTGTTCCCCGAGGCATATAACCTCCAGAAATTCGAGAAGAACACCAATTCCTACCTTATTTCCCTAGGTTCTCACGATGTTCTCTGAACATTACAGGATATCCCTTTTGTGGGAACAAAAAAACTACCGGTGAAATGGTCTACAACTATCTCAGTCGTACGATAATGTTTTTTTTGCTCATTCTCCTTCCTTGAAACTCACGCAGGTCCACCAACGGGACGCCCTGCTGCTCAGCGAGAGCTACCCGCAGAGCAGCCCGCATCTGGAACAGGCGCTCGTCACCTTGCAGGACCAGCTGGAGAAGCTGACGGCTGTGACGGACAAGCGGCGGGCGCTGCTGCAGGAGGCGTACGGCCAGGAGAAGTTCGCCGCCGCCGTCAAGGATCTGGATTTGTGGGTGCAGGAGACGGTCAAACGGATGGAGTCGCAAGGTGAGGATCTAGGGATGCTTTTTGAATATTATTTCAATATACCTATATGTATTGTAGTAAGAATAAATCAGATGATTTGCCCCAAAATGTCACTGTGTTTAAAGAATTTTCCTATCAGATAGACTAAAAGAAAAATTCACTAGCTTGTCAGTGACGATTTGTATTGAAAAAAGTTTGGAGAAGAGGAATGAAGGTATATAGAAAAAATATCAAATTTTTACTTAGCTTTTGGACGTTTCGGGAACGAATCGGCTACCGTTTTCAACATAAAAACTGGATTTTTTGTATCGCAAATTCGTATTTGTCCTGACACTTTTCAGTTTTCAGTGACAATTGGTGACGTTGGCAATCAAATGAGTTACAGGATGTTTTCATTAATTAACCTTGAATTTATCATTTTCATTTTCAGATTTTATAGCGAATACCATGTTCAATCTGTATTAACTAAACAGGAAGCAATGGTATTGTCTCCGTTCAGAAGAATTCAAGCAGATTCCTTGACTTTTCTCTAATGGTTGTTATCTTCTTTTCCAATGATTTTAATATTATTCCAATCTGCCGTAAATTGTCCATCTTCAGTAAGGATATGTTCAGCTAGTTTCGATTTGTCGATGTGTCTCTTCTTCACATTGTATTTATATTCCTTCGTCCTTACTGAAAGAGGTATCTTGGTTTCACTTGTATAGAACTTTCCACAAACCCAAGGTATACTGTAAATACAATTCAAAGGCATCACACAACTTATTGGAATACCAGATAATGACTTGCAAACATGCCTAGGAAATAATACGAGCAGTATTTCGAGAATGCTCTCCTTCCTGAAAGAGACTAGAATATATAACAAATCATAACTAATATCATGAACTGTTCAAGGCTAATGACCTTAGTAGTCGAAGCCTTCCAGAGGGACCACTTGTTTGGTTAGCACACAAGCACCAACTACGTCCTTCATAACAAATAATAATAATAATAATAATAATAATAATTCATTCATATCTACATCCATAATTACAAGTTAAGTGTAGGATATAATAAGTACAATATATATGTAGAATTAATATGTAGAGAGATCTGCAGAGAAGGAATAAGTTGGTAGCCCTACAGAAGATCAAGTCTGTGGGTAGGGAATAGGAGCTAAGTAAAAATTTTATATTTTTTCTATATACCTTTATTTCTCTTCTCCAAACTTTTTTCAATACAAATTCTCACTGACAAGCTAGTGAATTTTTCTTTTAGGCTCTATGATAGGAAAATTCTTTTAACGCAGTGACATTTTGGGGCAAATCATCTGATTTGCCCTTACTACACGTTTATTGAAATAATATTCATATTTTCATTTTATAGAAAACGAGGAGAGAAAATTCCAAAAAAATCTGGAAAAATTAATGTACCACCTCCTCGATTAACCTACAGAGAGTATATAGGGTTAATTGTATTTCTAAATTGTCATGTAGATGTATTGCAATTTAGTCAATTTAATTTGAAAAAGTATCAAATTTATTTCAAAATTATCAATTCACTTCCAAAATAGTCATTTGTATTTCCAAAAATATCAAATGTATTTCGTTATTCATTATTTTAATTTCAAAACTGAAAAAGCACAGGCAAAGGCTAGTTGGGAGTCGGGTAATATTCACATTGACCCTGTTATCGGAACGGTTCTGGTTCCTGTCATTGTGTCATCATTAATAAAAATGATTAGTTCTGAAATCGAAATGTTGAAGTTGAATTGATAACATTGAAATACAATAAAAAACAAAGCGGGCTATTAAAATTTTGTTCGCCATCATGTGAGTTTCACAAAAAGTAGCCAACGTTCGAGAAGACCGTCAATTTCTATCTCCAAGAGTAAGTGAGATATCCCGTGGGCACATCGAATTATCGAAAATATGGGACTGTAATAGTCAATAAACCTCTCTAAAAAACTATACATATCTATTTATAAAGCTTTAGTTAAGTCTATTCTACAGTATGCTATAATTGTGTGGGGTGGTCTGTACATAAACTCACTCGAACCTCTGAATGTTGTACAAAACTATATTTTAAAGGTCATTTTTCAAAAAGAAAAAGAATTTACTACGGAAAAGATCTATGAAGTTATTAAATGTATACGTATACAAACTAGATTACTTGGAACCAACAAAAAATGTTAGATATTAACTCCATTTACAAATTCAAAATATTGAATTTCATCCATTCCGTTAAATATAATTATAAACATTCAAATCTGAATTTTGAAGTCAATAGTCATAAACACGAACACATAACCAGACGAAAAGATATGTTAACTCTCATCAAAATAAAATCAGATCTATTTCATACAATGGAACAATTCTCTATGATGAATTACCTGCCAGACTGAAGAAAAAATTAAGTGTTGAGAAATTCTTAAAAGAACTGAAAAAATACTTATGTCTTTGATTCTCTTATATCATCCTAAATCAATTCAAGAACTCATATTCAACAGTCTCTAGAAGAATAGTATATTATGTAACATACCTGCTATTCCTGCTAACCTACAAAATAATTCAAAAGGAATGGGAATTGAGAACATAATACATGCAACTGCATGCAACCAGCGAGACACGTATAAGTGATATTGGTTGTAGATGTGTCCAGTCCACTTCTTACTAACTTTTGTTTCACATTAAGTGTCTGTCATGCTTAGCGCAGAATAAATAAATTGTTCACAAAGATGGATGCTTCATTTTTACTCTTCTTGGAGATATGCAAGTTCCAAAACATTCTCTTCGATTTCACTTTCTTCTACATTTCGCATATATTTTCAATGAAGAATTCTGATATACAAACGATAATTGTTTAAATAATTCTAATACAAAATTTGAAAATAACAGTTGACAGTTGATACAATTGACAGGCCAGACATGTCTCAAATTACTGAAGCTGTGTTTAATGAATAGTGTTGCCATGGTAATGTGTTTAAGAAATCGTGTTGCCATGGTAACGTGTTTAATATTTTGAATAATTTACAGATCGTCAATCCGTGATTAATCGATCATTGAGCGTGGTACAGGATGATTCACCATAAATGCTCAGTTATTTTTGAACCGATTTTAAAATTTGGAATATCATCTTGAATGATTTTCGATAAAGTTTTCTTCTTCTTCTTCTACAGGGTACTATTTGATTTTTTTAAATTGAACACCCTATTTTTCATTGTATTTTTAGATTCTCCCTGGAGAGCTGATTTGATCAATGCATCACACTTGGGGTCTAGCGGGACTGATTACAGAGATATAGGATGTTCAAAATCAAGATTTTTCAACTTTAGGATTTTTTTGTGACGAAACTATTCATTATCGGTCAAAACGGTTTTCATGTTCGTTTCTTAACTTTTGATTTAATATCTACTGACATTTAATAATTGGAAAAGATACAGGGTGACCATAATTCTGAATCTTGAACCACCCTGTAAATATTTCAATTAAATGTCACTAGATAGTAAATAAAAAGTTGAGATGGGAACATAGAAGCCTTTTTGACCAATAATGAATAGTTTCGGCACAAAAAAATCCTTAAGTTGAAAAGTCTCGATTTTGAACACCCTATATCTCTGTAATCATTCCCGCTAGACCCCAAGTGTGATGCATTGATGAAATCAGCTCTTCAGGAAGAATCGAAAAATACAATAAAATACAGGGCGTTCCATTTAAAAAAATCAATTAGTACTCTGTAGATCGTTCGATCCGAGCACCCTGTATTTTCTGATGCAACGAGAAAAAAAAAATTTGAAAAATCATTTCAGATCATCTTTCAAATTTTTAAAACGGTTAAAGAATAAGTGAGCTAGAGGGGGGGACATTTATGGTGAATCACCCTGTACATATTCGTACGCTAAATGTCATTGTAGTTATGTGAGTAGGAAAACAACATTATATGTACTATGAATATGTTTAAAAATGATTATATCCGTCTATGTAACAGGCAAACCGAACAGCATCGCCGAAGCTGAGGCGATGCTCGAGTTGCACAACGAGCTGCGCGCCGAAATCAACGGCCGAGACGAGACGTTCAAGAACCTCATCACCGAGGGCGGCCAAATGGAAAGTAACGTCGGGCGGCCCGAAGGATCGAAGGGCAGAGTCGACGATACCGCCCAGATGGAAAGTAACGTCGGGCGGCTCGAGGGACTGCAAGCGCAGATCCACGAGGCGTGGGAGATGCGCAGAGAAGAGCTGGCGCACGAATACGACGTGCAGGACTTCAAGGAGATGGTGAATCATCTGAACGGGTGGTTGGCAACGAAGGAGGCGTTTTTGAATAACGACGATGTTGGGGATACGCCCAGGGCGGTCGAGGTGCTGTTGCGCAAACATCACAATTTCGAGGTGAGAAAACTGAATTCATAACTTTCACAAACAGCTCCATAACAAAACCGAATCTGAGATCAATTAAATTTCAATCAATCAATCGTTTATTGGTGTTATTATACAAATGTTTTCACACAAGTCATACAATACATCATACATAGGAGGAGAGTGAATTCTCCATTATAAAAAAGTATTTGTTTAAAACAAACCACACATTTCACATCTACACTACATTCTTGCAATACATTAATAAAATTATAAGGACAAAAAAAATACAGTTTAAGAACTCTTCGAATGAGTAAAATGCTTCCTGCAGTAAAAACTTCTTCAGATATGTTATGAACTTTGTACCCTGCAACTGTTAAAAATTTTCAGGTAAAGCATTAAAAAAACATACAGCTAGGCACCTCGGGCCATCCTGACACGTTTCTAATCTACATAATTTAGATTTCAAGTTATTTTCATATCTTTTATTGTGTTCATGGTTGTCCTGATGGGTCCCATATAGATGTAGATTTTTTTAACATTGCTTAAACATTCCAGAATAAAATCACATAGGAATGTCAAAATGTCTAGGTCTCTAAATGCCTGTCTACAGTCATCATGATAGGATAAACCTGCAACAACTCTAACTGCACGTCACTGAATTTTAAAAACCTCAGCAGCACTCGCAGCATGTCCCTACTAAAATCGCGTAAGAAATGTGGCTGTGACAGGGAAAAAAATAGCACTGTCTGACAACCATCTAAGTCTCAATAAAGCACTCCCAAAAACCCCATAGTAGGATGCTCACAGTCAGGTAGGTCCCATAGAGTGAATGAGGTATTAAGGGTTTTATTCTCGTTTAAGAACAAAAGGTTTGCTGAAAACCAATCTTCAGCATTCGACTGTGCCTCTCTTGAAATTTCTAGTACTTCATCAATGTATTTTGATGTATAGCTGATAGTGGTGTCATCTGCAGGGGAATCTATATGGGGAAGGTCGTTAATGTACATTAAATACAAAAGGGGACCAAGAACTGAACCTTGGGGGACACCTACAGTTATAAGGCTTTTGTCAGATTCCACTCCTTTATTTTTCACTACCTGAAACCTATTCGAGAGATATGATTTCAGGATAGTAATGCTATTTTGATGAAAATTATATTGTTTCTCTAGGAGTAAACAATAGGAGTCACAGTCGAAAGCTTTGCTAAGATCACAAAACGTGGTTGCAATTTTACGAAAGGTGTGATCTAACCAACTGTAATTGTAAAAAATGATTCGAAACACTACAGAAATTAAATATCTGGGAGTAATTATCAATGAAACACGCAGATGGGATAACTACTCAGAATATTTGAATAGCAAACTGAGAAAACTGGTATTTGCATTTTATAATGCATAATAATAAAGAGAGATATTTTCACAGAAAATATGTTGAAACTAGCCTATAAATCCTTAGTAGAGTCTGTCTTATCCTATGGAATGATAGTATGGGGAGCTGCATATAATAATCAAATGAATTGTCTCAAACTCACATAGAAATGGATCTTTAAAGTAATACTGGGAGAAAGACGCAGATTCTCCACCGAACAACTTTCCAGAGAATAGTTATTTGTTTAACTAGGCAGCAAAGTAGTAGATTGACTGCCGTGGCTGAATTCATATCCGAGCGTAGCGATGCTAGGAATCCAGCTAAGGCAGTCAATCTACTTTGCTGCCGAGTTGAACATATAATTTTTTCCTCCGATTGGCAGCAAATATTAATTTTGCTGACACATATCAATCAGCAAAGTATTATTTTTCCTGCCTAGGCAGCAAAGTGGTTATTTTGCTGATTGATATATATCAGCAAATAAAAATCCATAAATCGTTTATAATTTCCTTCATATTTCATCCGAGACTTCCCCGGCAACAAATTCAACTCTATATTTTTTGCCTCCCCCCTTATTAATGGAGGTGTAAGTATACTTCCAGGTCGCTATCACTGTCCATTATATAATAATTTAAATATACCGATATTTTTTCGCACAACTGTCAGGAATTTCATGAATTGTCAAACGAACAACTGCGATTTCTATCAAATTTTATTTTAATTGAACACTATACAGGAATAATAAAGAGATTGTAGGAATTGTATTAATTCGCAAATACAATATTCTCCCATATCATTTTGAACAATCGGAGAAAAGTAAATTGCTTGATTTGACTCAACTAAAAATGCAACATCAAGAAATTTCACACCGTCACAGTACACGACAAAAATGTCTCAAATATTTGAATATTCCTCGTCCTAATTCTATTCTCTTTAAAAAGTCAATAGCATTCAATGGCCCTAAAATATATATACAATTTCATCCCAGAGTCTATGAAAAATATTCATAGTTATAAATCATTCTGCAGAAAGCTGATATCCTTCATTTTTCTGAGCTCTAGAACTCTTGAAGTACTCCTAGAATAGATTTCTTATCTATTACTATTTGCCATAAATATAGTTCATTTATTATTCTACTCATTGAATTCAACTTCTAATATTATCTATCAAATATTCATAATACTCTTAGTAAATAATTGTCATTAAGTATTATTCAGGCACAAAACGATCTCATCATAAGATCAGGTGCACTCAATTTGTTATATATCATATTATTACCAAATCATTGTTATAATAAATGAATAAAATACAAATTTTTAAACATAGATTTGAAGGAGTGGAGTTCCTTACTCTGCCGTCCTAACCTAAAGAGCAGTATCTCCACTTCTATTCTGTTTGCAGTAAATGGACTCTGTAGATTCATCTTGACTATATCTATCATACTACAAAGCTGAAAAGCAGTGAAAAATATAGATCAACAAGAAAAAACATATGCACTGTGCAGTAAGTACACAATTCATTTTCATTTTGTACGCTGAAACGCAGTAATAACCATGTACGAGCTTATAATGCAGTATATCCTACCAAAATTTGGATGTACTGCTATTTAGTCTAGCAGGAATCCAGACTAAACTGGATTGTTTCAGAACGTTCTGTTGTTGAGAAGCCTTGCCTACATTGTTTTATGTATCTCCCAATGAGGAATGTGTTTTAGGTTATGTGATACTCCCAAACACAAAGTGTTCATATTCGTGTGTTGAAAGTTACTTCTTTCATCAACAGTTGAAGCAAAATAATCTATTTTCGAACATTCGCCCCATTTTTTGGAAAGATACTACACTATCAAGCAGTAATACCAAAAGATGGTCTTTACTGCTTTATAGTGTAGCTGAATATGAAAATAGGTGGTAAAATACCTACTTAACTAAATAAACGCCAATTTACTTGTTTTTCAACAAAAATAATATATAATGACACTGGACTGATCACATATACAATAAAACATTTCGATATGCTGAACTCAATTCAGAATAAACTAATATTCAGAAGGTGGCACAGTGATAAATACTTCAATACGCATTTTCTCGAAACTTGCAAATTGTGACATACTGCTCTCTTAGTTAGGAGGGCACTACTGTACTTGACACTTTTATTTTCAAGTTATTTGTGTATTTATAGCGATTCCTATTTGAAAAACTCTTGCGCAATAAGTTCATACAGGGTGGCCCTGCAAAAACGAAACTACGGCTCCGTTGATCGACAGAACCGGATAATAAAAAAACGCTGCAACACGTCAACTACATTTTCGAGGGGGATATCGTTCTAAAATATTTTCAGCGCTGCGATCAAGATTCAAAATCCTGTATCTGTTCCTATTTAATGTTTGTAGATAATGAATCAAAAGTTGATATAGGGACATGAAAGCCGTTTTGACCGATAATGAATAATAAAAAAATCTCGATTGTAAACATTACCGCTAGACCCCAAGTATGATGTATTGATTAAATCAGCTCTTCAGGGATCTAAAATGCAATTAATACAGGGTCCTTATTCCATTCGTAATAACAAACTGTATTTTTGGAGGAAATGTTTTTATCTATGCACAAATATCATTTTGAATATTCAACAAAAAACAACTACTTTCCTTGCTATTTGCCACGTCGAACATTGAATTATATCTGTTGAACATCCAAAAAGAGAGCAAAATAAAAATCCTCTGAAATTTGAATGGAAAATATAATTCAATGTTCTTCGTGGCATATAGAAAAGGAAGTATAGTTGTTTTCTGTTGAATAAAGTGAGGAAGAATTGATATTTTCATCACATAATCACACAAAGTCTTCAAAATTAAGTGACGCGAACTGCTTATATTTCAACAAAAATAGCATCACTGGATGATTCACTTGAATATATTATTTCTGATATATAATGTTCAAAACTATTATTTCATTTATCAATATCTATCTCGAGGAATTTAATGATTCATATAGATGAATCCTAATATATATGGTTTTTAAGATTCCAAGTAATAATGTGTTATTTCTAGTGTATTATCAAATGATCAGTGAAGTTTGCGGTTTTAAATTTTTTTGTATACATGCAACCAGTCGCAACCATTCGTATTTTTCATTGTGATTAGTCACGCAACACTAACGACCCAGTCGGTCAAACCAGTCGACAACCAAAAACTACCAACAGTGTCATTGACATTGAAACGAATAAACTATTAACAGTATCCATACAGTAGCGTCATTGACAGGCAGACAAGATTTGGGTAAATGAACATACAATATTAAGCCTCTCGCCTACTAACTAGCTTTCTCATTTAGATCGACAGTGGTCTGACTCTAAGGGCGTATTTTTGACGTTGTTTCTCCATCATAGGATATGCTCGACAAACAGTTGGCTAGAGTGGACGAACTCGACAACGTTGCCAAAAGGATATCAGCCAAGACAAACAAGAACACCGAAGAAGTGTCGAACAAGGTGGCGGCCGTCTTTAAAAGGAAGAACAACCTGCTGAAGAAGGCCGAAGAGCGCCGAGACACGCTGGAGAAGTCGAAGGCGCTGCAGGAGTTCTTGCGGAACGTCAACGACGTGGAGAACTGGCTGAACTTGAAGCTGCAAATCGCCGCAGACGAAAGCTACAGGGAGCCGAGCAATTTGCAGAATAAGATACAGAAACACGCGACCTTCGAAGCGGAAGTTATAGGTAAATTAATATAAACTGCTTGACAAATGAATTGGCCCACCTGAATATTTCATCCAATATTAAAATCAAATATTATGAAAAATACTAGTCCATTTTAGGACGATCCCTAATAACACACCTTCATCCATTGGACATCCAATGGATATCCTCACCCGGACATCCTGGACATCCATAGGATAACCACTTTGTGTACACAGGACATCCTATGGATGTCCATAGGACATCAGCTTTCCACATTTTAGGACATACATACGTTATCCATGATGAACATCCATTTGGTGTCCATTATGGACATCCATATGGTGTCCATATATTGGACATATATACCAACCTATACGTATTCAAAAGACAGGTTATGTTATTTTCTTTTATTTCAAACATTGTTCATGGGTGAAACCTAAAGTATATAATATGATAAAAAAATAGATAGTACCTACTTAGGATGATAAATTGGAAAAGAAGTGGTCCAATGCACTGGCAGCACAAAAACTGAAATGCATATATTGCATCATTTCTGCATTGTTCTTGAAAATATTCAATGCATTCTGAATCTGTCTCCATAATTCCTGTTCAGTATTTACTGGTCTGAAGTACACCTTGAAATGTATAGGTACTGCTCCCCATAAACTATAGTATATTTCCTCTGCCGTTTCATCTACTTTTTATCTGAAAACTGTTGAATGAAACAGCAATGGACATTCAGAGTGTAACGTGTTGCAGCCTCATCATGCAAGAGCCACATGTAGTGAAAAAGGTGTTCCATAAATTTTTATCGTCACTTTAGGTCGATGAGCAAGATAATTGGCCCCAAGATGAAAATTCCTCAAACTGCGAAATTGTCTGTGATTCTTGCCCACACATCATCTGTTGTCGTATCATTCAAGAGTTTGTCAACATCCGATGAATTTTTTTCTACTTTATAGTAGATACGTCGGAAGAACCTGTTTCAAATCCTTTTTCTTCTGTTCATTCTGGTGAAGGGTGTTTTACCTACCTATCCAAGAAATATGTTATGTTATCATAACAATTCGCAATTAGGAACACCTGAATAGACACAGAAATAATAAGAACTCACTTGTATGAAGGCCGTATAAAGCAGGAAACTGGGGCATAATTCAACTATAAAATACTAGTAATTATCATGAAAGTCAACCAAAATGAATGAATGAAATAAACATTACCTTTATTATGTTTCGAATTCTGACAGATGAATTCAGATCTTCTTCTTCTCATTTCACTCTTCTGAAAATTTCTCGCTACAATGGACATCCCGACAATACACTTATGGATGTCCAATATGTACGGCCAAGTATCCGGTATGGACATCCAAGTGGCTATTCGATGTGCGTCCATAGACATGGATAGGCTTCCAGATGGAGTACATACCAGATCATCAGCTGGATATACAACAATGTACATCAAAAGATAGTTCCATTTGGCGTCCATGGATGTCTTGGACGACAAATGGGTATAAAATGGATGTCGTCTGGATAACGTGTGTTATTAGGGATTTGTTCCATGTTGTGTAATAATCGTTTGAGAATAAGATGGTTCACCTACTCTGCCCATAAAGATTGTGTTTTCAGATCTACAAGATCTGCTATCTCAAGGTTTTCTTGTTTATAGCAGCCTCTCAAGCTTCTATTCTTTCAGGAATTTGAGGGGATCTGTTTGTGGTATTTCTTCCACGGTCAGCTTGCTCCCAGTATATTCGATCTTTTGTGGTGTACCGTAGTACACTCCAGCAAGATATGGTGGTGTCTTTCTGGATATTTTCCGCAGAATCTGCAGGTGCTGTCCTCCTCTGAGCCTAGCTTTTTTAGATGTTATTTGAGTCTACAATGCCCCGTTAGAAATCCCGTCATTGCTTTGAGACTAATTTTGATGAGGTTCGATCTTGCTTGGTTGATATCAAGGAGAAACATGGAGCCATATCAAAAATGAAAATTTTTCAAGTTATCTCATATGAAAAAAATTTCGGTTTTTTTTTAGGGCATATTATGATTGCTCCATGGTTTTGAGTTTTTTTTTCGCGAGCAGACTCCATGAACGCGCAACATTCATCTTATAGAATGTTGACGTTTTTTTTTAATTTCCACGATTTCAGCTGATGTGTTCATAAAGTAAGGCAGCATATTCATGAAATCGATACAAAGAGGAAGCCATCACTTCTGTTCCTTCGATATCGAGCTAATATTAATCTACAGGATCATTGTTGATATCATTTTTGATCTTCTGATGACACGCTAACAGAACATTTTTTACAATATTGTATCCCAGAACATGGCCAAATGGCGGCCATGTCGGCACATTTGATATGAGCAGACACATTATTTTCATCAAGAATGCGTAAAAAGTGTTGCAAAAATCAATGCAGGTCCGTATCAAAATAGTGGAGTAACTGAATGCCAATTATTCACTACCGGTCCAGTAGCCCTGGGTATCAGCTCTAAGAGTTTATATTCACTTCAACACTCCGAAACATATGTCTGCGAGTTGGTCACCAGAATAATAATAATAATAATAATCATTTATTCAAATAGGGCATCCTAATATACAAACTACATTCATTAAAGTTTATAAATTGTAAAGTCTTAAATATAAGTATATTACACAGATGAAGTTCATATAATCCAAACAATAAATAGTGAAATGGAGAATTGTCGATACTATCGACTAGAAAAAAAAAGACTCTGAGGTTTATCAATATCTCATTTTCAAATATCTAACAAGGGATTTCTTAAATGTTCTAAGAGATTCACTTTGTTTTATATCATCTGGGAGGCCATTGTACTCTAGTAGTCCTTTATGGAATAAAGAGTTCATTGAACTAGTGTAATTAAGGCGTGGTACATACAGGTTATTATTACCTCTGGTAGGATAATTATGAATTTGATGCTGGAATTTGATGAATTGATCAAAGTATAAGGGAGCATTACCAGAAATTATTTTGAAAATAAGTATCATTGAGTAATAAAACAAGCGATCCTTTACAGTTAGCCAATTCAGAACTTCAAGCATCGTTTTTGTTGGTGTATATCTATTACATTTCAATATCAAACGCATACCTCTATTTTGTAACTTCAGAATCAGACAAGAATTGAAAAAGCTACAGGGCGATCAATTTGGCTGAATGTTTTGCTGGCCGGTTTTGGATATTAGTTAGATGAGACACAGCTGAGACACAGCTGAACTTCTGTCCTTTTCTATTTTCTATATTACAATGGTTTGAGTGAATAAAAGAATAAGACATAAATTCTGCTCTTTGTCCTTCCAATTTCCCTAGTAGCGCCTTATTCTTGGATACGATTTTAGAGTTAGAATTTCTGTCAAATCTATCGTAGCCGAAGATTGAAAATGAAAATAGGGTATAAACGCCCACTTCAATTCATAGTGATACACTTTTTGCAGACCAACAGTAAGAAAAATGGAAAGAATGCATGTAACAACATTTTAATATGACAAAATAGATATGTGGATCTACTCGAAATAGTCTTTTTTGTAAATGGAAGAAACAGCAGATTGTCTCAAACGGATCTTAAAATCTTCTGTTTGAAAATGGACCTAAAATATAGTCTCATTCTAATCTGTCTCCAAATTAATTTTCCATCCAGGCCGCTTTATATATTTATTCTATAAGGGAATTGTTGATATTTCCTTTGGAAAATTAAATAAATGAAATCCATTGTCTTCAGAATTCCCACAATTCATTACACAGCAGGACATCTTCATTTATATTGTTCTCTCAATAGTCTATGAGATTATATCTCAATTCTGAAGTTCATAAAATTTATTCTCGAATTCAAACAATTTTGAATGAAAAAGCGCGGGAGTACTATGGTGCTCTTGTCACGATACATTCCAAAAAAACACTAAGAGTTGTCATTTCTTTGTCCGAACTCTTATGTAACTAATACCATCCAGTGACTCTAGATATGATCATAACAAAATTGTTAATTTAGCAATGTTATAACAAGATACGAAAACAGAATTAAGCCTAATATTTGATTTCATAATGGCTGGATGAACTGATACTAAATTATTGACATTTAATTGAAACAAATACAGGGTGGTGCAGAATTCAGAATCTTGATCACACGGTATATGTCCCAATTAAATATCAGTAGATAGTTAATCGAAAGTTGAGATAGGGACATGTAAGCCGTTTTGACCAATTATGAATAGTTTCGACACAAAAAATTCTTGAACTTGGAAAATCTCGATTTTTCACACCCTATATTTCAGTAATTATAACTGCTAGACCCCAAGTATGATGGGTCGTTGAAATCAGCTCATCAGGGAGAATCTCAAAATGAAATAATATAAAGGGTGTTCGATAGAAAAAAGTTCAACTTCAGTGTTTTGTGATTTTTGGGGACATCCTGTATGTTTCAAAATAATTTCAAATGGTAGCCTATGTTGACATGCAACTTCTTAGAGGGGAAGAATTCCAAGAAGATAAGTGGTTAGCCTTCTAGAGACCGAGGCGTTACTGGTGGCCCACCCTGTAGTATAATGAGTCTATGAGTTGTTCAAAATTGTTGAATTTCAAACCTCATTTCAAACGTATCGTCATGGCCGCCATTTGGCGATACGTCAAATAAATGGTGACGTCAGTTTGTATGCTGTTTCGTTATTAGTCTGATTATCTTCAATTCCCACTCATGAAGCGAGGTTGTCAAGTCACCAATTATAATCAAATTATCAAAAAGATATTAGAGTCCTGTTGTTGAATGAAGCATAATAGGAGGAAGCCATGACATTGAAGTTCATTCTTGACTTCTCCGAGCCACCAGCATGTCCAAATATTTTTTTAAACTGCATAACAATTTATCATGTGAATATTGAAGTTTGTGCTGAATGCTGAGAACTGATAAGACAACTCCCACAATTCGTGTGCCGTGTTGTCACGTTCACTGGTTCAAATATCCTCTAGTGAAAATTAATATAATTATTATTCACACTATAAGCAATAAGCCACAACACAGCAAACACTTTGAGACATTTGATTTCTTATTGCGAATTAGGAATATTACCAATACATCAGTGGCGGCTCGTGACTTTCATGACAGAGACGGCTGAATGATATGAGATACATTGTGAAGAACAACTCTCTACTCACCCAAATCAATTGCTCTAATGAAATTCTATTTACCAGTTAACCTGAACTTAATACTTGAAGATATGTGTTCCTGTGATTTGCAGTGTCTATCCAATCCGCAAATTTTTCAAATCATTATATCCTAATCGCCCCCAACATGATGACTTATCGGTTGAAAATAATACGCAGTACCAACAAAATAGCGTATTCCTTACCTCAGATCCCGTCAACCAGATATATTTTTTATAATTATCAGAATTGAACGAACGATTTAGTTTGTTACCTGTTACAATCAGATTTTTTAATTCCGGTGTCGGATGTTTGTTTTTCACAATCAATTTATCTTCATAAGACAAAGCACTGAATGGATTCACTAAAAAGTATTCCACTAAATCGCAATCGTTCAAAACACTAATTTTCCAGAAATTTATAGAGCTCCTAACCATTAACCTAAACATGAACAATGCACCCGCGCTGAATTGTCCGCAACTCGCTACGTGACACGACAAACACGTGCTATTCGGGCATTTGCATTGCGCGCGTGGGTTTTGATTTGTGAAGGAGTCTAGCCTCCTGTAGATGTTGCCAAGTTGAATATTTCACGCGTGTCCTTCCAATGAGAAAGTATAGATAATATCAGTTTAAGGAAAATCTCTGAGGGGGCTCAGCCTCCGTTGCCTCCTCTGAGGAGCCGCCACTGCAATACATAATTGAGAATTTGAGAATTATTGAATAAATAATGATGTTTTTGAAGTTCCCAATCGTATTTTAACACTTGGCAATTGTGCGACGGTCTGCCCCTACTGACAAAATCGTGACGTCAGTTCTCACACGCGGTAAATTTCTAGCCGTTTGAAAATTACCGTGTCATTATTGATGATTTCAGTACCTTGAAATCGACTAAAACATTCTAAAAAAATGTTAAATTGAGAGGTATTTGGAGTGATGATTCTATTTGAGAAATAAAAAAAATAGTTCACTCGCCTATTGGGTGAAATATTCATTAGTCTAGCAGCAGCTCAGATAAATGGGTTTCGTTTTCAACAATGATTGCTATCATTGCTGTTGTTGTAGCGAGCGGAGAGAGGATTCAGAACGTGGTGGAAGAAGGCAAGGAACTGATGGCGGCCGAGCATTACGCCGCCACGGAGATCGGCATCCGATTGGACGAGCTGGAGAACGATTGGAAGCACCTGTTGGAGCTGTCCAATTTGAAGCGCGACAGGCTGAACGAGGCCTACCAAGCGCTGCTCTTCACGCGGTCTCTGGAGGAGTTCGAGGCTTGGTTGACGGACGTCGAAGCGCAGGTTAGAATCATTTTTATTATACAGAGGCTGATTCACGTTGAATGGCACATTAGACGTTTCTGCAGAACGCAACGTAGGATTATACTGAAAATTTGATTCCTTCGATAATTAGTTCTGTTCTATCGACCTAAAATATTCTCAGCATTGCGACGTTGCCGCTTATATTGAAAAGTAGCAAGATATTTGATTTTTTAAATGGGACACCCTGTATAATATTCCATTTTCAGATTCTTCCTGAAGAACTGTTTTCATTGACCTCCAACACTCGGGATCTAGCAGTAATAATTACAGAGTTATAGGATGTGATAAATCGAGATTTTTCAACTTGAAATAAATCCAGGGTGGTTCAGAATTTAGATTTTTGACCACCCTGTATCTGATCCTGAGTTCTCCAGAAACGTCTAATGTGCCATCCACCGTGAATCAGCCTGTATATTCATTTATTTATTAAATCAAGTGAAATATACAAATCATCATTGAATATTGGTTACAATTATATTTCGAATTGTATCTCAGTCACATAGGTTAGTGACCTGTGTGTGAAAGAGATAAATTATTACATGTATAAAAATTATTTGATTACTATGGAAATACTCAAATTAAATAGAGATGATTGAGATATATCTAAATAATCAATATTCATGAAAAACAAGAATGAAATATGGAGAAAAAGGGGATAGAAAAAGATCATTGACTTTTTTAGTAGTTACTTAAACCAGCCTTCAAACTTCGTAATTTATAATATTCAGACTTTTCATTTTAGATGTGATTTTATTATAAATTTTAGATCCAAAATGTTGAGTTATAAGTTTATGTTTCTCAAGTCGCACATAACTATAATTGATTTCATTCGTTATTGCTGGATACGTTTATAACGAACAACTGACACTTTGAAATTATTGGCAATCTTCTGGGACCGATTAGGGTATGGAAAATATTCTGATGATATCGTCTAAGTAATGATCTTTGTATTTCTAAGCCTATCAAGCATCGAAGTGTCATTGCTTTCGGGCCACAGCCAACTTCTTCTAGTTAAATAAAATGCAATTTAACAGCCAATTAATGAACGAATATCAAATTGTGATACAAAGTTGAATAGAGAATTTCAAGGCAAATAAGATAGGCTACAGAGATATACAGGGTGCCATTCGAAAAAAAAGTTGGGTCTACTTCCGATCAAACAAGTGGTTGGAGAAAATTGTCATTGGGTTCAAGGGAAACGCCATCATCGATAATATAACTCTTGTGAATTTCAAATGTGTATCTCTTTGAATAAACAAACTTTGAACCACTTTGAGAAATGAATGATTTTCATGATTCATTATTAATGTTTATCAGGTTCAGATCACGGACATGCGCAAAGACCTGGCGACCGCCAACCACCTCCTCAAGCGCCATACGATCCTCGAGAACGACGTCCAACAGCACACCGAGAACTGCGAGGCGATCAACGAGGCGGCCGAGCAGTTCGTCAAGGGCGGCCATTTCATGGCCGACGAGATCGAGGAGAAGGCGCAGAGGGCGATCACCAGGTGAGCAATGACAATTATTCACTTATTGGGAGGTAGGTGTACAGGGTGATGCATTAGTGTGCTAGAGTCCGATTGCTCGGGTCCTATGATAGTTAGAAATGCCACGTACTTATTTTGAAAAAAAAAAACTTTGAAAACGGATGGGAAATAGAACGACCAGGATTGTTCTTATTACCCTTTTTGATAATCACTGGTACCTCAGCTAGTAAGCTTTCTCAGTGGGGGCGGGGTTCAAACAAAACGAACAAAAAAATTATCACCAACGGACAATTAAGTGAGAGGTAGTGAAAGGGCGCCAAATGGTTTTGAAATCCATGTCCTATATGTATAGGTGCAATTTTATACAGATATTATACTAGATTATCCTTCGGCCTAACAGTAACCAAACCATTAAATTTCACTGTCAACCGGAATGATCAACAAAACAAAAAAAGGAAATTCAAGTATGAAACACTTGTTGAATTTATTATAAATCATAGAGGGTGGCAAGTTACAGGTAATTAATTTAATATGGAGAACTCAGAGGGTAATCGTTTAGAAATGGGGAAAACTCTTGCAAGAGCTTGAGATTTAGGGCCAGGGAGTGTTGTGCGATATAACAAAAAGCCCTGTCCCACAACCCCTCACAACCCCCTCGACTAAAACTATACTATTAGGCACATTGATAGCGATGGTACACAACGTTCATTCAATATTGGTCAGATAGAAACATAACCCGCGTAAACTCCCAGTCGAAACAAAATAAAATTTCCACTATGTGGTACTTATCGTCCGTCCTTTTCCCTTCTCTCGGACAATCACATTAGCTTCTTTATGCCTCCCAGGAAACACCACTCATTAGCCCTGATCGCCTAACCTAGGCCTTGGCTTTAGAGACGAAAAACAGTCTTATTTCTCTGACCGGTATGGCAAGTGATGACAGCAACCGGCCTACTAGACCAACATCCATTAATTGTTCTATCCTTCCCCCACTAAAACGCCTAAAATATTACGATCAATTAAATGATACGAGAGTGGAATCGTGTGCATTTATCTGAGCAAGTATCTGACTGCTAAAATGGCTCACCTCTTTTGCCGCGTACCCTAACAACAGAGACGTTCCCCAAAACAACAGTGTACTGGTGGTACTAATCTAACAACTCCTCCAAAAACGGTCACCAATCTGGGCCCAAACAACCATAAATCGATAATTCCATACGACCATTCCTGATATTAACTGAATGTGGTGGTTACATCCGTCCAAACGAAATTTTCCAAAATATCACACACACATTAGTTAGCCACCTCGACTGAATGTTTCTCGCTCACGAAAAATCACAACGATTTCTATCTGATTCCTATGATTCGTACCGATATCTTTTTACTCGCCGTATCGATACCGCGTTCTTTTTTTGTCCTCCCGAGTTCCCTTTTTCACTCCGTCCTCGGTTGAACGAAATTACTATACTGGGCGATGGCCCCAATATTTCCGACGCGTTGTCAACTATACACCACAATTTAATAATTGAATACGCGTTTGTTTATATGAATAAAAAAAATCGTAACATTCTAAAACTCAGTCGGCTATTGAGTCGGTCCATAGACATTTTCTATTTTATAGATGAAGAGACTCAAAATCATCTCCACAACATTTATTTGTCAATCACAGATCGATCACATAGTGGTACATGTTCTGGGCTTCTATAAGCCCATCATCAGCAGAATACAAGAATTTAGTTTTAGAAAAACCAACAATGACATAGGATATAGATACAATTTTCAGTAAAAAGTAATCGGTTCCGGCTGTAACGATCTCAGGGTATATCATTTAAATCCCACAAATAAACGGTGCACTTCATAGTAATACAACATATAATAAACACTCGGTAGTTACAACGACTGACAATGCGCAAATGACAGTGCCATGAAATTATATGAATTGATTCGAAATTGATAAATCAATAGAAATTCTGGCCAGAATCCTTTACAAATTTAGATTGATGATTTCAAAATTTATATTCCTGAAGAATTCAATTGACTGACGTCTTGAAATGGACCTGGCTCTCTTTCGGAACTGCGCCTCTCTCTTAATACTGGATATTCAAATTAAAGTGTCTCCTACCTGCTCTCAGATGTACTCAATGTTATTTTCAAATTTGAACCATCCCAACCTTCCATATACGATTAGTATTCCGATGTTAGAGTATATACGTAAAGGATCAGGATCATCTACAATTCCATCTATATTTCCATATATGGCTGGTACAATCAACAAAGTTGATACAGTGGAAATTCTCGTGTTGATATGTTCAATAATGTTATTCTTGCTGATTTTCAAATCAAAATTCTTTAAAAAAAATAGGATTCTCTCTTTTACCAAAATCCCTTTTCCTTCTTTTTCCTCTTTTTATTTATTAGTTTCTACCCTCTTCTTTTTGTCACAGAAACTAACGGACCATTGCACGGCACTACGGCCATCATCAGACAATGGTACCTAAATTATTATGTGACAATAATGAGGACAAAACATATCTTTTTAAACTCACCAAGCAATATGGGACTCAACATACAGGGTGTTTCTTAAGTACGCGTAGAAAAATTCAGGAGCATGTTACTGACGTCAAAATAAAGAGAAAAGTTGGTATAAATATATGTCCGAAAGTTATTAGTTTCTGAGATACAGAGTGTCAAAGTTGAATTTTTATTTTAGTTTTTGTTAATAAATTTCAAAATTATTGTGATATTCAAATGAAGTATGGTATCTAGGGGTATTTTCCAATGACAATATCAAATTTTATGTTAGTTCGTTTCTTTCGTAGGGGTGGCGCCACCTACATGTCTTTTGAGTTTTTTGAAAAGTCCTAACTTTTTTGTGCGTACCTGTATCACCTTTTATAGTAGAAAAATAGATGTCTAGAACACATTTGTGTGAATAATATATTCTTGGTGATGGTCGCTGCCAGCAACTGTTTTTGAGTTATTGGGATCTGAAGTAATCGATGCATTTGAATTATTTCCATGAGGCTCGTAATATTTTGCGCAATATTTCTCGTGCATGTCTGTTGATCTTCTTCGATTGCCTGAAGAACAGCTTTTCAATTTCTGGAGTCCTATAGTGGTCAACGGTCTGCTTATCACTGGAGCTTTTTCAAAGGATCCAGACTCCATAAGACGCTGAAAAAGGTTTCTGAATGTCTGGTGATTCGGCAGTCGATGATTAGGGAATCTTTTATTTGATTGTTATTTTTTTTGAATTGGAAGAGTCCAAAAAAGTAGGTACAAAGAAGTAAGAATCTTTTTTTGCTGATATCCCAATGTTGAATGTGAGAGAATATTGAATGGACGAAGAAAAATGCACTGGCATATCTTTTCTGATATTTACTGCTTACAGGTGACTAACGAGTCCCATGGAAGTAATTCGAACGCATCGATTATTTCAAATCAATCAATCAATCAATCAATTTATTGGTATCAAAATACATAGATAGTATTTATACAAGTCAATAAAAGTACAGTACATTTAAAATTTCAACATATATATGTCAATACAATAGATTACATTCAAGAATGTTGATAGAGGAGAACCCTCCAACATCATGTCAATCAAATTTTCCACTAACCAGTCCTAGTTCCTACCAAATGCTATCACCTTTGAGCCCAGTCAAAATTCAGGAATTCTTGATAACTATAGAATGCATGATCAATCAGGAATTTCTTTACATGCGATTTGAATGTTTTTATCGGTAAATCTCTAATCTCAGTAGGAAGGTGATTGAAAAACTTAACAGCCCAGTAATTTGTGCCATTTTGGCATTTCGTGAGTCTATGATAGGGAATTAAAAGATCAGCTCCATTTCCAGTTGAGTAATGATGAATATCACAATTTCTAGTATATAAAATTAATTTTGTCCTAATATGCAGTAAGTTTTGTAAAATATATATACAGGGAAGTGTCAAATCTCAATACCTCGAAAACAGTTTCTCGCAGCGACCTCTACCAGGAATATAGTTTTCACACAGGAGTGATCTAGAAATCTTTCTCTCTACCATAAAACGTGATACAGGTACGCACAAAAAAGTTAGGACTTTTCAAAAGACTCAAAAGACATGTAGGTGGCGCCACTCCTACGAAAGAGACAAACCAAAATAACATTCGATAGTGTCATTGAAAAATACCTCTAGTTACCAAACTGCATTCGAATATCACAATTTTTTCGAAATTTATTAACAAAAAACAAAAATAAGAATTCAACTTTGACACTCTGTATCTCAGAAACGTACAACTTTTGGACATATTTATGAATGAATGAATTTTCTACTCGTACTTAAGAAACACCGTGTATAAAACAATAAACCATGGTACTATACGATTTTCGTCAACGGGTTGGAAGAATCTGCAGCATTTGTAGATCCTCTTTAAATTTTCTGAAGAGCCAGAAAAAACTGGGTCTGATAAGGTTGAACATGATATCAAAGAAATTGAAGATTTGTTTTAATACAAACATTAGTTTGAAATTATAAAAATTGACACTTATCGTGTTCAACGTCAAAGTCATTTTCTTTACATAAGTGTCAATTTTTACAATTTCAGTTCCTTTTAGTACTGACGGCAAACTGATGTTTGTATGAAAACAAAAGTGTGGTCGACCGACTCTGTGTTGCTTTTTTTTTTTCGATATCCAAGGTTTCATTCGCTGCACCTCACGTCATAGGTTGAGAACACTAGCTTCCGATGCATGCGCAATGACTTACGAGCGATCTTGCGCGTTAAACTCTCTTTCGGTCTAATCTATCTTGAACAGTTGGTAATCCATATTTGCGGTCATATTTGCATCGGCAGACTTATGCCATCATGCTAAGAAGAAAATAGCATTAATTTCATAAAAAAATGACCAATTAATGCTAGTATACTCGAATGTAACAAAATGATACCATCGCAAGCATCACTTTTTTTGGTTCTTCACATACATATAGCTAGTAAGGTGGAATATGTTTATTTCATTTGAAAATCAAATGAATAAAATTTTTTCCCAAAAATGAATTGACAATATTTCAATTTAAAATACTTGCAGTCATATTTCGATATGGTAGAAATATATTCTCCTATTCATGAATATATGTGTGAAATTTGATGTTCATTAAATCACAGATGAACTTAATAATCTTGCAGTCGGATCTTTGACAAAAATACATCATGGTTCCAGTGAGTGATATCATTTGATGGAATCAACTTTACCATGGTAATTCAGTGAATTTCTCGAAATATGAGACCATGAATTTCCTTTTTTCTTTTTTTTTTACTGTTTTTATTTTTCCCCTTCTTGTTCACTATAATATGACTGTATCTTAATGATATGTAAGTTTTGTTCACTATTTGTAATTTCAATTATACAACAGTCGATAATACTTCATGAATGATCTTATACCAGGAATTACTGTCTGATCATTCATGTCATTCCTACTAGAAAATTAATTATACTTTATATATTATTTGTATGAAATGTATCAATGAAGAAAAGAATGTAATGCAATAACTGAAATAAATAAATAAAATTATTATTTCCTGTCAATTTATGTCTTCATATCATAAACAAATAATGTTTGATGAATGAAATGTTATGTCCCCTTTCTTTTCATAAGTCTATGGGTGGGTCCACCCTGATCGTTGAACAATTGATTAAATTGGAACTTGACTTGACCGTCGTTAATTCTATCGTCACAGATTCCACCAACTGAAAGAGCCTTTGCAAGCGAAACGCGACCACCTGGAGTCCGCGCTGATGCTGCAGCAGTTCACGCGAAACGTCGACGACGAGCTGCAATGGCTCGACGACAGAGAACCGCTGGCCGCCTCTCTCGACCTCGGCGCCACCTTGGCGGCGGTGCAGAGCTTCCAGAAGAAGGTATCGTTCGCACAATTTTCCACTATCAATTATTCCTCAAACGGTTAGGTTGTTATCTCAGTGGCGTGCAATGCTACTCATGTTAGGGTAGACAAAAATTCAAAAAATGTAAAATTTACTCACCATTATCCACCAAAGACTGAATTTGTGAAAACAGTCATTCAGTTATAGTGTTCTTGAATAACAAAACCGAGTTAACAAACACACAGATCTTTTGGATTAGAAAACATTAAAAACTATTATTTTTTATTAATCAAGTCAATTTGGCGTCATTATTCAGGAACTCATTTGACACATCATAATAAAAACTGGTACTTCATTTGAGGTCAATCAAATCATTTTTGTATTCGGTTAAAAAATCCACTGACTCAGCCCTGGCTTTGTTTCCGCCAGCGGATGTATTCGAATCTTTTGAAAGCCCTTTTATTATTGTACGTAATTGCTCAGGTCCCTGGCCGGTATAAATCGGCCCACGCCGCGTCGCCACGGCTTGAGTGTTGATGGCTTGCAAGTCGAAAGCAATTGCTTTCATTTCAAATGGGATGATTATTTGCTTACACAGAATTAATCGCCAATAGCGACGGCGCAGCGGGTGGTTTATATTAGTTTTTACCGTTTGAATAATATTATTATGAGTTGCGAGAGTACTCAGATCTATTTTTGAAAAAAAAAATCCCTAAAAGAAAAGTGTGTGAAGAACTGTTTTCCGATAATTTGTAGGCAATGCTTTTATGCTTCGATTGTATGCACGCCACTGGTTGTTATTACCCTGGAAAATACACTGCTCTGAGCAATTAACGCACCACCAAAAGTAGCCAAAAGTTTAGGAAATATTTTCGTCAGAAGTATTCGTCCGATTCGGTCATTATTATCAAGCTACAATTTCAAGCGCTCGAGGAGAATTTGATACATATTATTCAAATAACTTGTATGTACAAATGACTAAAAAATTATATTATTTTTGAAATATGTTGGTGGATATTATTTCAATTTTTATTCTACTAGTTTGTTCTCTTCTGTTACCCTGTTTATTGAATTGTATGATGATGTATTGGTAGGCAAGATGGAAAACACTAGGTAGTACCTAGGTATAGGTGAAATATTTTTTCAGCTAAACAATGACTATTTTCCATAGAATCATCTTATTTAAGCTACTAACTTCACTAAATATGAGGAGACTAAGACATCCCATGGAAGAATTTTTTTTTCATCGCCTAAATTACGTCTGTGGTTGAGTATAGATTGAGGGAAAATAGAACAAGAGAATGTCAACCTAATATTGTCTATTATGACATAAACAAATGAGGTCTTTCCATAGTCTCTTCTCCAGCGCCACTTGACAAGCAGACATATTTCGATTCACTGAACAGACGATATTATTACCTCCTCGCACTAGCTCGCCTACTAGGTTTTCATTTAGATCGACAATAATGGTACAACATTTATTTTTTGGATTCCATTATCTTTCCTAATACTCGAGAAACACCATTTTATAGTGTAACATGATTTTATGGAAGATTAATATCCAAATTAAACAACGAGAAAACGAAAAAGAATGCTAAGTCACAACTTTGCTCCGACAGTGTTGCGCTGGGAACGCACGGAATCTGAAGAAAACGCACGTGTTATCAAGAGTTTTGTGGAAATCTTATCGTTTGTGAAGTTTTTCACTTTCCTTATTGTAGAAGCAAAAAAAAATTAATATTGTTCGGACCGGCGATCGGCAAAAACGCCGACAAGCTGCGGTCGAAGTTGGCCAGCGTGAGGGACTTAGCGAGCGTGAATCTATAAATTCCTGACCTTGATCTAGAGGATAAGGAAAATCATATTTCTTCCGCCAAATTTCGATAATTGCCTAATTTTGCATTGAAAACCATCTAGGAGCATTGAAAATTTCACGAGGATTCCGAATCTATACATGTTATTCTCATCCTAGAGCCAAAGGATAACAAAGTTGCATTTTTTCCTCGCCAAAATTGCTCGAACCTTGTCAACTCATTTTTCGATAAAATTCATCGAGCGATATCGGAGTTTTTCAAGTTTATGCAACGAAAGAAAAACGCAGTATGTTAACAGGAATTCAAGATAACTGATTTATATTCGTTGATTTGTTTGTTCAATTCACTCTGACGCAAGTATGCAATTTTGTATAATTTTTTTTTTATTTCTGCTGGACTCTTCATTTTGATGATTGAATGGTATCAAACATCCCAGTCTTTTTACGAAAGCAATGAGGGTTATCATTATTTTTTATCCACCAGATCTCGCTACTAAAACGTTAGGTCAGAGTTGGCCGAACTGATAAATATACTTCTTATTTCCGTTTCATTTGGCCTCGTCCTACGATATCTTTTTCTCTGTCAATGTAAAAAATGGCTGGAAAGTTGCACATTGAGAGTAAAAAATGTGAGTCTGCTCAAGTCTTTCCATAACTTTTCTATTTGTTCGAATATCCTACTTCATCTTTCCCGAATATTTTTGATAAAACAGGCAACGGCGTTAAGGGGTATCCGGCAAGATTTTGGAGTTTTTGACTTTCACATTATTCTCACGTTTCAGTAACGCCAACTGGTGAGACTGAAAATGTTAGTTCTCATAGACACATTACCAAACATGATCCACGAAAACAAAAACCTCGAAGAAATCAAGAAATGTGATGTGTCTATATTTTGTGAAGTTGTTCACTTTCCTTATTGTGGGAGTAAAAAAAAGTGATTGTTTGTCTTTCAGCACCAAGCGTTGGAAGCGGAATTGGCGTCTAGAGAGCCGATCGTGATGTCGCTGGTGGCGAGAGCTGAGCAGCTGGTCAGGTCGGGCCATCCGTCCGGACCGGCGATCGGCGAGAAAGCCGACGAGCTGCGGTCGAAGTTGGCCAGCGTGAGGGACTTGGCGAGCGTGAGGCGGTTGCGGTTGCAGAATTCCTTGGAGGCGCAGACGGTGAGTACCTCAGACTAGAGTCACTGGATGGTATTAGTTAGGTGAGAGTTCGGACTCAGAAATGACACTGTTAGTGTTTTTGAATCTGTATATTTATTGACAAAGAGAGAGAAACTCAAAGTCATTACCACACTAGTTCATAAAATAAACGAAAATGGTAGATAACGAGAGGAAAACAACTACTTTCCTGGCTATATGCCACGCAGAACATTGGATTACATTCTCCCGAAATCTATGCAATAGTTCGTATAGACGAATTAAATCGCGTTTCCTTCCTAAACGCTGAGCTGCGCTTAAGTGGTTCAGGAACGCTGACTACCTGCAGACCGATTTCGAGCTGTTGGCTCTCATCAGTACAGGGCTGTCCCAGAATGCCTCTTGACCGCTATCTGGTGCGAACCTGACCCAACGTAAACGCATCTCAGCATTTATACCATACGAGGCGTTCGAAGTCCGCGATATGAAAACGCGAACGCCGAACGCCACCTGGCGCAGCTCAGCGTTTAGAAAGGAAGCACTTGCAATTTTATTCGTCTATACGAACTTTTGCATCGATTTCGGGAGAATGTAATCCAATGTTCTGCGTGGCATATAGCCAGGAAAGTAGTTGTTTTTCTCTCGTTATCTACCATTTTCGTTCATTTTATGAACTATTGTGGTAATTACTTTGAGTGCCTCTCTTTTTATGACCATTTCATTCCACTTTGAGTATTTGGCTTTTGGCTATTTCCCTAGTTGTATATGTAAAATTGTTTGAATTTGATAATGAATTTTATGAACGTCAGAATTGAGATATAATTTCATATACTATTGGGAAAAATTCATAATAATGAAAATTTCAAACAGCAGATTTACAAAACAGACTATTGGAAAAAAGTCCAATATTATTATCAGATGAAATGCAAAAAAAATTATTATAGAGAAAGAGAAATTGATAGCAAAACTACGTAATGAAATTGAAGATTTGAGAATGAAACTGAGGAAATCAAGTAAATTGTAACGTAATATAATATCATTGAATGGCGTTTTCAATACCGACCAAATCCAAAATGTATCAGTAAAAAGTGAATGCAGCAGAAGGTGAAATAGCTAAACAATCTCCATGTTTTATTATCCATATATGTGTCTATTTCGTCATATTAAAATGTTGTTACATGAGTTTTTTTCATTTTTATAATTATTGATCTGCGAAACGTATATCCCTATATACATCGAAGTAGGTGTTTATACTTACCCTATTTCGATATTCCATCTACGACAATGATTGATTTGACAGAAAATCTAACCTCTTAAAGCGTATCTGACAATCAGGCGCTACTAGAGAAATTGAAAAGACAAAGAGCAGAATATATGTCTTATTCTTTTATTCACTCAAACCATTGTCATAAAGAAAATAGAAAAAGACAGAAGTTCAGCTGTGTCCGAGCTCTAATCTAACTAATACCATCCAGTGACTCTATCTCAGACTAAATAAACAATGAAATCGCGAATTGTGGGGATAACTCTGCGGAATCAATGACAGAGAAGTGATATAGTTTTATTAATATATTTTATACTTCTAATGAATAGAGATTTCTATAAATCTGTGTATGTTCATCAATGAATTTACTCTCTCGTGTTGTAAGATAATAATGTATCAGTGAGGCTATTCGATATTTTCAATATTTTAAACACGCTTCTCATCAACAAAAGCAAGCCCTCAAATAACTCTGCCACTGTACCTTTTCACATACTAGGGAAATATCAGGTTATCTTAGGTTATTTTTGTAACTAAATTTTCTTTACAGATTTGACACTGATCTATATTATTTCATGAAATGGCCTGCTTGAGATTTATAATATCAAATGAGTTACATAATCAAATTGATAGGACTTCTTCTGAGTACGCTATTAAACAGATCTCAATGTTGTTTTTTATTCCCTCATTCAATACCTAACTCTCAGCTATTTTGAAAGTTTGTGATATTTCTATTGGTTTGCAAGTTGATTGACCCAATTAAATTTGATGCATGGTACCTGATATTCTTCAGAATTATTCGATCATTGTCCCAGCAAACATCGAATCTCTGGTCGCCTTCTGGCCCAATGTATGATCAGTCGGCAGAGTGCTGGCAACGGCAACGACGGGCGAACGTCGGCCCATTGTATGCTATATTGTAATCGTTCATCTATAATCCAGCCAGCACTGGACAATTAGTATCAAATCGTATAAACATCGGCCCTTTATTGTATGGTATATTGAAATCATTCAACTATAATCCAGCCGGCACCGGGCCAATAAAAGGCATCCGCGCTCTACCAGACTTCATCATATGATATTTCCTACACATAAGCCCTCTCCTGTGTAATTTCGATGGAAAGATATCTATACTTTATGATGAAAAAATTTAAAACGAAATATTAGGAAACAATTAGTTAGTACATAATATATGATAAGATTATAAATAGTAAACGTCAATTCACCTATTATATTATTTTTTGTTCTTCAAAATTCCGTTGAATACGTATAGGTATTCGATATTTGCTCGCTGATAAATGAATAAACCTACCACCTAATGGAGTCATCATATTTCACTAAGAAATTCAAAATAAACATGGGTGAATCACAGAAACGAAGTTTTGTCCTGTTATGATATGATTATTATAAGGATTCTTAGATAGTACTCATAAGTTATCCGTAGTCAATATCTAACAAGAAGTAAAAATGGCTCAGTTGGTAAGATCCCGGCTTCGTAGCCCTAGGAGATAGGCTTCTACGACGAACACTTCACATATGCATCCACATTCTTTGGCCAACACCAGCCACCTCTGCTAGCTCGGAGGATTTTATCTATACAGTTTCAAATTGTACAGAGTATACTTATTTATTCACAATGTGGATGTATTAATGTGCTGTAAACCAAAGATGGAAGATAATAAATGACTTTTAATGTAATGTGTGGCTTCGTATTCCAAAGGTCGCAGGTTCGAACGCGGCGACCGGTCACTTCTTTTTTTAATTTTTTGTCTGACGGTATACAGGCATCGGTCTGGCCGTCGGCCAGAGTGACCTATTAACGTCTGACCGACGTCGTTTGCCCCTCTTTTGCCGCGTCGGCAACTTCTGGCAAGCAGGTTTTGGGCCGACGTAATAACGACCGAAATTATTTGCCGGGGTAGGTACGTACTTGGTTTTTGTATGAAATCACCAATCATCAATGATAATATATGTAATATGTGGCGCTCATTTCTCCACAAATCTCGCCAATTTAGCAAAAATAATAAGAATCACATTAAGAAATAAACATTGATTTTTACAATAAACTTTCATGTGTTTAACATTGTTTCAGGAATCTATCATTTCCTTAAAATGAACTTACAAGTTGTGAACTCTGACGAATCTAATCAAATGAGAATGCAATGAACAATGAATTCTCTCAATGATAAAACATTTGTTATCTTATAACAAAACAAGAATAAGTCAAAACCTTAAAAGAGACTCATTAACTAAGTTGAGTTGTTTATTAAACTGAGATATTATCATTAATTGAAGAGAACTATACCTAGTGAGAGATCTATCAGGAATTAGATATTAATCAACAAAATATACCAATCAAATGAAAGGCTTGTTTAGTTCAGTAGCGGATAAAAGAATCATTTCTGACGATTTTTTCAAATTCTGAAATCGGTTAAAAAATGAGTAAGCTAGAGCGGGGACAACATTTATGGTAAATCACCCTGTACAACGCCATCCCGATGTTCCAGTTCTACCAAGAAGTGTCGGAAGCAGAGGCGTGGATCAACGAGAAGCGACCGGCGTTGGCAACGCGTGACGTCGGCAAGGACGAGGACACTGCGCAGTCGCTGCAGCGCAAGCTCGAAGCGCTCTCTATGGAGGTGAAGACGTTCCAGCCGACCGTGAAGAGACTGGTCGAGAACGCTGAGGGTCTCGTAGCGAGGGGACACGCCGACGCCGAGAATATCGGAGTTACGAAGGTTAGAATCTTTTTTTTGCAACTGTCAAGTTGATCATCCATTTCAACGTTAATTTTTGTAGCGAATTCAGTAATAATGACAGTACGATTGAGTAAAATTGTAACATTCTATTGTCATGTCAAATCTGAAAATGTAGGTATGTAATATGTATCCTTCTTGGAAATCTAATGTCAAGGTTCAAACGTGAGTGGGCCCATGTTAGACCCTCCACTGCCGCCAATGGGCTATTGTGGCTCATCCTATGGCTATTTTTCTCCCAGTTTATCTAATCTCTTGGCGAAATTAAGGAGTACGTTAGGAAAATAATTGATCAGGTTTTCTGGCCCTACTGTTGTATTGCCAAATGTTGAAAATCTGATTCTGGCCGCTGCAGGGCATGTACATGAAATGTGTTTAGCCGTTTAATCCTCCTCCATGCATAGACGGCACTCTTGTGCATGTGGTGTTTGAGTTTTCAGTGGCCAGTGAGCAAACCTACTATAACTCTCACGCCAATACTCGAGTCTTTTGTTGTCGGCCCAGGATGTTATGACATTCTTGGCAGTTCAATGTGCTATACCGATTACCAGTTCTGGCCCAGTAAACGATGTTTCGCCCCCCCTTTTGCTAAAACGTCCACTATTTCGTTCCCCTCTAGGCCGGTGCGTGACCTGGTATCCAGACCAGGTTAACGTTTATTGCATTGTGTCAGTCGGTTTGAGGTTTCTCTGCAGATTCATACTGCTCTGGATTCAAAGCAGTTGGATTCAAGTGCTTTCAGTGCTGCTTGACTATCTGAGAATATCTCTATTGTTTTTTGTGTGTGGTGTCGATTTTCCAGCTCCCTTGCACACATTTCAATGGCTTATACCTCCGCCTGGAATATCGTAGCTAGTTTACCCATACTGAATGAGCGTTTCACCCCTGGGTTCATTCCGTATATTCAGGCTCCGACGGAGATCTAGGTTCGAAAGTTATCGAAACATCTTCCAAGAGTTCAGGGAAGAACAACATAAATACATGTTATGTATGTAGTTCACTTTCGATTGTTCTAAAATAGAACTTCTCAAAATGGGTATTGATACTTTCAGGGTTCAAACCGGAACGTTTTCCGCATTATATAGGGTGACATTGAAATAAAAACAAATATCTCAAACCCAAAGAAAGCTCGACTTATGCTTTCAAATGACACCAATTCAAAAAAAATTTGAATCAAAATAAAATTTGGGGTGATGCCCAAGTGGCACACTTGATTGTTTTCCATTTTCCGTTCCCTTTTTAGAATACAATTTTTCGTCAATCAGAAGAATAAGGAAAAAATATGATATCTTGAGAATATTCGGTAGAATGTGTTTTATATTAATGTGCTGAATATGTGCACTTATTTCAAAAACACCTCGTATAATACCTATTTGCTTACCTAATCTAAATATCGTAGCAGTATTGAAAAAGCTTTGATGGATTTTTTTCGAACTGGTACCTCAGTTCAATGAATTCATTAATAATATACCATTATCAACACACTAAATGGTCCACTTATAATTTGACTCTTTTTCGACGACCTGTAGTATTTTTTGAAGAAATTGCCGATTTACTTGTGGTTTCCGGTATCAGATGTGTTATTTCATCGACTTCTAAGAAAGCTTAAACACTATTGGAACATTGTAAATTTTCATAGGAACAAAACCAAACAAAAATGTTATTCCGATAATTTGACCTCAAACGAATTTAATGATTATTTTTCAAGTGTAGCTGTCAACATTATTAAATCAATGCCCAATCTACAAATTTCTGATTTGGTGAATTTTCGAAACTTTCCTTCTCCAGAATCTTCATTCTTTCTAACTCCTGTTACGTGTGACGAAGTACGGGAAATCATTAATTCATTGAAAAATTCAGCTTGTCCTGATATCAATGGAATAAATAGTAAAATCATAAAAGAAACTCAGGATATAATTCTTTCCCCATTAACAATGTTAATTAATTTAGTTTTCTCGACAGGTAAATTTCCAGATATTTTCAAATATGCAAAAGTAATACCTCTTCTCAAAAAAGGAGACGAAGAGTTAGTCGATAATTATAGGCCCATATCTATAATAAGTATTTTTTCAAAAATTATAGAAAAGCTAATAAAGACTAGACTCATCAAATATTTTGAAATCAACAATTTCTTTTGTAGATATCAGTTTGGTTTTCGCGAGAATTGCTCAACCACCGATGCTGCTATGAGTGTTGTCGGAAGCATAGTTGAGGGTCTTGAGAATGGAAAAGTTGTAGGAGTTACACTATTGGACCTATCTAAGGCTTTTGACTGTGTTTCCCACAACATATTACTCGAAAAACTTTCATATTATGGTGTTAGAGGAATAACTTTAGAACTAATAAAAACATACTTAAATAATCGTTTCCAGGCAGTTTTTCATAACAATGAATTTTCTGAGCAGAAACCAATTAACTTGGGTGTGCCTCAGGGATCGGTATTGGGTCCGCTGTTGTTTGTGATTTATATTAATGATCTCTACAACTATATGAAACCATGTCACAGTGTATTATTTGCTGACGATACATCCCTCATCTACTCCTCAAAAAATCTTTCATCTCTTGCTGATCAATCTGTCGAAATACAAGGAAAAGCCAACTATTGGCTTAGTGTTAATAAACTTATGATGAATAACGATAAATCACAAAACATGGTGATATCTACGGCTCAGCCATTACCTGAGTTCCAAACTGTTAAGTTGTTGGGTTTCACCTTGGATAATAGGTTAAATTGGTCCAGCCACATTTTAGGTTTGAAAAGTAAATTATCGAGTGCTCTATTTTTACTTCGACAACTTAAACCTATAACTAATCTCACTACATTGAAAATAGTTTTTTGCTCACTAATTCAATCTCATATTTCTTATGGGATTCTACTATGGGGAAATTCTAGTGATGCCCAATGTATTTTCATATTACAAAAAAAGGCTCTGAGAATTCTTGTTGGAATTGGTTACAGAGATTCTTGTCGTGATTCATTCATAAATCACAAAATAATGTCAGTACCTTCGATGTATATTTATACGATTATAGTAGAGATTCACAAAAAAGCTCCCCTGCTTCCTAAGCAATCCAGTTTGCATAATCACAATACACGCAACAGTGATCTTATTAGACCTCAACGTTACAAACTCAGCAAATCACAAAAAAATTCTCATGATCTCAGATTATATAATGCTCTTCCTGCCAGTATTAAAACTATGAATATGTTTTTCTTCAAGAGAGTTATGAAAGATTATTTTGAAAAAAATTGCTTTTACTCGATTGCAGAATATCTGGCTCACGTTAGTGGCCACAATTTTGATACAAGGATACATAAATGTGTATTTTGTTTTTGTTTTTGATTGTATATTATTCGTCTCTGATTGTATATTTTTTGTCTTTTATTGTAAATTATCATTTTTTACATTCTTTTCACCAAAATGGAATCATTTAGGACTTGCTACAAATGTATGAATGTACATCAAGTAGTCAATAAACTCTACTCTACTCTACTCTACTCTATGTAAAAGCCCGCAGAACTAAACCTACACAGGGTGTTTAGTGGAACCATTATTGCGATGCTCCCGGAACCCATGATTTTTTTTCTGATTGATTGAGTCAGTTATTTTATGATACATTGGGACTTCATCTCTGGAAATAATTTTCGTGTTTTCTCCTTAATTTGCCATTAGAACAAAAATAATATATATTTTTCAATAATAACAATAAATTGCCTTTATTTAACCTGACGGAGTTCAGCTGCTCTTCCACTCACTTAATTTTTTTTTTCAGAATTCCACTTGAGCTGAATATTTGGAAAATCTATCTTCATGTTTTTTGTAGGTTAATTAGAGACGAATAAAGCATCATAGTACAAAATACAGGGTGAAATGAAAAAAAAAATCTCATTTTATTAAAAAAGAACACAAACAGAGACAACCATTGCCCATTCGATTCATGATATTTAGAGACGACCTTCTCGATATTTTATGGGTTCCAACTATAGTATGATGGTTCCACACAACACCCTGTGTATGTTTCGGTCTGCGGATTTATTCATAGTGTTCTAGCTTCCTTAGGAGTCGATGGAATATCACATATGATACAGAAAAGTGCATGTGAATCGGTGAATTTCTTCGATAAATACAGGTCTTCGATAAAGAGTCCAATTATAAATGGTTCATTCAGTCTGTTGAGAATTGTATTATAAAAATCCACGACAGGTATTCGTTCTTTTGAACAAGTGCTTGTGAAATACATGCGAATTCTAAAGACTCGCCTTGAATAGTTCTCATAGTTTCATTCTCCCTCCTAGAAATCCACTACAGAAATATTTCCCTTTCACAGCAAAACCTAGAAAATCAATTCGCCGGGCTAAGGAAGCTCGTCTAAGAAAGGGAAGCTCGAATCTCTGAGGCCCTGCAGTTTCGTCTTCCTGCACATGTTATTTTATTATGATTTTCTACACGTATTGTTCTGACTTTCTGAATGCTCAACTCATATCCAATTTAAACGAATACGTATTCAAGATACTGATGCTGTGCAACCATATCTTGGTCACACTGAATACAAGAAATATCGTCATATTCCTATAAAGGCCGTTTCTCACGGTCCAAGAATTTGATCTGTTTGATGTGACGCCATTCCTGCCTATTTGACTCAAATGGTTCGATATGTCAAGAAATCTTCGTCATGCGATTTGAAGATTTTTGAACAAAAATATTTGTTAAGTAGGTTCTCTAAAATAGGGAAAATCATAAGGAAACATTTTATAAAAATTCATTAATTGGTAAGTATTTTGTAAAAACTTCACAAACGATAACATTTCCACAACATTTGCCATTTGCCATGGATCTCTATCAAGTTATCAAGTAACGGCCGAGTCAATTTAAAATAAGTATTTTGTAATACAAAGTGATTCCAAGAAAAAGAGGGAGATATGTACAAGATGATGACTTCAAAGAAATATTGGTAGAGGAGTCCTACTTATGATTTTTGATGAAGTCAGACTGGAAGATATCCCATAGTTAATTTAAAAACTACTTGAGAATGGATAGGAGCTATTTCAGATTTTAATTAATCCATATATGCGCGTGAACGTATACCTGCAGAAATGAGGTGAGATTATAACAAAGTCTCTAGTCAACCAAGCATAAATTTGGGATTGGAGCAAGACAAAAATATTCCTATAATTATCCGAAATGGTCCTCAGTCCAATTACCAGGACAGGCATTTTTGAAGTATTGATAATATTAATGATAGTATTTCTTGTTAATTCCTACGATATAAAATAATAATTAATGAAGAAAACATGAAACCAACATAACTTTATTGTTTGATCCAACATGATAAATATTTAGAATAAGTTCTAAATTTCGGCTGCTGTTTGACGTGACGTCACTGATGACATCACAGATCTGTAATTTGATCAAATTTTTGGGCCGTGAGACACAGCCTTAACGAACTCAATCGTTTCTTTCTGCAGGAAAACCTGGAAAAGCAATTCGCCGAGCTGAGGAAGCTCGTCACGGAAAGGGAAGTACGACTCTCCGAGGCGCTGCAGTACTTCGGCTTCCTGCACGAGTGCGTCGAAGTGCAGGAATGGATGCGCGAGCAGACGAACAAGGCCGATTCGGAGGAGTACGGCAACGATTTGGAGCACATCGAGCTGCTCATCCAGGCGTTCGACACCTTCCACGCCAGTCTGCTCAACAGCGAGCCCAGGGTGCAGCAGTGCATCGAGAACGGTAAGCTGTCATCTGCCATTTGTCGCTTGTTTATCCTAGAGTGACTTAAAAAATAGAGTGACGACAATAGTGGTACACTTTTTGATTGGTCAGACCTTTAATATGGAGGTGCATCCACCTGTTCAGTTCTACACATTCGATTCCACTTTTTCTGTTTTTAGCTCTTTGGACACAAAACATCCAACAATCATAGATGAAACTCTACTCTGAACCTACTAGATTCGAGTGCCATTTCTACGAATCTCGCATCAGTACAGTGAATTAGGGAATTATAACAGAGGTGGCGAAGTCTTTATTGACTAGTAATTCATAAAATGACAAAAACTACCTTGGTTGTGAGAACACACTTCATCGTTTATTGAGAAACTAGCTTCCAGTCAGAAATAAAATTCTGGTATGAGGAAGTTGATCACAAAGAACAATAATAAAATAACATAAGGTGACAACAACCAACAACAACAACAAAATCTTGAAAATCTAATAATGCTAAATCGATCATGTCATAAAAATAGCACCAAGGACTAATCAGTAGATGGCAAAATATCAATTCTATCTATTTCGTAATAAAATCATATGTGTTTTTTCAATTCAATTTTAAATTTTGAAATATGTCTGCAATTTTCTATATTATTTGTAATTGATTGAATTCAGCTAGAGCAGCGTGAGTAGTGTAGTTCTTTTCATTACCCCGCACCGCAATAGGGAAATTGGCTTTCGGTGAATTTTCTCGAATTTTGGATATATCGTAGAACTCGTGATGCTGATCAGATGTCCCAATTATCAACGCTCTAAATTCAATAGTTTGGATTATACAGGGTGTTGAAGTTGACTTCTTCAAAGTTTCCAATGGTCATTGTGAAGTTTCCCTTTTGAATATCAAAATCAAATCCACTACGTTTTGCTTGTCCATGTGGTCAGTGAAAATTCACTATAGAGTTCAATGATATCTGCACGTACTCACGATATACAGAGTTGGTCCAAAAATAGCAAATGGTCCAATTATTTTTGAAAAAGTGGGCGGTTGAAATCAATTCGTTTTTGGACATTTCGTTGTATACTAATATCAAGATCGATTCATGATGATTGAATTTCTTGAATCAGACTACATACTATACACAAGATGTTCAAGTTGATAATTCGTGATGACAATATTTTATGCAAATACCTGAATTATACAGGGTTTTTGTGAAAGTGGTAGTGGAGTTTTCTTGGAGTTGACGTACTCAGGATTTCTGCCTTGTTTATCAATTGCTCTGGAAATCAACTCCCAAAGAAACGATATTCGTGATGCGCAACGAGCCCTACAGCTTGTGGTGGAATTAAGCCAATTGAAAAGAAGGCATATCATGATTTATGCGAAACCCCCAATTCACGAGGAAAATGAATTCCAAATGGACTCGAATATGAATGAGCGTGGATTCTTGAGAATGAGAGTACATTCAAGATTTCAAAATGCCACAAAATATCAACTATGGATCGCATTCGATGCAGATGTAGAGAATATTGAACAAATCAATAATGTTGATGATGTTATATACGGATATCTTATTGCACTCGTAAAACTGGAGCCCCAACACTTGGATGTTGTTCTAATGTGGCTAGTGTCATCTGGTACCTGGGATATGCACGTCATGAACAACACATACAGTATCCGTCAAATGTCCTTCTCATTCATGTAGAGGACGCTGCAAACAGAGGAGGCCAAGTTAATCAAGTGCTTTGACTCTATCATCCTCATTATAATCATTTTCTGTTTTTCATTACCTCGTCATATTATCTTGTTCTACCGAAAGATACTATATAGTCTGCGAGTAGCTCTTCATGAGTGCTATGTCCAATAAATTCTTTCTAGTTTGCTCAGAACAGATTCCTCAATATTCATTCTGTTATAATAGTGAGAGCGAAATGTATATTTTCCTAAAATCAACCTTCCTCGTGATTGATGAGTTGAGAGATTAATTTGACAACGGACACATTCGATAATTATTATTCGATTACCTACCACTACCACTAATATAACTACTATACTACTATTTTCACAACCACCCTGTATAATTCAGGTATTTACATGAAATATTGTCATCACCGCAATTATCAACTCCCTCACCAAGTTTTACTTGATTCCAATCATTTTGTGTATAATATGTAGTCCAACTTTATCTTTATTATTATTCCCAAGAAACATACATGTTTATAGCAGGGAAAATTATGAAAGAGCAACTAAAAAAAAACAAAAATTAGATAATCAGATAATCATTTTTAAATCATATACATAATACATATAATGTTGTTTCTTCAAGAAATGCAATTATCATGAATCAATGTTGATATTAGTATACTACGAATTGTCTAAAAATGAATTGATTTCAACCGCCCACTTTTTCGGAAATAATTGAAACATTTGCTATTTTTGGACCAACTCTGTATATCGTAAGTACGTGCAGATATCATTGAACTGGTGGATTTTCACCGGCCACATAGACAAACAAAACGATTTGATTTTAGTATTCACAAAGGAAACTTCACAATGGCCATTCGAAATTTTGAAAAAGTCAACTTCGACACCCTGTATAATCCAAACTATCCAATTTAAAGCGTTGATTATTGGGACATCTGATCAGCATCACGAGTTCTACGATATATCTAAAATTCGAGAAAATTCACCGAAAGCCAATTTCCCCCTTATTGCGGTGCGGGGTCCTTTGAAGATTGAAATTAATATTCTGTTCATTCTTCTGATGGAATATTATATATTCAGTTTCGTTGGTATTAATTAATAAAATGTTTGAATAGAGCCATTTTTCGAATTGTTTCAAATCTTTGTTAATAATATTTTCTAGAATGATAGAGTTTTTGTTTCCGTATAAAAGTACAGTATCATCTACATATATAGTATAATTACCTGATAAATCTATGTTAGAAATATTCTGAATATATAATAAATACAAGATGGGCCCTAAAACAGAACCCTGTGGAACACCTTTACTTATTGGATGTTTATTAGACATATTACGCCTCGAAAAGGAGTAAAAAATGGTAGGTTTTGTAGCTAGTGGTGGAAAAAGTGTTGTTCGACCTATCTCAAGGTTGTGAAGAAGACTTGAGTATTTTTCTCATCCCGAACCTTTCTTCCAGGCAACGTGATCATCGACGCGAAGAGCAGCTACAGCTCGGCGGTGCAGCAGAAGGTGACCGAGCTGCAGACGGCTTGGGAGGATCTGGTGGAATTGGCGAATGCTCGCAAGGAGGCGCTGGCCGGCGCCAAACAAGTGCACGTCTTCGATCAGACGGCCGACGAGATCATCCTGTGGATGCAGGAGAAGGAGGCGGACATCGCGTACGGGGCGTACATACAGGACTCGGAGGTTAGTATCTCGGGACTAAATTACAATTTATTGGATATACCCTTCATAACATTCAGCCTCATAAGCAAAAAGAAAAAACAATTACTAGTGTGACTAGTTTCGGCTAAACAGCCATCTTCAGACACAAATTGAATAAAGTACCTGTAAGAGATGAAATTACAGACGAACAATAAGTTTGCTGAGGAAAAAACATACCTAGGCCATGTGGTGATTACAAATTCAACAAATGAAAAATCAAGCGATTATTTCAACGTGAAAAATCAGTTCGGTAAGGGGGTGATTAAATTTTTATAACGGCTGAATATCCAAAAGAACCTTATAATCATGAGGTTCAACATTGGCACGAAAAAAATTAGTTATTTAAATTCACTCAACCGAGTTTCATCTTGGATGGCTATTGAAAGACAGAAATCCAGGAATCGCCAAAGTAAGCAAATGACAGTGACAGCATGACAAGACTGAATGACAGTGACAAATTATACAAACTAAATGACATGACAAAATCATCGTAAGGTACAGAAAACTATTTGGCATAATAAACAAATTATTGCAAAGGAAAATATGGGTTAATTACCTAATCTCCTTGTAACAAAACTATGAGAAGTACATGGTAAGGTTGAAGACCAAAAAGAAGAAGAAGAAGAGATGTCAAGTGTAGTGCAAGTAATAACGGCAGAAGAAGAAGAAGATCCACGGAAAGTAAACAGGTCCGGCTTAAGTACCTGAAAATGGGAAAATTGATCATGAGAATTTGAGTGTGCGAAAAATGTGGTTTCTTTCAAAATTAGTTTGGTCGTTGAGACAATTAATATTTGGATTATTGATACATTTTTGAATTTCCCAGATTTCTAAAAGGTTTATCCGTTTACCTTTATTGCAAATGTAAATAATATCCATATTGGATTTGACATCAAAAGTGTGATTAGAATCAATAATATGATTAGCAAAGGAAGAGGAAGCGTCATGGATATCTGATCTGAGAAATTTGTGGACAATTCTGCGATGTTCCGATGCGCGGATTTCGAAACTTCTACCAGTTTGGCCTATATAAGATGAATTGCAATCATTACAATTTAATCTGTAAACCCCTGACTTTTCTGTCTGAGAAATTTTATCTTTAGAATTAACAAGTAGGTGTTTGAGATTGGAAGAAGTTTTATAGGAGATGTTAATGTTGAAGTTTTTGAAAATTTTTACACTTGGTGTATTTTGTTTTTTCTTTGAAAAAATCTGGACCACTTTGAGAAGGATGGATGGTTTCCATGACTTTAAAAAACCTTTAGGTCACCCATACCTCCAGATAATATTGCTCTCATCAAAACTGCTGATGTGGGTATGAGTGAATAATATGGAATGAATTGATTCTTGATAAAGTCTTCTGAAACTACTTGTGGAAAAAGTAATTTATGGAAAGTGACGTTGTATAACTCGTCAGCAGAGATGAAATGTCAAACTTTTTTTCCCGTCACAGAAAAAATCATTTTATTATTGTTTTGAGGCATACCTACTACAATGAATGATAGATGTATTTTTTTTTCATCATACATCCAAAAACAAATGCCGAGATGACAGTGGTTATGTCAACGAATTATAATTCTCAGATTTCAGTTCCTTATAGATTTAGTTATATAATAGGGAGATGAAAAAAATCAAGTACGCCACTTTAAAAGAATTTAAATGATTGAACTCCGCGTGATTGTGCCTACCGCATGGAAATTTGGACAGAGGTGACGTCAGATTTGCTACAGTGTAGAACTTTGGGTGAAAAAAGGAATCTAACCTCAAATTTCATATTGATCCCTAATTTTTTTTATCAGTGTCATTCGATAGTACACGTCAAGCTTTCTCAGTGTTTGAAATATTTGCACTTATTTCAATGCCACCCTGTATATATCCGTTTTTTTGTGTTCATAAATATATCTGAAAATATTCCTTTTCAAATTAATTTTAGTTTCATGACACGCTGTATAAGAAGCTGTGACACCCTCATAAAACTGGGCACTTGATGTTTTGAGGACGTTGTTCAATTTTTTCAATAAAGTAACTGTAACCATAGATTTTTGATGACATTTTTATATGAGCAGTGAAAATCACTTGTAGCTAATGATAAAAATGATTATTATTTCCCAATCAGCACAAATACGTCTTATGGACGTTTTAAAACGTCCACTCTGGACATTCGGGACGTTTTGAAGACGTCCATTTCCGGACGACGGACGACTTATGGACGTTTTGGGTACGTTTTGTCTCTATACCTTGAAAATCGAACAAAGAATAACAAAACATAATAAAATTAAAAATAAGATTCGTAAAAACCGCAATCAAATTTGAAATAAAAGCTTATTTCCATTAATCAGACTGAATATGATTCCAATATATTTTTACCATGCATTTTCTTACGGTAGTGCCCTCGGTGATGCCTCATTTAGTCATTGTTACATATTAGGCAGTTAGATAGGGACATATCAACCGTTTTGGTCGATAAAGTATAGTTTCGACACAAAAAAAATCCCAAAATTGAAAAATCTCGATTTTGTGCACCCTATATCTCTGTACTCATTCCTGCTACACCCCAAGTGTGATACATTGATGAAATCAGCTCTTCAGGAAGAATCTAAAAATGCAATAAAATACAGGGTGCTTCATTCAAAATAACGAAGTTGCTAGTTGTTTCTGATAGAAGTGGCAACACTGTATCGATGAAAACATTTTGAACGAATAGAGAATGTTCAATTATCAAAGCATCCCAATTTTCAGAATGTTCTGTCTTTTCGTTCTCCAGATACTTCTAATAGGCCATCCATCGTGACCCACCCTGTATATGTAGGTACAAATCAGTTTAAATCATCAATGTTTAAAATTCATAATATTAATAATAAAATGAAATTCACTATATTGATATAGCTGACATATAATATATTTTTTAGACATAATTTATATCCATATTCAATTCAATAATTCTGATTTTGAAATTAATAAATACCTACCTACTGATATTTATCAAAACTGATATACGCCTTTTTCTGGACTCCCCGAGTAGTCCAATAATGGACGCCTTAAAAACGTCCATAAAAGGTCTTGGACGTTTAGACCAAAAATGGACCTAAAATGGACGTCCTCTGGACGTACCGTGCTATCTGCGTTGTGATGTAACTTGGATGACCATTCGACGTTCTCTCAGGTGATCGAGCAGCTAGTGAGGAAACACCAGGCGTTGGAGACGGAGATGAAGGCCATCAAGGACAAGGTGGACTACGTCGAACAAGAAGGCGACCGACTGATCGCCGAATTCCCCGACACGCGGGAACACATCGACGACAAGCGCGAAGATACGGCGAGCGCGCTGGAAGGGCTTCAGACGAAGGCCGAGCGGCAAAAGGACTTCCTCAGGCAGTCCGAGCAGCTGCAGTCCTATTTCGACGAGTATCACGATTTGGTGTAAGTTTGTCATAACTCAGGTTCTCCCATCGACTTCATCTCTCCTTATGGACACCATACAGGAGGCATACGAAAATGAAAATTCTTGAATAGCTATACTAATCGATCTGACCAAGGCGTTTGACTGCGTTAGCTACTCTATGTTGCACAGATACGGCCATTTTTAGAATACTGTTCTCGTGTATGGGGTTCAGCAACCAAAATATACGCTGATGCTCTAAGATTCCATCCAGAAAAGAGCCATTCAACTGGTGGATGATGCTACACTCACCAACTCTTTGACCGCATTAGAACACCGTAGAAAATTCGACGACCTTTCACTTTTTTATAGATACTTCTGCGGGACACTACAGGGTGATTCACCCTGTATCTGTTCCAATCATTAAATGTCAGTAGATTATGCATCAGAAGTTGAGATAGGGACATGAAAGCCGTTTTGACCAATAATGAATAGTTTCGCCACAAAAAAAATCCTATAGGTAAAAAAACACCCTATATCTCTGTAATCATTCACGCTAGACCCCAAGTGTGATGATATTGATGAAATCAGCTCTTCAGGGACAATATAAGAATGCAATGGAATACAGGGTGTTTCATTAGAAGAAAATCAACTAGTACCCTGTAGATCGTTTGTTCTAATCATCCTGTATTTTCTGATATAGCGAAAAATTTTTGGGATGGGTTAAAAAATAACTGAGCTAGAGGAAGGGACATTTATGGTGAATCACCCTGTACATATTTAGCAACTGATACGTGGTGAAAACATATTTCAGTTGAAGAAGAGCATAATACCCACTATCGATCCTTTTGCTCATATAATCCATATGTGTTGTCCAACTCAGAGTTGACAAACGTTCCTAAAAATTTTGTAGATTTCGATAGTTCAATAGGAGTATTATTTACCATTACTCTGAATGGGTAATTGAGTTTGAGTCTCGAAGAGAACTGCATAAAAACAGTATTATTCGCATTCACAATAAGACAATTTTCTGAACACCATTTAGTAAAGTTAGTAAAGTTTCTTGAGACTATGTTGAGTTTACTTTGGAGTTCTTCAGGAGTATCAGTGCTGACTGCAATAGTAATATCATCAGCATACAGTATGACACAATCAGAATCTAAGTGATATGGTAGATGATTTATGAAGAGCAGAAATATTAGTGGCCATAAACAAGGTCCTTGATCCAATACTAAGTGAACTGTCAACTGAAAATTATGTTGTTATTCCTATCTAAATCTTGAAATCCATCACTAGCTATCCCGAATATATTTCGAAATACAGTTTATTTCTGGTGATGAAGGGGATGTAATGTCTATTTCAGAGCGTGGATCAGCGAGATGCTGGCGAAAATAACGGCGCCCGATCTGCCGCAAGACTGCACTGAGGCCGAGCTGCTGATCGAGCGGCACAAAGAGTACAAAACGGAAATGGACGGCCGGTTGCCGATCTTCGACCGGTTCTACGACACCGGCCGCGTCTTCATCAATCAAGGGCACTATCTGGCGCAGGAGATCGAAGATAAAATCAGAGTGCTGCAGCAGAAGGTAAGGCTTGAAAACTCGATAAATAATTTCAAATGAATTCTCAAAGTGGAAAGAGTGCAACCCTTGATTCTAATAAATGGGAAATGTTGCGCTTTCTGAAGATCATACCAACGGCCTTCGAAAATATTCGAAATTGTTTTTAGTTTTTCTGTTGAATAGAAAAAAATTGAATTTTTGGAATATCCATTTAATTTCTCTTGCTACTTTATTATTAGAGATACAGAAAAACCAAATATGGTGATATTGATTTTACTCGATCATTTGGGATATTCTCTCCTCGTTTTTACAAAATAAAAATATGATTCAATACAGGGTGATTAATTAAGAATGGGAAATCTCTGAACTACAAATAGGAAACACAAGAATAATAAGATTTAGTTTAGGAGATAAGGATGTTCTAGGGGAAGATTGTATTTCAAAATTTCACAATAACTTTGTTAGTTTTAACAGCATGAACATGAAATCTTGTATTTCTAGGTTTTCTGACATGAGTAATATGAATTTGCAACTTATTTTGTGATTGCTCATAGAGGAGCTAGTGGAACTCTGTTACTTCGATAATTTACATCATATCAACTATGTCAATTCATTGATGATCAGAGTAAGTGGAAAATCTGAAAGCTCGTTCAATTTCACATGAAAAATGTACTAGTTATCAAATTGTCTAACTCATTTCATTTATTAAATTAAGAATTGGAAATCTCTGAACTACAGATAATAAACACCCAAATATGAAGATTTAGCCCAACATGCCTCAAAAAAATATTGCTGGTTTAAGAGATACCGGGTGGTCAAGGAGATGGTTTTATTTCAAAATATCTTCCCCTTAACCACCCACCATAATTCATGGTTGAATTCATAATAAAACAAGCATAAAGAATCTATGAACACATAATCAGGACCATATTGATGTTCTGACAAAAAAAATATCTCCAATTATTGGTGCATTGAGAAGATGTCCCAAACTTGATATATTAAAATTGCAAACGTGATTCTCTACTCTCATATACTGAGTCGTATCAACTATTCAATAGATGTTTGGGGATCTTGTTCAAGAAATTATTTCCATAAAATATCAACATTATATAGAAAATCGTTAAAAGTTTTGTATCGTCTCCCATTTGATACACCAACCAATCAATTGTATGAAATAACAAATTCCTTTTCTTTAGGTGAGATATATAGAATTGAAACTCTTAAAATATCATATAATATCATAAAAAAGAAACTGAGATCGAATATAATATGGATACGGAATTCTGGAATTCATAATCATGAAACTAATTCAATAAACTACCTGGGAATATAAAAAATTGCAGAAATATAGGTACATTCAGAAATGAAGTAAAAAAACTGATTATTTCTGAGCGAACTGGATAAAATTAATCATGCTATTTTTCTTACAAATATCATTCTTTGTTTGCCAATTTACAGTTGTTAATATATTTTGAATGATGATATGTTAACCTATAGGTATAAAATTATGTACTTCCTTATACCAGAGCCTATTCTGTCTGGAAGTTATTTGTTCAATAAGTAAATAAATAAATAAAATAAATATTTCAAAAAAAATTGGTAACCACGTTGAATATTATCAAAAGTTGCTATGGAAAAGTAATTCTAGTTTATCTATATCTCTAATGATTGAGTAAAAAAAATGAAATGGATTTTCCAAAAATTAGTTTTTTTCGATATAGCTGAAAAAATATAAATACCTTTGAACATTTTCGAAGGCCATTGGTTTGACTTTCGCAATGCGCAATTTTTTTCCGTATTCGTATTTCCCCCCGTTTCCGAGATCCCCATGCTTTTCAACCTTATCTTGGTCACACTTCCTTTTTTTGATTGCTTCATACATCATGAAATCACATAATCATGTTACATCTCGGATATCCTAATAAATATGGCGATAGTAATATTATCATTATGTGAACTTATTATTCAAAAAGAAAAACATAAGAAGAGAGCCCATCAAAACCTAATGGTCGAGCATGAGCATGTTTCTACATTTGTATTTCCAAATGAAATTTTGTTATCCATAATGATAGTTACAGGTGATTCAACTATACTTATTCCCAAGTTATACGGCAAGAGAAAGAAAAGCTATTCTAAGATTAATGATTATAACTAATAACCAAGATGAATTAATACAACAGTTGATAGGGTTTGTGTCGAGAATAAATAAATGACAGTATTTTTGTTTATCATACTTGAATCAAATTTATTGTCACTGTATAACATTATCAGTTATTTTCAATCACATCATGAACAGTGTTTCTATTCAAATTTTTCATGTAGGTTTTGAAAATATCTTTCATCATACTAGGCGAGTTAAGAGTTGTCAAATAAACGTTATAAATTTCAGGCAGAAAATTATATATTTTCGCAGCTAGGTGGGTAAAACAACGTTGTCCTATAGTCTTCTTAGTAGTGTTAATCTGTACCATACTTCTCATTTAGTTTCGAGTTGAAAAAGGATTAGCAATAGAACTTAGGTATGTTTTATTTTTGCATAAGTAGGATATAATGCTGTGAAAGTATAGTTGTCTAACATCCATCATATTGGTTCCAGAGAATAGGAGATCAGAATGATATGTGTTTGGTTTAGAATAAATTATTTTTTTTTTTTTTGTAGAACATCGATTTTTTTTCAAATGGCATGGTGAAATTCCACCTGCTGAGAATTCCGTAAGTCAATCTTGATTCTATCAAGGCATAGTAAAGTATTCTGAGGTGATTAGTATCTAAGAATGATTTGAAATATTTGAATTTGTATAACAGATATCTCGAAATTTTTACAATATGAGCACTATGACAATCCAACTCCAATTGTGAGTCAATTTGGATTCCAAAAAGACTTGATCACTATGGCTATTTTTATTGAAACATGATGTTATAATTAAAGAAGGAATGTCGTATCAGTGCCGGATCTAGGCTAGGCGCCGCCTACGAACCAGCTAAGAGCTGAGACCAAATTTGGCTTCAAATTTTCACATGGGGGTGGATCATCTTGTTAGTGTAAATAATCAAGAGTGTAACGAAGAGAGAGAAAATTCTATGAGTTCTATGGAAAATGTTTTTGCTGCAGGTCGAGCTGCTTGACAACACTTGGAACAAGAGAGGCATCATTTATCAACAGAACTTGGACGTGCTTCTATTCAAACGGGAGGCTGACATATTGGAAAATTGGTTGGCTGCTAGAGAAAGCAACCTCAAGGATGGAAAGGTAAATAGAGAATGAAACTTTTGATATTGTTGTACGGCGCCTTACTGGTATATCCAATTTCTATCAGCAAGTAGTGATGATTTATTATACGCGGATGACTGTAAATTATATGGACAAATCGAAAACCCAACTGACAGCTTGAGACTGCAAGAAGATCTGAGAATTCTTCATAATTGGTGCGAGTTCAATCTACTTCCTTTAGACATAGGAAAATGCAACATTGTATCTTTCACGCGCAAGAAACAACCAGTTATTTTTGATTACGAGATTGATGGCACCAAGCTTGAGAGGCGCACCAACTTCACTGAGTTAGGAGTCAAAGTCGACACTAAATTAACATTCATTGAACATACTTCCGATATTGTCGTCTGCTTATAAAACTCTTGGCTTTGTGATCCGGAATTCCAAGCAGTTCACTAACCCTAATACTCTCAAGCTCCTGTTTGACGCATTTGTGAGAACTAAACTTGAATACGCCTCCATTATTTGGTCTCCAGGCTATAATGTCAATTTGAATAATATCGAAAATGTACAGAGTCGTTTTCTCAAAGCAATATGTTTTTAGAGTAGATGGGGAGTATCCTGCACGACGTATTCCTCAGGAATCATTACTGGAACGTTTCGGTACTAACTCGTTGCAGACACGTCGTACATGTCACAGCAAAATTTTTCTTTTCAAACTCCTCAATTGCAAAGTAGATTCTCCCCACTTACTTCCCTACTCTTCACTGAATATTCATGTACCTAGAGGGTCCGCACGATCGTATAATATATGTTTTCTCCTGTACATCAAATTTGTGTTAACTATATGTGATACCAGAATGAGATATACATCTTCTACACATCATTAGGCGAAATCAAGAAAGTGATTTTGTCATAACTCTCTTCTGTTTTCATCTATTCATGCAACTCTGCAGTGAACTTTTTTTCTGTTTTTTTTTGTACTATTTTTATCATCGTATTGTAATTTGTGCTCAATGTATTTTCCCCACCCTGCTTAAGGCATCAGTTGTAAGGGTGACGTAAACCTAAATAAATAAATAAATGAATAAATAAATAAATAAAATGAAGAATATAAAATAGTGTATTCGCCGCTACTGAACTTGGTGCTCAAAAGTGAACAAAGATAGTTATTTGTCAAAGCTGAATTTTGTTTACTTCAGTGTTTCAGCTTCGCATGTGTTTTTTATTCCCATATTTTTTTGGTTTATCTCATCTCGTGACTTTTTTTGCAATATAGATAAAAATATTCTCATTTCGGGTATCAAATCCTCCCCAGTAACCTGAAGGTCCAGCCATTCTCCATAAAATACACAATTTGCATTTCTCTTTAATATAACTGAAACTATAACGAACTCAAATATGCAAAATTATGTTTGACATCACTCCTGTCATCTGGGTAGGTTTGTTGATATACATCATACAGGGTGTGGAAAGAAAATTCTGAATTGAGAAAACCCAATTACGAATCTGTGATCAGAAGTCTGTGAAAATAACAATTTTCCGTTGTTGAAGTTCAAACCCCCTAATAGGGTATGAATGCATTGAAAAGGATCATTCTCAGACATAATGCATTGAGAATTCGCATTCAAGGGGTTCCAACTTGAACGATGGAAATTTGTTATTTCCACAGACCTCTAATCACACAATCGTGATTGGGTTTCTCGACTCACGTTGAAGAGGTTTGGTTATTTTCAATATAAAAACGATAGTTACAAAAAATAATCGATTTGATATCGACAGCCATTGTAGCATATTTAACATATGATCAATGTAAGCATAACGACTACATCTCAAAATGATTATCATGTCCCGAATTTGAAGTTTTGGAAGTTGGGAAACCCTATTCTGGTTCATTAAATGCTTTATAGTTGGGCAGTACTCGAAATGAAGTTTAATAATTGTGCAATTATATGTTAATATTCTGGAGTGAAGTCAAGAAAAATGTTTAGAAATTTTTTTCATAATATACTCAGAGTGTTGTCTACATTATCTCCCAGATACTTTATTTCAGACACATATTCTATTAATCTCAAATATTATTTCATTGTAATCAATAGAGTTCAATTCATATTTTGTTGTTATTACCTCAAGTTTTATTTTGTTTGCATTCAATTTCATTTCATTTTTCTGTAAATAGTTTTCGATATTATTCATAGAACGTCTTAGGATATCTACAGCATTGTTCAGTTCCGTATTTGAAATATAAAGCAAAGTAAAGTATCATCTGCAAACAGATTAATTTCATATGCCCCAGGAACATAGTAAACATCATTCAGGTATATTATAATTCGAAACATGTACCAATTTTAAATCACATGAAATGTCGTGGAGATGCCTTTGTGTATCATTTAGTTTTTTTTCCAACATCAATAGAGACTTGTCCACATATTATAAATAACTCTCAGCAAATAAGCTCAGACTGAATAACCAAAAAACAAACTACATGATCTTTAGGCAAAAATAATCCAAAATTGTCGGAGTCGGAGAGGTCAGCAGCACAAAATAATTAGGATTAATTTCAGGCAACACCCTCAGTTGGAAGGAATATGTAGATCACATACATAAAAAAATTGTACCAATGGTTGGAGCCCTCCACAAATGCAGATACTTTCTTAATAATAATGTCAAGAGGATGATATATAATTCTTATTTTCTCACAATTTTTAGATACTTAATAGTAATTTGGGGCACAACCAATCTAACTCAATTAAATAAGAGCTAACTATTCCAATTTAAAGCGGTTAAGAGCTTCTTTTCCTTACAGAATCGGACAAATACAAATTTGGTATACCTAAGAACACAAATACAAAAACTTGATGTTGTATTCGAACTAAAACAGTGTAAGTTTGTATGTACATAGAATTCTTCACCACAATATAAAAACAAACATTACAATTACGTACAATAATGACATTCATGAATACAACATTAGGAACAGAAATAATCTACACCTTCAAAATGTACGAACAAATATAGCATTAAGAAACCCTGTGAACAAAGGAATGCAAACATATAATTCTCTTCCAAATTCAATTGAAAGTATAAGTAATGAGAAGAAATTCACTGTAAACCAGAGAAAGCACTTGCCTATTTACAAATTGACAAATTACAATAAAGCAATAAATAAAAAATTGGACACAATCGGAACTGCGACACCAACATCATGTATGTTGCTTAGGAGTTACTTTTGTTCAGAACTGTGAATAGTACAGGGTTTCTATAAATGATCGTAACATCGTAGTAGCCGTTGAAATACTTTCTCCATGTGCCGCCTTCCATTTATGGAGATTCACACATTCGAATTCAATTTCTGACATGTCGTGTTGAAAAGAGGGATGGCTTATTCCTCGGAGCAGAAGACATTTATTGTAATGTCTTATTGTCGAAATGGCACATTCATCAATGGTGGATGGAGTTACTCGGTAGTAGCCTGCAAGGATGAGTACCTGGCGAAATATCCTGATGTACAGATTCAAGAATCTTCTTTGAAAGCCCACATCAGAAGAGTGATCAACAGATCCATCCAAACTGGAAAAGTTAATAGAAAGAAATCAACAGGAAGGCCCCCAAATATCAGAAGAAGTTGTCGAAAATCTAAGGGCGCGTGTTGAGCAAAATCCCCAAAGTCATTGAAGAGATTCTGGTGTGCCACTAAGTACATGCCATAAAGTGCTCAAGAAAAGATTGCATATGCACCCTTACAAGACCAGTGTACTACAGAAACTTCTGCCAATAGATTTCCCACGTCGTCTGGAGTAGTGCCAATGGTTCCAAAATAATCTCAACGATGACCAGCTATTGGACCTAACATTTTTCAGCGATGAGGCTTGGTTTCATTTGTCGGGATACGTGAACTCACAAAATTTTAGGTCTTGGAGATCTTAGAATCCCCACAATTTCATTGAGACTCCACTACATTCTCAAAAAATTGGGGTGTGGTTAGCAGTTTCTCGTATGCGAATATATGGACCGATTTTTTTCGATGGCACTATCAATGGTGAAAGGTACAGACAAGTGATGTCAGAACCATTCATCAATCAACTTGATGATGAAGAAATTCGAGTTGGCTATTTTCAGCAAGATGGGGCCACTGCCCACACCACACGTGCAAATTTAGAATATTCACAAGAATTTTATGACAACCGTGTGATAAGTCGAGGAGTTAATCCTTCTTTTCCAACACGTTCTCCAGATTTGACGACTTTGGATTTCTGCCTTTTTGGATATTTGAAAGACGAAGTATTCAAGAGAGTCAATAATAACCTTGAAGAGCTGCAAGCCTCAATAACACATTGCTGCCAAAATATTGGCCAGAAAATGCTGAGGAATATTTTCAAACGGCGAAGAGTTTTGAAATGATTGGAGAACAACGGAGAACACTTTGAACATTTGATGAAAGTTGATGAAGTAAAGCGTTATTTATTACTTCTTTGATAAATATTTTTGATTTGTTCCATTATTTTGAAACTCCAATATTGGACTCTCCTTTCTTTGAGATACATTTCCATAGTATATGCAAAACGATATAAAAAAAGATCCTGTATATGATCACTTCCTCTCTTTTTGGTCGTTGAATGTTGTTAACAGCATTAGTAGAAAGCGGCAAATGGAAAGAAATGTCAACAGCCACTACGATGTTACGATCATTTATAGAGACCCTGTATATGTATTAGATATTGGAAACACTGTTATTATGTGAATACTTTTCTGAATAACGCTTTGCTTGAAATAAAAAAAGGTGGGCGAGAGCATTCCGCACGTGGAAGAGTTGATCAGGAAGCACCGCGACTTCGAGGAGGCGATCAAGGCGCAAGACGAGAAGTTCGGCTCGCTGCGGCGCACCACCATGGTGGAGCGCGCGTTCGAGGCGATGCGGCGACAGGAGGCGCACGCGCAGAAGGCGGAGCGCGAGCGTGTCGAGCAGGAGCGGCTCGAGCAACGGAAGCGCATCGAGGTGGCGCGCATCACGGAGCTGCGCAGACAGGAGTCCAGAGAGAGGGGGGATCACAGGTGATTATTCGACGAGAATTATTCTAATTATCATGAGGTTAGGTACGGACGCATTTTTAAACCATCCATAACAATGGGCGTGTACACCTTAGTAGAACTTTTAACTCAAACCATGTTTATAATGATCCTTCTATACATAAATAATGATTGACGACATAATTCGATCGAAAAATTAACTGGAATGTTTTATTTTCGGACATAAATAATAGTACCTTCTGAAAATGGACCCTCTTATGACGTAGAAACCTCATCTCGCCATAGTTAAAAGAAAATACCAAACGCCCGACGGAGACTGAGGCAACTGATATATTGATTCTTTCAACTGTGATCTCGCGCTAATTCACTCTGGAACCAATGAGCGTGACCCATGTGTGACACTTATCACTGTTGCCATATCATCCAAACAAAATATCCGAGTAATCGAAATCGATATTGAAATATCTTTTGATATCCCCTAGCACTACTGCAGAAAAATATATTCAAGTGGTCGATTGTCGATTGGGATATGAACAATCTCTAGACAACGAAATGTCTCAATCTCAAAACCATTTGCACCATAACAATTTCACAATAATCCAATACATTTCATAAACGCAGCAACATTGCTTTGTTGACCCGTTTTACATGGAGCTGTATCTCCATCGAGTCTCTAATTCCAATTCCAAAGTTGTGTATGTTGTCTAAAATGAGAAGAGAAGACACGAAATGAAATTAACGTCCAAATCTTGGTTTATATTATATTGATATATCGAATATAAACATGAACGTTGAATCAGGATCTGTAAAAGGCTCATCAGAATATCTACCAAAAATTGATTTTGAAATGGTTAATGATTTTTATGTCTCTAACATACAGTTCCTCAGTGCTGAATAGAAAATCTGAAAGGTAAGTTCCACAATATTTATTCAATTTTCATTGCTTGTACCCATTATAGTTGTATTGTAAAAATTGTTCACCTGAAAGGATATTCAATATCATATTCTGCCTTCCTGATCTTTTCCTCGTCAGTCAAAATACTTGTTTTTATTGGTGATTGTGCAGTCAGGTATTTGTGGGGCACAATATGGGGTTTCAAACAATTTCTTTTTCCAATGGTTTTATAATATAACCAATTAGCAGCATCCTGTGCAAGCTGTAATATTTAGAAATGTGAACAAAACATTGGAAATTGTTGATACGAATTTTAACTTACATCAAAATGGTCCTCGCAACAATATAAATGTTTACTGGAGGAAAAATCTTTATTCACTGCGATGAACCATTTTCTCCGTTCAGGATCCTCGGGAACGCACAAGAATAATTTTTCTTCAGAATATCTGTTGCTATTATTGCAATTAGGCATAAAACATTTCTTAATAATACTTTTGTCGTAATATTTCAATTTAATATTCGAAAGTTTCGCGGTTTGCAAGAAGTTAATATAGGTCAGAATTCATCTTCTTCTTGTTCTTATTATCTTTGTCCCAAAAATCAACTTGCCGATACACTAATCTTGTTGCTTTGTCAGAAATCATGTATCATTCATCTCTGTCTGGAATAGTCTTGTTTCAGTATTAGGGTTTTGACGTCACATCATCGCCTCGTTTTCAGAGGTCCGAAAAATCGGGGATGTCAATATTTTTTTATAAATGTAGGAAGCTCACTGCAAGAAACGGTTAGCGGTGGTGAGCTAGTTTGGGTGAGTTCTATCGAATTATGAAATACAATTTTTTTGCGATATAAGCCCATTCTAGCTATCAGAAGGGGTGAGAGAACTTACAGTCACAAGTCCACCACATAAACAATTTAATAATGACCAATGGTCATGGACATACGGACATGTTTCGAAGGATTGATCTTTCATCATCAGCAAATTTATAAAAATAAAATCTGTGATATGAAACAACGCTTATGTTAGTTTTTAAGTATTGATTAAAATCTGATTGTACCTATCATTATTGGTGGAAAAAGATTATTTATTAAAAAAACATGAAAAAACAATTTTGAACCGCGCCTAGTGCGGGTGAGTACCTGTTAGGGAACCATGATAACAGTTCTATAAGGACTTAGTTCTCGAAAACAATATATGAATCAAATGTGGGTCTGAATTCGTTGAATTAGGTCAACTAATCACAAATGACAATATCGACAAATAACAATTATTGATAACAATGACGCTGAGGACAAAACACAACAACAGAATGACACCAGTCAAGTCAAAACCAAGGAATGTTTTTATTCGAAGTGACATAGAACACAGAACAAAATTGTAGTTCAAATATCAAGGAGTTGCATAATTTAAGACTATCGAATTGAGCGGAATTGAGTTTGTTCATTGAGGCAGTCGAGGTTAGAATCATGGAGTTTTTGTTTATTTCCTTTGTCACAGCTATGGCGGTCAGTTTGAGTCTGTGTAACCTTCCTCATCAACAACAACAACAACAAATTTGATAAATCATGTGTGAAATGCTCTTTCATAATTTTTTTCCGCTACTTTAGGAAATACAGTGGGCTTGCAACACACGATCTACAGGGTACTAGTTGATTTTTCCAAATTGCATTTTCAGATACTTCCTGAAAAGCTGATTTCATCAATGTATCCCATTTGTGGTCTGGCGGGAATGATTACAGAGATATAGGGTGTTCAAAATTGCGATTTTTCATCTTTAGGTTATTTTAGCGTATAAACTATTCATTATTGGTCAAAACGACACATTTCCCTATCTCAACTTCTGATTTAATACCTTTTGATTTAATATCTACTGACCTAAAAACTCGCTGAATTCAGTTTCATTATTTAAACTCAAAATTTGTGGTTTTATTCATTTTGTCAGGAAGGAACTGAAAATATCGAATTTGAATTTTAATGAAGTTAATACGATTCACGCCCATGAAACAAGGTAATTTAATTTATTGATTGCAAATAAGTATAAGTAACATTTTGGTAAACATTCAATATTCCATAATGGAATAATTTCATACAACTCCTTATCTAATGAGTTGAAAAATATAGAAGAAGCAGAAAAATTTAAAATCAAATCGAAGAAATATCGGCTCAGTTAGCTTTAATTCCATATCTACTAATCATCCACAATTTGATTACTTGAAAAGGATTAAAATATTTTCATTTTATATTTTATTATAATTCTTTTTATGAAAAACAATAATTGAGCAATTATTATTGTTTCGATTTATTATGTAATATTCATGTTGTATATATCCCTATTATAAACAATAACGTTTCTTGGAGTAATAAAGACAATCAATCAATTCGGAATAATTCTGATCACCCTCTCTATCTGTTCTGTTCCAATTATCAAATGTCAGCAAATAGATAATCAAAAGTTAATATAGGGAGGGATATGAAAGCCACCAATAATGAATAGTTTCTTTTATGCCTGTCCCTTCCCTATTCATCTACTCTACTCTTCTGGAAATTCACACGAATAAAAGAAGTATGTGTGCCAACTCCGATTTTCATGAGTACCAAACTCGTGGAGCAAAGGCCTCCCCGATATAGGCTCAACAAATCCCGAATTAATCATTCCAGAATTACGTCATTTGACAGTTTGCTGAGGGGCAAACATTGTATTTTGTCAAGATTTGTCATATCAAACCAGAATTGGTGGGATCGTTTTCCTTGGAATCCGAGTTGGAACCAGAAAGAATTTCATAATTTTGTTTGGTGAAACTGTTATTATATTGTGGATGTGGCAGGGATATGGCCAGGGCTATGCTCATCAAAGGTAACCTAACAGATAGTTTGTGTGCCCCTCAAGACACCATGTCAAAATCACGTGTTCTAGAATGATCAATATTGGAATCTATAATTTCCTGCCTCAAGAGTTCAAGATTCTCAATTATAACTGCTTCAAATTGAAACTGAAAAGACACATGCTGTCCCATTGTTTTTACTCTATCGATGAATATCTGAAAACACCCCCCACTTCTCGTAAAATTTGTGTTGATATCAATTCGAAAACAGCAAAATTTATATTTTAGATTTGTTAGATTTGTGAGAACTGTAACTTGGTCGAATTCTATTCTATTCTATTCTTTCCTCAGATTCAACAACATCCGCGAAGAAGACAAACCGATCGACGGCAGCGGCGACGCCGACCCCCGCGTCGAAACGCCCTCCTCGGCGACGATGGCCATGGAGGACGAGTCAGTTGCGCAGAAGCCGCACGTGACCGTGCGCAAAACGAACTCGGTGGCGCACATGTTCGAGCGGGACAGGAGAAGGGGCTCGGACGCGTCGGTCAAGAGGGCGGAGAGCATGAAGGTGGGCGGGCCGGCTAAGCCGCCCAAGAGGACGCCCTCGTTCAATACGAGGCGCAGGGGGTCGATTCGGTCGAAGAACGCAGGTGAGATAAAAAATATCTTTGAAATGGAACTAACCAATTGAAAAGGAATATTCTCAGATAAATTATGAATATCAAAATAATACACATATATACAGGGTGGCCCATCGAAAACTTGACATGAGGGTTTTGGGTACAAATATCGTAGATCTGGGAAAACGCTCGGACAGGTCGATTTAAGTTTCGAGGGGGACATTGTGCCCTCTTACATGCAGCACCGTCACGTCAACCCTTGAGCAGGGGGTGAACAATCCTTGAAATTTGAATAGGGAATAGGAGTCGAGTGTCACATCGTTTGAAAGCCGTTGAATTCTCGAAACAACGGTCATCAATTTTTCAACCGGAATGAGCCATAATTAAGTTAAGAGTAAAATTCACTTCCATGCAATGATACAGATTTAGATGAAAACGTTCTCGAACATTTCGGAGCATGTCTGGGGTGATTTGGCGACATTATTCTGTGATTCGTTGCCGTAAATCTGCTAGTGATGCTGGTGGTGCACTATAAATTTTGCTTTTCAAATGACCCCACAGAAAGAAATCTAAGGGAGACAGGTCTGGTGATCTTGGGGGCCATTCTATAGAACCTCGCCTACCAATCCAATGACCAGGGAAGTGTTGATCTAAATATCGTCGAACAGGTAGATCATAATGCGGAGGAGCACCATCTTGTTGAAATATGAACTGATCTTCCAGATAATGATGGTCATTTTCAATAATATTCGTTAACATTGGATCAATTGTGTCTTCAAGCAGTTCCACATACATTTCCCCTTCTATTGCCTTCTAAAAAGAAAGGACTCACGATACCATCCCCAAAAATACCAGCCAATACGTTTAATTTTTAGGAATTTTGCGTATGTACCACAGACACTGAGGATTTGCAATCGCTTGCTCACTTAGTACTTCACAGAATTGTAAACGCCAATCAAAATCATCTTCATTCAGTTCTTGTGTTAATTTAATCTTGTAAGGATGGAATTTATGTAGTTGTAAAATACGCTGAATGCTAGTTCTTGAGATACCGGAAACAGTTGCAAGCTGTCTTCTACTCAACGTATGATCAACCTCAACATTGAATGCAGGAAATGACCCATACCTATTTATTTATTTATTTCAGTTATTGCATTACATTCTTTTCTTCATTGATACATTTCATACAAATAATATATAAAGTATAATTAATTTTCTAGTAGGAATGACATGAATGATCAGACAGTAATTCCTGGTATAAGATCATTCATGAAGTATTGTCGCAACTCAGATGGTTTTGGTAGATTATTTGGCAAACGGCGTGTCCACCACATGTCGCAACTCAGATGTTGCCCTCCTATGGATCGCAACTTGGCTACTCGCTTGGCGTAATGAGAGGATTTTGATCATTTCACCATCCAACCCTATTCACCCCCAAATAAAGAGACCGGACAGTTTTCATAGAAAAGTAACATTTATTAATTGAATGAAAAGTTTTATGAATAGATGCTGCCACATGGCAGGTTAACAAAAAGGAAAAAAAGATCAACGCAAAACAACATTGGAAAAAAAAACAGTACTTACATTATGACATCTAACATGGGGTTGACCAGCAGGATCAAAGTCGGGAAGACGGTACACATTTTGGCAACAACTCGTGAACAAGTAACTCAATTACGGAATAAAGTAAAGTGTTATCGAAATGCATTATAATAGTAACGAAATAGTAATCAGTAATGACTTCAGTAATAATGAATCAATAATAATGAAAAATCAGTAATTGTTAAGGAAATAAATCGCCTTCAACAAGAATGTATGAGTTACAAATAAAATATCGAAATTACACTTACCGGAGATTCATTTTTAGAGAGGTGGTCGAGGTGTGGTCTCGTTCACAGCTAGGTACAATCTGATTATTCCGCTCCCAAAGGTAAATCCATTGGAAGTCGCGAATAATATCCAATTCAGCAAAATTGGCATTATTTGATGATTATTGCAATTCCTTATATTTGGATATCTGAATAAGTTATTCGTTATAGTCTAGTGAATAGAAACAATATGGAATTTGGAAATAATGTAGTATAGTATAGTAAATGAAGATAATAAAATTCGGAAATATTGATGTGTTTGATTTGAAGGGAATATTGATTTGACATTTGACAGTATTATATCGACTGTTGTATAATTGAAATTACAAATAGTGAACAAAACTTACATATCATTAAGATACAGTCATTGCCACTATTGTCGCCCCATTTCTTACTGGCGGTTCGATTTGACATTTTTTATTTGCTACCGATCCCGTTTCTCGGAATTTTGATATTAATTCAGACACATATTGCCGCGACACAGTCCTATCATATTGTTGATTGAACCGTTCAGCAGCCCATTTCGCACATATATTGTTTACATAATACAGTTCAATCAACTCAACCCTCTCTGCCACTGTATACACCATTGTTTCGTTTTGGTGGCCCATTGTATTTTACCTAATGTTCTTTATTGTGCCCACTCCATTATCTCTGTACCTTGAACAAGTCTGTACAAATCCTTCACTGGATGTGAGTTGAATATTTCTGATTCGCCAACAGGTTGCCCAAAGATCTTCTGTCTTCTGCGGTCCAATGCCTCACATCGGCACAGTATATGTGCTACTGTTTCTGGTTCCTTGCCACATAGTCTGCAGCTTGGGTCGCCATTGTACAGTCCCATTCTAGCGAGATGCTCCTTTAATGGCGCATGGCCAGTCATGAGTCCCGTAACAGTTTTTATCTGTGCTCTGTTCAAGTTGAGCAGGTCTACAGTTCGTTTATGACTTGGATCCTTAATGTATTGTTTCCCATGTCTGTTTCTTGGGATGTTTTCCCAGTAGCTCTTATGTTTTGCCTGAATCCAGTCTTTAACTGACACTCGTGCTGTACGTTTTGGTACTCCAAGAGTCTGTCTTGGATCTCGCTCGTTGTCCGACCCTCTTCTTGCAAGTTCGTCAGCCAGAGTTCTCAGTTCCCTCTTGCAATCCCATACCAGTCGAGATGTCACTTTCTGGCTTTCTATTGCCTTAAGAGTGTTGCAGCGACGGTAGTGCATGTAGGAGAAAAAAATATCCCCCTCGAAACTAAAATCGACCTGTCCGAGGGTTTTTCCACATCTGCGATATTATCACCCTAAACCCCAATGTCAAGTTTTCGATGGGCCACCCTATATGTTCTCTTTGTGATGAAAATAACAATTCTCTCTCTGCTATAGTGTGCTATAATGTGCCACGACGAACATTGAACACATACGATAAGAAATTGGAAAACAAAATCTTCTGAAGTTGAGAATTTGCATTCTCCTTCAGATAAAAATATGTGTATGCACACAATATCATTCTGAATATCCAACAGAAAACATTTACTTTCCTGACTATTTGACACGCCATCTCGTGCGAACCTTTCCCAACCTAAACACATCCTAGCATTTAATACCCACGAGGCCGGCCTCTGCGAGATGGACACGAACGCCACCTGAGTAGAAAAAAAAAACCACCACATAAAAAATTTCAATTTACCTATATAAAAAAAACGCTAGTCAATCACTCCCATTTTATATGGAATGAAAATTTGTTTTTCTACTGCCGTATGTGAATTACTAACTTCACACATCGATAAAAATGTGTAAAGCTTCATTTCACGAATCTGTGTGTGAAGTGTCATGCTTTTCTTATGGGATTTATTTCACTCACCGGTGCCATAAGAGTCAATACAAATTCACACACCGGTCGCTGGTCTAGGTAGCACTAATTTTGTAGAGAAAGTAAATGTACATTTTGACAATTTACAAAATTGCAATATAACTGTGCATAATAATTATTATTGTAATAAAGAAAATTAGTCAAATTTTCCTTTAATTCAATCTCTAAGTAAAAGGTCGTAGAAAAAGTATAGTGTGCACCACGTCCGTGAAGACTTCACGCACTAGATACACAATATACTATTTTGGAGCGTTACTTTCCTTCTACTCAGGTGGAGTTCGTGTTCATCTCGTTCATAAATTCTTCGGTAGTTCCAGTTTGACTTTAACGACGCGTTAATTTATTACTGTTGTGTCTACCAGAATTGCAAACCATTCTACCGATGTACAGAGATGGTAGACTAATTTCGGTGGCTTCCGAAATGACAGCAACAGCGTAACCTCAACAAGCTATAAATACAATATTGGATTTGAAAGCTGTTTGTCATTTGCCCAAGAAAAAATATGGATGAATTAATCGAAATCAGTCTAGGATATGGAAATAAAAAAATAGCTGCGTTATTGACACCAACAGAAATAGAAGAAATTTCGAGTAGAAGGTATTTTTTTCTTTCCCATTATGAAATTGGTGGCGTTGATGCAAACATTCAGAAAACTCGAGTGCCAACGGAGAATTCTTATTGATGACTATCCATATCATTATAATTTAATGCAATGTTTTGTATATGGGTTGTTGAGAATTTTCAACCTAGCTCGTCTACTCCCCAACATAAACAATTTTCGATCCTCGAAATTATCAGAAGAACTGATAGAACTTCTGGATCTGGAGACGAGGAGTCCAATAATACTTTCAATACATCATATTTCATTTTACATCAGGTTTCGCCAATTCTGAGCTTCTAATTGAAAACAATCTGAATCACTATCAAATCACGAAAAGAGAAAAGAAAAATGAATAAAAGAAAAAACAGTTGTGATTGTCATGTCAAATAACTGCGTTTTTTTTTCAACACTAATTACTCCAACAATTCTTTTCATCAGAGAGTGACGTCACTTCCATCAATTATGAAAATGTGGTGTAAAAAAGAACATATATACCTATATTTTTCGAGATCTGTCTCGTTTAGAGAGTTAGGCTCATATGCCTCATTTCAAGATATTAATTGATCGAATACTTGATCATTAGAATCGATTTGAGAATAGTGCGTGCATGGACTAGAGAGCTGACGAAAGCTGACGTTTTCTTGTTTCTTGAATGAACTCGTGATTACACGACCGGCCGGTGCAGTTGAGAGAGGGAGAGAGACAGAGAGAGATATGATTACGTGTATTATAACTGGTAGCGGAAGAGAGAGATAAGTCTATCGCGATAGTGAAACCGTACAAAACTTGCTTCTGGAAGATCAGTTGCGACTGTTCTCCTCAGCCTTGATTCTGGTGGTGGGCATTGAAATCACAGTATATTGGCGAAAAGACACATAGGAGTGCTAAGGAGATCTTCAAATTATTAAAATTAATAACTTCACTTGATAGTATAATATTGTAGATAAACGGAAACTGTACACCTATTGATATAATGATTTCGAGTATCGTTGTATTTGTTTATTAAAAATGCCAACCAAGACTCAGATTATGTTTTTCCTTTATTTGAGTAGAAATCTCAGTTAAAACCCGACCTTGTCATGTTGAGGGCCAGTTGCAGATTGATGTGTAATCACTACGCCTCCTATCTACTCGAGTCTGTCTCCAGTGTTGCCAGATATCACAAGTTTCTCCCTATTTCTCAAGGTTATTATCTTTGATTCCACCCCGATATTCCATTCCAGACGTGTACTTGCCGCCTGTGGAGGCGGAAACCTTCCTCGATCGCAAGCAGCTGCTGCTACCAGGCCAGAAGCGGGCGACGAACCGCACGTGGCGCACCTCCTACACCGTCCTGTGCGGCCAGCTGCTGTGCTTCTTCAAGTCGAAAGATGACTTCGCGGCCAGCAAGGCCGCATCGCCGCCAATCAATGTGCACAACGCGCATTGTACGATTGCGGCCGATTACCAGAAGCGGAAGCACACGTTCAGGTGAGAATCTATGCGCATCAACATGATTTCGTTCCTCAGAATTAAAGGAATTTGTATGTCGATATTCCTCGATGGAAGACTTTGCTCCAAAAGTTACCAACCTAAAAACCTCTATCAATGGAGAAGCAACATTATTTTTATTTATTAATTTATTTATTTACTATTAGTTCACAGAATAATTCCAATTACAAAATAAGAAATACAGGAATATAAGTGAACAAGAATAATAATTAACAACTATTGCCTAATACAAAAAAGAATGGATTGTTGTATGAAAAATGTCAAAAGCTGTCTACCGATTCATAGTTGAGAAACGTCAGGAGACAAAACAACTTGGAGCTAGAATCTACTACTTTTTTCCTTCGTATAATAAATAACTATAAGATTTTTTTATCAATATTATTTTTCTATCTGTTGTTTATCTCAATAAGTAAGATTCAATAACATATAAATAATTTCATACCAGATATAAATCTGTCTGATTATTCATGATATTACATTGTAAACCTTAATAATAATAATAATAATAAATCTTATTATCCCCAAGAAACATATATGTTTATAGCAGGGAAAATTATGAAAGAGCAACTAAAAAAAAAAAAAATAGATAATCAGATAATCATCTTTTAATCATATACATAGTACATATAATATTGTTGAATTGATTTAGGATGATATATTTATATGGGATGCAATGTAATGTTCATAACAGAAGAATGAAATGAATATTATTTTCACTATTAGGTTGGAAACTTGAAGTGAGTCTCTCATTGAGATAGCAAATAGAAAACATGTGCGTTATTCTTTTCGAAAGCCCAACCCTATAAACAAGAAACGCAGCATTAATCTGTAGATACTGACTCATATTTGAATATTGATTCAAAAAAGAAATTACTAAAGGGTATCCTGATTTGCGATGAATCAAAATGCTTGTGTTATCAAAAAATCAATATGTTTATTTGTCTTTATTTTATTTGAGTTGCTTGACAAAATACGATCGATGACGTCGCGGTGTCGCCATAATGATTTTAGAAAAAAATATTTCATGTGCCACCATTCTTTGCTCAGTCGGGTGGCGTGAAAATAAATACAAGGTTTCATTGAAAATTCTCAACCCAGGTATAGTTTTGGTAAAACCGGAAGTGATATAAATTTTTTTTATGGAAAATGTGGGTTTGAAAACTATATCATCGACACAAAACTCAGCAGTCTACCATAAAAAGAACAAGTGAATGGCGGCTCAGCCAATAATTTCGTAGTCACCCGTAATATAAGTTGAGCAAAAAATGTTGATCAGGTTGATTTATTGTACAATCATTCCTCTTGAAGAAGCTACTGTGTTAGCGAAATTTGTCATATTTTTTAAGAAATCTTATCCTTTGTTTAGATTTTTACATTTACTTTTTCCATCGAGGAATTATTGTTTATTGACAAAATTGCTTTCAGTCCGAAATGAAAGTCTGGTATGAGGAAGTTGATTACAAACAACAATAATAAAATAACATAAGGTGACAACAACAAAAAATCGACAAAAAAATTTAAAAATGCTAAATAAATCAGATCATGAAAAATAGCAACAGGGACTAATGGCAAAGTATAAATTTGATCCATTTCGTGATGAAATCATATGTTTTTTAATGTAATTTTCAATTTTGAAATATTATGTGGTAATTTATTGAATTCAGCTAGAGCAGCGTGAGTAAATTCTTTTTGGCTAATTATGGAAGTAGCAGAATCGAGATGAAATAAGATAAATTATCTCGTGTATGACCATGAATTCCTGAGTTTCTTATCAAAACAAATTTGGATTTCAGATTTTTGTTTATGATATATGAAACTTTGAGAGAATCTATTTTATACAATTCATCCAATGAAAATTGATATCGAATGAAAGGCGATACAATACTTTCAGAGATTTCTTATAAAGTGCATATATTTTACTGAAATGGAATTACATATCTAACAATCCTCTGTGTATCCAGGCTGGTAATCACGGATGGATCGGAATTTCTGTTCTCTTCTGGATCCGAAGTCGAGATGAACGATTGGGTCAACAAGATCAACTTCAGGGCGAGATTACCACCCGCACAGCAGCTTTTACATTTCGAAGTATCCAAGGTGAGTTTGAGTTAGGTTAGGTTACATTCCAAACCTAATTGACAACGCTTTCATCCTTAATTATTTTTATCCATTATCGCCCTATAATTGAAGTTTTATTCACACTTACGAACCCTACCTTATTTTGTAGTGAATTGGTTTCACAATCCAAATTCCATATTCAAACTCCTTCCTATCTATTGGCGTAGTTGTTTCAGATGTTTATCTACTGAACATATCAAGTTCTACGCCCATGGAATGATATTCATCATGATTATGGTATGGGTGTTATTGTCCAATAACCGACGTATACCGAATTTGAGTTAAATTTCATTAGTCGTTTCGAAGTTTTGAAGCAAAAACGATTAGTCTATGGCGAGGGGTTGACCACAGCCTGAATAGGGAACGAAAAATTCCTTTTCTCTGTTTATTTCCTTCATTTCTTTCATTTCCTTTTCATTTCCCGAAAATTCCTCTAATTCCTCAAAATTCCTCTAACTCACACCATTTCCTTCATTCCCTCCTCAATTCCTCGCATTTCCCCAAACTGCCTCTATTTCCCTGTTGTTTCCTTTCATTCAAGAAGACCAAAATCAGAGGACAAGAGCGCACTTAATTAAATACATTTCTTAATAATGTTATGTCATCCTTTACTGTTTCATAGGTATATTCTGAAAATTATTCAATAATCTGTTTTGAGTTTGAAGAATTTGATAGTTCAATAAGAAATTTGTAAAATTCTGTATCTCTTCGATACCATAATATGTCGGTATAGATAATATACAGGGTGAGTCAGGTTTTTGTAACAGGACCTCAACAGCTTGAAGAAAATACTATTTTCAGATAACACTGTCATATAAAAATGAATATGCGTTGAAACCTGTTTTCCTAAATACAGGTGGAGTGATATGTTTGTAAACTTTTTGTGTTTTTCTAGTTCTTCTTAGTCAATCAATAAGAAAAGTCAAATAGAGTGTGATTGAAATAAAGTTTTCTCACAAGGAGCGAAATTGGGCTTCACTTCTGATATCGAATTGCAACCACGACCGGCAAGCGGACGCGGATTGGAATATTGACGCTTCGTACGCGCGGCTACCTGGCCACTATTATTCTACTACTCATTTGCTGGTAGTGTTTTTATAATGTTTGTTAGTACCCAATTTTGACGAAAGAATCATAATCTCGGACCCCGAAAACCCCCTTTGGATAGAATCGGATCTTATAATTACAAAAGTCGTCCACCATATTGGATCCGTCATCTTGAATTTTGTCGAAAGACTCATGATCTCTGACCACGATACAAATTTTAATAGATTCAGATCATAATTACAAAATTCTACCGGCATGTTGGAATATCTCCCTTCCTGAATTCACCAATTTTGACAGGAGAATCATAATCTCCGACCACTAATAAAACCCCTAGACACCAACAATTTGATATTATGAAATGAAATATTTGATTCGACGTTTTTAATAAATGTAAAAATAGCCTTGGCTGAATTTCTTCCAAATAAAGAGGATTTTTTATCATTATATTAAATAGTTAGTATCTTTGTCATATGTGTTATTCAAAGCCCCGCAACCACGGGATGGGATTTTGGAGGGCACTGTTTTTTTTATCTCCTGAAGCACACGGAAGGAAATTTCTTTAATGTGTAGAAATAGTATATTATGTAACAAGTGTTATAAACGTCCTTTTAGTAACGAGTATTTTAAGCACGAGCGGAGCAGAGCGGAGCGAGTGTTTAATAAACGAGTGTCTAGAAGAGTTTATAAACGCGTGACATACTATGCTTTTTCTACGAACGTCGAAAATTACATTAACATACCTGATATTCCTGCTAACCTACAAAATAATTCGAAAGGAATGGGAATTCAGAACGTAATACATGCCTGTATGCAACCAGCGAGACACGTATAAGTGATATTGGTTGTAGATGTGTCCAGTCCATTGCTTACTAACCTTTGTTTCACGTTTATTGTCATGCTTAGCGCAGAATAAATAAATTGTTCTCAAAGATGGATGCTTATCATTTTTACATTCTTAGAGATATGCAAGTACCAGAACATTCTCTTTGATTTCACTTTCGTCTGTTTGAATAATTCTGATACAAAATTTGAAAATACCAGTTGACAGTTAATACAATTGACAGGCCAGACATGTCTCGAATTAGTCAAATCACTGAAGCTGTGTTTAATGAACTGTGTTGCCATGGTAATGTGTTTGAGAAATCGTGTTGTCATGGTAACGTGTTTAATATTTTGAATAAATCACAGATCGACAATCCGTGATTAATCGATCATTTAGCGTGGTACATATCCGTACGCTAAATGCCATTTTAGTTATGTGAGTAGAAAAAAAATATTTTGTATTCATTGAATTTTGAACCCCTGGGAATTCGTGAAATTTGCATACCTCTACTTCAAAGCGGAAAACTATCAACCTCCCCAGAAATCGAAACATTGTAAGTAGAACGGGACCTTCACTTTGAAGCGGAAACGAACTACTTCTAAGGAAGCCTATAAGCGGGCAGGATTGGTATCATGGCCCTCGCCTTCAACCAAAAAAAATCATTCGCCTGCCGGGTTCGAACTGTCGCCATTTCAGACACTTATAAATAGACTGCATAATACTAGATTAGAGAGCGAACGAGCGATAAACTCGTCTTGCCTACTGAGCTATCAAGGTCCCCAATTTTTCTGAAATGCCTCGAAATTCCTTCATTTCTTCGAAATTCCCCTAAATTCCTCGAAAATTCCCAAAATTTCCCGAAGTTCCTCGAAATTCCTCGAAATTCCTCCATTTCCTCGTTATTTCCCACGAAGTGTACGAGGAATTCCTCTGTGGTTGACTCCTCGGTTTATGGTAGAAGTCCATATTTCCTCAAATTGAGTGGAAAAGTTTGGGAAACAAGACACACTCAGAGTCATCTCCACAAATTTATTAGTACACATCAGGAACAGCTGAAAAATAAAAAAAAAAATTTGCCTCAAAAAAGAAATTGAATTTAAGAGGTTTATTACATCATTTCTCTTCCTTTTTATTTTTAGTAATGTTCAATTAAATTTATATATTTTTTGTAATTCTAAAAGTTACATTCAATGAAATAATATTGTATAATTATGAAAGCAACATTATATAAATTAGGCAATTTATTAGGCAGTCCGAAAGATAAAGTGGACACTCTTGAAAAGTCGGGAATATACGAGATAAGTTGTAATGATTGTGATAAAACATATATAGGCCAAACCAGGCGACCCATAAAAACAAGGTTCAAAGAACACATAGCCCATTTAAAATATGGCAGGTTAGATAAATCTTGTGTAGCCGAACATATGTTCGATCACAATCATAATACACATTTTTTGAATTGACTCGGCCGTTACTTGATGGAAATCCATGATGGTACAATGTACCAGTATATCACCTGACGAAGCTACTGTGTTAGCGAAACATGTCGTGTGTTTAATAAATTTTATGGAAATCTTATCGTTTGTGAAGTTTTTACATTCATAATACACATATTACTAACCTCAAATTAGTTAAGCAAGTTAATAACATTAGAGAACTAGACGCATATGAAAGCTTAGAGATATTTAAGAATAGTAATAGAGTAATGAATAAGGATAATGGACCTATTCCATATAGCCCTCTATATAGTTTAGTAAAATAAAAATTAAGATTAACATCTGAACTCAACCATGACACACATTAACTTGACGGTTAGTATTTTTCACAGTTGGGTGAACATATACCTAGTATATAAGCAGCACACTAGAAAAGGATATTTAGTTTTAATCTTCTCCTGAAGATGCTAACATAGTTAGCGAAACACGTGTCGAGGCGTTAAAAAATCGGTTTGGTTAGTGGTGAAACAGTGTAGTGTATTGTAATTTTGAATAAACCGAGGAAAAATATATACATTTTTAATATTTCGAAGTGATTTTGTGTCTGATCCTGTAGAGTACTCCGATTACTGGAGATATATTCTTTCTGGTCGATTCAATATGTTTGGACCATGACAAATGTTCATCAAGGAATATCCCAAGGAATTTGTGGGCTGTGGAATATTTGATTATTTCATTATTGAATTTGATATCAAATTTCAGTTCACTTAAGAGGCGTCGTCTAGAGATATACATGAATGCTGATTTGCTGTAATTTATACCCAATTTATTATAGGACAACCATGAAGATAAAACACTCTCTTATCACTTTCAATTGCATTTCTGATTTGTTGGATTGAGTCTCCGGAATAAATCAATGTAGTGTCATCAGCGAACATGTAAACTTTTCCTTTCAGTTTGATGTTAACAATCGAGTTGATATATATCTAAAATAAAATAGGGCTCAAGATTGACCCTTGTGGTACTCCACATATAATTTCATTCGCTGTACTCAAAACTGATGAACAGATTGTTTTCTACCACTCAAATAATTTTGAAACCATTTATGAACTATACCTCTTATGCCAAGTTGGTATAATAAATTGAGGAGAATTTCATGATTCACAGTATCAAACGCCATGCGAAGATCAATTGAGTGTGTCTTGTTTCTGAAAAACGATTAGAAAATTGTAACTTCAGCGTCATCTAGCTCCCAAACTGAGTAACTCCATACTGTGGTAAATTTGCTTGTATTCGCGAGATTCACGAAGTGTGGTACATCTAGGTTACATAATACGAACTTCAAACTGGGGGAAAACTGTTGTCTTTGGATAAAGTGCATAGGCTACATTGCATTCAGCATAGATCTAAATATACACGCTGTAGCTGTAGTCAAACTTGTCAATGACATGAAGTGTTGGCACTGTTGGTAGTGATGATGGTTGAGTTAGTTAATTTTTTTACATTATTACATTTTTATTAGTTTAGTGAACAGTGAGCGGGTGGAGAATTGGAGATAGTTCAAACAATTCAAATTAATTATGACGAGCAAATCAATTTACATATAAAATGACAGCTACAACATGTTTACAATACCCAGATTGTCCTGCTTTGCATGAACAAATACAAATCCATTGTTCTACAGGAGTTCCTCTGAACCCCTACTTCAATTTTACTTCATGTGGGGAAGATTTCATCGCCGAAGTTTGTAGACGAAGTGCAAAAATGTGCCTTTTGTTGAAGTCTTCTGCCTCACACAAAATCACATGATTAGCACGGAGAACTGCTTCTCCTTTCACTACTTGTCGGTTTTTTCCATCTAAATAGAGCAAAATGTCTGCTAAAAGAACATCTACAACAGGCATTATTAGCGTTTTCGATCGAATATTGACAATTAATGTCAAGAAATTCAAAAACATCACTCTTATCAGTACACAGTACACAAGCTAATGGCACTAATGGGATTGAGTGAGGATTGAGTTTGTTTTCCCTCAGTTTTGACGTGGCTTCGACATGGAACGATGAAAACCGAGCGCCATCTGGTAACATTGATTCCCGCGAATAGAGTTGTGTTGGTCTGAGTTATATGTAATGTCTGGCTCCACCATCCCCACCAAGCCCACCATATCTATGCTCGGTATTTCCATCAGCAACACTCTTTCATGGGATAATCATGTCAGATCAATCGCAAAAGCTGCTTCTCAAAAACTCGGATTCTTGTTCCGTGCGAAAAGCTACTTTACACCTCAACAGCTTCTCATGATCTTCAAAGCGCAGATACGGCCTGTTCTAGAATACTGTTCCCACATATGGGGTTCAGCACCAAAACATACGCTGATGCACTTAGATTCGATCCAGAGAAGAGCCATTCGCCTGGTGGGTGACGTCACACTCACTCACTCTTTGACATCATTGGAACACCGTAGTAAGGTCGGTGACCTTTCACTTTTCTATCGATACTTCCACGGGAAATGTTCTTCGGAAATCTCTGCTATCATTCCTTCACTAGCAATACCAACCAGACGAACTAGACAAGCCCAGTCAGCACATCCTTTCGTTGTCAACATCGAAAGATGTCGAACAGCACTTTATCAAGACTCCTTCATCCATAGAACGGCTAGGCTCTGGAATTCATTGCCTGTGGAAGTATTCCCAACAACATATAATCTCCAAAAGTTCAAAAGAAATTCCAATACCTACCTCCTGTCCCTATCCTCCCTAGGAACGCACGATGTTCTTTGAACATTATAGGGATTTCCTTTCGTGCGCTCCAAGCGATAAAAAAAAATAGTTTTTCGTAAAGACCTCTTAGGTATGCCCTGTACAATGAATAATTATAACAATTCATTTCCACAGGATGCAAATGACTTTGAAGTCAGTTCTCAATCGAGCAGGACCTCCAGTCCAGACGTGGCCGAGTCAGTCGTGCTGAGGCGCGATCCGAACTCCACCAATGGCAGCCTGTCTTCGTCCCATTCGAGTCGACATACCATCGGTAAGTGTCGATTGTCATTCGGAACACGGTACAGTCACAATATATTATCCTTTCACGAGGATAAGGATAATATACTGTGGTACAGAGTGGCTGGAATCAGAGCCTCATCATAGGTATCTCGGGAACCGTAAGAGATACAGGGTCGGTTGATAATTTATGGCAAAGTTGCGCAATTTTAGGTCTAACAAAATGCCGTTTCGAAACTTGTAAAATTCCGAATACTTTCGGAGATATCAAAATTGAACGGAAACATTATTCTTTATTTATTCAAATCTATTCGATGAAATCAATCGAAATGAATGATACTTTATGATGGCCACTATCTCTTTCCTACAAAGTTAAGCTTGGTATGTATTTTTGTAACTCGGAATCTACGAATGTAATTTTGATCAACTTCAAAACGTTCCATTGATATTAAATTTGGCAGGTGTACGTAATTCTGGTGACAATGCTTCATGGAATTTGTGTTAGACAAAAAAACAAAATGGCGGCTACACAAGGGTGGACGAGTTTCGTAACTATGATTTGAATCTATTCAAAATTTGTATCTGGGGGTTTGCGGGTTCGGAGATTATGATTCTTTCGTAAAAATTATGAAATTCAAGATGGCAGATATAATATGGCGGACGAGTTTTGTAATTATGATCCAATTCTATTCGAAAATGGTATCTGGGGAATTTTGTAGTTAGCCGAACCAAAAAATATAAAACGAATAGTAGTTTGAAAAACTAAATGTACACGCTTTCATTGATTGCCAAACTAAAAAGGAGTAGAAAATGAAATGATAAAAGTGTGTTGATATATACACAACATGAAATATAATGAGTATTTATCAACCCACTTTCATTAATTTAGTTTCTACAGCTTCTTACTTCGGCTATTGTTTAGTGTTTCAAACTACTAACCATTTTATTTAATTTTTTCTCACTTTTGAATAGTCATTAAAGCAGTGAGCTATCACAAAACTTCATTTTCAAATGGTTGCTTCTAAAAAATTGCAGTTTCGTGAAAGTAAGAAATATTTGAATGAAAAAAGTTCGTATCAAATAAAAAAGTTGAAATGTGAAGAAGCCAACTTGTAGGGAAGAAAAAGTGGTCATGGTAAAGTGTCCTTCGTTTACTTTGATTCCTTCAAATAACATGAAAAATGAAATGAAAAAGGTTTCAAGAAATTTCAGTTTTCTTCGGATATTCGCGATTTTCAAAGTCATTAGGCGACGTTGCGATGACATTTGAAACTATCTGAGAACATGTCCAACTTTCAAACCATTCCTAACTTCTGGCTTAGATTGAAAGTTAGACATGTTTTTCTGTAGTTTTTATGTAATCGCAACGTCAGATGATGATCTTCGCTACAGCGAATTGTTAAACTTCAGCGCAACTTCATATGATGACCTTGAAAATCGCCAATCTCCGAAAATATTCGGAATTTTCCAAATTTCAAAACGACATTTCGTTAAGCATACAATTGCGAAACTTTGCCATAATTTAACTACTCACGGTCTACGAGATGATGAGGATCTGATTCCAGCCATCCTGTACACAGGGATACGGTATGTCAGTGCGCATATAATGACTCTCTCGTTATATTTAACAGCAACTAGTCATCCTTTGTCACTTTCCCAATGCATATGAATGCGTTCTCTGATATGCAAGGGGGTATACAGGGTGAGTCATGAGGAACTGTACATACTCCTACCACGAATAAAGGCCCTTGAGGGAAATACCTAATGACCATCAGAAAGTGTCTTCTCCTCTTCTTTACCAATATACAGTGTGTCCCACTTACCATGCTCATCATGGGTATCTTTTTAACGGTGAGAGTTTGTCAAGGCCAACTATTATGTGAAAAAATATTTTGATAAAATCTATTCGTTTTTGTTTTATACGCAAATAACAGATTTTGGTCATCTTCATGTCTCCTCCGTAACTTCTTTATCTATGAAAATATTCTAATAGAAATTTCACATTCTTATGGCAGTTTTTCAAAGTGATTCCGACAAAAATATGAAATTCATACTAACTCTTCTAGAATTTGAGATACCAGCACCAACTTTAGTTTTTCAAATGTAGGTCATAGCTCACTATGACTTAGTTACAAATAACTTTTTTTTCTCTCACAGATGATATATCGCAGTAATAGTTTTGTGTTGATAACAACGGAGTTATCGTCATTTATACAAAAACAAAAAATTATTCGGAAGCCGCCATTTTGAAGTTTCGAATTTCAACGAAAAAATCATGATCTCCGACCTCAAAAACCCCCACTCACCAATTTTGAATAGAATCGGACCAAATCTTGTCCGCCATCTTGGAGCAGCCATTCTTTTCAATTTCAACAAAAATTCCATAACTCCGATTAACTTGAAATTTGGCAGTTGTTCATAATTTCGGTGACATACATTATGTAATTTTTGTTGAAATAAAAAAAATGGCTGCTCCAAGATGGCGGACAAGATTTGGTCCGATTCCATTCGAAATTGGTGAGTGGGGGTTTTTGAAGTCGGAGATCATGATTTTTTTGTCAAAATTCATAAATTCAAGATGGCGGCTTCCGAATAATTTTTTGTTTTTGTATTAATGACGATAACTCCGTTCTTATCAACACAAAACTATAACTGCGACATATCATCTGTAAGAGAAAAAAAAGTTATTTTTAACTAAGTCATAGTGAGCTATGACCTACATTTGAGAAACTAAAGTTGGTGTTGATATCTCAAATTCTAGAAGAGTTGGTATAAATTTCATATTTTTTTCGAAATCACTTTGAAAAACTGCCATGAGAATGTGAAATTCCTATTTGAATATTTTCATAAATAAAGAAGTTACGGAGGAGACATGAAAATGATCAAAATCTGTTTTTTGCGTATAACACAAAAACGAATAGATTTTATCAAAATATTTTTTCATATTATAGTTGGCCTTGACAAACTCCACATTTGGTGTCATTCAACCGACTTCGTATCTCTCACCGTTAAAGAGATACCCATGGTGAGCATGGTAAGTGGGACACACTGTATAGGGTGGATTATGACATTTGGCAAAAACATCTTTTGGTCATAACTTTTCAACAGCTCCTTGGATTCGTCTGATTTTTTTTATGAAATATTCCTCTACCAAACCCTAATCGACACTGAATCATTCAGAATCGAGAAAACCCAGGACCGTTTTTGAAAAATTTCGATAGTTCAGTTTTTATCAAAAAGTTTATGGTTCTTGTAAACTGTGACAGGGAATTTTCAAAGCACACAAAGAAGCATCCAACATGAAATAATCAAAATTCTCCTCACACTTTCACAGAATTTTTTTTGTAAACTATGAGCAAAAACGAAAGTTTGACAAAAAATTTTATTCATTCGAAAATAATAACTTCGCAACGCATACATTTCACAAATGAAAGTGAAACTCACATTTTCAATGCTTCGGACCAATGGAAATTAACATGTTTTTTTCATTTCCAGGCCTGGATTTCGCCATTTCAATTTTTGTGGAGGGTTATAATCACCCTGTAGATCTTTTCAAATCAGTTGATGGGGTATCGGTTTAGATGTTAATGGCCATCGATTCAAATAATTCAAGATAGTCGAACAGAAAATGAAGGTTACTCACTATTAGTTTTCGAAAGCTATACTAGCAAGGGCGGATAATAATTCTAGTACGGAAAATTAGTGCCAAATTAACTGAATAAAACAAATCGAATAGATAAAATTGTGAATTGAAATCATAAAATTGTTTATAGCGATGGCCATCAACATTTTTACATATACCTCATTCACTATGATTCGATCTACCTCCACAAAAAATTGAATTACTAAATCCAGGCCTGAAAATGAAATAATACGTTGATTTTCATTGAGCTGAAGCTTCGAAAATGTAATTCTCACTTTTATTCGTGAAATTTATGGGTTGCGAAGTATTAATTTTCAAATAAATGATTTTTTGCCAAATTTTCGTTTTTTCATAAAATTTATAGTTTTTGTTTTAAACTGCAAAGAAAGTGCGAGGAGAATTTGAAATATATTATTCTTGATGTTTGTTTGTGACCCTTGAAAATTTCCTGTCAGAGTTTACGAAAACGATATACAGGATGAACTTCTTGCTATAAACTAAACTATCAACATTTTTCAAGAACGGTCCTGGATTTTTCCGATTCTAAGTCAGTCGATTAAAGAGTAGTAGCGGAATATTCCAAGAAAAAATCAGACGAATCGAAAAAGCTGTTGGAAATTTATGACCAAAAGATGTTTTTGCCAAATCTCATAATTCACCATATATATTGAAAACGAAGTGAAGAAGACACTTTCTGATGGACACATTCCACACATTCCACATTCGTGGTAGGAGTATGTACAGATACTCATGACTCACCCTGTATGTTCAAGAATTTGTCTATAGACGAACGAGGTTTTTGGTCGACATATTTCGTCACTTCCAAGATTTGGCGACCAGTGTGACGTCATGCGGGAAGTAGAATGATTGTGGGTCGCCAAGTCCGCCAAAATGACATACCATATCCCTAATGATTCAAAATTGGCGGAAAAACAATGAATGTCGGTGAAAGGTTTCTCATACGGACTAAAACACTCACAGATATTCTATCATACGATTGCACGGGATGTTTCATTTTCAAAGGCATTGAACTCGAGGATTTTGATGATTCATGCAAAAAAATTCTTGCAAATGCAAATGTGACTGTATTATCTTTTTGTTGTAACGAAAAACTGTCAGATTTTGTGGAATAATACTATGAGAGATTTGATGAAAACAATAAAGGTTCATACCTCATTCAGTATAACTACAAGTTGGTGTAGAATATTAATACCAATAGAGTCACTAGATATTAGTTAGATAATAGTTCGGACACAGCTGAACTTCTGTCCTTTTCTATTTTCTATATTACAATGGTTTGAGTGAATAAAAGAATAGGACATACATCCTGCTCTTTGTCTTTTCAATTTCCCTAGTAGCACCTGATTGGCGATACGATTTCAGAGGTTAGATTTTCTGTCAAATCAATCATAACCGTAGATCAATCAATCAATCAACTTTATTATTCCCAAGAAACAACATTTGTTTATAGCAGGGAACATAGTGAATACATAAATATATTTGACAAAATAAAATAAAGAAGACAGTAAAATAACACTCACACTCAAAAAGAATCTTTTTTTTTTCAAGTTCAAATGAAAATGATCCTCAATTGACTCAGCTGTTAAGTACACAATTGAAAACTATAGTAGTTGTACAAGATAACTATAAAAATGAGATAAGATGTCAATATTACAGGAGTAGATGTTTTTTGAATTCTCTTTTAAATTTTTCAATCCTATTAACCAGCTTCAAGTTATTTGGTAGTGAATTGTATTGTATCATTCCATTGTGATAGATGGATTTTTTTACCAATATCGGATTTCATTTTCTTGACTGAAAAATGATCTGCTTGTCTGGTTGTATGGTTGTGGTGATTACTATTGACTTGGAAAACCAAATTTGAATGCTTTTGACAATGTTTATATATACACCCACTTCAATTTATAGCGATACATTTTTCGCAGAACAACAGTTACAACATGAAAAGAATGCATGTAACAACAACATATTATGGATATACTTTGGTTCCTTATTGTATGTAAAACTGTACTCGAGTGATAAAGTTTGAAACATGGAGATTGTGCTCCTGCTGCATTCACTTTCCACTGATACATTGAAATTCGATGATATATCACGTATGAATTTCCACCCAGGCCGTTTCATACATTCCTTCTATGAGGGAATAATGGTTGATATTTCTTTTGGAAATTTAAAGAAATGAAATCCATCATTCTCTTCAGAATTCCCACAATTCATTACACAGCAGGACACTTCCATATATGCTTTTCTCAATAGTTTATGAAATTATATTTCAATTCTGACGTTCATGAAATGTTTTCTCAAATCCAAACAATTTTGAATGAAAAATCGCGGAACGACTATGATGCAGTTGTCACAATGCAAAGTGTGTAACTTGATAAATCTAAACGTTCAAAAACACTAACATTTGTTATTTTCTGTGTCCGAACTCTCATCTAAATAATACCATCCAGCGACTCTAGTTACCAATAGACAGGATGTCTCAAAACACAGCAATAAATATTCCTTCGTTCCGATATTATTTTATGTTCACAATTATTCATGAAAAAAATTGTCTATATCGAACGAAGGATTGAGGAGAAAGTTGATGTTAGACCTGACTTGAGCTATCAGAATCATTGAAAAATCACTTGATGCTATGAAAATCAACGGAATTTTCGCTAGTTACACTTCGAAATTGCAAAGTCCAACTCGTACGCGCCTGTTTAATTTTAGGTTTAGTAACCTCGAATTCGATGTATTTGAATATGAAACCCTTGGAATTCGATGGATCGAAAAATAATTGATTGTTCATGTGAATTAACCTTCATTTTTTAACATTCCGTTTAATACACTAATTTAGGAGAGAGCCCACCACCGCCTTTGCCAATGACAGAACCCCCGAATAATCAAGTGTCCAGGATGCATTCTCCCGAGAACATTGGAAATGTACATGGTTAGTTTTGCATGTTGGATTTTGGACACCATCGAAATCATATTATTCTCTCTCTCTCTCTCTCCTCTCTCTCCTCTCTCTCTTTCTTGTATTTTAATTTTATCTTCTTCCACTAACTTTATTTTTCAGCTTCTAATTTCTATCTTATTCACTCTTTTTCGCATCGTGCACTTCTTTTTCTGAATGGGGGGAAAAATATTGACTTTTTCTACTGTTATCTACACTCGCTGACAAAAAAGTAGCACACCTGGAGGTTGATCTTCTTGAAAGCACTTGTACATTCATCAGGGATGTTATGTGCCTTCACAATTATAGAATACACAGGGTGTTTCATTACTAATTGAAAATATTTCAACTAAAGAATCCTGAGCTCGAATTATGAAGGTTCAATTCAAATCATTCAGATACAATGTGTCTATCTTGTCTGAGTTACAGGGTGAAATCTCATGGAGAAAGTCAATTTTGTGTTGAAATCTGCCACCTTCAAAGACTACTTTGTTGATCGGTTGAAGACAAAAAAATATGTTGGTAATAATATTATGATAAGCTGTAACAACAGTTACATTTTCAATTGGAGAGGTATACGAATCTTAATGAAATTCTTTCTTCACAACATGCCAAAACAATAATTGCAATAGTTGCATAATTAAAATAGTTATTGACCAAGTATGTTTATTATGGAATCCATACGATGATAGCAAATTGAAAAATTATAATCAGTGTGAAAATATGTACATCTACAGTGTGTCCCACTTACCATGCTCACCATGGGTATCTTTTTAACGGTGAGAGATACGAGGTCGGTTAAATTACACCAAATGTGGAGTTTGTCAAGGCCAACCATAATGTGAAAAAAATTTTTGATAAAATCTATTCGTTTTTGTTTTATACGCAAAAAACAGATTTTGATCATTTTCAGGTCTCCTCCGTAACTTCTTTATTTATGAAAATTTTCAAATAGTAATTTCACATTCTCATGGCAGTTTTTCAAAGTGATTTCAAAGAAAATATGAAATTTATACCAACTCTTCTAGAATTTGAGATATCAGCACCAACTTTAGTTTTTCAAATGTAGGTCATAGCTCACTATGACTTAGTTACAAATAACTTTTTTTTCTCTTACAGATGATGTGTCGCAGTAATAGTTTTGTGTTGATAACAACGAAGTTATCGTCATTTATACAAAAACAAAAAATTATTTGGAAGCCGCCATCTTGAATTTATAAATTTTAACAGAAAAATCATGATCTTCGACCTCAAAAACCCTCACTCACCAATTTTGAATGGAATCGGACCAAATCTTGTCCGCCATCTTGAAGCAGCCATTTTTTTTAATTTCAACAAAAATTCCATAATGTATTGTCACCGAAATTATGAACACCTGTCAAATTTCAAGTTATTCGGAGTTATGGAATTTTTGTTGAAATCAAAAAAAATGGCTGCTTCAAGATGGCGGACAAGATTTGGTCCGATTCCATTCAAAATTGGTGAGTGAGGGTTTTTGAGGTCGAAGATCATGATTTTTCTGTTAAAATTTATAAATTCAAGATGGCGGCTTCCAAATAATTTTTTGTTTTTGTATAAATGACGATAACTTCGTTGTTATCAACACAAAACTATTACTGCGACACATCATCTGTAAGAGAAAAAAAAGTTATTTGTAACTAAGTCATAGTGAGCTATGACCTACATTTGAAAAACTAAAGTTGGTGCTGATATCTCAAATTCTAGAAGAGTTGGTATAAATTTCATATTTTCTTTGAAATCACTTTGAAAAACTGCCATGAGAATGTGAAATAACTATTTGAACATTTTCATAAATAAAGAAGTTACGGAGGAGACCTGAAAATGATCAAAATCTGTTTTTTGCGTATAAAACAAAAACGAATAGATTTTATCAATTTTTTTTTTTCACATTATGGTTGGCCTTGACAAACTCCACATTTGGTGTCATTTAACCGACCTCGTATCTCTCACCGTTAAAAAGATACCCATGGTGAGCATGCTAAGTGGGACACACTGTATAGTATCACATGTTTTTTAATGAAAACAGCAAACAAAAAATATGATTGTTCAGGAAGAAAATATCTTTTTCGCTGTGACGGGAAAAAAGTTTGACATTTTTTTTATGTTCTGGTTCTCACGAAAAGGGATCTCCTGTAATGTTCAGAGAACATCGTGAGAACCAAGGGAAATAAGGGAGGCATTGGTGTTCTTCTTAAATTTCTGGAGGTTATATGCCTCAGGGAACACCTCCCTTGGCAATATGACAGGTAACAAGATGTCACTTTTCCGGGATATATAATTTCACTGTTGATGGCTCTTGTTGTGACAGTTCCGAAATATAAGCCAACCTTTTATCATCCATTCCACTTCGCGGTTACGTTAATTATTAAACAACCACTGTTTGCAATCTTTTTAAATAGTATCAAATTGACACATATTTGATTACTTCAAAAGGTTTCCATAGCAACAATAAAGATGCCCACAAAAAGATGCCTGCAAACACAGGTGTACTACCAGTTAAAAACTTCAAATTTCACATCGATATTTTTCTGATTTTATTGTAATATATCTTCTCAATATTGAATCGTCGTTTTTCCTGTCACAGAAAAAAATAATATATCATACACGGAAAAATATTAGATTTCAGGATGTAAACTACGCAACACTTTTTTTGCTTTGAACGATTTGAATTTGGATCACACTGTTCGCTTGCCCAGTTCTTCAGCTACAATCTCGTAATTCTCCAAAACATAAGGTTCCTTACATAAAATCGCTACAGGGTGTTACCTGAAACTGTGCAAAATTTCGTAAATTTCAAATGTATCCCAGATGAAGAAAAACTTTTTTTTTCAAGTTCGACATTAGAGGCATGTAGATGATCTCATTATCTTGGGACAGTTCTCGAATTGTCTACTTATCTCTTTTATTCACCGAGTGATCTCAAAACATTTACTTTTTGGTTTTGCAGTAGAAACTTTTCTCCTCGTCAACCGATTCTTGATATTTCAGGCTCATTTTGAAGCTTAAACTTCAGATGAAGAGATATAAAAATCAGAATTAACTCAATATCAATATTATACAGTGTTCCTTACTTCTAATGGAAGCACCCCTGTATCTTTCGTTATTGTTGAGTTAGCATTCTGAAATTCCTAAGAGCAGTAGATATACTGAAAATACACATGACCAAGTGGAGTCGTCTCCAGTGATATACACTGCTCGCCAACAGCCATGGAACAACCCGCAAAAATGCTTCAAGAAGGCGAGATGGGTTGAAAATCACGTCGAATTCGAAATCAGGACGTCCCTTCCGCTTCCTCCTGCTAATTTCAGAATCCTACCACAATTACGTGAGATACAGGGATGCTTTCATCAGGAGTGGGACAAAATTTAATTCTTCTGAACTGAAAATTTTCCAAGGATACTATGCATACTCAGTGAATTGAACGTCCTGATTTCGAATCCGAAGTGATTTTCAACCTATCTTGGCTCCTAATAACATTTTCCGGAAATTTGGGTGGTCCTATGGCTGATGGCGAGCAGTGTTTATCACTGGACTCCACTTGGTCATAGTGTTTATTTTTAGTATATCTCCCGCTCCTGTAAGTTTCAGAATTCTAACTCAACAATTACGAAACATAGGGGTGCTTCCATTAGAAGTAAGACACACTGTATAATGTTCATCTTGAGTCAATTCTGATCTTCATACCTCTCCATCTGAAGTTTCAGCTTCAAAATGAGATTTTAAAATCGGGTTGACAAGGAAAAAAGTTATGACTGCAAAACCAGAAAGTTCATTTTTTGAGATCACTCTGTAAATGAAAGAGAAAAGAAGACAATTTGAAAAATATCCCTAGGTAATGAGATAATCTTCATGCCTCTGCTGTCGAAAATGATGAAACAAAGTTTGTGTTCATTTGGGATCCTTTTGAAAATTCCGGAATTTCTCACAGTTTCAGGTGACACCCTGTAGCAATTTTATATGAAGAACCTCATATTTTGAGTTTTAAGGAAGTATGGCATTATTGCTGAAAGACTTGGCTAGCGAACAGTGTAATTCGAATTCAAATTGTTCAAAGCAGAAAACAGTTATTCATATTTTAACCGGGACAAAATTTTGGGATTCGACGAAATTAGTCGTGCGTAGTTTATAATAAATAACTATTGTTCCTCTCAACTACAATCAACTAGGTTCTTTCTTTCGAATTTCAATGTTATATCTTTTCTGAACATTCATAAATGTAACAGTGACTTTCATTCAAAATTATAAGTATGAACAATCTTTAGGTAGCTGATAACACGTTTAGTTAGATTCCTACCGATTGCGCCATATAAGAAAACGGCTCTGTACTAACTTGAAAAAACTATAACGATACTCTGTTAGCGAAACATGTGCTGTTGTTTTTTGAGAATTTTATGGAAATCGGATTTTATGGGTAATCGTTTGTGTTATTTTACATCAAGTAACTGACAAGTCAATTCCTGATTGATGATTATTGAATACCTTGAAAGAATCACTTATGCAACTTACTACTAATAAGTAGCTACTGATGAATTATCTCCATGCCTTGACGTCTTTCTCAATTTAGTTTCCTTACCTAACTATTTTTTTTTTTTAGTAAATGATTGCACTTTTCTCGTTGTTTGTTTAGACCAGTACGGCGTTTCGGCCCAACAAAAACCGGATTGGCAGCCATCTTCGTCCTCCAGGCCGCTGAGTTCGCCGGATTCGAAGAACATGTCCCATCGCTTGAGAGACTTGTTCGTCAGAAAGAAGAGGAACTCGCAAATGTGATTTTTCCGTCATCTTTCATTAATTCGACTTGAAATAAGACCTAGACGAGATTCAATAATAATTCCCATCTGAATACGCTTTCTTTGGCGAAACGGTCAACTTTTATCGATTCGAAGTCTTCTTAACGGAATTTCACATGAATTCAATTTACTGGCAGCAGTATTTTTTTATATAAGGCACCTATTAGTACGTTTACTGCAAATCACATACTTTATGTAATTTTTTTTATGTATACATACAGGATGTATCATTTCGTTAGACATTGGCTATATGAATTGGTTTCATAATTTTTTGAGCAGTGATTGATGATTTTGTTTCGTTTTTATTTCATAAAGGTAGGTGTCACAGTTGATGTCATTTGAAATGAAACATGTTATATGTGTATTACTGTTAATAATGTAGTTAGATTGTATATAAATTTATATAAAGTTGAAATTATATATGGACCAAACTTTTGCATATTCTGATTGTATTAGTTATTAATCAAATAAATGTTGAATTTATGAAATTGTTGTTTTTTCGCATTCCTTTTCCACTCGGTCACCAGAGATTTTGATTTCGAAAGCAGAATCGAAATTGAGGCAAAGGTATTTTATCTATTCATTATAAGAACAAAATTCTCCGCTCGTTCATAAATTTTTAAGACAAAATCTAAATGTTGGTATCAGGACAGAAGTAGAGTCCATGTATATACCGTAGACAAGAGTCCGGAGTCCGGACACAGCTATACTTCTGTTCTTTCCTGTTTTCAAAAAATTCATTGATGATTGAATAGGTCGCGTGCACGATGACCGACCCTGGAGGAAACACAACCTCACTCTTCTGTGAATTATTGAAACACAACCTCACTTTTTTATGTGTTTACAGAGGAATCAAAAGGTTGAAATAGTTTTTCACAATATTTTGGCATACGAATCGTGTTTCTCGCGTTATTCATTAATTCAGGCATGCTGTAATGCCCCCAACTTTCTTCGTTCGTTGGCCTACTACGGGGGGTCGTTACAAAGTAAGTTTTCCTCGATCAATGGGTTCGTTGATTATTGAGGCAGGAGGCAGACTGAGATTGTAGACAATAAGACAACATATAGATAGTTACTGAGACATATATTCAGGCAGAATGGTCAGGCAGAAGTTACAGGCAACGAAATCAAAGTTTGCTTACATTTTAGATTGCACATTATTGTTACACTGTTCACTTGTTTTTTTTTAATTGGCGAGAGATTCACTTCACTTTTACGTCTTAGTCACCAAAGTTGCAGATTACAATAAATCTACCTGAGTGGTCACTTACACAGGTATTATTAACGAAGTTCACTGGTACTGTTCGAACGTAGCATGTTTGATAGACAGATACAAAGTCGGCTGGATACGTTTTGTATTGAGTCACGTTTAAGACTTTTTACATTCTGCTCAATAGATTCAATGATTGAACTTCAATCATTCCCGAGGCTCACTAACAAAACTTTCAACTAACACAACGGAGATCGAGACATCGTATTGGAGACTGATCAAGACTGCTTCAAGAATAACTTCAGACTGTCCTTTTTATTCGGATTGTTCCTGCTTTTATACAGAATTTAGCAATAAATTTTGGAAGAATCAATTGAATATAAGACAAGCTCCATGTTGTGTTTATATAAGGCATTATTTTTCGTAGATTTTTGAGCGATAAATTACAGATGTTAGGATTCATTTGCGAAACTAAAATGATTTCGTTGTAGTTCTGAATTGTTATGACGATAAATAATTTCAAGCTTCAACTCATACTCTTAATGTTAACAAAACTGTCACTTACGATAGTTTTCCATTAACCCTTTTTCAAGCAATAATTCAATGTGGTTTATGATTCTCATTAATTTTTCTTGACTTCAATTTGCACAAGTGAGATGATTTCGATGTAACTCTCTAATGTTATGATAATAATTCACTTTATGATTATTAACAAAATTGACAATTACATGCTCTTTCCTTTACGTATTTGGGATAAATAATAATTTATTGATCTTCCAAGCCAATCAGATCAAAGTCACTCCCTCTTCACTGAACTTATAAATTCTCTGCAAATTCTCATCAACGTCATTTTTGTCTCTCAATTCGGTCCTGTGATATCAACCTGCTTCGTTCTCAAGTGACCAGTGAATTCGTTTTACGAAGGTAACGTATACCTACTTATTTTATACATTTGTTTATGCTAATGATGCTGCACTCAATTCAAAATAAACATTCGTCCGTTCACGTAATAATATTGCCTAGTAGACGCATGATAAAAGTTATTCTTATTTAAGACAATAATTGTTCACTGTACTTAGTTCGAAAGAATTCAGTGCTCCATACCATTTTCTCTAAGATACCCGTTCATTACATACCATCCATCCCTCGTAGACGAAATTGTATATCCAAATATATCAATTTCGTTCCTGGACTATAATCTTTCTTCTTTCTCCAAGCGCCAATATTACGTGAACATGACTCGTGAACCATTATATTAAGCATCTTATAGAATCTTCTGATGTTTACATAAGCTCGTGACCCAAATAGTTAATTACTTATAGAATAAACAAATAAATATCCCGGAATAATTTTTTTTTACCTGCCGACCTTACAATAAATTGATCATTGCAATACCTACTGAATTTAGGTACCGCACTATTCAAATAAAATTACTATATAAGATTCCAAACAATTATTTTCGATGAAATGAACTAACCTAACTCTATCTTCAAGTTTTATCATAATTATTTGCATAAAGTAAGTTTATAGTCACTATCACTAAACAAAAAATCCTAACTCAATAAGTGTAAACCAAATAGAACAAAAATTCCTAACTCAATAAGTGTAAACCAAACAGACATAACTTGAAATCCAACTCACATACTTCTGAAGGATCTATCTCAATTTGTCATATCAGCAATACCTAACGTTTTTCCTCTGGTGGGAGAAGTTGCTGGAAGTTGAAGATCTCCATGAGAAAGGTTGGGTCGTCCATAATGATGTTATCTATTGAAAATTCTGCTGTTGCTAGGAGTTTGTGCCTCTTGGACTAGCTGCTGTTGATCGTGATATCGAAGTTACCATACCAGCGAAGATAGTATTTTTCCTGGGATACTAGTCGGTATTTTTCCTGGGATACTAGTCCAACGTCTTGTGTGGAAAAAGTACTTGGAGAAGATGACCCATCAACGGAGCTGTTTTTTTTTCAAGGCAATGTTATATATACACTGGAATGTTACTTCATGTCTGTGTTTTACAAATTGTTCATTTATCAAAAACTTTTCAATCCCGCACTTCGACAAGAGGTGAATATCAATATAACTATAAAGTAATTTATTGTATTTTTTTTTAACTACCGTATGTCACTACTCTGCATTAATCAGTTAACAATTGAACATAATATCTACCATACTGATGTTTTATTTCTCATGCTACCGAATTCCTATCTTCATTTTTTATTGAACTGCACTGTACAACAATTGGTTTTGAAACTTTAACGGCATACTAGATCTCTTTACGTGATGCAAGTGGTGTAGATATAAATTGATTTTTCTTGTCAAATATTGGGCTAGCTCTCCTCTGCTTGTCGGTCGATTTTCGTGAGTATATTATCTCTTCTCTTTCTCTCTTTCTTCTTCTGTTGATAATATTAAAGTGTTTCGACGTTGTACTGTTGATAAACAAAATATTTTCCTTCAATGACCTTGACCAGCACATAAACAGTCGAATAGCAAGTGCATTCTGAAGGTCTTCGAAGGCCACTTTGGAAATTCGATTACACCATTAGGAGTAAAGTTTATATTTTTCAATCTGTCCATTTTTTTTTTTAAGATGACTTAGTTCAAGGTTGATATCCATTGTCTCATTCTCATATATGTATATTCTCGCCGTTACTCATATGTCCTTTAGACATCGACGTGCATCACGGTGCCACGTCCTCTTTCGCTAAATAACCTATAACTCTGTATTCTACCATCCTCTTACTTCCCAATTATATTTTCATTTGAATTTTCTTCTATTGAATACAAAATTTTTCCGTTTCTGCTCTATTCTGCGGACTTTGAAGTGCATCCTTGTGCCATGGCTTCTTGTATCCGAGAAAATAAAGCTTTCTTCGGAATTATAATGACATTTGTGCTTTGCACTTCAGCTATACACTTCACACTCTTCAAGACTTTATTTTTCATCTCTTCTGGGAACATATTTCTTACACAGTTTTCATTTTTTTTTAACACAACTTTTCCACTTTTTCTGAATCCGTGTTTCAGATACCCGCCTCCTCATTGGTTTCGGCTACTGTTAATTGTCTCCAGACATTGAGGTGCATCTTTGTGCCCTATCCTTCTGTGCCTGAGTAACAGTTGCATTCCCGAGGCTACTCTCTCGACTTTCGATTGTCTCTTCTCTAACATGTGATCATGTATCACTACGTTTACCTTTGGATGCTGCAGTCCTCCTTTTCCTTTGACTTCTCTCTATACCTTGGATTATCTGGGATGGATATTGCTGTTTGGTGAACCAGAGGACTGGAATTCCCCTGTTCACCGGAATTCACTGCCAATTCCAGTGGCATCAAATTCATATCTTCCTTTAGTACAGTTGAAGTAAAGGCTTTCAAGGTATTCCTGATTTCAACCAGATTATTCTCCATTTCAGCTAACCTCACTTTCATCTCTTTTTCCCAATCATTATTTTCTTCTAATAACTCAATAACTTCATCTAGAATGAACATTTTCCCTGTTCCCCAGTCTATTTTCGCTCCAAATCTTTGTAAAAAATCCAACCCCAGCAGCATATCAGCTCTGAAGTTTGCTGTTTCTATGAGAATAAATTCGTGTTCTATAGTTTTCCTCAGGTTTAAATTAATCGGAATAATAACCTTCCCTCTATCGCTAATTTTCCTCCCTTGGATATCAACCAAACTAATCTCATTATTTTCTTCAATATTAAACCCCTGCACGATACTTGGCTTAATGAGAGATACTTGTGCACCCGAATCAATTGAAGCTGTCATGTACTGACCTTTTACTTCAATTCTCGCTATGTTTCGGGGTTCCTTCATCTCCCGGGTGCAACTCAGTATCTCAGCCGTCCTATGGTTTATTGTCGCGCTTCCTCTCCAGCAGCTACATGGCGGGGTTGGAATGCAGCTGCGTTTCTGTTTAAAGTCCTGGTGGGCTGATCTTGACGTGGATTGCTCCAGTTTCTATTCGCATGACCTTGACCTCGTTGGGATGATCCTCTAGGACAAAATCTGATCACATGTCCAGGCTTGTTGCAACCATAACATATCAAGGTCCTATTACCACTTGTTTTTTCTTTGCAGTCCCTAGCAAAATGTCCGGGCTTTTGACATCTGTAACATTTTGAGATCCTAGGAGTTGATGTTTGGTGTCTATTGTTCATTATTTCCACTGCTCTGCATTCTCTCTCTTGTATCTTGGTTAGATTTTCTATTGTTTCTTCCTTTTCCGCTACTCTGACTGCGTCTTCTAAGGTTAGGGGCTCTGCTGA